TATTGACGTGATCAGACTTTTGGATTAGACGCCGAAGATTGGTGATGAAAAGCCGATATGAATGACTCAGCTTGATGTTTGAATGCATAGTAGTAACTTGTATGGGATTTGAGTACACCTTATATACAGCCTGCCTGCACAGCCGCGGTCCTACAACTATACTTTACTGCCGATGCCAAGATGTTGTAAGACTGATAGCTCGAGAGCCTACAAAATCATTACATTCCTGCTCATCCAGCCCTATGCGGTATAAGAACATCAACTTGCGCGATTAGGAAAATGACAGCGCCGGGCGCACGACCTGAGGGGATGGGGACATCCACTCAGCCCCCCACCCCCTTATCCTAGGCCATGGACCCTGGCGCATATGCATACACAAACAGCTGACGGACATTGGTAATGCTAAGCAGGATCGAGGCTGAGGAAGAGTGATGATTTGTTAGAACAGAAGGAAACAATGGCAGATTGCCATCGTTCTAGTGGCATGGATGGTTGGCGAAGATGACACCGTCGGCATTGGAGGAATATTGTGGAACTAACTAGTGAGAGTTTGAGGCTTCTGGTCAGCTTGCTAAGCCTACAGCCGGCTGCCGACGTATGTCAAGATATTCATGTGATCCCGGAATAGCGAGTTCGTCGTCAAATATCTCAAAGGGGCTGCTGTCAACGAATCATATGCTATTCCCATCAGGCTGGCGCTGTGGCATGCGAGGGAGGGCTTACGCTATGGTTCATTGATTGGCTCAGCCAGTCGCATTCTCACCGAACAAGAAAAGAACCAAATATGGTCTCAAATCGCTGGACCATCATGCAGTAACCAACAAAATAATATGGTTAACAATATGTATACCGATTGCCGTTTACGGAAATTATACGTTGAACCGGGTGCCTGGGTCGAGCCACCATGAACAGTTTCCCAAAAAGGAAAGTATACGTTCTTGAGATCCGCCAAGACATGATGCGGCAACGTGATTCGCCCTTTTCTAGCAACGCAGCTGCGGAAGCTCAAACAAGCGTCTTACTCATTCGCCATCGTTCGACAGACTTCCAGGTGTGCGGGCAATCCAGTTTACGGGATTGCAATCAGGCACGAATTCGAATCTCACAAGATTACACAAGATTAGTCAAGATTCGTAAGGCTGGATCGGCACCACAATGCGTCAGAGCAGATGCAAAGGCGCAACACTGAAAAGTGTAGAGCTTTCCGATACGACTAAGAAAGGGCAAGGGTGCGGGTCGGGCTTGGGCAATGGCTTGAGCACGCCAATTAATGTAACTCCCCCACCCTATATCCGAACCACCCCCACATCCGAACCACCATCATCACCACCATCGCCACCACTATCACCACTTATTTCGCCATCTCTGCCGCCCACCCATATGCAACTTTCGGCCTCGCTGGGCAATTTGGATGCCCTAGATTCATCTGGACTATCTATATTGCTGGGATCCAGACTTTAGGCCTGGATTATATCCTCTATAGTAGCAAAGGTGCTGTTAGGAGATAATTAGACCTTTTTCCTCTTATGTAACTGTATATTATCTAACTAGGCCTATAATAAGTTAACCTGCCTTTCTAGAAGGGCTGCTCTAGATACCTACTTATTATAGCCCTTTTATAGCTTTCTAGATAGGTAGTAAATAGTATAGGTATCTAACTTATCCTTACCTAACTAAATTAACTAGTATAATTAATACTATAGATTAGTAGATTAATAAGGCGTTAACTATAAGATAATAGATTTAGCTTTATCTTACTATTAGCTACTAGTCTGCTAGCTAGGCTAGCTTTATTAGGCCTTAGTTACTATTAAGTTAGATAGAGGGCGTCTTATATATATAGGCTATAATCTAGATAACCTCTAGCTACTACTAATATTAGTAGATATAATAGATACCTTATAGGCCTTAAAATAATACTTTAAGAATACCTTTTTACTAGTAATAGTTAAATCTATAACCTAGTTATCTAGATATCTAACCTCCTTATAATAAGCCTACTTTAATAGGCTAAAGATAGCTATATCTAGAGGCTAGAGGATAGTAGAGGAGTATAATAGTAAAAATAGTAGATATATATTATACTACTAGTATTACTATATAAAATTAATAGTTATATAGCTATAATACTTATTAAGAACTAGTAGTCTAGCCTCCTTTAGCTAGGTAGGCTTAGTATATAAGATAAAGACTTTCTCTAGCTATTTAAGGGTAGTATTATTAGTTATTTAGCTATTATTAGTTACTATAAATTACTATAGCTTATATATATTAAGGTTAAATAAGAACTACTAGGCCTAAAGTAATTTACTTTTATATATAACTAAAGGGGGTAAGAAGCTACTAGTAGTAGATATATACTTAATAATAAATACCTATACTTAAGATCCTAGCTGCTTTTTTTAGATATATTATAATACCTTAGAGCCTAGCACTAGACTATTACCTCTTTTACCCTTTATAATACTAGTCTTATCTATATTCTATCTATTAGATAAATAGATCCCTTAGATAGTAAGGATACTACTAAGGTAATAAAGAAAATCCTAGATAACTTTAGGGGAATAAGCTGCTTATTACTAAGTATTAATTACTTTAGATTAGAGGGTTCTAATAGATAGATTTTACTATACAAATTAGGCTATTTATTTCCTCCCTATAAGAGGATACCTATTACCTATTATACGCTCTACTAGGCCTTTTACTTATTAATAGTTAACGTATCTACTAAGGGACTATTAAAGGGTAATATAGGCAGCTAGATTATCCTCTTAGGCTTAGGATAAGTGCTGCCTATCTTTAAAGGTAGTATTCCTACTTTACTTACTAAAGTATTAATACTAAAGTGTTACATATAGTATACCCTATCTATAAGTAACAGCCTAGAGGCTATACTGCCTAGACTGCACATCTAGGAGGGCCTATTAGAGCTTATCTTTAGAATATTACTTTATAATAGTTTAAAGAAGGTATCCTGAAAAAATGGCGTTATTTGGTAATAAATGGTAATTGTTATGATAGTTTGAAAAAGGTAGTGGTGTTGATGAAGGAGGGGAAATGCGGGAATTTCGGGTGGTTCGGATGCGGGGGTGGTTCGGATATAGGGTGGGGGAGTTATCTGTGATCAGGCATCTTGGCCCGTGTGTCCGGTCTAATGTCCCGCTCTCAGGAGGTTTCGATCGCATATCTCTGACTGGCTTTCTTAAGGGCGCGGTCGATTACTAAATCCCATTTGCTAGGCAATATAACTGTTCTCGACTCACGGTGAAAGCTCCAAATATTGGTTACCCAGTGTATGGGTACATTGACTGCAGAAGCAAAAGGACTGTGGCTCCCTCTCATATACGGTAGTATTATTTCTTGGCTTCCATCAATCATCATTTGCGTCTTGAAGCTTATTGCTGTAGTGGAATCACCTCAAGTACACAGCATTCCGATTTGCTATTTGACTCCTTTACTTGCATCACCACACACAAGAGCGTATTAACTGATTTCAAAGATCATATGCCAACTACTTCGGCTATTGACATGCTCGGGCAAGCCCGCTGTATGGCTGGAACCACGAAAGATGATCCCAAGACACAAGAAGTTCAACAAATAAGTATGACATATCAATATGGTGGCAGTGCTTCGGTGTAGAACGCCTACTACTTTTCATCTGGTCTGGTATCCCTTCGAGTGCCACTGGACCTCACATAACCCAAACGTGGGTCTCTGCAGGTAATTACTAACAGCTATTGGATACTTAGCCTGGATTGCTGTAGTCTTATTGGTCTGAGGTTATGTGAGGTCCAGTGGTACTTAAAGGGATATTAGTACCTCATTACCCCACTTTCTGGAAGTCATATTAACCTGCTTGCATAGTATGAAGGCCCGCTAATTTTTTAACTCGGCAAGGTGAATATCTTGCTGCACTTTCTCATCTCTAACTCTTTGTGTTAAGCTACATGCTTGTACTTTGACTGCATAAGGATTAGGTCTGATGTTGTGAGACAGCAGCCCCTTAAGAACGATGGAATCAGCCAGGGCTTAAACCGCATCATAATCACAGTCGTTAACAACAGCATGGATAGAGCAAAGACCCGTGATCAAGTGAGTCCGTCCAAGGTGTTCCTCTTGATTTCCCTGAAGCGAGGGCTGGCCATCAATACATTCCTTGATAGTCTAGTGGTGAGGATATCTGCTTGTCAATCAAACGATTCGCAGGGGACCGGGGTTCAATTCCCCGTCGAGGAGATCTTTTTTGCCTATTGCACTTGCCTTTTTGGTGGACAACGTCGTCTGAACCGGTGTTGGGGGGGGGGGGGGGGGGGGGGGGGGTTGCTTGTGGTTTGAATCTTATACTGTTGGATAGTAGCCAAGGGGTCCTCCGATCGCCCTGTTGGTTATGCTTGAACACTAGGACTATAATGTCCCGGAGACATATAACCACCATCCACTCAACTTTTATGATTTTAAAACTCGTCGACCGCAAGATCATTCAGACTCACTGGTTTGACTGGGTTTTCGGCTCTTTTCTGGATGTTGATTGCTGACCATCGATGTCGTTGATCTCCGCGGAACGGAGTGTGATCGGGGCGGCGCCGAATCCGGGGCCGTGGAGATCGGAGGTAAGCAGATCTTGAGATCCGAGGTAAGCAGCTCCACGCCCCATCAAAACCGACTGGTTCAAAATTGAGTTATGCTAAAACGACCCAATCCCGAATAGTCCGATCAGCTGTTCAGTACACAACACCTTCTATACATGTCCAAACACTCTGATTGATTGCCCCGAACACTTTCTTCAACGCTGAAGCATTAGTTCTCAGATCCTTTGTTTTCTACTGAAACCTTTTTGAGATGGCGCAAGTCTCTCTACCCGTTGTTCAGTTGGTACCGTCTCCTCCGGGTAGTCCGGAATTCGAGGCCACGCGCCAAACACTCATCGAGGAGTTCTCGGCCAAGTGCCACAAGACTATCATGTCTCATCCACGATCATCAATCAGCCACCTCAGAATGTCATGAGTGTTCCTGGAGAATGTGGCATTCTATCCAACGAGGAAATCTACATTACAGAGAACTTTAACGCTGTCGGCTTAGCTGCCGCCATTGCACAAAAGAAATTCACTGCCGTCGCGGTTGCTACGGCATTCGCAAAGAGAGCAATCATTGCCCATCAGCTCACGTGTTGCCTGACGGAATGGTTCATGGACGAAGCCATCGACCAGGCCAAAGCGCTCGATGAGCACCTTGCAAAAACAGGGAAGACAGTCGGCCTCTTACATGGTGTCCCAATTAGTGTCAAAGAGATGGTCCCTGTGGCTGGCCATTACTCCTCCTTGGGCTTTCTGATCACTCGCCATATTGATGAAGCTGACAGCCATATGATAGCCATATTGCGACAGGCCGGCGCAGTGCTCTACTGCAAGACGGCTCGGCCTCAAGGTGTCATGCACTTGGAGACTGTCTCTCTCTATGGTCGTGTTCTCAACCCATTCAACATCAACTTAACAGCAGGCGGGTCGACCGGTGGTGGCGCTGCACTCCTCGCGATGCGTGGCTCTATCCTCAGCATCGGCGCAGACATCAGCGACAGCATCAGAGCACCAGCAAGTTTCTGCGGCCTTTACGGCTTTAAACCGACGTCTTACACACTCCCTATGAAAGATTTTGTTGGACCTAGTGGATTTCCCGCAGAGCTTAATATTCTTGGATCAACTGGGCCCCTTGCAATTTCCTTGAGAGATATGGACTTCTTTGTGTCTGTCTTAAAAGCAGCGCAACCACATCTGGAAGACCCGCGCCTGATTCCAATCCCTTGGAATGGCTTGAATATACAGCCAAAGAATGCGCCACTTAAGGTCGGCTTCATGATGAACGACGGGCTCATTGTATCTCAGCCGCCGGTTACTAGAGCCCTCAATTGGGCCCGTGACAGATTGAGCAACCTCCCGAGTTTTGAAATCAAGAACTTCACGCCATACCGTGCCGAAGAGACCCTTCGTAACATCCATCTGGCCTTCTTCCCCGATGGAGGGAGGCAGGTCAAGCAAGCTCTAGCAGCGACTGGAGAGCCCATGCTTCCACTCACAAAAGCCATTATCACGGACGCCGAAACAACTGGGCAAGATTTAGACGCAGCGGGCGTTCTCCAGCAACGAGTTACCCGGGACAACTTTAGATGCGACTTTGCGGCTCACTGGAACCAGTCTGACGTTGCTATTGTCACCTGTCCTGCTTACGTTGGCCCTGCAAGCATGCACGAGACCTGCTTGTTCTGGAATTATACTGCCTTCTGGAACTATGTCGATTACCCAGGCGTTGTTGTCCCCACGCCCATCAAGGCACTGGGTAAAGACTTAGAGAACTATGCCACTGCTGACGAAGTACCACTGAGTGGGCAAGACGAGCTGGTCAGGAAACTGTGGGCCGAAGGCGATTTCGAGGGTGCTCCAGTCGGTATCCAGATCGTGACACGAAAGTACCATGACAACGATCTTTTTGAGGCTTTAAGATCGATGGAATTCTATCTAGAGCTTAAGTGATTAAGGAAATTGTAGCTACGTATTGGCAGGAAGATGAGCTAAATAATGCTATGGAAATATAGAACTCGTCCAGCATGAAACCAGCGTCAATATCGAGCTGTTGAAGCAGAAGAACGTGTGGTATTTTCGCTAGTTTAGATGAAACAAAAAGTCCTCCAAAAGTGTTATAAACTGATTAGGTTATCGTTAGTAGACCAGTCGGGGGGTTGAAAGCTACAAATTGAAGGTTATGGATTGTACCTTTCCATAAATCGATTACCCAAAGATTGTTCCACAACGCCGCCTATCAATGCTCTTCCCATGAACATGGTTAGTTGGCAAAGGCCTACACATCACAGGATCTGTCAATCTTGTGCAAAGTATCGGTAACATCGGAAGTCTGTTGATATAATATTAAGAGGTATTGTATCGATGTCTCCGAAGGGCAGATATCATGGTTTGTGAACACATCCTGGCTTAGGAGTTGAGTCTATCCTAACGCACATGGGGCTTAGCAACGTAGTCAATAAAATCGAACTTGAAAGGCTGTAGTATCAGATATGCATGCCCGTATCTACAAATCCCAAATTGAACCGAAAAGAAAGCTATATTATACCGTATATCGGCTTACTACATCAAACGTTCGTTTCCTCAACATTTTCCTCCAACGCCATCTCCTCCAGGGTATCATACATGCGGAGATCTATTTCTCGTGACTAGCCTCCTCATTAGAATGTAGAGTCATTTCCGTACTATTCGAACGGGGGGTAGTGGAGGCAGTGTTGCCGCTCAACGGAGCCTCGGCGGCTGCGGCAGCCATCTTTCCGGCATCGACACACCGTTTGCGGATAGAAAAGACTGACACGACATGGCCCACAGCCCACCAGGAAAAGAGAACAGGCAACGCGACGCGTGTCTGGTCAGCACAGCCACTTCAGACCTGCACCAAGAGGGAATAGACCTCATGCGCGGGAAAAGCATAGCCAATCCTGTAGAAGCCGGCCATGAGCTAGAATGGGGAGACGCAGCTCGCCACTTTGGTAAGCATTCAAGTCAAGTCAAGAAGAAGAAAGGCATGAATTGCATGGGTAGGTTGGATCCCAAGACGGATTCCAACACCTGCCACTGTACGTCCATGTAGAGCCAAAATACCAGCAACGACTTGCCAAGCTCTGGGCCACTGACGGCCCAATTTTCCCTGAAAGCCCATATGTAACCAGTGACCGTGAGAGTAGTAAGGGGGCAGTAAACCTTGCCGGCGACGAAACGAAGCAGCCAGACGTCACGGATCCTCGCCTTGGCACGGAGACCGGAGCTCATGAAGATACCGTTCAGCGTTAGAATGAAGAAGAGTTGGGCTAAGGTCGGCACAATGATATTGACAGTGTTGAAATAGACACGGCTGGCTTGCGTCTGGGCGCCGATGATATCAGGGGTGGACGAGATCGGGTTCAGGTATGCGGCAACAGCGGCCAGGTTGGCAGTGTCCAAGGACCGGAGGGCGGATGTGCCGTTGGGTGATTTGTAGTAGAAACCTCTCGATGCGGCCACGACCTTTTGTATATTGCTTGCGAGTACGGAGTCGCCTATCGCGGGATACCGAGCTTGATTGTAGGTGTAGGTAACGGAGTCGGCAGCGTTGTAGGCGGTGTTTGAAGTTCCGCTAATGACGCTGGCGAGCTTCTCTGATGCGCCTTTGTTGATGTAGATTGCACCCCAATAATCTCCCTTACATACAGCATTCTTGACCGCCGCCGGTGTTGAGTATTCTGAAGCCGAACCAAATTCAATTGTAGGGAAGTCTGCGCCCCGGAAACTCTTCGACGCAGCTGCTATAGCCGAACCGATGGCCCCTCCATCGAGGTCGACGGTCAGAATCTTGAGGGCGTGAGTGCATTTCGCTTGCTCAAAGGTTGCTCCGAAGAGAAACGATATGTTGGCCAGAATAAGAAGAAGGATCATTATCGATGCCGCGATAATGGGTATGAGAAATGATTTGCGTTATCCAGCGCCCCATCGTGATAGGGGTGCCCTTAGCGGGAAGCTCGAATTCGACATAAATACGTCCTAAGGAAGTTAAGCCTTCAAAATAAGCTGCGGCTAGTCTCCAAAGAAAGCCTGATGGATAATTGACTCGCTTTCGAAGATAGAGCTGAAAGAGAAAATGAGATGATAAGCCAGGTATGAGGGCTGCGATGGTTAATGGGGTGACATTAATTGTTTAAAGAAAACATCTCGAGATTGGAGATTACAGCACGTGAAAACAGGCCTGGGTGAACGGTCACAAGGCATAGCCCTTCAGCCGGGCGCAAGAAACGTCATCCGACCGCCAGTTTGGCCCATCACGACACGGCTACCTCCGATATTGTTGTCATATTCTAGAACCCGGCTCAGTGCTAAGTCCGAGCTGCGAGGCGCGAGGGAACCTTGGCTGCGGCTGCTTTACGGAGTACGTGAATAGAAAAGCGAGACCAATGGTTTAGCTAGGTTTGGTGTGGCAGAAATCAGATCTGCCGCATCGAGTGGGCGCAAGGGGTGTCCCCTAGTTCAAGTTCTCTAATACTCACCCGGCGTCACACGGTGAATCGGCGCTTATGGTTGCCGGCCTAGCGGACATTTCCCATCAGCGCTTGCCGTTGATACATGTAACCCGGCATGGCTGTCCGCATTCGTCGTATCTTCCTCCACCCTTTTCTCGCGAAATGCTTTCGGCGTGATCGCATGCACTCTAGAGAGGCTAGAGGTTCCATCCCAATTCTAGCCGCATCAGTTTCCGTCTGAACCAACTACTCAAGATGGACCAGCTAGTGCACGAGCAGCTGTCACCGTCACTGGCTTGCTAGTGCTTTTAAACGCACGGAGCTCGAGATAACGGAGGAAAATACTTCAGTTGCCTAAGCAAACAGATGAAAGGTTTTCTTCGATAGAGTACCACTGAACCATGCGAGTCTCCCTGGTTGATGCAGATGCTACCATGACGACGCTCAGCTCAGTCCCGACTGACAGGTCTATTCTAGGATAGGCCCTGTGAGCATCTGGAACGCAGTATGATTCGTCGTCGGGCTTTTGTGATATTCATGAATTAGCGAGCCGGTCAAACTACGACGCCGACGGACTTTTGTTTGACTGAATGAAATGTCGGCGTTGCGTAAGTTCCGTTGAGCGAGCGCAGTTGACAAATGCGAAAGTGGTTCAAGTTGTGGTTACTATGCGTTGGCAGCGAATTTATTAGTAAGCCGGGAAGTCCGTCAGATGGACCAGTTATTAGAGAGAAGAACTCATACCTTGCAAGTCACATGTCGCTATTCATTTTTGAGGACAAGTACATGTGAGCTGCCCCTGCTCCTCAATGATGCCATAGATTTTAACAGTAGTACCCTCGGCTTTTGTCGGTTTTGCTGTCTTGAACTGAATCCTGACAGCTGTCTCGGAAGTCATGCTATGGCCCTGCGGATACTGAATCAGTGCTCGTTTACAGTGTAGCGTCTTGGTATGTCATTTCTTTCCACTGATAAGATATCAGCAACCTATATTCGCCTTAGCTCAATGATCGCTCATGACCTCGGACGATTATAGCTCGCCTTGTTCCTCTTGCCAATTGAATCAGGTTGGCGCAACCATTCTCACACAAGACAGCCCCGGAGCCCGTGTTACTGTACAAATAACATAGTCTCCACTCTCCCGCCAGGGCCAAATGAACATTTACTAGGACGCAAGTCCAGGAACAGGTAAACAGCTCACTGATTGGTGTCTTCGGACGGTCTTTGTATGCATTATTGTAACATTACGGATGGCCTATCTAACATGAATCTTCTTATTATACAGTTTAATCGACAAAAATATTCCCCCAGAAACTAACACTTTCGCTTAGGCCTGTGGACTATGACATTTTATGCCGGCTTTGGGTTGTAATTGTCGTCGAAGAGAAGTGATCTCGATGAACTCTTCCAAGATTGCTACCAAATTTCAGTAAACAGTAGATAATATGGAGGGCTTGGTTTTCCCTGTACCCTCTCGCTCAATCCCCACGTGGTGACACCAACGCATTTTATGCGCCTACAACAGCCGCATAATCGGCCAGTGGGGCACCACCAATATCCAGCTAGTAATGGCAATCTCGGAGACACAAGCGGTAGCGAGTAATCGCAACGCTCCTTCAACGTTGCTCGACATGTTTGCAGGCAGGTGGGACTGAGAGCCTGTGTCAGACGTCAGTACGCAGTTCAGCCCCTCTTCGTTCCACGTCGGCATCCCGATACCATCAGTAGGAATTCCCTGCCCAATCCACCAGTTGACCTTTTGACTAACGCAGAAACTTTCTCTCATTCTTTGTTGTCCAAGTTGTAGTCATCGATGTAGAGCTTGGCGGTTGGGTCCGCAACCCGAGCCGCGCGAAAGGCAACACCGACATACGATTCGCCCATAACATTAAAGAACGTGTTATTCCGGAGAGTGCCGTTATCGTTGAAGATCTCATTAACAACTTCCTGCCACATCATGTTTGGTTAATACCCTAGCTGTATGGCTGTCTTCACAGGAAACCTTACCCAAGCCTTGATTTTGCCTCTGTACCTCCCAACCGATGTTGAAGAACCACAGCACTAAAAGAACAGCCAAAGTAGCTTTCATGATTGAAGAGTGACTAGAAAATGTAGACGCAATGGAATAAATAGAAGAATGGCCTGAGTGTCAAGTCAGTGTTTGTCTCTGGAAGATTCAGAAACTCGTCAAGCGCTAATTACCGAGTATTTATTGAGCTGTAAATAAGGGGGCTACTACGTACCAAACCCTCGTCCTGGGTACAAAGTAAAAGAAACAAGAAATTGTGCAACTCAGATATATTGCTTTTGATTCCCGCCATGCTCAGGTGAAGACTTGATTTAACCGATGGCACTTGTATCACAGTGAGTTTTCATGGGGTCAGACCAGCTGTCACTGTGATGCATCAGCCATCCGCATACTTCTTCTGCAAGATCGATGTCCAGTTATGATGGAGAAGGCTGGAGTTCTGCGGTTTGACTGATTTATCCCCTGCATTGTTCACATGGTCTCAGTTATGACAACTTCGCAATCAATAGCAAGGGTTGTTAAAAGCAGCACCAGCAGGATACTGCACTATAACCTGTCGTAAACTGGCGCTTTTGGCTCACTGGCATATCCTAAACTACTAGGAGCTGTTTTCTTTTTGGGGAAGTGATTATCGACCCTGCCCTTTACGACATCAAGTAACCGCCCCAGCCAACCTAGTTCCAGGTAATTATGCACAAAGAGTCTATAGGGAGAAAATGATGAACGCTTGAGATCCAATAATCAAACTTATCCCGCATTTAATAATTATCAGTATACAAGTGCAGTGGACAAACAGGAGGGTCATACAAGGTTAGATAATGTTCGGGACCGCCGCAAGATATCAACTAGTAATCCCTGGACAACCACGCCGATTCTATCTCATCCACATGTGCTGGCGCATGGCCGCGGTTTCCATGATCAACTTATTCATGGTCCACAAGAATGGTGCTGTGTTTCTATTTATAAACTTTGCTTTATTGTGTTGGTTTTTATACATAACACTTATGCTTCGCTTTTCCGACTGTGTTACTTCGTATCATTGTCTATTACCTGTGAGACCCTGAGAAGAACCGCCTTGTATTTGCACCTTTATCAACACTTTACCAGTGTAGATCTCCCAAGAATCCTCGCAGTGATTTATTCTACGTCCGCATACCTCTCAATACAAGCCCTGGCGTAAAGAATGAAGGAAGTTTTCGTATCACTTATATGCCTCATCGGGGGTATATGTGTATTAAGTTTACGTACATTATAAATATGTTTATGCTTCGAGTCTAGTCGATAAATGCCTGAAATTCACCAACCATAATTCGCTTCTAATTGGAACATATTCATTACTCGTCTCTCATCCCTAAATCTCCATAAAAACAACCTATCATGGCTAAGGTGACTTGGCGTCTTTGAGAATGCCGGAGGTGATATAATGTCTCGAAACTCTTTCGCTGCCTTGAACGCTGATATTTGTGTCAGACACTTGCTGAGTTTGTTTCATGTCGTTGGCCTCTTGCTTGCTGCGTGACTGTATCCTTGAATCGGAGTATCTACCCCAACCACGTGTAAGAGCACCCAGCAAAGGGCGGAGGGCCGGTAGTGCAATGACAATGATCTGTGTGGCAATTTCTCCCGAACCAACAAGATCTGCAACGTATTAGTTCGTGTTGATGAGTAGAAGTGTACCCAGGGGAAGGTTTTACAGGTCTCTAAGCTCCAAATAGATCTCACAGTCAAGTAAAACCGTACGGCGCTGATTATAAGCGTGAATATGCCTAGGAGGAATATGCAGAATAATGCTCTCCTATCCTTCGTTCGCAAAGCTTTTAACTTGAGTATTCCGAACGGTAGCGCAAAGACTAATATTATTTTCTTGTTAGTAATGCCCAGGTTTGATAGTTCCGAACACTTACCAAGTAATTCTGAGGCAATACCAATTGACCAGTTGATGTACATGGGCTCCACACAATTTGCCAATGTGCATTTTGTGTCGCTGTCCGCCCTAGAGAAGAATCAGCAAAAGTCCAGACATGGTGGAAGCATACAAAGCGACCGACCAATTTACCGATAGATCAGCGCCACACCAGAATAGATCCACAAATCCGGTTGTAAAGAATGCACAAACGGCATACGCTGTAACCATATGGAGGTACAGCCGTAGCCTTTTCTCGGCTGTTGGGAAGAGCTCATAGTAGAAAGCAAGCAGACTAAATCTTGGAAAATAAAAGCCCAGATCGAAGATGACTGAACTGGAGAATTTCCACTGTGTAATGTATCAGCGTACGCTCCAAGTTGTGGATACAGCAGGGGCTTGTATACAATCGCAAAGCCCTCATCGAAATACTCGTCCACAAAGGCGTCTCTACCTATAGACATTGTATAGGTATCTCCTACAACCAGTGTAAGGAAGAACAAGAGAGAAACCACGAGAAAAATTTCGGATAGCCAGAAGGACCATATTCGATGCCATGTGCGTACCGCAAGCCGGGCGATGGTGATGGCGAAGCAAAGAGCGACAAAAATCCACTCGCCAATCTATGTGTAGTGTTAGTAACCGCTGTTATATGAATAAGTGTAGATAAACACACCAGGAATTCCCTTTTTTCGAGGCCCATTCTGGCTAATGGCGAGGTGTGCTAGCTCTCGTCAAGACTCTTCAACACTGGCTGCCACAAACTTGGGGTCGTTGATTGTTCAAAACTGAATGGAATAATACTCGTCTACGTTAGAGACCCGGTTTTAGCTCATTGAAAACCAAAGGCCTCAAGACCGATTCCCAAATCGAATGAAATTTCCACCAAAAAGTAAGAAAGATGAAAACTGGACGGTGGGCATGGTGGTAGGTGGTAAGATGAGGAATCACTTTCAAGTGGGACGCAGATTCTTGCTACTGGGTTACGGATGGATTCCTCCTTGACGACTAGCGGCATTTTCAAGATACAATGTTCATAAAACAGTCACCTTCTGTTCTTTGTTGAAGGTTACGGTGAGCGGCCAAGACATTTACGCGTTTGTAAACATAACACGATCAAGTTTAGACCACCAACAGCTCACAGGCGCCTTGCCGTTCTCAAGAGAAAGCTATCCATGGGTACGGAAATCGCTGGTTGCGGGCACATAAGTCAAGCATGCGATGTATGCGGCCTAGTCGCTCTAGCTTCAGTCGCAGTCTAAGCCACCACTCACAACTGATTTGGATTTCAGAGCAACACATTGGGGCCCCACATTGTATGTTCTGTGAGCTATTACGGAGTTCACCTCCTGAAATTTGTCATTGCTCTTTGTTATTCATTGCCACCACGTAATAGGCTAGTACTTGTGGTTCACATGTACCCCGAATTCCGGACTGAAACACAACAGGTACAAGGATACGTTCAATTAGAACTTGGGCCGGGGAAAGGAGTTTTCGCGGGGGGAGGGTCCAGACGAGGTTCAGCTGGGGGTCTTGAAGCCCAAACTGGGGGATGCGCCTCATGTCTAGAACATTGGCATGTTGATGACCTAGTAGAAGCCGCAAGAATTCTTCCGCCTCGCAAATCCGTTGCTGTATAACGCTCGTTGCTAAAATTCCCTTTGTGACGCTTAGCGAAGTGAACAAAAATCGTCCCGTATCTAATTTCTTCTTTCTTTTTAATTCAATACTTACCAAAACCGTGCTGCTGTCGTCTGTCTTCCGATGCCGAACTATAGATAGGAATGTCGGTTACTTCAAACGCTAAAAGTCAACTATCCGCCGTCCCAGCGGTCAGCTACTTCCCTTGGATTGTTTCTTTGCAATTTGCAACAAGCGTAATGCATCAAACCGTTTGTCGCCTTTCTCGGAGACGAGCATTGTTATCCTAAACACCCTTTGCGGAAGGGTTTACTTGAGCGGTGAAATACCTCTGTTACCTCGTTGATCTCTTCTCGCCATTGAGTTTAGATTTCATTCATCGTGGACAACACGCGCCACTCCTGCAAACAATTCCGTTACTTCAACAGCAGTAAAGAGCCGTAACTACACACTATCGCTCGAAGCACATACTGCTGAGTCTGATCTTAACAGTATTACAGGTAGCATACTGTCTTCAGTTGGTACAAGGTTGAACATATCTTCAAACAGGTTTATTGACCAAAAGATCAAGGCGCATGCGGTGGACGGTAAGATTTACCAAAACAACTGGATCTTTCATCGATCGAATTATAGTGATTGACGACGAAGCTAGTACGCTTCCTGCTTCTCGCAGTCTAAAAGGTTTCGTGCTGGAATCGGCCAAACAATAAGCTCTCGGTGTGGACGACCATGGTATCATGCCGTGGCACCATGTTCTTCTAACCTTTATGCGAATATACGAACCGCTTTAGTTGCTCAATTTGGTCAACAATCTCGCGATATCGTCGCCCTCCCCTCCTCTCCCCTCCACAGAGATAAAAATTACCGACAAACTTCGGGGCTGATCTCGAGTTTTTTTATCTAATGCGACGTCAGCTACCACAGAGGTGCGTAAGCTTGGCCGTGACACCCCCCCCTATATTACGTACAATCTATCTTTTGTCGGATCTACCTAGACTGGGTAGCATTCAAGCTCATTAACTTGTGATATATCGCTCTACGCTGTGAATACCTGAAAGCAAGGCCTCTGTATACACTGTTTCTCGGGTCAACGCAACAGGGGTAGCCTAGAACGAAAAACGAAGAGACCTGACGCAGCTCATTTGGGACTAGATGCACAACTTTCTTTTAGAGTTTCGCAGATCTCGGCCAGGCACTGCAATAAGGATGGTTGAATCACCTAGCGAGGGTCGAGACGCGTAATACGCATCAATAAACCCGAGCCTAAGCCGCGAGGGAAAAAAGTAAAGATCACGCGAGGGATTCGTACTAATTTCCCTCCACTTCCACCTGGGATTGCGTTATGATTAATATATACAGATTGGGCAGAAAAAGTATGTGCGAAGAAATTTAATCACCCCACCCGCGTATTGCGCGGGAAGAGAGAGAAAGAAAAGAACCCGCTTTGGTGCACTTCCTACATGTAGGCAGCATCATAGTATCCCGCCTTGGTGTAGCTGCCCCCCAGGATGCTCGAAATGGAAACAGCCGAGCCGAGCTTCTTGGAGAAGCTGGCGCGAGTGCCCTGCGACCCAGTACCGGTGTTCTGGTATTCGCCAAAGAGAACGTTGCTGGTGCGGTCGTCGCCGGCGTTCCACGTCATCCAGCCGGCGGAGTTGATGGCGTTCGACATTGTCGTCTTCTGGAACACGACCTGAGCAAACTGCCTCCAAGGGCGCCCGAGGAAGTAGGCTCCGGCGGGAACGGTGTTACCAGCGGCGGCAGCGATGGTGCAGCTGTTGAAAACGTAGTAGGAGCTGTCGGATGCACTCTGGCGACCGTTGGCTATTGCCAGTATCAGTTTCGGTCAAGCGATCGGTGACTAGGATCGTGGAGATGGGTCTTACCGGTGATGTAGCCAACGGGGGCGGAAACGAGGCGGAGGTCGCACTGCTCGAACCAGCTCATAGCCTGTTGGCCGAAAATAAAGTCGGTAGCGCCTTGAATTAGGCATTTCGAGTACAGCTGGTCGCCCGACTGGCTGAGGACGGTGTCCTGAAACCCAGCGAACTGACAGCCGTAGTATCCGCTGTCGGCGTACGCACTTAGGGCCACGGCTTGGCTGCCCTGGCCGTAAGCGTTGGCGACGTTTACGTTGTAGAGCTTGAAGTTGTTGGCCTTGACGCGGAGAGTCGCGGTTCGATCGTTGTTGAGGCCGTCGGCCTGGCTCTTGCTGGCGGTGATGGTCACCTTGTTGCCGGCGTAGCTGCTTGTCTCCGCCGTATAGCCGTAGATGGTCAGCTGGGCGGTCCGCGCGGGGACCAGGACTTGTTCGTTATAGGTCCCTTGGTCGATGAAAATGCATTGCGTGCCAGAGGCCGAGGTAGAAAGGGCGTCGACGGCCTGCTGGACCGTGCCGTACTGGCCGCTGCTAGGCGACTTTGTGACAGTTAAGCATCCATTGGGCGCAGATGTGCGGCTTGCCGCCAGCGCTACTGTGGCATAGGCTAGAGGGGCGAGGAAAGACTTCATCTTGGCGGCACCGCTAGGTTGACATAACTTGGATCTCAATCTTGTGTACTCCGTACTTCACATGAGAAGCCCACATCATATGGATTAGGCGTCAGGAGGTTGAGTCTCGTCCGAGCCTTTTCCCACGCGATCGTTTTACCCCGGACTCCCAACGCGGCCCAGTCATGATTGGTGGAGATGGATGCCGGCAGAGCGGAGGCACATTGTAGATTAACCCCGATTAAAGAACCAATCCTGAGCTCGCAAACTTGAACTTGCAAGGGGCACCAGCTGGGATCCTGGTCAACATGGCAATTCGAGTGCGCCAGAAGTTTACACTACAGTGCTGGAAGCAAGATTTCCCGATCAGCCACATCCTGTTGGCAGATCAAATGCCACTACACGCTGTGCGAACGCTAACTGCAGAGGCTAGGTGTATTCTGTAGTCAGTTAATTAATCACAGAGCAGTGTTTCTTGGTGCTGTTTCTTGTACATCGTATCTACACCCTCATATTGAATAAAAGAGATAGGGGATTGGCGAGTCAGGCAGGAGAAGCGACCCAAAAACATCCTTCTCATTTCGAAGACTTGTGGGTGTGTGGGTCACAGGGTCGTATGGACAGAGGTTGCCGAAACATCTACGGAGTAGTCAACTGGGGCAATTAATGAACTTTAGGCCAAGAAAACCTGCCACCTGCTATACATAGTACGTAGTAGGCGGGTGTTGGCTACCCATCCAGGCCCTAGCAGATTTATACAGCACGTCGCATCCGCCCTGTTGTGTGGTCAACTCGCTCGCGACCCTAGGTTGCCGCTTCTTCCGCCACTTGCGAGAGCAGGAGCGCAACCATATGAAGCTCCCGACTGAAGAACTTGGGAATAACTGTGATGTATGGACTTGCTCTATCTTCTTTAGCAGTTTCTCATAGTTTTTGTCACGAGGTGATATAAGGCGTTGCCTGCTGCCCGCGATTAACGGGTCACAGTCTTGTGGTCTAACTACATTTCAGTGGTTGAAAAATGCCTGGGCACTGAACCTAGCATGGCACAGCCAGCATAATTCGTACTTCCATACCGTAATACATATAGGGTTCACTATCCGTACATTTTTATGTGAAACAGCAGTTGATCGCCATTCCAAACAGTAAACATGATCAAACCTGCATTTGTGGATTCTTTCGAACACCTTACGAATTTTCAAAAGGGGGGTAAAGAAAAACGAGAAGAAAATTGCGATCTACTTGCATCTCCTCCTTGGAAGGCTATACCATGTAGCGTTTGGTTTATCAATAGGTCGATGCAGGCCAGGGGCTGCGGGTGTTCCGATCGTCAGATCCATGCTTTCAGACCATCAACAGCGTGGATGATGCTGACATCCGCAGAACAGGGTTTCGCTGGTGGACTGAATGTGTGTTTTATGTCTTCTCATATACGAAATGCATTACTTTGATACTGAACTCAAAAGCTAAGTGGGCATTATGATGTTCATTTCGATCCCGAGTTCTCGCATCTTGTCAGAGGCCTGACTGGGGCCTGGCAGGGGATCACCGGTGGAGCCCTATTAGTCATCCAGATGAGGGATAAAACCCCTATATGGGCCCACGATAGTTAGAGTGGCCAGATTCGAATGTGAACAACAACAACAACCCACCTTTGACTATCAGCTAAGTGACCCCTATCGCCGACTTCATCACTCGGATCCAGACACCTCTGACACATCTCCTATCGCCATTCGTCTTTCGAGTCCGCGTTTGTACGGCCTCTTCCCATCGTAGATTGCAAGCGGTCCCAACAGCCTTGATTTTCATGGAACGAGATGAAGCGCGCTTTGGACACTTGCTTGGCCTTCTTGGGTTAACAATGAGTCAAAAAGAGGCATGACGGGGTCGAAAGGGTGAGGCGGTGCCTCATCTAGTCCATCATCGCTCTTGGGTAGAATCTGAGTTGACTCGAGAGCCAGGCTCGTTCATATATAAAGCATCCTTAGTGCGATAGCTCACGATACAATCAGGAAATGGAAAAAGTAGTCCTTTAGTTATGGAATCGGAGGTTTGTTCTCCTTATATTTTCGTTACCCCCGAATCTACTCGTGATAGATATGACGACCTTGCCTTTACAATTCCATGTCCCGCTATGCACCAACCTCCAAAGAAAACACGAACTAAAACGTTAAATACAAACACAAATACAAGATCGACTTCTGAATATTTTGCGGCTGGACTTGGGTTGCTGAAAGAAACCCCCAGTGTGGCGCTATTCAGCTAGTCTTTTCGAAGTGATATCAGCTCGGGTGGGAAGGGTGACATTCATAGGCACCTCAGAAGTGCGCATCACCCGAAGACTTCTCAAAACATCGTTCGAGATGCAAGAACTATGTGGCTGCGCTTTGCTCTGCTACCGGAATTCGATGGTTGCGGTGGGCGCTTAGAAAGGCCGTCACGGTGATCAATGGGCTCATTGGGTCGCTATTCCTGATCAAAATCGCTCGCATCGTCATGCCCAATTTTCCGGACTGATACCGATGTTGCCCACGCTCCACCTGTCGAGGTCCATATGACCATCTTCGTCCCGCTCCTTCTCGTTAATCGGCCTCGCAAACTCGGTCAGAAATCTGAGCATCCAACGGTCCATACGGTAGCTGGTGCTCATGCTTTTGCGGCACAATTCGTGGAAAGTCTTTAAGCGGGCGAAGCAGACTTCGAGCGCGGGCCAGTATACGCGTAAGGCAACAAGCGCGTTAAAATGGCGCTCCAGGGTTGCGCGGGCGTTAGCAATCTCGGCCTCATCTGTTTCGAAAAGTAGGGTATGAATGAATATGGAAGAAGTAATGACGATGATGTGTCCAAGCATATTGAACTTGGCGTCACAGCCGGGTGTGGTGTTGGCAACGTCGATGATGCGTGACATGGAGATGGCGTTTTCTTTGCACTTTCGGGCGAACATTTGGGCGGTAGGTGATGTAGGAAAACGTTGGACTTCATCGAGATATTGGTAGTAGAGCAGCTGGCTATAGTGGTAGTGACCAGTGTGCACAGCAATGAAGATACGGCCCAGCCCTTGGGTGGCGAAAGAGTGGAGGTTGCCCGGGGTGTCGCGGAGGCTCGGGGGTAGTTCAACTTCCCAGGCCTCTAGCTCCTGGGACAGCTGGGATACAGTCTCGTCAATGTTGGTCACGTCAACATCGGAGGTGAGGCTCTTGATGGCGTCATTGACTCTCATCAAGATGCTGTTCAGCTTAATCATTTGAGCGATGAGCGAATCTTCCCGGTTAGGGGAGAGTATGAAATCAAAGTGATTGTTGTTTGCGCGGGTCATGTTGAGGAACGTTGATTCGTTCATGGGTAACGGGACGTCCATCCGACGGTTCATTAGAAGGGGAAGGTTGACACCGGTGGATGACCAAACGTCGATCATGCAGAGCGACCAATATACTATACTTGTCAGTCGCGGTCTGTGGGCAGTTACATGGGATTATTTTACCTCTGATGTGAATCTCCCGTTGAAGCGGATCAGGAGTGGGCATGTTGGGCAGGTCAAGATAGTTGGCTGTCCTGCAGGCCGCTGAGTAGAAGACGGTCTCGGCGCCTGCCTCGCCTTCTACGATGGAGTATGCACCGAGGAGGACGCACGCTTGGATACTGGTGAGAGACACATCGCGCAAATTGAGCAACAGGTTCCCCTCGTTGGCGAAGAGCTCTCCTCTGGAGATGGGGGGGATACCATTAAATATGGGATTGGAGGAGAATCTTGAGTGTGTTAGTCAAGATCAGGGGCGTTTAAGTGCAATCACTGACCTCGCTGATAACGCCATCATGCCATACACCAGCACCAGCGGCGCGGTTCCTTCGTGGAGATCGAGCATAAAGCTGGGCCTGTGAAAGAGAGAGTGGAGCTGATCGTGGATATAGCTGAAATACAACTCCACAAGCTCGAAGCAGAGCGCCTTATCGGCGACGGCTGCCGAGGGCGTAATTCCGGGCGGGCTGACGAGCATAATTTCGGTGACGGTCGGGGTCTCGGGGGTCGTCACGGAGATTGGGCTGGTAGGCGCAGCCTTGGGCTGGATGATGGAACCTGCCCGCGAGCAGGCAATGTTTTGGGCCGCGCAGTACGTGCACTGGCCGCCGCCGACAGGCACCTCGCACTTTCGCCGTCGCGCTCTGTAATGTTGTCGCCAGTGAGCGATGGCTTCATAGCCCAAAGACTCCCAAGTTGGCTCAGGCCAGGGGGGGGCACTGGGGTTCAAAGGGAACGAACATATCGGTGGATCGACTTACCGACACGCCGAGCAGGCTGTTGAGTATCTCATTGCTGAGTGCTGCTGTTTCTTGTACGAGACTGGAGAGCAGTAAGGTAAAGTTGCTGTACCATGGTCGGTATTTGACCTCTGTCGCTCCGAGTCTATGCTTGTCTCGTTTGACGAGGACAAGGACGAGGACGAGGACGAGGACGGAATGCTGTGCGCGAGTGAAGAGGTGCCTGTCAATGTTTTGTTTTTTCCCCTTCTCGGGCTGAGGCGATTGACCAAATCGAAAACAGGGAAGCTACCTGTCACCTGCTTCTTTCCCTTTCCCAGGTGCCTCCGTCCGTCCCTTCTCCCTTCCACGCCTACGCCTTCGCCTGCACCTGCCCGGACGCCAGACACAGACAGATGTCTGCCTGCAGCGACTGGTCGGGACTGACGCTCCCCCTTCCAGGACCCCTTAGTGGCTCGCTTAGAATGGATGTACCGCATACATGGGCCTTCTCCGCATGCCCGGGCCATTTCGCGGATAGCCCCTCTTAGCGGGTTTGCGGAGCGACGAGCCGATGGGTTTCTTGGCCCTTTTTGTCAACCTTCCCAAGCTTCGTCTATCTTCTTCCTCATTGTCGTCTCTGAGGTCCAGCAGAAAGGGGGCTCCTAGCTTGATGCAACGCCCTTCATGCCTCCCATTTCGCACTTGCATGCTTGTTCGGATCGAGTGCCCGTGGCCTGTGCTGGTTCATGTTTAATGGAACCTGTATTGGGGAGTGTGACGCCACCAGTATTCGGATGTCATTCCTGTCCAATCAAGCCCGCTGTAACCTCAACTCACTCAGAACGATGGTCGAAAATGAGGGGTTTCTCCATTTTGATCTCCTCCGGGACTTGGGGGTTGCGCCGCGCGACTGAGAACCCCTTGTCCGTCTGCAACGTTGGCTGATCGTTCCTGTCTTCCAGTGGTCTGTCGAAGGCCCGCTGCATATATCGTTCGGGAGGGGCGCCAGGCTGCGACTGAACAGGCCATCCAAATCAGGTGGGCTGCTTTGATAGTTGCGGTTTTTTGTAATGAAACAGTGGATAGTTTGCCTCCGTCGTTTCCGAAGGGCCGAGTTCCTTTACCCCAGACGGGAGCTCCCGCAATCTCCCAGTCTAGAGACCCTACTTCGCCACCCGGAGACATCCAGAAGTGGCGACTCTGTGAAGCTCGCTAATACAACCTTTAGTTCGTGTTAATAGTCATGGTGTAACACAGCTCAGCTGAAGTAATGGTCCTCGCCTGTTTTCTCAGTGCCGCATAACCAGCCTCCCCCCACAAACTTTCGTGCGCTGACTACACCTTCTCCTTCCTCGTCGGTTTTCGATGGCGAAACTGATATATATTCCGAGCCTTTGAAGACAAGTCAGATACGTCGATCACCTACTTCCAAAAGGCAGCTTCGAGCGTAAGACAAATAGACTCGCCTCGAAAGCTTTCTCTGAATAGTTGTTGACGCACCAGTCGTGCGGTGCATGCTCTCCATTGCAACAAGCACCCAACAGTGGGACGTCGCAACATAGGCTGGAAAATGGAACCTGGGTCTGTGTTCGTGTTAAAGGTTAACCGCTGAAGCCTCTTGCTTCGTTTATGTCCGCAGACAAAGCCTTCATCCTAAGACGATGCAACGGTCCAATAATAAGCCAATTCGATTCTAAGCCAGCAAAATGACTGAAAACAATCGTCTGCCCACGTGATGGCGTTTGCCTCTCCCATTCCTCGCATTTCACCAATTTGGTCCTCTTCAAAGATCTGGATACCCTTGAAACCACATAGGCCACTTCATGGCTATGGTGTGGCCGTTGAGGTTGGCTTTGTAATTACCTGTGTAGAAAGCTGCCAAAGCATCCTCCAGGGCGATGCCTTGTCAGGCTGCTTCAACGGTAATGGCTTGAAGAGAGTTGTTTCTTCAATCTCCTAGAGTTCATGATGCCCAAGCAACCAGGACATATTCGCAACGGGATTGACTCCCCGGTCCGTCCAAGAGGATGATGAAGTCGCCTGTTGAATAGGGCTGCGCAACAAGATGAGGCCGAATCGAAGTAGCGAAAAACTCGGAATGGTTGGCGGAACAAAGATCAGAGTGTTCCGAAGACGCCAGCTGACGACGTACTTCAGGTTCAAGGTGTGAAAAAAAAATGAAGAAAGAAGAAACTTGCTTTGATTTATCCGAAGGAGGAAAAAAAGACCCACGAAGCTGTGTTATGCGAAGCGGCGCAATCCCGAATTCCGCCATTGTTCCGCTGGCGAGCGGACCACGTCCGCCAGTCTCGTCCAGGTAAACCCGCTAGTGGCGGGATACCACTCCACGAACCGGCGTGGAGAATGATGGGGAGGTTGCGGGAATGATTTAAAGTATCATAAATTCACACCTGATTATATATACGCAGTGGTAAAAAATGCGTCTTGGATTTATTTTCTACTCGCTGGCCTTAATGGGTCTTAAGTGTCACAACTGGTCGATGACATGGCAAACAGAATTCGCTAGCGCAGTGGATGGGCAGAGTCTATGGGTCCTCTATAGACCAATCTTGCACGTCGGTCCAGATCAAAATCCCTAGATGATCGACGCATACCATAGCGAGAAATAATACAGATTAAGCGTAGCCCGTCTTTGACCTCCTACAGTGCTTGATCTGGGTGATGTAGTTAGTGTCGAGTCATCCCGAAGTGCCCGCAACTGCACTGCAGACTAATGATGCTTCTTACCCCCCATTTTCTGTTTGATAAATCATAACTAGCCCTGCTCCTGATAACCATCTTGAGATACTTGAAGGATAATTGACAGAGGTATTCCCTTATTTATTACAGAGGAGGAGTAGGAATGTTTAAATTGATGTTTCCTAATAAGTAACTGGCTACAGCTACGGTACGTAACCGATATCTCACGCGATTGATGAGGAAGCGCTGTTACAACTTGGCAAAAGAAAGTCAACATTAGCCGACACAGTCTTCACAACTGGACCAATAGATATAGCTTGATCTGGAGTAGACGGGAGTGATATGCACATCATGCAACGATTACTCCAGTCAGCAACGTAACCTTGCCCTATAAGGTACCACCAACGGTTGTTACAAGCAACGGAAGCTGGGGTTTGCCTGTAGCCATTATGGACTCTCCTCCGAAGTCCGAGACACAGGTACCTATTCGCAGGAAGCATCTCCACACCGAGATGACGAACACACACCCTCACAAATCAAATAAACTTCAAGGATGTACGAGTATTTCCCCGGAGGTGGTGTGAATTCATGTCCTAGATTCTTGCCCAGGAGGCCCTTATTCTCTTGGCCTACGGACTCATTCCTACAAAAATGGTTCATACCCTGCTCGGGTGGGCAATCTTCAACCTCTGGTTATTTCCGAGATTCCACATGCACGCGCGTACTCATCGGCATTAAATCGCAATCTGGATAAGAGATAAGGTTTATACCTTCAGGGGTCATTTCCCCTAACCAGATTCCAGGCGTCACAGCTTATACTCAATTCCTGAGTGATTATTCATTTGCTCGGACACCCATTATTGAAGGATTTGTATGCCATGCAAGGCGATTGAATAGTTATCCGTAACTAGGTATTTGTTGTCTTTCTGGTCACCCATCGGTGATAATCGCAACTCTCAATGAGATATATATGTTTTCAGGTAATAAAACTTCTTTCACCTCGATCGATATATATTACTGACTGACACCGAGGTATAGGTGAAGCGGCTGGTTAACATATAGTAGGCGAGGAATTGATGCTGCACGGGCCGCTGGCATGGTCAAAGAGAACTGGCTTATCTTTGCTTTTCCGCAAGACACTCGGTACATATGAGTAGCGTCGGCCATGTCAGATCGGGGCTTTCGTGTTTCGATCACGGTAGTTGATAGTTATAAGTTTTGGGGAACAAGGTTATAATAGTGAATCCAAGCGGGGCCAAAAAGAGTAAGCCTTGAATTTTATGTTACCCTACACAAAGTCTAGACCGTAGGATGAATTAGGAGTAATCAGCCACGCCATTGAACCCACTGCCCAGAGTTTGAGTGGTATGAGGTCCAGTGCAAATTTAGCATTTGCGACCCTATGGCTTGGCACTGGGATGTTTTCGAGGCCAAGCTCCAAGTCAAACGACACCGAGATATATACTCCACTAGACACCAGGCCCTGCTGCACTGTCCATCTCATTACGAGGAGGTATGTTCGATTAGATCACTCCCAGCCCTATGATCTGAAACGGTCAAGAGAAGCAGTGGGCAGAAATTTTGCAGCGAGTAAGTCTGTGTTTCCGCCAGAGACAACCACCAATTCCCCCGCCCCCAAGAGAAAAAGCTTACATGTGAATTTATCGGAACCATGAGCAGAAACCTTATACCGTCGGTTGACACCAACTCCAGTGAGCCGATGTTTCTTTCTTACCATACTACCGGAGATCGTAGATTCTCGAAGATATTTGCCGATGATCATTCACCAGCCCTAGACATCGTCTCAACGGCTTGCGCTTTGGGCCAGTGTAAGTGCGTTGGGACGGTAGGAAAGGTAAAATGTACTGCAGAGCCGAAACAAACACTCGTCGGCCGAGTGCCTCTATCAGTCATCCCCGTCGACATATTTCAAGTCCGGTGATTGATGGCAGCTTTCCGTTTCATGGAGGAATATAGTCAAATTTGACGGAGGCATTTAGACGTCTAGGAGCCGGTTAATCTATTGCTGTCTCGAAGCTGGTGAATCAGAAAACCTACACACGATTTGTGCTCGCAAATCGTATACTGTGGGTGGATTAGTCATTGGGAATTCAGTCTTAATGTTCGGCACGGACTTCTTTTCCGAAAATTTTGCTTCTTGACTCAAGATAGGCAAAGTTGGCTCGTTACCGGGCAGCCGGAATACTTTGCCAGTTGCCGGCATGGCTTAAAGTTTATCGCCTCTACTAACTCTGAGTTTGTCTGGGGTGCCTTTGAGCTACCGTTACAGATGAGTGAAATAAAGAAGTTGCTTGAATCATCATACTTAACCAGCTATTGATAACGCTCCACGTCCTCATTCTTCTCAAGACGAATTCTACATCCAAGGGACCATGGTTTCATGTTGATTTGGCAATATTACAGCGGTATATACCGAGCCATGGATTCGGAATCGGCCTCTTCCTCCCAGATGGGGGCGAGCAACAGGAGATTGAGGAACTCCTGTGACTGCTGCACCCAGCTCAAGTTGAAATGCGACCAGAAGAAGCCTTCATGCAACCGCTGTATACAGCGCAGACGAGAATGTGTGTACAGTCAGGTTCGAAAGGCTGGGAGGCCTCCCAAAGTACAAAAGAATCTCCGCCGTTCAAGCATGGACATCTTACCACACCAACGGAGAAAGGACGCCTTGTTCGGAGCACCCAGTCCACACGAGCCAGCATTTGGCAGCACCTCCCCACCGATGAATATGATGGTATATGCATCCCCCGAAAGCCGAACATCCTCGCCTTCGGCTATCGATGCAATGGAAGAAGAGATTATGGGGTGCTGCGATTATTGGACATGGAATTGGAACTCTTTCTGGAATTTCCCATCATATCAGGACGGTAGCTGGCTGCTCATATACGAGATGCATGCCGTGGATCCTCGCATTAAGATTCCTTCAGACACCGAAAAGCCACACCCGAGACCTGTTTCTGACCTTGATCTACAACACGCCACGGTGAACCAAGAAACCCCAGGTCAGCTCGGGCACTTACGTGCTCAACATATCGACATGCCTACGGCGGAAAGGACTTCATAAATCAGCACCCTCGTACCCACAAAAAATGCGAAGATGCACAGTAATGGCCCTCCTGGATGTCGGAACCTGGCCACAGCCAATGTTTTTCTTTAATTTCTACCTACAAGAGTCAATACATCAACGCAACTAGCCACATGGCAATATGTCACTAGTTCCCTTCGCCCTGCTTTGCAGCTCGAAGAAGCATTCAGCCAGACCGAAGAAATAGTTAAAATATATTAACATTATTATTCGTGTTTAAGTTGTCTCATGTTATGCGCAACAGTCAATTGGAGGCGTCATCTAGCAGCACATTCTCCAGTGGGTCATCCCACTCGCGCGAACTCCTCGAGCGTACGTTGGAGATAGGCATTTATGTTATGGTGGAAGATTTGTCAATTCTATATGTGTATGAACTGCTTGAAAGCCGACTCTGGTGGGTTATGCAGACCATTGAGGGCATGGACGGCGTGGCGAAAGAGGAACCGGGCAAGGAACATGCATATGTGGGACCAGACTGCATGTCATAGGCAACGATAGGCACACATCGCTTCCAGCCCAACATTTGACACATTATTGAGCTCCTAGAGTTGTGGGTATCTTGATGTCTGTCAGATGCTAATGAACTAAAATTACTGTGCTGAGCATTGGGTATGACACCTGTGTTTTTCCTCCTGTTAATGAATTATTGAACTAAACGAGGCTATTCACACTCGCATCCCCCGTTACCTGGTCCGTCTCCAGCGGTTCCAACCAAATACTCAAATGAATAAAATGGCAGCTAATGGAATTGTTTCAAGTGGGGGGAAATAGCTCAGATCAAGAAGTCGACACCAGATCTTTACGCACCAGATAGAGCCATCTTTCACTGCCACCCCAGTCAGCTGTGATATATAGCTGAGATCAACATAGATATCATTTGTATCTTCTCTGTCATATAGACTAGGAACAATTTCTTTCGGCCCGCCCGCCTAGCCTCACGCAATATTCTACGCCGCTAAACTCCAAGTTTCATATTTTGCTACGGTAACGCCGGCCAGTAAAGCACCTTGACCCCTCAACTTCATGACTCCCTGACGATGTCGTGATCGTACTCCGGGTTTACCCAGTCGGGATCCCCGGCATTTTGCCTCATCGCGCCACCAAAGCGATGCAGCAGCCCCAGCGCGGGGATGCAGAAGAAGACTGTAATGATGCCATGCCCCGCGAACGTCCACGTGTAGCCCACGTCCGTGACCCAGGGCGCGATGAAGAAGGGGTCGATAAAGGCGCTAAGGTTTAGCAGTACGGCGTAGAAGGTGATGACGGCCATGCTCTGAAGGGGATAGGCGTCGACGATGTACGAGCAAATCGCCGTGTTGCCCATCTGGATACCGGCACCGACTGTCAAATCCGGGATTAGAGCAGCCCGGGATATCTCTGGTTGGAGCGGGCTCGAGAGAGAGAACTTACAGAGCGCAAAAGCTACTTGTCCCACCATCCAGTGGTAGGCCTTGTCGATGCTGACGCCCCAGATCACGAGGCCGATGGCCGTCAGGACAGCCGCCGGGTACGCCAGCCACAGACGCATCTCGGCAGTCTTAACACCGCCGTTGCCCTTCGCGAGCTTGACGACGAGCCAGTCGCTGAGCTTTCCGGAGAAGAAGATTTCGGACACGAGCGTCCCCACAATCAGACCGATGAATAAGAGGCTACCGAAACCGTCAGTATCCCCGTGTCGTTACAGTGGCCAGAATCGACTTACCCCTGGCTCTGCGGCGAGTAGTCGATGTATGCCACCGGAATCATCGTGATGACCGACAGAACCCACCAGTACCATCCGAAGCAGTAGACGCCCGTCGCGATGGGTACCACGGGATACTTGAACAGCTTCCCGAACCGGACGATCGAGGCCCACGCCTTGGGGTGCTTCATCGCCGGCAGAGGCTTCACGTTCAGAAACGGCAGGTTCTTTGTCCTTGAAACTTCCACGGCCTCTGGCGTCGCCGGGCCCGCCGCGACGGCCTTCTCATCCACGGCCCCCGTGGTGAGGACGACGCCGCTCGTCCTAGAGAGCATGTAGTCTCGCGGGTACAGCGTCTCGGGCAGGAAAGCCATCTCGGCCGCCAGGATGACGGCGAACAGGATGGCCGTCAGCCACTGGATCCAGTAGTGGTCGACCAGGTCCACGAACCCGCCGATCAGGGGCCCCGCGAGCAGGCCCAAGTCGATGGCCAGGACCCACAGCCCGACCTTTTGCCCGCGCTCGTGCTCGAAGAACATGTCGTTGATGATAGCCAGCCCGACTGTGGCAGCGGGGCTCACGCCCAGGCCCTGGAAGAGGCGGGCGGCCATGTATCCGCCGTACGAAGGGGCCTTGGCGGCGCCGATCGTGGCGGCGAAGGCGACGACGGTGCCGGCGATAAAGATGGGGCGGCGGCCGATGATGTCGGCCAGGGAGGACCAGAGCAGAGGCCCGATGGCGAGGCCGAGAGCCGGAATGGCGACGGTCCAGTTCACCATCTCGAGGGTGAGGGAGTATTGCTCCTGGAGCTCGGGAAAGGAGGGCACTGTCGTCGTAGTGATGTAAGTGAACATGAAATATCTGCGTCGTTGACAGTGGTCAGTATCGGTTCTTGGCCAGTCATATTGCGTCCAAGCCAACGTACAATGCCATGACGATGGCCAGGATCGTCTGCTTCTGGAAAGAAGACCAATTGAGAGGGTCCATGGCGTCCCCGGGGACGGGCTGGGGGTGAACGCTGAAGCCATCCTTCGTAAGGGTGACCTCCTGTGTCGTTTTCCCAATGCCGTGCTCATGGGGAGTCGGCGGGGAGACCGTTGTCTCCTTTTCCTTAATCGAATCGGCCATCGTAGTCGAGGGCGCCCCTCTGCTATTTTTGTCGATGGCTATGTGGGTGAAGTCAGAAGCAAAAGAAACACAGGACAAGAAATAAGGGTATCACGAAAACCAGCAAATCCACCACAGCAGGAAAAATGTGCGCTCGACGAGCACCAAAGGAATGGGGAAGGGCTAGCATATAATAACTGGACAACATTGTTTCTTGTTTTGCTATCATCGGTAACCATCTACAATGCAGGGACTACCACACACCACTTGTAGCACGATGCATTGCGCTTGTCCTGCACGTCCAACCACGAGGCAAAGTCGCCGATACATGGGCAGATGGACACCATGAATACGCAGGACAAGCTTTTTGGTGGTATTCAGAGACATGCAATAGCGGCATCGATCGATGAAACACTTGTAACCCCCCAAGTGCTGTTAGGCTATGCCATTGAATAATCTCGTTCCCTCACCTCACTGGCTGCCTTTGGATCTGCCACGCGTGGTAGGTGGTCCCAGTCCATCAATGATAAGGAGTAGCAGGACGGGAGTGTGCCAGGGACCCGCCAAGAGATAAGAAAGACACAACGGCAGCCCATCAAACTCTTATCTCGTGCTTACTACCTTCGTTCGGAGGCCTCGCCACAACCCGGCATTACTGTTGGAGAGGACGGCTATTCTCAGTCCGTGTAGCCCTCTGATAAGACAACGGTTCCGGGATGCTGGAATTGTCTTTTTTTGACTCAATGCAGAAATGCCGTCGCACATCGTGCAGCTGGGTTTTGCGGGGAAGCTTCAAAAACACCGACTCCCATCTGATTGATGTTCCCCCCCCCCCCCCACTGATCTTGTAAATGGCTTCAATGCTGCCGCTTTCCCCCCTCTCCCTGATAACTCGACCTCGCGCAACGAAATATTGTACGTGGCGTGTCGCAAAATGACTCGACAAAGTTAGACATCACATTTCAAGGTGTTTTAGGGCTTATCTTGGCGCGGGGTGGGAGGTTCCGGTCCTGGCAGGTCCTCCTTCCCTCCCCGGACTTACGCCAGCCCAGAAGAAGTATCTGGCAAAAGTCACGTAAGAAGGGAAATCTTGCATTTCCTCCGGCCGGTCGCCCCTCCGCGATTGGTGAGCCGTGCTGCAAGATTGATCAGTACCGATGACTATAAAGGAGGGCATGCAACCTTTCCCTCCAAGTCTCATGCCGGGCGATAAGCGACATCATTTGCGAGCGAGCCAATCGCCGCTGCGGGACCGTCGGCCGGCATCAATGGACGGTGGGGGTGGCGCCGTGGGAGCCGGGAAAGTGGCTGCCGTGGCTCAGGCCGATATATCCTGTAGCTGATGCACTGCATGTTTGTGGCGCAAACGATCAGTGATCACGTGCAGATGCACTAGACTTTAGCTGCACCTGCCCAAATGATCTTGACAAGTCCATCTATCGGAAAGGGGAAAAAAAGATATGGGTGGCCAGGTACAATCGGTTCATCATGCGCTTTGCAGCGGATCTGTAGCTCGTTTGCCCCTAAGAAACAATCGAGTAAGGCTTCACCGTCCTGACTGCTTCTCTGAAAACACAAAATATCCACTTGCCCACGGGACAAATAACAGTGATCAGTTCACCGGACGAGCCTACATTGAACCTGAAGAGCCGCAATGTCAGATGCATACGTTTCCGCTAGCATTTCGAGTCTCTCTTCTTTACACGTTAAGCCCGACCTAGCGACAGGAGAAGATGCTTCAGGCAGGAGAGTGGCGTCAGACGGCTTCCTGCGCGGCAAACTACTTTTAACCTGCGTCGTCGATAAGACGCAAGTTGCCTCCTAGATGACTGTCATCGAGGTCATGCGTGCATCTATGTATCAGACGAAGAAAGAAAGCCACTCAACAGTCGCTACACGCACAGACATGAGTGGGTGCCGTGCACGCCTACTACGGTATACGTACAGAGAGCATGATCAGCCGACTGGGCTTGCCCCCTTTCATGATGCATCCCTGTTATAGCACACGCTACCTAGCAATAGGAGGGGGGTGCACGGGGACAGGGACCGGCCGCTCTCGGGAAGTGGGGTCCACTGCTGATCCGTCGACCAGCTGTTGGTAAACGTCCGGTGTTTGGGTTCACTCAGCTGATCAACAAAACATTGTTTACAAACTTGCGAGGGGAAGGCACGAGTCAGGTTCACATGAATCGACTGAGCAAAAGAGAATCGGCATAATCAGCAGGACCTTTTCGGGACCGCTCTTTCCATTGGTCTAGTATACTGACGGCTCAGCCGTGAGCAGCTGGGTAGATAACGAAGTCTTTATCCACCAAACCTGCATCCGTAATGTACAAAAACAAACCACCATGAAATATATACAGTTAAGAGTTCAAAGCAATCATGTCTTCATGTGCCTTGCGTTGACTTCGAGCTTCCTCACTGGGAATGGAGGCTCCGGGGTTCACTCAGACCTTGGCCCCCCAGGTTGACGTGCGTGACTTAAACGCGGCGGACAACGTCACGGGCATGCTGGCGACGGGCCAAACGGCGGCGGCGCTTCTCCTCACAGGTGGGCTTGGTGGCGCCACCGGTAGGAGCAGGCTGCTGGGCAGCGGCACTGGTGGCAGCAGGAGCACTGGCAACAGGAGCAGCAGTGGTGGTAGGAGCGGGGGATGAGCCAGAGCCGGAGCCGGAGCCGGAGCCGGAACCTCCGAAGGCAGCGGGCAGAGCGGGGCCGGGGATCTGGTACTTGGACAGGTTGTTGTAGACAGATACGAGGATACCGGCATCCTTGGGGGTGTAGAGGGCGGTGCCCTTGACACCAGCGGGTTCCTCAGAGCCGGAGCCAGTGACCTCGATGTTGAGGCACTGGGGGTAGTTCTGGGCACCGTCCTCCTGTCCAGCGGAGTGGAGGGCGATGATCTCGTGACGCCAGACGTACTTGCCGGGCTTCAAGGAGGTGGGAACGGTGACAGCCCACGAGTTGTTGTTGGCAATGAGCTCGTCGGTAGGCCACTTGCCACTGTTGAGACCGGCCTCCTGGATCTTGAAGAACTCGAGGGAGCTCTTGTCCACAGTGGAGCAGTCATCACCGCAGGGGGCGAGGTAGTCGATGATGGGACCGACGTGGGATTGGGGCCAGGTGTCCCAGAAGACGGTGAGCTTGTCACCAGCGGCAACCTTGGCGGTCAAGGCAGCGTTCTTGGCGCCGCGGTGGCAGATGATGTCGGCGTCGGTGTAGGCAGAGGGAGCGACGAAACCGTTGTCGGTGGCGGTTTCGGACCAGCCATAGACTTCGGGGGCAGGGTTCATGTAGGCCATCTTGGTGACGTCGTAGCCGGAGAACTCCTGGGAGCCGTCGGTGAAGGAAACGACGTGGCCGTGAGCCATGACGGAGACAGCGCCAGCGAGGGCGGAAAGGACAATGGAGTTCTTGAAGGAAGACATTTTTGCAGATAAACTTTCCAAAAGTTGGTGGTTGGTTTTTGTGATTGGGGTTGGGTTCTGGTCGCGAGATGAGGATATGACTTCAAGTCGTATAGTTGAACTTCAATCAATGAAGGAGTAAATTGGATCAAATGAAAGGAAGGTGCTGAAAAGCGGAAAAGAATGTGGTAAATGGAAAGCTGCGGAAAAGCCTGTGGGATGGAGAGGACAGAAGGGCAAGCAACGGTGAGGAGGAGGGAATCTTATATCTCGAGATGAACTACGGATTGAGCGAGGGGTCCGGTCGTTGTGTACCTGCGTTAGCCTAACGTACGTGGATGCAGAGCAATTTCGACGACACCATCAGACATGGCGCCAACGGCCGCCCACCCTACGATGATGCTAGGACTGCTGCGGCTCCATCCTGGTCCATCACGGAGGAAGGCAAGGGGCGGCCATGTCCACTATGCCCATGTGTCAATCATTGGCCAGACGGAAAGTGGGAATCCAGGCTTGCCAGATTGACCGGCCCGCCGAAAGGCACAGGGATGGGCACCAGATTCGACGAGTTCATGGTTGGACTTGTGGTTGGGAGGCTTCCGGCGAGACTCGACGTCGAAGCAGGAGGCGCCTCTCCTTGCATCAAGAAACAAGGGGGTGGAGCCGCCATGTGCCCCGCCTGTTGATTCGGGACCCCGAACCGAGAAGGAAAAAAAAACCGAGGGCGAAGAGAACCTATCGGGTTGGAACGGTGCCTATAGGCGGGGATCATGGCTGTGCCGAGCACTCAAGACGAGAACAAGTGGTTTCAGCATAAATGAAGGTGGTGGAGGTTGCATCCCGCGCAGTGCAATGTTGGGTGGGGGCTAAGCCGCCGAGCCTGGTAGCGCCGTCAGAAGCGCAAGAGCGGTAGCAGCCCGCTTGAGCGGTGCGAGTCGGGCGATCATGGTAGCATTTCCCATGAAGATCCGGTGCAGATCAGCCCAAGATTGGCCCTGGTGATTTACCGGACTTGATAACAGTAAACAGACGGAGTAATTCGGATAGAGACAATACACACTCGCGTCAAGGCAACCGAGCAACTCGGAGTACTGAAGCGACAGCCATGACAACAAGAATTAAACGGAGAGCCAAGCCTGCTTCAAACATAGGTGGCTGCGAGTTCGAAGGATAGCAGCGGAGCAAATGACGGAAAGGCAGCCCCGTCTGAGCGTACGTACGCATGTAGGGTGGAGGCCTTGAGCGCTTGTGCGCTCACATTTCCCTCTACGTAGTACGTATTCAAGTGCAGATGACGGATGCTTGGTACGTTCGGTTGGCCGCAGTGTCAAGCTCTATGTAGACGGGCTCGAACGGCGGCAACGCACACCGAGTTGGTTGGAAACCAGCAGATTGCGGTCTAAGATGAATGACAAGCCTCGCGCAGTCGAGGCCATCTCGAAATTGCGGCAACCAAAAATTGAGCCTTCGAGGGTTCGTGGCCCGCAGCGGTGACAGTGTCTAGACCTTCATACGCAGTTGTAAAGGAGCGGATCCCGGTCGTTTGATTACGCGATTTGGGCAAAGACCCGACCCGATTTGAGGCTTGATGACGTCTCGATACGGAGTCGTTTGGGTTCGTCTGTATACGGAAGACGGATTAGCTGCCGCCAATGCAGGTACGGTCCTGACATTGGTCACGGCCAGGTCGGTCGACGGTGGGCAGACGGCCGCCAATGCACCGTCAGGCGTAGGCATATGCAATCAATCCGGGACTCTGTGCAAAGCCAGACCGGGTCCGGGGCACGTAAAAACGTGTGCCCTCGGCCCGTGTCGAGTGGCATGTGGGTGGTGTGGCCGAGGGCGAGGGGCTCATGGTTCGACATCGTATGTACGGAGTACACACGTAAGCAGGCAGGCTACGAACATCTTTACGAAGGAGGTGTGGATCGCCTCCTTGTCCCAGGGGTATATGGCTTAGGTGTCGGCATAAGGAAAAGCTGCTCCTCAAGGTTCCCCGACGGCATTTGCCGGTCAACAAACATGGACACAAATGGCTCTTTTTAGGCTAAATGCCCGTACCTGTAGCTAGGTAGGTAGTTGTCGTCAGGGGTTCGCCAAGGGGGAGACTCGTGTGGCCGCTGGCGGTTAGGAAATCAGTAGGTACAAAGGTACTCCGGGTAGGTAAGTAGGTAATACCTACTGCCTGCAATGTCGGTACCGTCCATCCGTACAGGTGCTTGTGCTACGTAGTTTGGAAGGTCCAACCGGAGCTGCTTACCTCACCCGCCCGATCTCTGCCAACGATGGGAGGATTAGCCGGTGCCTGCCTGCGTGCTGCAAATGCAATGCAATCGCCAGGGGGCAGGTCAACAGCCCCTTGGCCCAAATTTGCGCAGCCTGAAACACTGTCGAGGTCGAGGTTGGGATTACGTACCGATTACCTTCCTTACTACTTACTGCCTGTGCCTGCCGCCCACTGACGCCTCCTGCCGCCTCCTGCCGCCTCCTGCCGCCTTGTGGACGAGGGAAATCACAACTCATCAACTCTTGGCAATAGCTGTCAGAAAGTACCTACCGCATCCAGTCCAATTAATTTAGATGACGCCTCCCAACACCCAACAAGCCGTGCCATCCCATGCCCCCTTTCCCATTATTCTTTCCACTCTTTCTTTCCGACTCTCTTGCCTGGCTAAGCCACCTTATCCGGCCAATTCGCCACATGTTTCTAGCATATTCCGGTGCCCCGCGTAGCCATGTTGGTCGAACCTCCCGTTCCTGCACAACCAAACGCACATAATACATAGGTAGTACAATGTAGTGATTTCTCCATTGGTGTTTCAAGGGGAAAGAAAAAGAAAGATACAGGAAAAGAATATGAAAAAGAAAAGAAAAAAGTCACTCCATATTTCTCTACAATGTTGTCCGTCTAGTATCCGTGGTCCGTGTCTGTTACCTACGTGCCTACTGTATGACGACATATCTCCTAACCCCGCCCGCACCTCAAGCTACGGCCCTGGTTGCCCTTTTCCGCAGTGCAGCCGAGCTTCTTGTAATGGAATCGCTTCTTTGTGACCTATTTGTTCAACGGACAACATCCGAAAGGGAAGGCCAGCTTCAGCTCACTGCGCCGGACCCGCGTCCATTCCCAATTGCATCCGTGTCAGAATAAATTACTCCTAAAAAAGGAAAAAGAAGAAAATGCCACCCGCGCCGCTTAGCGAGACCGACGCGAACCGCGTCAGGGCCCCCAATAGCGCCAGCATCCATCTGCCATGTGCCCGAGACTACTCCTGCACCCGCGCGTGACATCAGCACTAACACCGCGACACTCATCCAGCCCGCCGGGAAGCCCCCAGCCTCCAGGTCCCGCAAGCGCAAGTCAGACGCTACCGATGGTGATGCCGGCGCCGCCGCCACCGCCGCCACCGCGGAACCGGCTCCCAAAAAAAAGAAGACGACCAAGAAGGTCGACGATGTGGGCCCCCTCCCAGACCTCTCTGGCATCTACCTCGACGGTGACGAGGACATGAGCGTCCGCATCTACGACACCTGCGAAGACGTGCGTACCAAGATCCGCCGCCTGCTCCGCCGGGGCGGCGTCACCAAGGCCGCCTTCCTGCGCACCCTCGTCAAGGCCGCCTACCCCCCCGGCTCGACGCACAAGATCGCGTCGAACCTGCTTGACAACTTCCTGAAAAAGAAGGGCCCGGTCGCCGGCAACACGAGCAGCGTCTTTTACGCCGCCTACGTCTTCTTCGAGAAGCTGCGCATCAGGGATGAGAAGCCCAAGACCCAGAAGAGGGAAGAGATGGAAGATGAGTGGCCACTTGGCTTCGAGACCCGCGAGCAGCTGGACCGCTGCTCCTACATCGTGGGGGCCGGCTCGGAGGTGGCATTGAACGAGTACGGCAGGGCTGTCAGCTTCCGCCCGCGAGGCCGTGGCTTCTTCTGATGTTTGGATATTTCCGCCGCCTGCTTCGCGGTTTGAATTGTCGCCAATTAATGGGGTTTCAATTTTCCATCTTCTCGCTTGTAGCTTGTACTCAGTCTAGCTTCAATTGATTAATCAACATGCAGGTGTATTCCCAAGATCCATTTAATGGGGTACCTGTATCACTTGATCTCATTTTACTTTTGTGCGCGGAGAAATTCCGTGTTGTGCAATTAATCAAATTCGCCGCAGGCCCCATCGTCCGAGCAGTACTCCGTATGACTCGCGGGAAGGAGCTCTTGGCCCGATATATCTGCGACGGGAGCGGGTCAGGGATTACCGGAGCATCGGCCCGGCCGCATGGGCGGGTCGGCAGTAACTACCACCGCGACTCTCATTAACGTCCTGGACGAACGATCTCATCGAGACAAGAAGAGGATCATAGGGTTGAGGGGAGCCTAGCTAGCTCATTCTGCACGAAGTTGGCGCAAAAAGCTTGGCCTCCGCATCTGTATCCTGCTATCTGAGCGAAACGGGAAACAGCCTGGAGAGAAACGGTTCTGGATCGGGCCCACTTCCATCGATCACGACAAGCACGGAATGGGGGAGCTGTGGACTTCATCTATTGATATTAGGATTGGCGACTTCGGGTCGCCCGGTGGATGGGGGCGCTGCGCTTCGCGGGAATCATTGAAGCACGAGCAGCAGGGGCAGCGGCTACGAAAGGGGGGGCGTCAAGTGTTGAAGCCTCTCTCCCATGTGTCTGGTAGCAGATTGGCCTGGTTGAATGTCCCACAGCTGGTCATCAGAGAAACAGAGCGAAGTAGAATGTGATTGGGTCATTGCAGTTGTAATTCTCGCCTATACAGTGGCATTAAGTGATTTGCAGTCCGGTCATGCCTTAGTCTTGCCCACCATAGGACGACAGAGCTCCGTGGCCCACGTCACGAGTTTGGTTGTAAGTCGTACCCATCAGGCGGTTTGCCTCAGAGCCTCGAAACAATATGACTCTATGATTATCGCCGAGATGGTCTTGAGGGGTCGTACGAGCACCCTGCACTATCCGGTTAAACTTCTCTGGTGTTCACTAGGTCTGATACTGATGCTACTACTACCACTATCACCAATGCTACTATCTATACTCAAGATCAGGCATATGCTATCGTTGAAAAGGATAATCTTTCTCAAGAATCTCTTTTAAAACTACGCTTATATACCAATTGGACATCAGCACACTTCTTCATCAGTCAAGCCCGTCACTATATTTTGTTTCAAAGAATACTTTCATTCCATTCGTCGTAGCCTCGTGGTTCTCATAAAACATCCAGAAAGCGACATTATTCTGCCAAATTGTGAAACAGATTCCTTAGACGATGGCGTTCGTCTCATAGTATGGGTCATCCGGCGAGTAAGGGAACTTTCGAACAACGACATCTCCCTTGTAGTCCCACAGGTCAACCTCAGTAGGCTCATAGTCCAGCGAGCAGGCGTCCGTCTCGGCTCCAAAAGTGATAACATCGCTGGTTGTGCCGTTGGAGTAGTTGATGCGGACCATGTTGACCGTCTCAACGTTCTGGCCGACATCAAAATAGTTGGCAGGCATGAACTGGATCCCAGAGTGTGCGGTGGTGAAGACCGTGGTAGGCAAGTCGCCCTGTTGACCGAGTCAGTATCATCTGTTCGACCCATGAAGCGTTGCTGTTCAAACTTACAGTGTGAGGAACGTGGTGCATGCCAAGGTTGAACCAAAGGACAAGGTCCGTCTGGTTCAGACTCTCTCCGTCGAAGAATGCATCGAAATTGACAGGGGGGTTCTCGGTATCCTGATTGTTGTACGGGTGGCTGCTGCGAGGTTCCGTGTCTTTGCGCTTGGAAACCATTATGTCGTACTCGGCCCACTTGCCCGAGCTTTTCAGAATATTCGAGTCCTTGACCGTCAAGTGTGCGGAGCCAGTGTAGGGGAGCACGCGGTAGGCGCGGTGCTCACCGTGTTTGTTCTTTACGTCCTGGTTCAGGACGAAGAGCTGGTCCTGGTTGTTGTAGCTCCAGTCGAAACGGCCCTGGTCCTCGTTCTCAACAAACTCCCGCTCCAACTTCATTGTGTTGAACGCCTTGCCCTTAGACCAGGGGTATACCTGGGTCGTGGGCACCTGGTGCATGCGCTGAACGGTGTTTTCGGTGCCAAAGATGTCAAAGTCGGCCTTGAAGTTGACCACGTGGTCGTGCATGCTCCCGGACAGCTGGTCGTGAATCTTAAAGCCGTACTCGTCGTTCTTGGCGTAGAACGCGGCCTGGATGTAGCCGGAGGCGCGGACCTCGACGGAAACGCTGCCGTCACGGAAGAAGCTGTAGCTGAACATGTAATCGTAGTTGCCGACGGTCGAAACAGAGCGAATGGTGAAGTACACGTTCTTTGTGGCCGCTACGTAGTCTGCTGAACTGTGTCGAGCTATCGGGTAATCGGCGTCGAACTCGAACATGCAGATGCTATTCAGATGCGTATGCGTGGTCTCATCCACGTAGAAAGAAGTGTTTAGGTATGTCGCATATGATGGGCAGTCGTAACCCTTTAGGAGTTCGAATGCGAAAGGACCGAAGCCGTAGTAACTGTCGAGGTATGCCACGTGAGACTGTGTGGGGTCGCTTCCTAGAGACTAGTCAGATATTCGTAGTTTTCGTCATTCGGGATAGAAAGTTTACCAGCATAATGAGCCAAGGCCTCTTGAAGACCAAGCTCGTAAATGATCCTTTGACCCTTGTAGCTGATATCGTAGAGAGCCATTCCCGTGTCGCGAGTGAAGCCGACGTAGAAGCTCCAGCCCATCCACTCGACATATTTCCTGTCAGGGTCAACAGAGTACCTAGCGCCTTGGGGAGCAACTGATGTCGGAGGAGCCATGGTGTCTCTGGGGAGGATCTCGCCCTGCTGATCGGTGGCTGACCAGTCACCGGCGAAGTTGCCACCAAGCTTCTCGACATTGCCGCTCCAGTATGCGTTGCGGAACTCCTCCGTAGTCTCGTAAAAGTTGCCGTTGTAATACCATCCCTCAATGAACCATTTGGAAGGGTCACGTCCCGTGACATCGGACATGAAGAACAGTCCCATGGGCAGCATGGACTGTACATCAAAGATGGAGCCGGGGATGCTCCAGAATGTGTCCCAACGCTGAACGCGGCCGTCATCCTGGTAGTATGGGTCGATGCCCCAGATTGCCAGTGTGTCGTTATCGAGTCCCTGGGCAGTGGCATTCCAGAGATCCTTGGTGATGTCAGCGACGCTCTTGCCAGCTTTGTGAAGCCATTCCTGCATGGCATCATCATCGGCGTCCAGGTTGCGGACTCTTCCGCTCGTCTTGCGGGTGTACGGGTACTCAAGACGCTCCCACTTGGTGGTGTCATTGGTGACTGGTAAAGGGCCAACGAGAATGTCTTGGTATTCCGGATCTTCGGAAGCGCGGAAGTCAAGTACCACATGAGCGTAGCGGGCTGGTGCGGGGCCGCTTCCATCGATGTAGGCCAGCGCATCAGACTTGTTAGGCTGCATGAGCTCTACCAAGGCACTATTGAACCGGGTGAATAATCGTCAAAAAGTGTGTAATACCCTTGGGATTGCTTACATCGTGTTGTCCCACGCTGTAGCGTTGTCGCTGACAGTCAGGTTCAGCTCCTTTTGAGCAAAAAGCCATTGGGTGACGCCTGCGGCTTCTGGGCCCGTCAGGCCACTCCAAATGTTCTCTTTGGGTGCCTCAATGTCGAGAGGATCGTGAGGGATGCAGTCAGCGGGCTCAGAGCTGTTGGCGAACTGTCGTTTGTTGATGGCTTGGCTGAGGGCTTTCCTGCCATGCCCCTTGGCGCGCTGTTGAGCCCATGGAGTCTTTGGCAGTCCATTGACTTGTGGCATGAGGTCAGAGCCCAGAAGTAGCAGAGCTCCCAAGCCAAAGGCCTGGGTTATTGAAGAAAAGCCCATTGTTTGTAAAGGCAGAACTGAATGTCGTGCCTACTTTATGAGGACTCGGAATGTCAGGATAGCTCTTAAGATGTCAGCTGATCAAGAGGAAACTCGATGTGTGCCTCTGGACTTAAATACTTTTTACCCAACCAGAACTCTGGGCACTGGCTAGAATATCTTCACGGAGATCATCCCGACACCGGTGATATGGTTGCATCGGAGGTGAAAACCCTTGAGCGCCGTTTTGACATTACCAACTGACAAAAGTCCTGATTCCTTCCTCGGATGAAAGCTAACCTATCTTAGTAGAATGGCGCGCCGCTAGGAACGAGACAGGATATCATGAGCGGGAGCCTCATCCGCATGCCAGGGTTTTGAGAAGCGAGCTGAGGGGTAACTCGATTTCGGGAACCCCTGGTCGAGATAGTGGTGTTACCTTGCTTCCAACCAGTAGTCTCTCACATACCACCGACTCGTGGAGTTGAGTTGCCTTTGCGTCCAGCTACTGCCTGTGGAATACATATGACGTATGCCTCAGGGATTGAACCGAAGCCGGGCATGGTTGATATCGCGGGCCGCGGCTGGCGGGCCCTATCATGGAAAATGAGATGTGGAAAAGCTACAGTGACCCTTTTGTTGGTAGAAGGGTGGATTATCGATATCCGATTAAGTACCAAGTGACCTCACATAACCTCAGACCAATAAGACTACAGCAATCCAGGCTGACTGTCAAATAGCTGTCAGTAATCACTTACAGAGACCCTCCTTTGGGTTATGTGAGGTCACTTGGCACTCAATGGGATAGGTATGGGTATGGCCGGCTTGGCATTCGTGATGCGGTGCAACGTTAACCGGCTAGCAATGTTCTCCATAAAACTGATAGGCTATAAGGTCAACGCCGATTGATATTCCCGTGTCACTCGTTGACTAAGATGGCTTATCTTCAAGTGCAATTATGCGGAGTCACCAGCCACGTATATCTTGCCTTCACGGGTCCACAGATGGCTCGGTGAGCGTTAAAACAATGTGGAGGGCCGGGTGGGAGTGTAGGGCATGGCGCATGTCCGTGAGTTCCGTGTGGAGATCTAAACATGAACCATTCCGTTGAAGGTTATATCGGTAGATTTGGTATGGCTTCGAGGTGCAATCTTTGCCCCTGCTCCACACGTGGTAGGTAAAGCCCGATCCTCCAAAGTAGAGAGAGACCTATGCAGCCTTTGACTAGATGTACGGATAGAGTTGAAATAAATACTGTGGACCATCTTTTGGCCTTATCTTGATCGCCGCACCAACCTAGCAAGCAAGTTGTGATGTTCTGTGCTTACAACTATGAGTCTGGGAACTCGCTAGTAGAACAGTTGCTCGGTTCATCTATCGATAGGACAAGATTGACTTCAGGTAAGATATAATAATAAAACGACAGCCTGAGTAACTAATTTTGAAGATTCTTCGCGATGAACAATCAACTGCGTGGTGACTGGCACCCTAAGCATCAAAAAACAATCTCCACTTTCCGTGCTAGGGCACTGATAAGCTTCCCCGCATCTGATAGGTAAAACGTCTAGACAGCCGCCCAGTTTACCTGATATGCAAAGTTTGCCAGACTTTTGACAAGGTTGGATAGAACCATGCCTATCTTACTTTTGATTGAAGTTTGGTGGTTGCTGCGGCGTCCCCCCACGTCCGGTCCAGTGGTCTGATATCGATGCGCGAGGGGTTCCAAAGGCCAATGCCTGAGAGATTTCACTAAACGGTGACTTCCTGCAGGAGATTAGATTGTCTATTCGTGAGGTTTTTATATGATATCCAAAGTCTTGTAGATTCCGATGTCGGCAATAACCCATGGTCATGATTACCAGACGTGGAGCAGAAAAGCTTCCCCCTAGGATTCTTTGGACGTACAAGAACCAGGTGAATGAATTGGTAACTGATCCCAAGTTGCTTTATCAAATGTTCCGAGTCGGTCTTCTGATATGATGACTCATTGTCCCTTTAACAAGTACTCGAAGTTGGGTTCAGTATCAATCTTCTCAGTCAACCCCGCTAACTTCAAGACTGGCGTCGTCGCGTCGATTATTTGATCTCTCAGCCGCTGTCTCTTATCAACGTCCTGAGGCTCGGGTTGAAAGAAATATTCATTGTTCAGGGTGATATAGGTCTAATAAAGACCTGATACACCCACGCACACTTCTTATTTACATTCGGTGGTTGTCCTGTAAATATTAAATGAATATATCAACATCTTTAAAGTATACGTTGTCAGATATCTGGCACGAGTGTAATTCGCACGGAGCTTCGCACTAATTCTTGATACATGAACCGGGCCGTAGTGTCTCATATTCAGCAAGTTGACTAATTGATATGAATATGATTCCCCGTTTTGCGAAAAGACAATCAGAAACAACGTTTGCCTAGTTCCGATCACTAATGGACAGATAGAAGAAACCGGACAGGGCCCCCAAGTGACTGAATTCTTGAAACAGACTGATATTTCGGCAAAAAACGATCAACCGTACTTGGTGGGAACATCTCCATACCTACGTTATAGTCTCAGTAGTCTCTTCATCTCCGTGCCCATCGTTCCTGGATGAGGCACAATAATTGCACCCGCGTCCCGAAGCGCCTTAACCTTTACATCGGCAGACACATCTCCTGGTGAAAGAATAGCACCGGCATGGCCCATCGTCTTCCCGGGCGGCGCTGTTCTTCCAGCAACCATAGCAACAATTGGCTTTGGGCTCGAAGTTGACTCTCTGTAGGCTTTTATGGCCTCAGCAGCTCTGAGCTCAGCCTCCCCACCGATTTCACCAATTACAATAATGCCTTTTGTCTCAACATCGTCGAAGAACAACTTGAGGCCATCAAGCAAGGTAGTTCCTATTTTCGGCTTGGTCAGACATCTCAACACATAAATTTAGGCTGTCAATAATTACCAGGCATCAAGTCACCTCCCATCCCTACAACGATACTCTGCCCAAGTCCCGCTTTGGTAGTCGCACCAACAGCTTCGTAACTCAGAGTCCCACTCTTTGAGACAATACCTATTACGCCCTTGGTGTATTGCTTGTATGGCATGATTCCGATACGGCATTGATCAGGTGCAATGATACCGGGGCAGTTGGGCCCCACAAGTCGAGTTTTATTTTGCGCTTTCAACACTTCATGAACCCTCGCCATGTCGTGGATTGGAACATGTTCAGCAACAGACACAACGAGTGGGACCTCAGCCTCAATAGCCTCGATGATAGCACTGGCTGCAAATTGCGCGGGTACAAATACAGCACTTGCATGCGGGTTGACAGCCTTCATGGCCTTGAAGCAGGAATTAGTGTTTTCAGTCGGATACTCTGAAGGTGGAAATTGAATGTATCGTACCTCTTCTGCTGTGTTGAAAAGTGGAAGACTGAGATGAGTCTGCCCTCCTTTCCCAGGTGACACCCCGCCCACAATGTTGGTTCCGTACTCAATCGTGTCTTTTGCATTTTTGGTAGCCTTTTCCCAGTAAGCCACAGAATAACACAGCAGTCACCACGTAATAGTCGTTCACATGCCGCTTTACCAGTAAATCCTAAGCGGCGTCAGTGCCAGCCTGATTGCACAGGGTATTGAGCTCAAGTACCCTGATATATCACCCTTGTATTTTTGTCTATTCTCAAGTTTGTAATTGTGTTGTCATATTGAGAGAATTTCCTAGATGTGGACGAAAAAAGTTTCTTAACAAGCCAAGTTGTGCTGGGCTGTAAACAGATGAACCTGGGTAAAACGTGACTGGCCATAATGAGTAGTACTTGGTTATTACTTGGCAAAGGATGCGCGCCGACAGTCGAAAGAGTTTGAGGAGATCTGTGGAGGTTTCCTTTAGCTCTGTTTGACGTTCGCTGGGTGGTTTCGGTTATATAACGTGGATGTAGCCGAGAGGTGATGTCACTTGCGTAGTTGGGCTATCCCCGCATCAGCAATACATTGAGAACCCCAAACATCACCCACTTCCGCTAGGTCGTACCGATCAAAACCACTACAGACTTCTCTGAGTCATCAAGCCAGAGCCTGCATAAAATGCCCATCCAAAAGGTATCAGACCTGAGTTGCCGAAACGTAGCCATTGAAACCTCGGAAGCGCCCATGACCATGGTCTACTGGAGAAGCAAATCAGTTCTCGTTCTCGCAGGTCGAGAATTATTTTGCATTTGGCAAAGGTGGCATCAACTGGAATACAGATATATCGGCCAGTATATTACCAGTAATGATTAGTGACTTGGTGACGATACTCACACTTCTATCGATCTTTGAAAGCTCGACGATATGCTACTGCATGTCGATTACAGCAACTCTATTTGATATCTCAACCACTTCGTTACCACATACTATTGAAAATAATTGTATGCACAAACCCACGCTCCAGGTTTTACTTCTGGAGAGGTGGTTTCTTTACACCCTGTCCACATCGGTCCAAAGATGCCATGTCAAGTGCCGATTCGAGGACCTGCGCGACGCTAGCGCTAAGGTTGTTGCCGCATCACTCCCCCGAGGGAATTGGATAGCAAAGTGGTTCGTACTTGTCTATGCAGGGCAACCGCCAAAGCTAATGTATCCCTTATCGCTTGGTGTGGTATACGTGGTGCTTGTAATTCATAGAGGCACGGGAGCCTCTACTGGCGTATAATACGACACGATACGTCCGGAGCCAGTTCCGCCGCTTCTGTTCCGGCAGGTGCCGGGTGTCAGTGGGTCAACCTAGTGGTGCACGGGGTTATTAGGCGGGCTGGTGAGTATTCCTCCGTGGGCAACGGCGTTTGGTACCCGCACCCTTTTGTTTTTGTCCTCGTCTACCCTATCCGCCCTTGGCAGCTTTGCATAGCTAAGACCGAGAAGAAAGTCAGCAGTGATGCGTATGTGCGGGCAAGGCTTCAATTTGGGCTCCTCCAATTCACTCCTTGATGTGGCACATTTGCACTTTTCCATTGCGGGGTACGAACTTTATTCGACTCGTAAGCATTGCTACTTGGCTTTAGAGTCACTCTCGGTGTCAGCCTCCCCACCTGAATTGTGCATAGGAAGACGTAACCCCAATAGTTGTGAGACATTGTCTCTCCGTAGTCGCGCATCGACACGGGACATATGGGGACGGCAGGTCAGCAGTAAGAACGTCTCAGCTGTGCGACCTGAAGAGGAACCGCCTTAAAGACATACCTTAGTAAGACTGTCTCACGTCATTTTGGTCGTAAATCACCTACCCCTCCCTCCCTTCCGATCAGCGGCATCTTCACACCTCCGCAACCAAATCTTCAGGCTGAGTACTGACATCTACTTGCGGTTGAACGCTTATCAGAAATATCTCGACATCTGCTGCATCTGACCTTCCCGGTGGTCCTTCTCCGCGAAAATGGATCCCGCGAAGCTCACTGGCCAGGCTCTTCTCAGCCACACTATCCAGACGACACCCATTATCGACAACCATGCTCATCCACTGCTGGACCTCGACGCCATTGGGCGCCATCCACTTCTTTCCATCACTACTGAAGCTCATGGAGATGCGATCCACGCCTCGTTGACCAGTCTGGCCCACTTGCGTGCTGTGAAGCAGCTTGCTAAAGTATTGAGATGCGAGCCCAGTTGGGAGGCCGTCGTCAATGCCATCGAGGCAAAGCGCATTGAAGACTACGACTCCTGGGTCGCTGAGTGCCTGAATGGCATTCAGTCTGTCCTTGTAGATGATGGTCTAGACGGCGAGGATGAGGTATACCCCTACACGTACTTCAGTGACATTACACCAAGCCCGGCAAAGAGAATTGTCCGCATCGAGAAGATCGCTGCTGAAATCATCAACAACCACTTACCCAAGGAGGAAACAGCCGCAAGGAATTCCAAATATGCCGGTGTCGTGTTTGAACAGGCACTTAAGGCGTTTGACCAGAGTATTGCGGAAGCCATCGCTGATCCGGAAGTTGTTGGCTTCAAGTCCATCATCTGTTATAGAACTGGCCTCGCGATCCCCAGACGACCGGATGCCGTTGCAGCCAGAAAGGCTTTCGAGACTATCTACGGGAACTATACACAAGGAACCGACAAGGCGTTCACGCGTGTCGATCACCAAGGATTGAACGAGTATTTGGTTCACAGACTCGCATGCCTTATCAGGAACACCACCAGCGCCGGCAAGAAACCAATTCAATTCCACACTGGTCTGGGTGATAATGATATCACCCTCAATTCTGCATCGCCATCTCATCTCCAAGAGTTCATTCGGCAATATCCTACTGTGCCTATTGTCCTGCTCCATGCCAGCTACCCTTTCATGAGGGAAGCCGGGTACCTGGCTTGCGTCTACTCTAATGTGTACACCGATATTGGAGAGATATTTCCTTTTCTGAGTCGAGACGGCCAGGAAACTGCTCTGAGGCAAGTCCTTGAGCTGTGCCCTTGGTCCAAAATCCTTTGGAGCACAGATGGGCATTGGTTCCCAGAAACTTACCTGCTCGCCGTGCTGCAAGTAAAAGAAGTCTTGGAAAAGGTATATACCAATCCCCCCATGACTTATTCACTACACACCGTTGATTATTCCAGGTCCTGTGCGAATATGCTCGCAAAGGACACATGACTTGGCGTGAGGGCACTCAACTTGTGAAAGACATTCTTTTCAACAACTCGAATCATGTTTATCACTTAGGGCTCGAATTCGACTTTAACGAGTCAAACATTAACCCGAGGAGACTGTCCGGGAGAAGTGACCTCGACATCCTCGAAGCCTTTTTGGATGGAAAGAAGCCGCCACAGTACCTTCGCATTTACTGGAACGACATGACCGCCACGTTGCGAGTCCGTGCTGTGCCGATGCGGAAGGTTCTTTCTGTCTTCAATGAAGTCGGAGACTTTTCGCTTAGCATCACCAAGGCGAGTCTTGGTCTCCTGCAAAACGACCATGTTGTTTCAGGGGCATCCGGCACAGGAGAATACAGACTTCATCCCGACTTTACCTCTCTGCAAGAAGGGCCGAGAGATGGCCATATTAGCGTCTTTGGCGACTTTAGAGAGCAAGACGGATCATCGGTTCCTCTTTGTCCACGATCTCTGCTTCAGCGAGTGGTTGAGATTGCTGCTCGACACGGGTTGACATTCCACCTCGGATTCGAAATCGAGCTTGTTCTTCTCGAGCGCACTGGTAGCGCCTTTGACAAGTACAGAACTCTTACCAATGACGGGCATGCTTGGTCCACTTCCCGCATGATGGTCAATCCGGTCTTCATCAAGGTCATTGAGAGAGCCGTCGCTGAGTTAGATGCGAGAGGCATCTACATCGAGCAGATACACCCCGAAAGCGCAGCTGGTCAGTTTGAAGTCATTCTTCCACACGCCCCACCGTTGGAAGCGGTAGATACGCTTCTGTACGTCCGCGAGGTCATATCCAGTATCGCTACTGCCGAAGGCTACAGAATGACCCTCCACCCGAAGCCGTTCCCGACGTCCTGTGGCACAGCAGCTCATATGCACATGTCAATTACCTCGGCCGGCGGTTCTAAGCCTGAGACGTACAATCCCTTCTATGCTGGCATCTTGAAACACCTTCGAGCCATCGCCGCCCTCACCTACAGTAATCCTGTCAGTTATGAGAGAGTTCAAGATGGGGCATGGGCCGGTGGTCGGTGGGTCACTTGGGGCACTCAGAACAGGGAGACACCCCTACGCAAGATCGAGGACAGCCATTGGGAGATCAAGTGCATGGATGGAATTGCTAATCCATACCTGGCGATAGCTGCCCTTCTTGGCGCGGGGACTCACGGATTTGGACAGGGAGAGAAGCTGACCTGGGGCGACTGTGAAGTTGACCCTGCATCCCTGACGCCCAACGACCGGAAGGAGTTGGGCGTGGAGCAAATGCTCCCGTCAGGACTGCCCGAGGCTCTCAAAGCCCTACGGGCGGACGAAGTCATGAACGAAGTGCTAGGCGAAGATTTGATCGAAAGGTATGTGACAGTCAAGGAAGAGGAAATGAAGAATTTGGATGCCATGAGCAGCGACGATAGACGGCAATGGATAATGGAACGATACTAAAATGTAGGATTTGCGAATACTTAAATACGTTCACGGGCGCTGTTCCCATTGACACGTATGTTCGTCAAGCTCCAGGCGGAATAAATGTATCATTTATTGCGCAGCAAAATTTATTTACTGACGAAGCTTCCGGACCGCGGAACATTTTGTGGTTATGCAGAGGGTGAAGTGGCAAATATCTTATTACATGAAGGATCAACATGCAACTTATCGGCAGTAGTGATTCTACGAATAAGTTTGATAGGATTGCAACATGTATTTGATTGCTAAGTTGGGAGAGACCGCGCGTGATAATCCTAGGTGCCAACAGTCAAATAACCTAACTCAACACGATTACAGTGACCGACAGCTTAGCGAGGGCATTTATGGCTATTCTGTTTCCGTTTCCCCTTCGCGCCCGCTCTCGCTCTTCAGTCTCAACTCCAGAATGAAAAGGGCGGATATTAACATCCCTGGGCTACTTTCTACCCGTGAGGATATGATCGCTGCTGAGAAAGTTGTTTCAGGTCCTAGTCCCATCAGCAGCGGAGGTAGGTTTGCTTGAGTCAGAGTCAATAGCCTCATGTGGCCTTGTGATGTTGATCTCGTGGAAGTTTTTAGTAAGCTATGCCCTCACTCCGGACCATATGACTACTCCTTCGAGCCCCAAAGGCCCGCAAAGGGGTCACAGCTCGGATCTTCGACCGGGGTATACTCCATCCTGTCGGCAATGTTCTTGGCGACGTCTTTGCCGTACACGGCTCCGATCCAGGCGAACGTCAGATCGATGCCGGCACTGATGCCCGAGGATGTCCAAATATGCCCATCCCGCACCCACCGTGCCTTGTGTACCCATTCCACCTCGGGCCGCAGCGCGATTGTTTCCTTCCACGACAGCTTGTTTGTGGTCGCTCGCCTCCCGTCCAGAACCCCAGCCCGCGCCGCCACGCCCGAACCGGTGCAGACGGTGAGAAGGTACTGCAGCGAATCGGACCTTTGCCTGACGAAGTCGATGGCTGTGCTGACGCTCGGGTACCGCGTGCCCTGTCCGCCTGGAACGATGAGGACGTCGAGGGGCGGGGCCGTCTTGAAGGTATGAGTCGGCACGATGCGCTGGCCGAAGTCGGAGTCAGTGGTGGAAGGCTGGTGCGTGGTGTCCTGCTTGGTCGACACAGGGTCTAGCGTATCTGCGATGGTGTAGAGGTTCATGTGGTAAGACCGGGACAGCAAGTTGAGAGCATCCAGAGGCCCGAAGACGTCGAGCGCCTGGAATGCTGGGAAGAGCACCACGCCGAAGTTGAGAGGCTTCCCTGGGAGATAGTCAGAATCATTCCCGAGACTGCGAACGATTTCAGTTGAGCCATGTTAACCATCTTCGTTCGACTCACCGCCGGCAACGCGATCACACTCCTGAGCCATTGGTGGCATATGACTGAATGGCCCGACGCGGGGAAATGGGATTGAGACGGCCGCCGTGGGTTTCTTGACGAGCACTGATAAGGTGATGGTACAGCTTCTTCTGCTGAGCATTCTATTTATCAGTAACAGTGGATGCTTGTCACGATGTTTAAGCACTGGTGCGATTTGGTTATAGCTAGGTTTAAGTCTCGGGATGAGTGCACACGGAAGGCCGATCAGCACGCTCGGAGATCGATGAGTTACGTAAGGTCAGCAAAGAGGGAGTTTGCGGGGTTTTAGTAATCATAGAGAAAAAGGACAGAAAGATCTTTGGACTCAGACGCCGAGCGCTTTAGATCATGGCATCGTCTCTTGAGAATTGCTTTATGAAGGCGTGTCAGCATATCTATAGCTATCCCGATGGCGGTTTAGCAGAACGTCTGGTCTTTTCCATTGCAAGTTTTGCAGGGCAGCTTTCTACGAGAGGAAAATAGGCTGCTAAACAGACTAATAATCACAGTCCCACAGTCGCTGACCCCTAAATCTCAACTGGTCCATCACAGCTTATTGCCCATGTTTACATGAACCGCCTTGATCTGGCTATACGCCTCGAGACCCGCCTCACCAAGCTCCCTTCCAATGCCGCTCTGCTTCACACCACCAAAGGGAACCCTAGGGTCGCAGTCTTGGCTACTATTTATCCACACCATACCTGACTCGATCTCAGAGGCCACGCGGTGTGCCCTCTCCAGGTTCGTTGTGAAGACGGCGGCACCTAGACCATAGACACTGTCGTTGGCGATCTCGATCGCCTCAGCCTCTTCGCCAAATTCTTGGATCACGACAACGGGCCCAAAGATCTCTTCGCGCCAGATCCTCATGTCACTCTTGACGTCCGTGAATACTGTTGGGGAAACATAGTACCCCTTGCCGAGGTGCGCCGGCCTCTCACCTCCGGTCTTGACCGTCGCGCCCTCGTCGCGGCCGGCTTGGATATAGGCCAAGACTCGGTCGTATTGCTGCTTCGAGACTTGCGGGCCCTGGTAGGTCTCCAAGTCCCATTGATTGCCTACCTTGCTCGTCTTGTGGATCTCTTCGATGAACTGAACAATAAAGGTTTCGTAGATATCTTTCTGGACAAGGATCCGCGATGTGGCTGTACAGATTTGGCCCTGGTTGGACATGATGCCGAGGTGTGCCCACTTGACGGCTTGCTCGAGGTCTGCGTCGTTGAAGACTAGCAGCGGCGACTTTCCGCCGGTCTCGAGAGTAACATTCTTCAACGTCGCCGAGGCCATCTTCATGATGTTTGTTGCGGTCCCGGTTGATCCCGTGAAAGCAACCTTATCCACCAGCGGGTGCTGGACGAGGGCGGCACCGGCATCCTTACCCAGGCCGTTGATGAAGTTTACAACGCCGGGGGGGAAGCCGGCTTCCTTGACGAGACGGCCGAGGACGAGAATGCTCAACGGGGTTTGCTCGGCAGCCTTGAGAACTACTGTGTTCCCGCAGGCTAGAGCAGGCCCGAGCTTCCATCTACGGTGGCACACACGTTACTCGAACGACTCCTATTGTTGAGCTTAGTTTAGACTTACGTCGCCATGGAAAGAGGGTAGTTCCATGGGATGATCTGACCCACGACACCAATGGGTTGCCGGATAGTGTAGGCAAACTTGTTTGGCAGAGCGATGGTCTGGCCGAAAATCTTGTCACACCAGCCACTGTAGTAGCGGATAACACCTACAGCCTCCACAAGGTCGTTCGTCAATGCCTCGGTGTAAGTCTTGCCTAAGTAGAAGCAATCAGCAAATTGACTGAGACGATCGCGAGGGACTCGAAACGGGGGCTTTTAGCATCATTTGTCTCCTACCATTGTCCCAAGCATCGATGGTCGCTAGCAGCTCCTTATTCGATTCCATCAGGTCGGCGAGACGGGCCATGAGGACGCCCCTGTCCGATGCCGATAGGCTTTTCCAGGCGGGGTTCTTCAGCGCCGCAGCAGCAGCTTTCACCGCCTTATCGACATCATCTGCGCTGGCTGCGTGGACTGACGCAATCTCTTCTTCTGTACTATAAACGATACTTATAAGTATGATGATACATGCAATGGAGGCCAAGTTCGCGAGGTGACTAGACTTACGCCGGGTCAATAGCAGGAATAGTTTGGCCGGTAGATGAGGGCACGAATTCGTTATTGATGAAAAGGCCGGTTGGCTGAGTCCACTTCTGCCCGTTAGGCGCAGTGAGCTCAACAGTGATATCTTCCATTCTATTTGCAAACCGTATAGAATTCGACGGAGTAGCAACACAAGAGTGTTTTGTGGCTTTTGCAGGTTAAGGAACGTTAGGATGCATGATACGGATGGCGAGGAGATGTGGGTTTGAACAAGGGCACACTCCCGGGCAGGGCCTTATCGCACAGCATCCGTGACAGATAAAGCTTGCGAGTTCCATGCTTGTGACACCTCCCCCGCAGTTGGCCGAAAGCTGATATCGGATAATATCTCCGTTAAAAGGCCGTCGGCTGACCTACCAGGAGCCTTTCCTTAGAGGCATTGCGCTAGTCGTCCTTCTTCTTTTTCAAGTCCAGAAGACGACATGGAACTCTTACCTCTTTCAGTCTCCCAATACAGACTTACGATCTTCAGTTACTTAAATTGAGGAAGATTAATGACTTCAATCGAAATTATCACGGAGACTTCCCTCTTGTGAAGCCCCCTGACGCTGTGAGGGGTACTTGCGGGGCATGGACCAAGAGATATGGAGGCATTGAGGGGCAGAAGTGCTGTAACAGTATGACCCTCTTCATGGTGGTTTCAGGGGGGGAGGGTCACGGTTCGCAATGCTAGAAAGACGCAAAGATTCGGATTAGATGGCGTCTAGGTTGTTTGGAATTGCCAAATGGCTCGAAGAGGTTTCCTATTTTCCATCGTTGGCTTCTCACCTTGCCTATTGCTGCTCATGGACTGTTTCGCTGATTAACAGACGCCTCCCGTGCTACAGCTTTGGGGATCTCGTCCTCCAGGCGCTCTCCCGCGGGCACCCAGCCCAGCACCTCTTTGCCCCTGATTGCTTCGCTGTGAGCATTTGTTCCGTAAATCGCCGTTCCATACAGTAGCAGACTGTCTGCCTCCTCGGGGTCTATCACATCAACCTTGTCGGTGGGAATGAGTCCCTTCTCGGCAGCCGCAGTAGCAATGAGCTGGGCGATTTCTCCAAAAGACTAAAAAACGCGTCGTGTTAGCGGTTGCTATGGGATCGAGGCCGGTTGTTCACTCACAGTTTCCCCGACGCCAGCCAGGTACAATTCGTTAGGATTCCAGACTTGCTCCTCGCTCTTGACTTCGGCCGCCTTCTCAACCAGGCGTAAGATTAACCGGCTGACGTCCTCAATGTGCAAATTACCCCATCGGTTGAGGCCTTTGCCAACTTGCACGCCTCGCTGGCGGTCCAGCGTCGCCTTGGCTAGAGAAGGGATCTGAACGCTGCGCTGGTTGACAGGGCCGAGTCCTCGGCCGTAGATGGTAGGAGGGAACACCAGTGCTGTGTTAATCCGCGGCTCACTCTCGCCAACTTTGATGATGTAGTTGTCTACGACCCGGCTTGGGTGTTTCTGGATGAAGGAGCGCAGCTCTTCGATCCCGGCAGGGCCGTCGTTAAAGACAATGTCGCTTGCTTCGCCCGGGCAGTGGGTTTTGTCGGCGAGCTCCGCAGCGGCGAGGACACTGGCACCGGATAATTGGATCCAATGCACTATTTAGCAATCAGTATAATGAGGATACAGCAGTATTAAAACCTCAAAAACCAAGTGACTGGGGACGTTTAACATCTTTACTTACCCGGTTTTGCTGCTGCCTCGGATGACAGCGCCTTGTGGATGGTTTCAACACTCTTCAGGTTGCCTGCTGCAGCCAAGTCTGCAGACACTTTGCATCAGTAACCCAATCGACACTATAAAACAGCTTGGATGAACTTACGAACAACGACATCCGCATCAGAGACCTCGCGGGCAATTGTTTCGCCATCGTTTAGTTCTCCTTGGACAATTTGAACCTTGCAGAAGGCAATGACGATGAGCTTTCCCTTGAAACCATCGCACCAGTGCTCGAACGACGTATTCGGGGTGTAATTCGTCAAGCAACGAGAGAACGCTGCCTCCAATATAGCCTGTAGCGCCAGTCCTGAATCACCCCTGAGCAAAGCACTCGGAGGTTTCCCCAGCCCCAGTAACAACGCAGCTGATATGGCAACAACTTACAAGAAAATCTTTGTCATTGTGCTAGGTTTTTGTTGGAATTGTCAACCTGAATACTCGAGCACTGCATAGACCTTAAGTGAAGAATAATGGCCAGATGAGTCGATATTTCGAGCTACTAGGGCGCGCGGATTCTCCGAAGGCCACATATATACTTCTTCTGGCTGCATACAAACAACTCGAGCTCACCCTCCAAATCAGGGATCGAAGCTCTAGGTGATTACCAATCTTTGCCGGGGACAGAGTGGTCTACGAATGATATTGATGCTAGCATAATCATGGCTTCGAGAAATGTTTTCCGTCGTTCTGCTTACTAGAGCAGCCATTCGCTCTCTGCTGACAGCACAGTGCAACCCAGATTTCCTAAGCCTAGAAGAACTGCGCCGTGACGCTATCCCGTTTATTCAGGAATATGTTTCCTGATACTAGCTGAACAGTAACTATCCAATAAAATGCGATTCTTGTGGCTCCTGTGACTCCATTGCTGGAATACTAGTGAAGCTCGAACGTAGGGAGATGTCACGATAGCTTCATGCATTTCCACCTCATGTAACAGCACTGTCAGGTGCTATATCACGTGGTGTTTCACATTCGTTACCTATATATAGGACCTCACTTTCGTTACCTTCACTTACACTCAATTAAGCCTTTTAGACCCTAATCCTCATATGCCCTGTTGTGTGCTCTAACTCGTGACAGGAGACTTACCAGCTCTGCGTTCCAGCTACGCGAAGCAATAGAAAGTCCACACCCCGAATCATTTGGAAGCTCGCCAAATGCCAGTAGGCTCTCTTTAGCTAAGTAGATACGGCCAGCGGGAGTTGTTATCTCAACATCCAGTTGAGGATCGTACACATCGCAGAACAATGAAGATAGAACGAATTAGCCAGTCGTTCGTGGTAAAGCTACGAAAAATGGGTGACTGGATCGATCTATTCTCAAGGTATCAAATAACAAATATCCAGCATTGTATGTTAATGTCAGTTCAGCACCACATGCTCACTTGCATGCTGAAATGCATGATCCGAAGGTCTTGCACCGAATCCGTTGAGTCGTAAGGGAAGTCAAATGATTCAAAAGGGGATTCGATGCCCAATGATGATTTAGGTTTGTTCTTCTCGTCGCAGTCAAGCCTTGCGTGTCAGTTACAAGCTTATTACTAGTCAGTCAGTTCTACCCGGCATCATCCTTGCCAATTTCAACCAGAATCAATCGGCGTTCGTTGCCACCCACTGCAGTAGCGCCGAAGCGTACGCTCTTAACTCGCACAAGCCTTTCCAAATAGCAAAAACAAGGGCCAAGAAATATTGGCCAAGGGCTGACTGTGTGCCATTATCAAGCTGCAGCTCTGTGATTTGCATCTACTCTTCCCAATTGCAAAGGCTTTCCTCCAACATCAATTTCCGCCTGTTAACCCCTGAATCATCTTGCTTGTCCCCCGATCAGTATGTATGAAGGGTTAGTAGAGCAGCTGAAATCAGGTTGTATAGGAAAATAAGTCTGATTTGTTTCTCGTCCCTATACTTTCCTCTTGACTCTTCCCGATGCGGTGTACTTGATGAAGATTGAAGGCTGTCGTGCTGTCCTAGATGTTATTTGACTGGTTCGCAAGTCAATAGCTGCGACTGGAAACCTGGCCCATTACGGTATTGGTGCCTGGGATGGCCTGCATCCCTCTTCTTACTTGTTCGAGTTCTCCGTCGATTGTATTGGCAGGAAGGGCAATGTATGTTGCAGCGCTCGCACACGTGGCGCGGCTACACCTAAGCTAGGTAGGAAAAGATGAGCTGAGGGCGTAGGCGTGTAAGCCCAGTGGAAGACATACCTTCTTGGCACGACAATTTGTACACTGGAAGTAGATGAAACGTCAGTCAGGAAGGTTTCTGCAAAGACGTATTGCTGCTGTTTAGAAGCGGGACAGGTGCCACTGGTTTCAAGACCGTAGTAAACCTTGGGACGAGGCTCGTGGGGAGTGCGGGCTTACTGAGAGACCGTTACCCAGCTTCCATAACCCCTTGCCGATCCATCTGAACGCAGAATCCTGAGTGCCAATGTACAAGATGGCCAGTGTTGGCGCAAATGGGTACAAGGCGACAATAAATGTGACAGACAGTGAAGAGACGCAAACCCAATCAAAGCGTCTGAGGAGTAGACGTATGGCGGGACTAGGGCTGAGATCATCAACGTCAGACGAAGATCTTGCCTGCACATCCCTGAAGATCGGGCGAGAGTTTGGTTTTTGGAAACAAGTCAATTAATTAGCACGCAAATCTCACACAATATGCTTAACTCATCGATAGCTTCCTCGGTCAGGACCAGAAGTAACGTCCACTCCAACACTCATGGCATGACACACTTTGTGAGTTCCAGCTGAACGGCAATGACGGTTTCCGGTCATCTGGCTCTTCGCACTTGCCCTGCTCTTTTGTTCTACCAATGACGTGCCCCGCCGGTAACTGCGATGCAAAGAAGGGCAGTTCGCACTTTCCGAGACAACGACATCGAAACGCTCTACTGCACCACAACAACCCAACATGCCTCACCTTAGTACCTACCTACCCGTGGAAACTTTTACGTTCAAACTCCTTTTGTCAGAGTGCATGTCAGCATGCCCGACCGTTGAAAGTATGTCAACCATCACGATGACCTCCGTACGGGTCGGATTAATCCAGCAACGCTGCAAAGAGCTCCGTGCGTCGAGCCACCAACACATGCTACAATTCATCCTGTGCCTTTCCCACCTGATGGCGTCTTCACCTCGAAGACGGACTCGGATTCTGAAATCTATTACTTGCCCAGTTGACTTGTGGCATCTTTGTTGTTACAAGAGACCTAGACCCGAAATCGGTCTAAATGTTGCTGCCCCCGATCAATATGCTTGCTCCCGGGTTCCCGGGTCCGGGTCCGGCAGCTGCCGAACCTCATATTACTCGCTTCGATTCCGACACGACTCTCGTCATCTCTTCAGATGCCGACGAGGTCGCCGAAGGAGAGATACAGGACTTGGCCAAGCGGCTAACCTCCGCGTCCCACGGAGGTGTCCACTCATTGTTTCCTGAGCCCTCCGACGCCACAATCGATCCCAGGGACCCGGAATTCGACGCCAGAAAGTGGGCTGCGGCATTCCACAGGCTCCAGACCAAAGCACTTCACGGAAACGCTCCAAACACGGTTGGCCTGGCTTTCAAAAACTTGCACATCTACGGACTGGGCACCACAAGGGACTATCAAAAGACTGTCGGCAACTTCTTTCTGGAGGCTGCAGCGCGACTTGTGCAGTCAAGGAAGAAACAGCAAATCGACATCTTGCACAACGTGGAGGGCGTCATCCAGAGCGGAGAAATGCTTGCTGTACTGGGACCTCCGGGATCTGGCTGTACGACTCTGCTGAAAACGATCGCTGGTGAAACCCACGGTTTCTACGTAGCCGATGGTGCAACACTCAACTACCAAGGCATCTCACCAGATGAGATGAACACGACTTTCAAGGGAGAGGCCATTTACACGGCAGAGTTCGACCACCATTTCCCGTTCCTGACCGTCGGTGAGACGCTCTACTTTGCTGCCCGGGCACGCTGCCCCCAAAACATGGCTCTTCCAGACGGCATCTCGAAGCACAAGTACGCCGAGCATCTTCGTGACGTCGTCATGGCACTCCTCGGCATCTCCCACACAAAGGACACCAGAGTGGGAGATGATTTTGTGCGTGGTGTGAGTGGAGGAGAGAGAAAACGGGTCAGCATTGCCGAGGCAGTGCTGAGCTACGCTCCTCTCCAGTGCTGGGACAACAGTACTAGAGGGCTTGATTCTGCCAACGCCATCGAATTTTGCCACACTCTTCGCATGCAATCAGACGTCTTTGGATTCAGCTCCGCTGTGTCCATTTACCAGGCGCCACAGGAGGCATACGATGTGAGTTCACAATATCCCTGGGCTTTATCTCTTTGCCCCATTGCGAGTCAATGCTGAAACGTTTTTATAGCTCTTTGACAAAGTCATTGTCCTTTACGAAGGGCGTCAAATATTCTTCGGAAAGACTACTGACGCCAGACCGTATTTCGAAAGTCTTGGCTTCCGGTGTCCCGAACAGAAGACCACCGCCGACTTTCTTACTTCCATGACGAGCTCTTCCGAAAGGGTTGTGCACCCCGATTGGAAGGGACAAACGCCGCCGAGGAGCCCTGACGAGTTTGCCCGAGCTTGGCAAGCCAGCGAGCATCGAAGACGCCTTCTTGTGGAGATAGATGAATTCGAGCACGAGTTTCCCTTTGGTGGCAACACCTCCAAGCAATTCTCCGCCACTCGGAGAGTACATCAATCGAAACGGCAAAGACCTTCTTCGCCTTACACCTTGTCCTTTTCCCAGCAAATCATTCTAAACCTATGGCGGAGTTCCAGGCTCTTAATCAGCGAACCTTGGATGACTATCACCATGTTGACAACAAACTGTTTCGAGTCCCTCATCATCTCAAGCATTTTCTACAATCTGCCTCCTAACTCCTCTAGTATATACAAGCGGCTCCTTCTCATATTTTACGCCATACTGATCAATGCCATGGGTAGTATCTTGGAAGTTCTCACACTATACGGCAAGCGAAAGATCATTGAAAAACATGCTCGATATGCTCTCTACCACCCAAGTGCCGAGGCGGTTGCTGCGATGGTTGTTGACCTTCCATACAAACTCGTCAACTCTCTCTTCATCAACGTCCCGATTTATTTTATGACGAACTTACGCCGCGACTCTACCGGACCGTTCTTCTTCTTCCTCCTACTTTCCTTCAGCACAACCATCTCCATGTCAATGATATTTCGATTCCTCGGTTCTGTCACCAAGACAATGGCGCAAGCGCTGGCTCCTTCTGCCATCATCCTTCTAGGTTTGATACTGTTTAGCGGATTTTCCATTCCTCAAGCTTACCTGAGTGACTGGATGGGCTGGATTCGCTGGGTCAACCCCGTATTCTATGTCCAGGAGAGTCTTGCCCTAAATGAATTTGTCGGTCGCAACTTTAGTTGCTCAGATTTCGTCCCCAGTGGCCTCAATTACGACACGTCGTCTGCTAGATCTAATGAGCGGGTTTGTGGTATTGGTGGAGCTGTTCCTGGTTCCAACTCCATCAACGGAGAAGACCACCTTCGTGTGGTTTACGGCTTTGTCAATGGGCATCGCTGGCGCAACTTTGGCATAGTGGTTGCTATCACCGTCATCTTCATGACTATGTATCTTGTTGCCGTTGAGTTGGTGTCATCCGAAAGGTCCAAGGGTGAAGTTCTTCTATTCAACCGTCGAACGTTGAAAAACGTGAAGAGGGGTCCCAACGACGACGAAAACCTTGGGGGGAACCAGCCATACCCGGTCATTGAGAAATCTGAAGACAGCGACAGCTCTGGCCTTGCGAAACAGACGTCCGTGTTCCATTGGAAGGATGTTTGCTACGATGTGCAAGTCAAAGGAGAGACTCGCCGGATTCTCGATAGGGTTGATGGATGGGTGAAGCCCGGGACCTTGACTGCGCTCATGGTAAGTCTACACCTCATCATCGATCGATCTTGGCCCTTTCCTGACAAGAACCTTACCAGGGAGTTTCGGGAGCCGGCAAGACGAGTCTGCTTGATGTTTTGGCAAGTCGCGTAACGATGGGTGTTGTCGGTGGCGAGATGCTCGTTGATGGTCATCTTCGGGATTCCTCGTTCCAGCGCAAGACCGGATACGTGACACAACAGGATCTCCACCTCCATACGGCGACCGTCAGAGAAGCCCTAAACTTCAGCGCATTCTTACGCCAGCCTCGGCAGTACAGTCGGGAGGAAAAGCTGGCGTATGTCGATACTGTTATCGACCTTCTCGGCATGCAAGAGTATGCTGACGCTGTGATTGGGGAGTTGGGCGAGGGCCTCAACGTTGAACAGCGTAAACTTCTAACGATTGGCGTTGAGCTGGTGGCCCGACCACAGTTGCTTCTCTTTCTGGACGAACCAACATCGGGGCTCGACAGTCAAACTTCGTGGTCAATTTGCGATCTGATGGAAAGGCTAACAAAAAGCGGCCAAGCCATTCTCTGCACCATTCACCAGCCATCAGCATCGCTTTTCCAGAGATTTGATCGATTGTTGCTGCTTGCAAAAGGCGGACAGACGGTCTACTTTGGTGACATCGGGAAGAACTCGCATGTTCTTCTCGACTACCTTGGTCGGCACGGTGCCCCGGGCTACCAACCCGGATCGAATCCTGCCGAGTATATGCTCGAAGTCATTGGAGCAGCCCCTAAAGCCCACACTGATATCGACTGGCCAAATGTTTGGCGGAAGAGTGAAGAATACCAGAGTGTTCAAAGCGAGCTAAGAAGACTATCGGAGCACAAGAGTCATAACGATGCCAGGCAGACGACGGAAACCCATGATACTTTGGCACACGAGGAGTTTGCCGCGGATTTTCGTGTCCAGATCCACGAAGTAACGAAGCGAGTATTCCAGCAGTACTGGCGTAGTCCGTCGTACATCTTCTCGAAATCCATTGTTACTTGTGGTTCAGTGAGTGCATCCCATTTTCTGGAGCCTGCAGGCACTGACTGGATGAAACAACAGGCACTTTTCATTGGATTGACGCTCCTGGGGGGCGACAACACGAAACGTAGCCTCAAGAACCAGATGTTCGGGGTTTATACCTTTCTTTTTATCTTCAGTCAGGTTGTCCAGCAAATCATGCCCGTTTTTGTGTCCCAACGCACAATGTACGAAGCCCGCGAGCGTCCGGCCAAGTCGTATTCTTGGAAAGCTTTCATGGCCGCCAATGTCATAGTTGAAATCTTTTGGAACTCTGTAAGTCTCCTTCAAATCTGGTGGCTGATACGAGTAAGATTCTAAACACATGATAACTAGATCATGGCCGTTTTCTCCTTCCTTTTGTGGTTCTACCCAATGCGACTTGATCGAAACGCGGAATGGACTGATGCTGTTCAATCTCGCGCCGTCACTTTCTTTCTCATCTGCTGGGTTTTCTTTTTGTTCTCCAGCACGTTTGCGCACCTCATGATTGCCGGACTGGGCAGTGCCGAGGTCGCGGGTGGCATCATGAACTTGGCCTTCATTTTGATGTTTGCCCTCTGCGGGTATGTTACTCCCTCTTGTTCTTTGAAAATATGGACAGCTTAACTGATGTTCTAACAGTGTGCTGGCGGGCCCCCACGAGCTTCCTGGCTTCTGGATCTTCATGTACCGTGTCAACCCCTTCACATACCTCATGGACGCATTCCTCAGCACTGGCGTGGCCAATGCGCCCGTTAAGTGCAGTCCAACCGAGCTTCTCATATTTGATGCTCCGAGTGGCCGTACTTGCGGCGAGTATATGGCCGAGTACATCCAGAACAATGGCGGATATCTGGTCAATAACAACGCCAGTAAGTGTCAATTTTGCGATATGGCAGATACAAACACGTTCTTGTCGGATATGAATATGAGCTTTGATAACCGATGGCGCGACTTTGGGTTAATTTGGGCTTTTTGCGTGTTCAACATTGTTGCGGCCGCGGCTTTGTACTGGGTTACGCGGGTACCCAAGAATGATTTCAAGAAACGTTCACCGTCGAATGCTTGATTCGCACAGAGCACAATGCATTGATCGGATTGATCTAGGAGAGCATCAAGTTACGCCAATGTTAGGATGAATGGTTATTAGATGTCATAATTAGATTCTTTGGGTAACTTAGATCGCGGGTTTGGAGACTCGGGATAGTCAGTCTACTTGTCACGTAACCAAAAACGACGCCATTATTTACGGCGTATTAAATAACGCTTATACGCCCCGTGACATCTTTTTAGCTCCTTTGTGGTAACTATGGCGAAGCAGTAAAAACATCTGTACCAAAAGTTTACGTTTTCCGTTTTCTCGAAATGTCGGTAAAGATTCCTCAATACAGATTCTAGGCTGAGTTCTAGACCCTATGTCTCGTCGATCGGGGCTGATACAAGCGTTGCTTACTTGCTACGTTGGATCGATCGGCAAACGAAGGTTTTTATATCAGGTTGCAGCAGTAAGGGTTCTCTATCGAACAACTTCATCTCTTCTTTAGCGTTTGACCGAAGAACTCTGAGAAGCACATGATCATCGGGCACCTACAGCGAACGCATACATAATCTGTTCCAGGTTAGGAGTTTGACGCAAGCTGATTTCTCGGTAGCCGTGGTACGAAAGGCAAGCCAGGCTGAGAAAGAATATGCCAAGCCATGTATTCTGCACCGCAATACAACCTTTCTCTTTTGCTGGTTTGGTATATAATGTGTTCAGGGCGGAAAGGTGCATGAGTCAGTTACCAAAGTCCCATTCCCCCGCCATGCACACGCTGCATATCATGGTGAATATGATCAATTTTCTGGCTTCACTACAACGCTGTCACGACGCCTTGCCGACCCTGGGAATCATCCCAGACAGTCCGGGCCACCAATTAGCAGCGCCAATAATCAAGGCAGTATGTGTGATTATTCCACAAGGCCGAAACATGGCTGAGTTGAGGACGCAAGTGTTTACTGCAAATTTTGTCGGCTCAGATGTTGAATCCGACAGGAAGCCCTCTCCTTCGAGCCAGAGTTGAGATATTCTCCCTCGACAGCGGGATAAGGCAATAGGAGCATGTAGAAACCGTCACTTCTCAAGCGGCTTCATGTCGGGGTTTTGAACGTGCCATGTGTTCCTAAAACCTGACTCTATAGACATTGGCTCTGATTGGCTATCATGCCGTTCTTGACGGCTGTGGCGTTCTTTCGCACCCGAAGGGATACGGATGCAGTGGTAGGGCATATCTTGAGATACGTCCGACATACGAGTGCCAGATATTGACAATACGGGGGTGGGCTTCTATAGAGAGAAGAATTAGGCCAAGTTCCCAACAGCTATAGTGTTTCTCTGCATCATGAACACATGTCATTGGCCAAATCACTCATCACAATATGAAAACAAAGGGGCCTCTCAGAAGGTTGCCAGAGCCTGTCCCGTCAATTCTGGCTGTCTCAGGTTTACCGCTGGTTTTGTTCCGCTTACACCCTCCCCCCAGCCGGCTAGCTTGGCTGCCCACGCCGAGTAGAGTCGAGTAAAGTCGAGTAAAGTCGAGTCCTCCATGGGAAACACCCCAATTCAGGCAGGGTACGGTACGGGTAGTTAGTCTCTCCTGACAAGCAGGGATGACGGCGCGATGGAACCGTATCAATCCGAGCGCTGATTAAAGGTCTCTCTAGTTGAAGTCAAAAAAGCTTAGTGCTGCGCTCGAACCCAGTCGCGGGCACTTGGGACAAGGGAAAGCGCCCTCTGTCAGAAGCAAGCCATGCGCTGCTCGGGAGAAGGCCTTGTAACCTGTAAAGATGGCCCTTCGGAACGGTTGACTCCCATTAGCGGCATACGTCGTGCTTTTCACATGGTGCTCAGTCTCGTTGCTCAAAATCGACACATGCGTATTGTTCGCTAGTCAAACGTAATCTTGGTACCGGTATGCTTTGCCGCCGCACCCGTCAGCCTCGCGACCATGATGTCGTCCTGCGCCTTCAGCTCGCCCGCCGCCGGCTTCGGCTTCTCCGTCCTCGGGGGCCGCGGAGCTCTCGGCTTCCTCTCCTGTGTCGGCGCACCGTCCGCACCCCCCTCGGCGTCCTCGCCGTTCTGCTGCTGTTGCCTCTTGGGCGCGTCCTTGCCGAACCGCTTTTTGTACCGCGTCTGGTCGTCCTCGGCGAGCTCGATCTTGAGCATGCGGCCGAGGAGCTTGTTGACCCACCACTTCCTCATCTTGAAACGCGGCTCCTCGGCCGTCTTCTTGTCCTTCGCCTCGTCCCCTGCCTCTTCCTCCTCCTCCTTCATCTCGTCGTCGCCGTCCTTGTCCTTGGAGGATTCGACAAAGTCGTCCTCGGTCTCAATCTCCTCCTTGATCTTAACGAAACCCTTGACAGCCCAGCCGGCAGACTCGGGCTCGCGGAACTTGACCCAGCCGTAGCCCTTGCACTTGCCTGTGTCCTCAAAGGTCGCGACCTTGACCCAGTCAATCTGCCCGCACTTTTCGAAATGCTGCCACACGTCGTCGTCGGTCGTCTTGAAGCTCAGGTTGCCGATGAAGATCTTGCTGCTCTTGGGCACCTCTTCCTTGGCAGCAACGGCGGCGGTCTCCTCCTCCTTCTTCGGCCGGCCCTCGAACGACTTGGAGTCCTTGATCAGGAGCTTGCGGTGGCCCAGCTCGGCCTCGGTCAGGGCGATGGCGGCGACCTTGGGCGCGACATCGTTGAAGTCAACGTAGGCGAAGCCTTTGTTCGAGGGCTTGTCGCGGCCGGCCTGCTTGGTGGACGGCAAATGCAGTCTTGTGATGGACTCTTCGGTAATCATCTCGCCCGAATTGGCGATAAGCCACTTGCGTAGGTCGTCGGCGGTGACGAAGAAGGGCAGGTTGCCGATCCACACGCCGTGCTCGGAGCGGGCCTTGGCGGCCTGGTCCTTCTCCTCCTTCTCCTTCTTTTTGGCCTCCTTCTCATCGTCGCTGTCGACCTTGGGAGGCAGCTTCTTGCCCTTCTTCAGCAGACGTTTGGCGCGCTTCGAGGGGGGCTCGGGAGCCTCGAGGTCGACCTCGATCTCGTCGACAACAACCGACTTGCGCTTCTTGGACTCGGGAGATTGTGATGTCGCATCTTCGGTCTTCGGCGTCTTGGACGGTTTCTCCGCTCCAGTGGTGGCCATTGCGAGGACCTGATGGGGGGTTCCGGGATGTTCCAGAATCGGTCACTCCAAAATCCGGAAGGCTTGTTGGAAGCGACGGTGAGAAACTCGCATCGGGGACCCTTCGCCGCTTGCACCCTTGGCCTCGAATTTTTTTTTTTTTTCCCCCTTTTGGTATTGGATTGGAATCGACAATCGATAAGGCGATAAGAGTGCTTCTGGGTGAAATAACCCCACTCTATCTATTATGGGGCTTGTGCTCACCGAGGTCAAGGTCGCTGAGCTCGGGCCAGACAGAAAGTATCTTTTGGCGTATCGGTACCTAGAGTATTTTTTGGGCTGCATAGAGCTACATAGGTACCTAGGTACTTACTCAGCTAAGTGGTAAGATACTTAAGCAAGTCGGCAGTAAACGCTGAGTGTCTGGAAGGTGGTTGGGATTTGGACCAAAGTTGCGCCCTGCATTTGTTCGCCACGTTTCTGTTGGTTGGTACACGACTAAGGTGCGAGGTGCGGACAATAACCTGGTCACCAGGATGAAGAAGAAAATGCGGTGACTGAGATAATTCGCAAGGATATGTCTGAGTGTCTCTCCCTTTGACTTGGCGTATTGACATCAAATTATGTCTTGTTTTGATTCGGGGAAAGACAAGCATAACGCAGCATGGATAGGCCAATGTAACGCAAATGATGAGATGTTACCATACCTAGTACTGCATACAAGTGCCAATCAAGCAAGCACTTGTCGTCAAGGACAATGAGGGGCATCCACCCGTAGCCGGGGAGCGCTAGACTTAGCTCCTCAGGGAATATTGTTTAGCACTTTAACGAGTTAGAGGGGTTGATAACCTGCCATGGATGATGATGCGAAGGGGGTCGACCCGCGACCCGCTTTGAGTTGAAGATTAAGCGACCCGCCAACGCTTATGGGCTCTGCCAAGCCGTGTTCAGCCACGTCCCGAGAAAAAAATAAATGCAGCCGCTCAGCCGGCCCAGAACTGTGCGTGTAGCTGACTAGGAGGCGGGAAGAAGGGGAGAGAGAAAAAAACAAGCTGCACTCAGCTGCAAGCCAGAATGTGGGTCTGAGAAGAGAGAGAGAGAGAGAGAGCGACTAGGCACACACTAGCACGGCTCGTAGATACAGAAGCAAAAGCAAAAGCAGAGACAAGCCCCTCTCCGCCACCATAACAAGCCACAACAGCCATAGAAGAGAGACCCCCTGCCATCCACTCACGTGCGGATGATTTCTGACGAATGAGGGACCCACCAGTCACCTAGGCGAAACCGCCAATGGCCGCCATCCAGACTCTCCACCCCTGGTCACAACAACTTTTCGCAAAGATCCTGGCAAGGTACCTACCTCTATAGAACGCACCTGCTAGGTACCGCATCCTCTCCAAGGCTGCTGTTTCGGCATAGGGCATCCATCGGGCCCTTGACCGCTTCTGTTTAATCTCGCAAGCGGCTTGCAGCAGCCCGACCGAGCGGCACTGCACCCTCTCTGAGTTCTTCCCCGTCTAGCTTGGTCCAATGACAGCGGCCGCTCAGGAGTCTTGTGGCTCTCCCGAACACCACCAAAGCCGCCTCAATCCACGTCTCCCACACTAGGTATGCCTAGGTAGGTATCTTGGTAGTGGTCCGTATTCGCCATCCAAACACTACTTACAGTACTTACAAGGGGGGCAGGCTGCTCTGTGTACATGGAGAGTGGATAGGTGGATACTATGTTAACTAGAAATCCGGCCAACGCACGTTGCTTAGCTGGGTCACAGTGGTCCAGTGATCCAGTTGCAGCACCAGACCCGGTGCCTCAGACCCCAGAGCGAGGTGAGAAAGGGTGCAAGGTCCAGCAGGTCCAAGGCCTGAAGAGAGGCGCCAAAGAGGGAAAAGCTCCTCTTTTTCCTTCTCTTCCCCCCTTCACATTCCCGCTCCCTCGCCCCAGCCCAGCAGTCAGTCGCCTTCATCGTCCCTTCTTCCCCTTTGCCCAAATCCTACTTCTCTTTTCCCCTCACATCCACACTCTCACCTACACATCAATCCAACAAACACCGCCGCCCGAACTCCTGCTCCTTCCAGAAACCCCCATCCGAAACTTGAAATCATTCAAAGGATCCCGTCGTCTGGTCGCATCTGGATTGTTGTCGTCGTAGTCGTCGTCGTCGTCGTCGGTCGCAAGCGTCGTCGTCATCCAGAGTCAAAACGCTGGAAACCTCCCGCTCGGCTCCGATTCCCGATCTCCGTTCGGAATCAGCCCAAATATGAATGTGCTGCTATCGCCACAACCACCTCTCTTCCAGCACCCTCACGAAACCAACCGTATCTCTCCCTCTCGTTCTTGTGAGTAACTCCTGCCGCTCTCATTTGCATAATTATTTTTTTCGCCCCTCTCCCTGCGCAGGCAAATTTCCTGCATGCCCGAAAACCCAACAACCCGACGCTAACTCTCAAACAGTGAGCCCATTTCACAACATGTCCACCAGCCGCAAGCGCAAGGCCGACGAAGACGGCGACGAAATGTCTATGTCTCCCCGAAGCTCCCCAGCCGCCTCATCACGACAACTCCAGCGACCCTCGAAAAAGGTCCGCTCTAACGAGCTAGTCGGCCGGCCGCTCACCCTCCCCCGACTGCTGGAAACTCTTGACCCGACCGCCCTGCGAACCGTCCTCGAGCGAATCTGTGAGCGACATCCGGACATCGGCCAGGAAGTGGTCAACAGCGCTCCTCGCCCGACCGTCGCCGCTGCACACGGCGTTTTGCAGGAGTATCAGGACAAGATGAAGGCCGCCATCCCTTACGGCGAGACCAGCCCCGACTACACCTACTACCGCGTCAAGGCGCCCATGACCGCCCTCATTGATGCTCTCCTCGACTTCACCCCTCAGTACCTGCCGCCAAACGAGACCCAGACGACCGTCTCGCTGCAATATATGGATGGCGCCACCAAGATCATCCACGCTCTCCCCGACTGGGAGCCCCAGCAGTACCGGCACCACAAGGAGAACGCATACGATGAGATCTCCAAGGCCTGGGCCCTGGTCATCAACGAGGCGGCCAAGCGCGGGGGCGGCCTGAGCCTCCACACGGGAGGGTGGGACCAGACCCTGGCGAAACACCACGAGATCTCGGGCGGGCGCATGGGCACGGCGATGAACGCGATGGCCACGAGCGTCAGCTGGATGGCACACGGCGGCTCCTCAAACGGACAGCAGCCCGGAAACCCATCCTCGGATCAGAACTCAATTCTCAACCAGCTCATGTCTGGCACCTACGGTGCGCCCGTGCGTGTTGGGCCTTGGTAGAGGGCACGGAAGTGAGAAACCAATGCGCATGTCCATAACCATGAGGCCAAGGGAAAAAAAACAAGACAAAGGAAAAGACTACGAAAGAAACTGGCATCCATCATGAGATATCGGCCACGGTCGATGGCATCACCCACCTGGACATATCACGACGACTATAACGACGGCTTCCTTTTCATTTATTTTCCTCCATTACTTCATTCAGCATGGGGCAGCAAAGGGCATAGACTTCTGGGTCCTGCGGACAGATTTTATGTCAGGACCGGTACGGGCTGGGCGGCGTTTTTTGTCAACTTTCTGATCGATGATATCCCTTTCCTCTCGCTTGCAGCGAGTCGTTCCCGGGGTGAAGAGGAACGGCTTTCATCACTGCCTCTCTTCACCACCATGGTTGACGATGAAATCGAGTCACGCACAGTTTCGCATGTTAGGTAGTCTGCTTTTTTTTGTAGGATTCAAGGAAAGCATCTGGGGAACAGCAAGCAATCCATGGTCCCGCCCACTTGGGAGAGTTTACGTCTAAGCAATACGCACATAATTATGGGCCCTTGGTAGCAATAGTAGTAAGTACTAGTAGTAGCAGTGGTCCAGGACCCGGTCGCGACGGAATGAGAGTGCATTTGGACATCGCATCGAGTAATGGAATCGTAGCATGGTGTGAGAAGTGTAAGAAGTGTGAGGGTTGTGGCATGGCAGAGAATGGTTTCACAGCAGCCGGCTGGCTGGCTGGCTCCCTCATATTGGGGTTAGGAAGCATGGGCTTTAGAGGCATTCATCACGTGAAATACATACAAGGAGAATGCGTACGTGTCCCTCCCTGCCCATCGTCCTGGGCCGGCCATTTGTGTGTCCAAGACGGCAGATCTGTTTCAACTGCCCACTGACTCGGTGCCACGCATACAGGCCGTTGATGGGGGTGAGTATCTTGGTAAGGCGCCTGCAGGCAATTACTGGTAACTATGGATATCCGTAATCTTACACGATATGCGTGTTTGCGTGCAACTCATTGTTTGTTTGCTGCAACACCTTATTGTCCAGAGAGAGCGCAATCAGGTGGGTTTGCATTAGTGACCTGATGCACCCCCTCCCTCTGTGTGTGTCTGATTGATCGCCAACCCGTAACCGAAGCCGGGTCAGACGCGGCACCTCATGATCATCGTCCCTTGTATCTGTTACTCGGCCGAACATGAGCCCAAGCCAGCAAGCAGTTGGGCAATCCCCTTTCCCAGTTCGTGCGCTCGGGTCGTGGCACACCAGTACACTCTCTCACTACCCTATGGTTCGTGGCCAGATCCCTGTTCAGTTCTGTGTTGATGCATTTGCTACGGTCTGGGTTGCTCGGTTGTGTTTTGAGCCGGATGCAAATGTGATATATATCAATGATGGTAGAGGACTGAAACAAACTCGAGGAAATGCACCTCTCCCGCTTGCGGTGCTGGGATTGGATCCTACCGATCACAAGAGATGCGCACTCTCTCCGCGCGGAGGGTAGGGCGCCTCCGGCAAAAGCTTCATTTGGCGGGGTAGGTTTGTGGAAGTACTCCAACCGTTCCCCGTTCGGACGACAGCCGCGGTGGGCTCTGGCGTTCGATTCTAGTCCTCCTCAGGTACGTTGTGTGCTGAGGAGTACCACGGTACCTGCTGAAACCCCATGGCTCCAGGTACGGCTCAGGCGGTAGGCGGCTCAACTAAGGTTTAGGGGGGTACTCACATCATCCTCTTTGATCGGGTCACATGACCACCCGTCATTGTTGCCTCCCGCCTCGACGCGTGAAAGGCGAACGCTTGCGTGAACGCGCCACTCGAGCTTGCTCCTCATTTAGGCAGACGGCGCGCACCAAGTCGACTCTCGACAGCAATAACTCCACCTTTGAGGCATTTGCTCTGTCTCTGAAGCTTCTTCCAAGCATTAAATATTGCGGCGTATTAAAAACCACGGACGTCGAATTTAGCAAGATGCCCGCGTAGGTTGCTGTCGTCTACACACGCGTCGCGCCCACTGACAATGTTGTTTCTAGCCCGGGCGATCAACACGGCACCGTGGCGAACCCTTTCGAGGAGCCCCAGAGACGAATGAGCGAATACACGGCCCAGGAAATTGCTACCCTGCAAAGTCGTCTAGAGAAGCAACTCGGCCCTGAGTACATATCCGCACGCGCCGGCCCTTCAGGTCAGAAGGTCCACTACATCGCCGCAGAGAAGTGCATCGCCCTCGCGAACGAGGTGTTTGGCTTCAATGGATGGTCCTCTTCCATTCAGAACATTCAGGTCGACTTCGTCGACGAACACCCGCAGACCATGAAGATCAGCCTGGGCCTGTCCGTCATCGTCCGCGTAACGCTTCGCGACGGCACATTTCACGAGGACATTGGGTACGGCCACATTGAGAACTGCAAGGGCAAGGCGGCCGCCTTCGAGAAGGCCAAGAAGGAGGGTACCACGGATGCGCTGAAGAGGGCGCTCAGGAACTTTGGCAACGTGCTCGGTAACTGCATCTACGACAAAGACTACCTCTCCAAGGTGACCAAGATGAAGGTCGCTCCGACCAAGTTTAACGAGACCGAGCTGCATAGGCATTCCGATTTTGCCATCAAGAAGGAGGAGGAAAAGGCGGCGCCGCCGCCACCACCACTGGTCAAGTTGGAGACGGCGGAATCGATCGAGGACCTGCTTGAAGGTAGGCTGTTTTGGTTCGTTAATGAACGAGTCCCGTGACTGACATGCCCAGATTTTGACGAGGCGGACTTTGCCGTTGTCGAAAGCGATCACCCGGATGAAGTGGTGCTTCCCACCGCAGCAAATGGTGCTTCGAACGATAGACCCGCGGGCGTTGCGCCAGCGCCCGTCCCCCAGCGTATGCAAGCCCCGTCCCGACAGATGGGCAGGAGCACATCGACAGGGAACCTACGAGCACCTCAGACACCAAACCAGGCACAATCGCGCCAGGTCCCTCCAATAGCCTATGGCAACCGGCCCCAAGCACCAAACCAGCCCCGCGCACCCACGAACCCGTCCGCTCCGTCCGCTCCGTCGGCCCCTCCAGCCAACGGAAATATGACCACGCCAGGGCAGGCCGGCAACGCCGCCGAGCCCATTGGCTTTTTCTCCGCACGTGCTGTACAGCAAATCCCGGAATCTGCTTTGCAGGCGAACAACACTGACTCGCCTCTTCTGCTGCCAGCCGGGCAACAAGCCTTCAATCCAAAGGCAGAGAGCCCATCCATACGAAAGACCCCCGGCATAGACCACTCCGTTTCGAAGCCCCTCTCCAGGTCTGGTCAGCACGTCCCGCCTACTTCATCGCAGCAGCCTTCGACATCGGGCTTCACACCAGTCAAAATGAGCAATGCAGGGCCCGGCTCCGGGGGTGCTGCCGGTGTGCAGCACCTGCAGCTTAGCCAGAGTCGACGGATCGGAGCTCCAGGGGGCGCAGGTAGTCCCTTGGCCAACCGGGGCTCCTACCGGCCACCGACCATGAAGCGCCCGCTACAACAAGACAGTGCCGGAAGGCCAGCATTGGCTGACGTGTCAACCAATGGAGCGGCGGGCAATGCTCCTGGTGTACAAGGGTTTGATCCCAAAAGGCAAAAGATGTCATGATTTACATCTCTGGCATGACGAGTATAGCTGGGAGACTGTGATTTGGCCAGGAGCTTTGGAGTCTGGTTCGATCGGGTATGGGTAAAGGAGTCGGAGTTCGGGCAGGGTCGGTATAGGCACGTCTAGCCTATGGTGTCTGAGACAGATTATGGAATGTAACGAATGAATTTCTTTCTCTTCGTTGGAAGAGACCACGGCGCTGTATTTTGTCCTGCCTCGTTGCACACGTGTAGAACTCTTTGTGGTTTCTGCCGCGACTACTAGGTGGCATGTCTGGGCCTCTTGCGTAGTTTCCATGGCTTCTAATGGGAAAGCCTCGACGTGACATTATTTCTCTTCAAGCCTTTGTGTCAGAGCACAGCGATTGGGGCTATTGGGTGGTGGACATCTCGTGGAGGGGCGGGGCAATGGTTCGGCTGCTCGCTTGATCCCCCAGAGTCACGCATGTGTTTGGGGCTGACAGGCCTTCTCCCATGACGGGGAAACCGATTCGAGATCTTGCCTGCGGGCCTCTGCTCTGGATCTCAAGGATGTCGAAAAGTCGGCATTGTATTCGATATCATCGGAATCAGCGTGTTGCCTCGACTTTGGGTTCGCGCGGGCTTATCGAGAGTATCCGCAGCACAATGGAGAACTAGAGACTACCTTTCTGGGATAGGGGCTGTAAGAAATGCCGATTACTGATGTGGAAATACACCCCTTTGCCTGTTGAAAGTTTCCAGGTCTGGTCCAGGGCAAATATCTCGCTATGAGAAAACATACGTTTTATGTAGCCTTGGGCTCGGTGCCTCGGCCAGCGTCACAACCTACGTACGACTACTCGAGTAAAAGTATTATGACACCGCGAAGTATCGTACCGGGATAGCTTGCAATGAGTATATCTCACACATTGGCCGTATATCATTTGTCCTCTTTTTTGTGGACCATCTTTCAGTTCTCGACATTGCCTCAAACGTAATGTCGTGTGGCAATTTGGGGATTGTCCGACATTACTTGCCTCGTCTCCGCGAACTATCACGATTACTCGCTTGATGTAAGATATGAAACCACGGACGAGGTTGACCAACGATGGCACGGTGGTTGCCTCCAGTGAGCTATTGACCGGCGATTGCTCCACAGAGACGATCAATTATTGATACGATTGAGTGACCTTTCAAGCAAAGGATTATAGGTACGTTTCCAGAGGATAAGTGGATATGTATCGTTAATGAAGAGCTGATATGGGTGGATCATGGGAGACTTTGAAGATCATCGCAGGAAGTGCGTCGATAGCATGGGTATGCCGGAAGAACAACCAGCAATTATTGGTTTGCGGCCATCACTCATGTCTTCCATTGGACGGAAAAATCAAACTGGAATACAAAGTCGTCCTCACGAGCCGTGAGAAAAAAATCCTCGTTTATAATGGTGGTATGTTCAATCGCCCGCCACAGCATATCACTTCCCGCTTCAGAAACGAAACCCTTCTTCATTACATAACCCGCCTCTGGAATAACCAGGGGGGTCCAACAAGCTCCGATCCACCGACCGAGCCATCGATTTCGTCACTACTCCGTCTGGGAGGCGCACGCACCCGAGCAACACACCTATCGCTCTCCAAACCTGAACCTCCTCAACCAAACCTGCCGTCTGCCCACTTCCATCCAATGTTCCCGCTTCCCTTCGATTGAATTTCCTAGCAAACGAAAAAGCATGAGGCATGCTCCTCCGCCGGTTCCAACGGGCAGCGGCCCCTCCCCTCCGCTCCGGCGCATTCCCGATCCCGGTCCCGTCCCCAGCGCAGCTCTCCCGAGCTCGCAACCTCGCAGCGTTCACCACCTCGCGTGCGCTGCGTGATGACGTCGCTTCCGCGAACCACTACGAGACCCTGAAGGTCGCTCACGATGCATCGCCCTCCGACATAAAGAAGTGCGTTCTTGTGTCTCCCTTTCTCTTTCTCCCTCTTCATTCCGATCGCTTAGCTATTTGCTGGCGATGCAAATAACCCACCACCACCACTGATGCAACCTCACCTAGAACTTCCCCCAACCTCCTCCCACTTGAAGCCATCCCTCCCTCGTACTGCCATCCCTTCGAGAAAAAGCTGACGTCTCCCGTTCCTGAAGATCCTTCTACGCCCTTTCAAAAACCCACCACCCAGACCACAACCGCAACGACCCCGATGCCTCACGAAAGTTCCACGCCATAGCAGAGGCCTACTCCGTCCTCGGCACCCCCGCAAAACGCGCCGCCTACGACCGCTCCCTACCGTCCTCCTCCTCCTCCTCCTCCTCCTCCTCTTCGCACGGCCGCCGCGGCTCCTACCACAGCACCGGCCCCGCCGGCGGCCGCCCGGCCTCTGGCCTCTCGCGGCGCAGGACGACCTTCCGCGGCCCCCCGCCGAGCTTCTATAGGTCCGGCGGGTGGGGCGAGCAGTCGGCGAAGCGCAGGGAGGCGCACGAGGGCAGCGCCGGCGACGGGACAGGGACGTCAGGGGCGAGCGCGCAGCCCGGCATGGGACCCGGGCAGGACCCGTACAGGCACACGAAGTCCAGCGAAGTGCCACATTTCAATTCGCAGACGCACACCAAGTCGCAGTCAAAGCAGGACTCGCGACGAGCGCACAGGGTCGCCGGCACGGAGGTGCCCATCGGACCGCAGGAGACTTCAGTGGGCGCTTTCATGGCCGTCAGCGGCGTTCTGTTCTTGACCTTCTTCATACCATACGTTGCCTTCGGCGGGTTGCGTCGCAGGAAGAAAGATGCGAAAGTTTAAAATTAGAAGCGCATAGAGACAAAGGTATCAAGCGATAGACGTCTATCAGGATAGAAAGAAACCTCACGAAGGAACTCAACATCCCGCTGAACAGCACATCGAACAAGAGCATACTGAGTGCCGGCCGATCAAACTCAATTACTCCCCGAACTAATATACACTAGACAGGAGCCTCCAAATGAAATGTGAAGAGCATTGGGTCCTCTACCCGGCTGGAGAAAGCTGATCAAATTGTCCTCATCAAGTATACAGGTGGTGAAAAACTCTTAGCCCTCGAAGGTGAAGCTGGCGCCAAGCTTGTGAGTAGCCTGGTCGAGCTTCTGGGTATCAAAGGAGGCACCAAGACCCAGGGTAACACCCTCACGGAGGAGGACATTGTAGCCAAGGGCGGCAACACCGTTGTTGTTGACCTTGAACTGTACGCGAGCATGTTGGTCAGTAAACGTTCGTCAAACCAGTTCACAAAGGGAAAGCGACGCACCTTGGCGAAGGAAACGGGGTCAATGCGGTACTTGCTGGCGACCTCGAGGCCGACGTTGTTACCGGCCTTGGAGTTCCAGGTGGCCTTGGCACCAGCCTCAACCTGGCTGTTGACCTTGTGGTAGTAAGAAGCAGCGAAGAGGCTGAGGTTGTCGCTGGCGGTGATGGCAGCGCTGTAGGTGGGGGCCTGGTAGCCGACGGCGGCGGCGTAGCCGGTGATGGAGGCCTTCTGGACATCGTAGCCAGCAGAAGCACCGGCGAGGAAGCCCTCGTGGCCAACAACGGCATCGATGTTGGCGGTGGGGCCCTTCAGAAGGTCGAAGAAAGCGCGGCTGTGGAAGTTGCTCTGCTTGAAGGTAAGGTTGAACTTGGCACCCTTCTTGGAGACGGCCTTCTCGCCGGCGGAGGGCAGGAAGGAGAAGACACCCTCAGCCTTCAGGCCCTTGGCGAGGCTGTCGGCGAGCTCGACCTTGGTGTCAAGGGCAGCAGCGGTGTTCCATGTCTGGGTAAGGGTCAGGCCTGCGCGACGGTAGAATGTTAGCAAAAATGCACGACCGGGCGTCCAGCCTGCGGCAAAATGGACCGGAATGCCGTAGAACAATCCGTTTATTTGGCCGAGGCTGAAATGTAAACGCTCTAAACGATGGACGGTGGTTGCTGTACCGGTAGACTTGTCGGAGTATTTGCCCTCGATCTGGATGGGGAAAAAACAGGTCAGCTCAGGCTCATGGTTGTTTACACGACGTCAACAGCACTCGATGCGCCTTTGGTGTGTGGAAATGGTGTGACTTACAGCTCCAGCAGTGCTCTTCTCGTGGGAGCTCTTGCCGGTGACCTTGAAGGCAACGTTGTTGGGGGTGTTGCTCTTGAGCTCGAAGGTGGTGGCAGAGAGGTGGTAGAAGTCCTTGTTGAGAAGCTATCGAGAATCAATCGTCAGCTGAGTGGTTTCTCGTCGTGGATGACCTCGGTCAGGGAAAGAGCCAAGAGCTCTCTATTTCTCCCTGATCCGCGAATACCCGAACAAGATAAAGAGAGAGGGAAAGCGCATACGTCGTTGGCCGACTTGGCGATGTCTCCGAAGTTAGGAACAGACATGTTTGCTGATTTTGGCAAAGGACGTTTTGGGAGAGAGAATTGAGGTGAGAATGGGAAGCGGTCAACGAGATGCGACAAGTGAAAAGGCGGGTTGCAAGTGTCCTTTCAGGAAATAGTCTGCTGGGGCGCGAGCTGTTCGAGAAAATGTTTTGGTTGCATCAATTGGTTGACGGGGATTCCCGGCACAAGTCGGTCCGGAGGAGCTGTGTGACTGTGTGGTGACGGGGCTGCACTAGGACGCTTTCGGATGCACGTGGGGGATCTGTTATTGGTTTGTTGGGATTATGGCAGGCTGTGGGTGAAGTTTGGACACGGATTCCCAAATAAGGTGATGCACTGAAGAAGTGGATACTGAGTATTGCTGACCGGTTGTTCGATGCGTTTAGTTTTATAACTTGCTTGCTTGGCTTTGTGTGATTCAAAGGTGGACGGGTGGTCATAGGTGGTACTAGTGTAGGAGATGGTAAGGCTGTACTTGTGCCTACTGCCTTGCCTTCACTAACTACCTCTGGTAACAAGAGCGAAAATATGTCAATTCATGAAGATACCTATCAAGATGGCTCTCAGCTTTCCCCATTCTCATTCCTTCCGTTTGCATTTTCCTCTGGCCTTTTCTTCAACGGTTTCACTTCTCTCATACAATGTGGAATAACTTGAGTCACTGTGGATGTGCCCTGCAGCCAATCATTGACTCTACCCTGTCACTTCTGGACAATCACACTTAATCATCGTTGCATACAAAGCGGGCTCTGGGATGGGAAGGTGAAGTTGGGGAAGACTCTATCCGTACCTACCTAGGCCAGGACTGTAGCTTTCTTGCCTAAACCTAGAGAGTAACCCCTGAACATGGCATAGCAAGCGGGGGCAATGGCAAAGGCGTCACCAGGAACACTCGCGCAATTCCATTACTTTCAACTGCAATAGCACCGACAATGTGATCGGTACGGCAGCAACGGTATAGCAATTGCAGCCTCTATTCATCCATCTATCCATCCATATCCCTTTTTTCAAGACTCAAACTTGTTGAGGTCTGCTTAAGCCAACGACCCCGGACGCCTCTCCGCCTTTTACCCGCCCGCATTGACGTAAGATGCTAGGATACGAGTATCCCCCCCCCCAAATTACCACTTTATGCAGCATCGTCGTACTTTTTCTCGTGGATGGCAATGGCTCTATCATGCAACGGGTCAGTAACTGATTTGGCTCTCTGTTTTTAATTGGGACGGGACGTCTTGTGACTCACCTGCCACTGGGGTCCGTTTGCTTGGACCATGTGGGGGTCCAGCGCATGACGGTCGAGGCACAATGCGGCGGGAAGTGCTCATCGAACATAAGACGGTACCAGTACCTGTCAAATTCTGTCAGCGTATTCACTCACTTCAAACGGGTGAGGTTAGACGATGCATACGCCTCCTTGGTGTCCGGAATGTCACTGCCCCACTCCGGTTTGGGGTTCTTCATCATCTCGTCCGTCACCTGAAGCTCAGCGTTGTCCTTGAGTGCGTCGATCCATCCGTATCCGACACCGTCCGAGAACTGCTCCTTCTGTCTCCACAGAATGTTGTCCGGGAGGTACGGCTCCGCACCGGGCTCGTCTGAGGTGTCGAAGGCCTTTCGGAGGATATACTTTTCCATCTTCTCCTTGGTGATCATCTTCTCCTGGGGGTCGATGTTCATGGTCGCCTCGAGGAACTGTGGGAGCAATCGTCAGCGAGGTTACCCTTTCGTCCGGGCTCCAGAGCACTCACCTCCTTGTCCAAAAACGGCACACGAGCCTCAAGACCCCAGGCAGATGTCGACTTGTTGGCGCGCAGGCAGTCAGCAAGGTGGAGGTTCTTGACACGGCGGACCGTCTCCTCGTGGAAGGCCTTCTTGTCAGGAGCGGCGTGGAAGTAGAGGTAACCACCAAAGATCTCGTCACTTCCTTCGCCACTGAGCACCATCTTGATGCCCATGGCCTTGATCTTACGGGAAAGGAGGTACATCGGCGTCGAGGCGCGGATGGTTGTGACATCGTACGTCTCGAGATGGTAGATGACATCGGACAAAGCGTTGAGGCCGTCCTCAATCGTGAAGGTCATGACGTGGTGCTTGGTGCCGAGGAACTTAGCGACCTCAAGGGCTGCCTTGTTGTCGGGTGATCCAGGGAGACCAATGGAGAAGGAGTTGAGTTGAGGCAGATATGTGACTGTCGACAGCGTGTTGTCGTCATCGATACCGACCATGCCCTCCCCAGTGTCGGGGTTCTCCGTCATGGGGAGCACGCCGCCGTTGGCCTCGAGGGCCGCCTTCTTCAGACGCAAAGTCTCTCTTTGGGCAATGGCGGCAACCAAACTGGAGTCCAGGCCGCCGGAGAGGAGGACACCGTACGGCACCTCAGCCATGAGTCTCTTTCTCACAGACTTCTCCAGCTTCTCGCGGATCAACTTCAGGTCGAGAGGTGTCTCGGGGACTCTGGCAGGATCCCACCAAGAAGGCTCGAAGTATCTTGTGGTCTTGCCGGTGGAAGAGTCGTAAACGTGGCCAGGGGGAAAGGCCTCGACCTTGTCACAGACGCTGTGCAGGCACTTCAGCTCAGAAGCAAAGTAAACCGCTTCGGGTTCTTTTGACGACCAGCCATAGTAGAGAGTCGTGATACCGATGGGGTCGCGGGCGGCGATGGTACGGTCATTCTTCTTGTCGTACAAAACAAATGAGAACATGCCATCGAGATGCTTCGGGGCGTCGAGGCCATATTCCATATACTACAGTGAACAAGCACCATTAGAACTCCTTGGGTCCCATCAATGCGAGAAGGAATATCATGCGCGCGTTGCTGACTCACCAAGGGGATGACGACCTCGCAGTCGGAGCCGGTCTTGAAGTGGTAGGTGTGCTTCAGAGCCTTGCGGATCAGGCGGTGGTTGTAGATTTCGCCGTTGACGGCTAGGATGATGCTCTCATCCTCGTTGGTAAGGGGCTGGGCGCCGGACTCTATGGCAAAGGTTAGCCGTTTGTATCGCCGGTTAGGAAGAGGTCGACTTACCAACGCCGACGATGCTGAGACGCTCATGGCAAAGAACTGCGGTTGACGGTCAATTTACGGGCACCACGCAGCTACAATTCAGCTTGACCTACTCGTCCTGTTGCAGATGAAGCTTCCGCCTGTACACGGGTTGGTCAGTTGGCTGCTCGGCGCTGTTGAGGTCGCGTGTGCGTCACGGTGACTCAGAACTCACTCCAATCGGGGCCACGGTGACGGATACTGGAGACTCCGAGTCAATTAATGCTCTCGAAAGCTAGGAATGATACAACTTACGCCTTTGCAAGCTTTAAGGCCGTGGGCTTGAATTTCTGGACGTCAGGATGACTGGGCGCACAAAAAGTCAGTCGCGTCGTCCATGGAAACACATGGCGGGGTCAACTTTTTGTTGGAGGGGGAGCTCGAGTGCCCCTCCATCCCACAGCAGAAAAAGGGACTATCTCGCAGAATTGGGCTTACCGATGACAGGCGAAGATGCCACACATGATTGCGGTCTCGAGCTGCGATTATGTATATGGGATGTGTATGGGATGAAATGCAGCTTCAAAGGTGGCAAGGCGAAAGAAGTGCCTCGAAGGAATAAATACGGAGCAGGAGGCGGGAGCGCGGATCAAAGGGTGGGAGTGAAAGAGGTTATGACTCTTCTTGCGCTTCACCCAGTTTTTTTATCGTTATTTTCTATTTTGCAACGGCCCCGAAGTCAACCTGATACATTGACTTGGCCCCTACCACCTAGCATTCCGACAAACCCTGACACTCGGTTGTTTGCTAGCCCAGGATGCCGAAGGCCGTGGCCGGTGCGTCGATAAGGTCAGGACTGCCGGGTACTGCATATTGTGTACGAAGTACTCGGTGCGAGTGTGACAGCTTGTCTCCTTGGGCCGATCTCGGCTCCTTCACCCATTGGATGATGTGGCCAATCAGAGTTGACAAGATTGCCAATTACCTAACCTTACCGACTGATAAGAAACATGTACAAGCCCAGCCACCAACGGGAGCGTCGAGTCGGTGTGGTGATGCTATTTCCTCGACAGCCCATCGTATGGTGCCACGGAAATAACAACTATTGTGAAATAGACCATAAAGCGACAGCGGCGAAAACTTCCTCGCCCCGGGACAGCATACTGATGACAGCAGTAGGGGCGGTCGGAAGGGTGACGGGAGACTGTGTCTTGGCCGTTTGGTAATGCGCCCGCTCTAATCGAGAGTCCTGAATCCTGACTCCTGACAAACTTACTCGTCACAGGTGTCAGGGTTCCAGGTCTCATGCCGAGTACCTAAGCTATGGTGGAGGCACAGTACCTGCTCCGACGAGATATCCACCCTCGACGGCAGGCCACGGTTTCGCCGAGCGTGATCCACCATCAGAAGAGTCATCACCTAATGGTCGACGCAGGTTCACATCCATTCTGCCATTAAATGGAGGCAAACATTCTGCGCACATATCTCATTCGCAGCATTTTAGCGTCTAATCTTGTATCCATGTCTGGCAGTTTGGCCTCGTCCGCCCCCAACCCCTCATGGCAGCAGCCGCAGCATCATCGACCAGTCCAAAAGTAGAGAAGCAGACCGTATGGTATTCCTGTAACTCCGAAGCCATGCCTGCTGACACGACATTTTCATCTCATAAATCCATTCGCCCCGAGGCTGCTACGCCATCTAGGGTGCCGGGTTCTCCCTCACCACACGCTTGATACGCTTCTCATATTCTGCCTTGTCCTTCTTGAACAGACTGTATGCCTCCGCCTGTGCCGGCGACTCCGGGTTAGGGTCATCGAGCAGGTTCTGAATACCGAGCAGAATCTGCTTCACCGTGATCGCGGGCTTCCACGCCTCTTCCTCGTTCAAGATCGACAGGCAAACGGTGCCGGAGGGGTAGACGTTGGGGTGGAACAGGGGAGGAACGAATTTGCCTGTATAACGTTTGTCAGCCAGAGGATTTGATCTCCAAGGTAATGATAACTCACACTTGGGCGGCTTCGTCGGGTATTCTGTTGGTCCAGGGGGAAGAGGTCAGCAAACATGTTTGTTCCGTGAGAACCCGCGGTCCAAATGCGCAAGGACACCCACCCTCGGGAAATGTGATTGTCAGCTTGAACAAGCCGCCCTCCCAAATGGTCTTCTCCTTGCCCGGAATTCCACACTCCCAGACCTTCAGATCGAGCGTTCCTGTCGCAGCAATACGCTGGGGCTTGGCGAAGAAGCCAAAGGGGTGATCTTTGCGCCATTGCTTCCTAGATCCAGTTAGACACATCCACGGTGAGCTGACATGTACATAAACAACATACCGCTCCTCCTGGAGTCTGTTCTGGCACAACGACATTGTGACGATAGTTGTGATGGCAATAGCAAGGAACAGTGGTCTGTCGGCGTCGGAAATTGTATTCGGGCGACTCGCTCGCGTGTCGCTGGTCTGGACAACGGCTGATGTGTAAAATCCGGACGACTGTTCACGTGGGCTTTCAAGTGCGGCAGCTTGGAGATTCAGACCGCGGTAGCTTTTTGAATCAGTCGGACTTGTCGATGCTCAACTGACTGTGAGGCGAGGCTGTGGGAGTGACGAGAGTTGTTCGGCGAACTTTGGGTTAAGTCTGCGGCTAGAGAAGTCGCCCGCGGATAGCGATGTTGGTCGCCTTGCACTTGCCTCGCTGTATGCGCCACTGAGTTGGAAGGTGGTGGAAGATTTTTGGGGTAAGGGTACGTACCTTCTGGATAGAGTAGTCGTCTTTAATTGGAGGCGCGTGTCTCTCTGGGCGGCGGTGGTAAAGGTAAGATCCCGCGGTAGGAGGGGCGGCAGGGGCGCGAAACGGAACGACGCTTGTCCAATGGACGAATTGGAATAGGACCCCGCCCTAGGCTAGGGGCGTTCGGTGTCGGTGCGCTGGGCGCGGGGTGCTGGGAAATCTGACGTGGGGCTAGATGGACCTGTTCAGATGCAACAAGGAGCTTCAGGCCCGATTCCTCGGCTTTCACCTGACAGGCCATCTTTCAGCATGTACAAAGGCCATACCTAATCCCAGCCCCGTACGACTGGATAGCCTACCCCCAACCCTTGCGCAAGCGATCGTCTATCACCTGCAGCTCCCCGAGACTCTAGTTGTCATCGACGCCGCATCGCGACTACTGCGTACTGCACGACTATCTTCTTTGTCACGACTGCATCCAGCGTGCTTTGCTTCGGTGGCTTAATCTACCATACTCAGACGCCGCCCACCTGCGAGCGTTGAGAACACATAGCACGCAAGTCTCTGGAGTCCGATTCAAAGGCCGTTCGCGACAATGGAGAAGGACAGTAGCGCAGCTGGCGCCGATAAGGCGAGCGAGGCGAAGCCCGTAACACCAGGAGTTGAGGAGAAGAGGCCGGCAGATGTGGTTGATGATGTGCCTGATCCAGATGAGGATGATTTGGATGATTTGGATGGTGCGTTTGTTGACCGGTGTCATTGCCAACAGGGGCAGGATATGCTGACTCTACCAGATATGCTCGACGAATTTGCCGCAGTGAATGTAGATGCCAAGAAGCCCGAACCACCAACTGCGTCGTTTGCGACAGGCTCTGGGAAGCCCGCAACAGTTACCGAAGAGGAGGCCGATGACAAGACGTTGGAAGACATGTTATCTTCTGACGACTTTGCAAAGCAGCTCCAGGCTGGCATGGCCGACTTGATTGGCGAGCTCGAGAAAAACGTAGATAATTCCCACACCATTGTCACTCGCCTTCATCGACTAACCCGATATCACAGCCGGAAATGCAAGCGCAATTTGACAGTGTCTTAAAGCAGATGGGCGCCGCTGCGGGAGAAGCTGGGCCCTCGCAGGCGCCGGCCGCAACACCAGCAGCCCCACGGCCAACTTCGTCCTCCAGTAAAGCCCCGGCCTCAGACCCCATCGCCGACGGTTCTTTCCAGGAGACCATCAAGAAGACGATGGAGCGCATGCAAGCGTCGGGACAGCAGGCGACCGCGGCCGCGGCAGAGTCTTCGACCGAGGACTTCCTTGCTGAGATGATGAAGCAGCTTGGAGAAGGCGGCATGGAAGGCGGCGGCAGCAGCGAGGAGGAATTCTCGAAGATGCTCATGGGAATGATGGAGCAACTTACTAACAAGGAGATCCTTTACGAGCCTATGAAAGAACTCAACGATAAATTCCCCCAGTGGTTCGAAAAGAACCGCGATAAGACACCCGCGGAAGACCTCAAGCGGTACGAGGAGCAACAGGCTTACGTCAAGGAGATCGTGGCCAAGTTTGAGGAAAAGACGTATGCAGACTCGAACGCAGCGGACCGAGAATACATTGTCGAGAGGATGCAAAAGGTAAGCAGGAGAGCTCTCTCGTTATTATTCGTGAAATTGACTCGCGATAGATGCAAGCCGCCGGATCACCTCCGTCAGATCTGGTTGGCGACATGCCATCGGCGCAGGAAGCGTTCAATCCAGACGAGGGGTGTAATCCGCAATAGTTGGACATCCCCGGAGGGTGTCTGTTACATATATTCCCATAAAGACCATGCCCTTCCATGGATATGCACATGCGGAGCTGCTGTCCACATTGTATCCCGTCGGCCATTCGAGGCCCAACGCCATAATCAAATCGAATTCCCAAAGCCATACCTGACTCAACGCCGCAATGCAAATGGAACAACCGTACTTGGTCACTCCAGTTTAGCCCAGCTATTTTCCTTAAATTTCCCACGTTCTTTTCTTGTCAAGACATGTCCATCTGTTGTGAAGAGGCATCCACATCACCGCCTTCCTGTGACAACAGATTCATGAACAACGCATCATAATCCTCGTCGTCCGAGAGACTGGAGGCGTCGGTATGCGTGGATTGCGACGATTGTGCTGAATATCGTGGTTCAGAAGATTGATCATAGGACAATAACAACGCGTCAAGCTCTTCCTGTTCTTCCTGCGCCATGGCGTCGAGCATGATATCGTCGGCGTCACGGGATATCTGTTGTGGGCGCGCTTGTGCAATGGCCGCCGCGTCCTCGATGTCTGCTTCGGAGAACAAGGCGTCTCCCTCCAACTGCTTGGCGTAGTACCGTTGTCGCATGTCACGGTCCCAGTCCGACTTGAGAAGCTGCAGGAAAACATCAGCATAATGCATCTCAGATGACGTAATATGTTTGCCACGCACAGTTCCCTCCACATCTCGCCGGTCGTAGGACCGGTCAGTCGCACGCTGCCGCACGTTCTGGAGAAATAGCTTCCTCCTGCTCTCCTGCGCCTCTTCGCGCTTGCGGACAACTGGGTTTGGCCTCGCAGGCCGTGACGCGTACTTGAATTTGGGCTGAGGAATAGGTGAAGACTGCGTGAACCGGACGGTGTTGTCGTCGATGGGCGACAGGGGCGACGGCGCGCGGGCGGGCGACGATGAGAGAGGCGATGGGACCGCAGGCCTGAAATCCCACGAGTTCCGCTCGCTGAAGATGGATACAGGCCCGGCGACGGAGAACATATTTGCGGTTCTTTTGGCTTCCGGTGCTTTGTCTTCTTGCATCAAGCTGGTGGTGATAGCAAGACAAACCGGGTTGTGGTGATGATTTTAGTTGTGCGAACCTTGTCAAAATTGGCGATAGTGTTGTAAGACGGAGCTGTTGCCTCTCAGCTTAATTGTAGAAACCGCGGTAGGTGTCATGGGACGCGACCGAGACGCGATTGAGGGCGTTGAGCGCCACCGCCACGCATGTGGCTTGTGTTAACAATTGACACGTGAGCTCCACTACGGATAGGTTCTTCCGATCATCAAGAGTGTTCATGCGGCGCAGATTGATTTGCGTTGGGCCTGGACTAGATCATTTATCCCGGCGGTTCCCGAGCGGAGCCCCGAGGCAAATTCGGCGAATGGAAATGACGGTGCCACGGTTCTTTCTTCACCGATGCGCGCTGGCAACAAGAAAAAAAAAAGGACAAAAAGAAGTTGCCTCTGGGGGGGAAAAACAACTGACGACATGACATCCGACTAACTAATTAGCTCTAGATCGCCCCCACAACCAACTCAATCCCTCGGAAAGGCTCCACTATCGGTATTCGACTGTTGGGAAACCTCCATATCGAAGACCGACCCGCCTCTGCAGTCAATTCTAATTCCCGAAGCTCAACACAACTCCGTAGAATGAGCATCGGCACAGACTTCCCTTGCGTTTGTCTATACATTGGCAGCAGCTGGCCAGCGTCCAGATGAAAGCCTTTTCCGTTTTCTCGCTCCCGCTGCGTCGGGCCACCACCCGTCGACCATGGACCTGCTCCGAATGTCGTGCCGGTCCGGTTGCGCAGCAGTCCAGCCGGACATCAGCACAGCAGCAACGGCTTGGCCATAAGGCTGCTCGCGGATTCTCATCGACGAGTGCAAAGGCCTCGGTCGCAAGGGCGGCGCCGAAGAATGGCAGTGGTCGGAAAGGTGGCCGCGTGTGGCTTCTTGCTTCGGGTGGCGGCGCTGCGGCCGCCGGCGCGCTCGCCTTCACCGACGACATCAAGCACGGCTACGAGGCGGCGGAACGCGCAGGTCGAGTCGCCGCCGCGCTTGCGGTATGCATCAATGAGTACGATTTCCTTCCGGACAAATGCTGTCACGGTCCAGTCCTTGCTAACGCCATCTTAGTTACCGAACGACTCTCAACCAGAAAGAGAGCATCGAGGACCCCGATCTACAATCGAAGATCCTGAAAGACTGTCACCAGCGATGCGCCGACCGAACATTGAAGGTTTTGGAGAAGAACGGCGGCATATTTATCAAGCTGGGCCAACATCTTGTAAGAGCCCATATTTGTGGATCATCTTAGAACCCGAAGATTGACTGGAGCACAGAGTGCAATGAACTACCTCCTCCCGCAAGAATGGACCAACACGTTCATTCCCCTACAAGACAAGTGCCCCGTGTCGTCCTTCGAGTCGATTGAGGAGATGTTTCGGAAGGATATCGGTCAAGAGCTGTGGGACTGCTTCTCCGAGTTCTCGCCCGAACCGATCGGTGCCGCGTCTCTGGCGCAGGTACACACTGCCACCTTGAAGGAAACGGGCATGCCGGTGGCTGTTAAAGTGCAACACCCTGGTCTCGGCGAGTGGTCCCAACTGGACCTGGCTCTGACCCGGTTCACCTTTTCGACTCTGAAGCGCTTCTTCCCCGAGTATGACCTCGAATGGCTGTCCTCGGAGATGGACATTTCATTGCCGAAGGAACTGGACTTCAGAGAGGAGGCCCGCAACGCCAACCGCACAAGGGAGCACTTCTCCAGGCTGCCGGAGCACCCCCTCGTCGTCCCGGAGGTCCTCTGGGCGAAGGAGCGCATCTTGGTCATGCAGCGGGTATCGGGACACCGGCTGGACGACCTCGAGTACCTCGACGCCAACGGCATCGACCGCGACGAGGTCTCCGCTTGTCTCGCGCGCATCTTCAACGAAATGATATTTGGCCATAACGCCCCTCTGCACTGCGACCCCCACGGTGGAAACCTGGCGATCCGCAAGAACGAGTCCCGGCGCGGCCACAACTTCGACATCATCCTCTACGACCACGGCCTCTACCGGGATATCCCGCGCGACCTCCAGCGTTCCTACGCCAAGATGTGGCTTGCCGTCATCGACGGCGACATGAAGCGCATGCGCAAGTACGCCAAGGAGGTCGCCAACATCAACGACGAGCAGTTCCCCCTGTTCGCCTCGGCCATTACGGGCCGCGACTGGAGCGTCCTCAACAGCGAGGGCTCCGTCCTGCAGACGCGCACGGCCGACGAGAAGAAGGAGATGGGTGACGCGCTGCAGGAAGGGCTTATCGTCGACCTCGTCCAGCTGTTGGGCCAGGTCCCGCGCATCATCCTCCTCATCCTCAAGACCAATGACCTCACCCGCAGCCTCGACGAAAACCTGCACACGCGCCAGGGCCCCATCCGCTCATTCATGATCCTCGCACGTTACTGCACGCGTACAGTGTTCGAGGAGCAGCTCGAGGACCTGAAGCGCCGCGGCTCGCTGCTGTGGCCGCCGAACACAGTCCGCCTGGTGTCAGCATGGATCAGCTTCTGGAGGGTCGAGGCCAAGCTCGGTGTCTTTGAGCTCTTTCTGAGCGTCAAGAGGATACTTGGGCTGAAGGGCACCGAGTTTGCTGCTCCGGGAATGTGACGCATGTGATATATGACATATAGACGTATAGATTTGACCCTTGTTTGTATATGTGCGCACGTTCATAGTGCATCTCTTGTGTCTCAGCCTCTTGAGAATGGGAGTACCGCATGCTTGTCAGTGTGACTCATTGCGACCTATCTATTTAGATGGACAATGATGCGGTTATGCATGGTTTTGATTTGTGCAAGTCATTGTTGGGCACCGGGACGGTAGCAGGTACATAGCGTCACTTCAATACTGTTCGACAGGTTTGAGGATAGAGCACAATTCTCAGTCCCTGTTTGAGAATAGGCAGAGTGATTGTGGTGGTATTGAAGAAACGCAACAGACGCGATTATGTGTTTAAACCACAACTTTATTAGCTATGATGTTAGCATTGGACCCATGATTACAAATGATTTTGACCTGCTACGCTCATAGTATCCATGCCAGACGAAGGAATGATAGAGATTGGTAAGTACTACTCCGTACATTGTCAAATAACTTCTTGGACGATTTCGTAAACAACCCCTGACTACTGCATTACTTCTAATGTTACAACAAACGGTATTTAGGTACTGAACAGCGGTGGTTGTCACACATATTATTCACGTTTGGGAGTGTCACATAATGGCAATAAAGTCCTCATAACAACCCGAATGCCTCGGGCGATGGTATCTAAGATACAAGACTTGACTTGTCCGTTAAAAGAAACAAGTCTCAGTTACTGTTCTCCACTCCCACTAAGTGGGTGAAGGGGTATTGGCTTCATAGAACGCTGCCGCTTTACATGTTGTCAAGACGCTCCTTAGCAGACTCCTTGGCCTCATCAGATACATTGGGGTTCTTCAGGGTACTGCGAAGCGGAGAGGATTTAGTAATGATGCGGGGCAGCCAGAATAGTTGCAAAAGATGGGGGAAATGAACTCACGCCTTGAGCCCGCCGGCAACATTGCCGGGGTTCTTCTGGTCGTTATCGCCGGCCTTGGGGACGTCGCCGCCGTTGAACTCGTTCTCGAGAATCTTCTTGGAGTTCTCCTTGGACTCCTCAGAGGTGTTGGGGTTGTTGATGTTGGCCTTGTGGCCGCCGGCGATCTGAGCTTCGGTAGGCATGTTGAAGGTTGGTGGGGTGTAGGTCGATTGGGGGAAAGATCTGTTGTTGGAGCTGTTGGATTGAGGATGTAATTGCGTGATAGACTGATGTTGTGGTGATGAGAAGAAGAGAGTAGGTTCCAGAGGTGTTGGGTGGTCTCTTCTTATAGATCTCTCGGGACAGGCTGTCGGAGCATGAGATGCACGTCAATAAGGCAGGACAAGACTAAGTCCAGCTAGTATCTTGCCGCTGTTTCCCCTGTCTTGCAACAGAGCTACAACAAGAACGATGTGGGAGAGCTGCAGCTCCGACGTAATGGATGGCATCATTGATCTTGCGAGTACATCTCCTATACATGGCGTTTTCACATTTTCTTCGGTACGGGTGACCCATTCACACTGACAAGCATGTTCACAGCATAGGTAAAAAATACATCAACCCTAGCTCCTGTGTGAGACCACCGAAGCTATGGCAGCGCTACCGGGCCAACTCCCGAGTGGTTCCAAGCACGAATTACCCCCCTTTCGATCATCGATCGTGAGAATGAATAGCATGTGTGAAGTCATGACGTTCAAAGTCCTGCAAGGAGCCGTTCCGGTACAAGGAGACCAGGCAGGAGATCGAGATGATGACCAAAAAACATCGGTGTGTTTTGTGGCTTCTCGGTTGGTTGGTTGTTTCTTGTTCTGCTTAAGCTCAAGCGGACCTCGCGTGTCTGTGGGGCTACTGCGGGAGGACAAGCATAGGTAGTGTCGTTTGTTGTGAGGGGTGCAAATCAAGATGCGGGAGGGGGCACCTAAGGAAGTGGAATGAGATGACAGATCGAGCTAATGTGAAAGTCTAGGGCAGCCCGCCAGTGTGAGTTAGGGTAGGGTGAACGTGGTCTCAGTTAAGGAGTAGCCATGTCAATGCTATAGGTTATTGAGATGCTAAGCCTGCTGGTTAACAACGGAGATGTACGGATAACGGCGCCAGGGGAATTATAGTCACACCCGTCCGTCCCTTCCAATACGCCTCCAACCTTTCCGGTCGGTGAAGCAGGATGGAGTCAGATCCCTCAGTAGTATCGGCGGGGTAGAAGTGTGATACCACAGATGGTCAAACCAAACACTGGGGGCTGGAGGCTGGCGTGCGGAGCTTCAAGGCTGACCAGTCAGCTGCTTCCGGACAAAGAGGAGCATTGATCTGGTTAAGCTTAGCCTTGGTGATGCTGGCCGCTAGATGGTTTGGTGTTGCATGGCCATCACGCTCGGATAATCGATTCGTTGCTGTCATGACGGGGGACATACGCTTCCCCGATGGAAAAAGAAAGCAAGTGGCCGTGCCTGACGTAGCACATTTGGAGTTTTGCTGCATCACCCCGACCGATGAAAAACAGCATCTGCCCAGTTGAGAAGATATTGATTGTTGTAGTGAATGGCAACATTCAACTATTGATGGTTAGGCTTTCAATCGCCTTCCATCTCGACTTTGACAAACGCGACAACATCCAACACCGGCCAACTTGGCCAGTGAACCACACGGAATCTTGCACAACTGACAAACACGGCAATCTGTGATCGCAATCTAATATGGGAATCTGGGAGGATATGTAAGGTACCGCTCTAAGATCTGGGTCCTGAGCAAATGCCCCTCTCAGACCCATGCGGGGAGCCGATCTTGCCTACGTTCGCTCGTGCGATCGTGTGCGATTTGCATAACCCCATCGACCAGCCGACCGTCGTTGGATATGCGGCTGGTTTGGGTTGCCGCCCCACCTGGGGCGGCTAAGGGGCGTGAGTGGTGATTCATCGCAACTAGAGATGATGTCAAGGGCGGAGCCTGGCCAATATAAGCACATGCGTGGCTAGGAGCACAGGCTCCCCACGACAGGAGCTTTTCGTCCGTTGGGATGAGACCAGGTGAACTGCAAAATGATCTCTAGGGAATGATCGACAGGGGAGAGAAACGCACGCAGATGAAGGCGGGATAGTGATGGGTTGATATAATGAAAGTATCGAAAGGTCACCTAAACAAATGTCGTTTTTCTCTTTCTCGGTTCCTCCACTTATGCGCTTACGCCAGTAAATTCGACGTCGTCCAGCACTCACGACCAATCAGTCCCATATCGTGGCCTGCCCTGATGCACTGGCGTTGCTAGCCAGCCCGCAACGCAAGGAGCTAATTGTCCGGTTAATTCAGCACCAATCACTTTAGATGTTACTGTGTAGCACATGATGGAGAAGAAGAGTTCCACTGATTTGTCAGGCTTGGCGGTTCAAATAATGGCATGTTCCCACAACCCGCGAACCCGCGGTCACTTACGCTGGTCAGGGGGTATATCGCGCTTGTTTTGGCTCGGCGGCCGCCTTTGGAACTGCTATTGGCCGTAGAACCTGCGGCAGCTTATGCAAGTCACTCCGTTCGGGTGCGAGCTGATGACCCCAGAGCCGCTGGTCTGAAGCGCTACGTGAACAAAGTGATCCATCAGACTCGGATACGGGAGTCGTAACATTGACCGGGCCTCAAGGGGCATCGATTGAGGTATGACCTTCTGTGAAAATGGCGAGAGGCCTCTCTTCCTGTAGGTATCACTGGTAATATTCTCTATTCTTGGCGCCAGATGATGCTATGTTTCCGGTGAGTGACGAACGTGCCGTACAGAAAGAAAAAGCAGCCGGCGCTAAGAGTGCCAGACGAAGTCGGTGAAGTCAGCCGCTCGGCTGCTACCGCAGTGGACCTGACCTCCCTGTTGGATGGATCCCCACGCAGCCAATGGGATCTGTCATGGCGGCTGTCAGGGGCAGTACCCGCCCTGCCGCGTGGCTGTGCTGGGGCTCCGCCTGGGGGCCCAGCCCACCCACACCCACACCCATCCGACTTCACTCCGTCCAGTGTACGTTACTTCCGTCATTCCGGACCACCGGTAATCGTCGAGCGTGCTCTTCCCTCAGTTCTCGTAGGCATCGTGAGGTCTGCCATTCACAAGGGTTTCAGCTGATGTAACCATACCTCAAACACCACCCTGGTAAGGCTGGATCACACTAAACACGCCAGCTTCAACATCCGCCCACACACACGTACACACACACATACACACGCAAGCAGCCTCATCATCGGCACAATGACATCACCGGATGGCCCTGAACACCAACCCGCGGCCATCAACTACGTCGCAGGCTTCCTCCTCGTTGGCCTCGCGTGGGGCTTCACGACGCCCTTCATCCGCCGCGCCGCGAAAGATCACCACCCGCCCCCGCACCCGGTCCTCGAGACCGATGCCGTCAAGCGGAGCTGGTTCCGGGGCCGGGTCTACGGCGCCTTCTTCGGCGTCGTCGATCTGCTCCGCAACCCGCGGTACGCCGTGCCGCTGCTGATCAACTTGACCGGAAGCGTGTGGTTTTTCCTGCTCATTGGGCAGGCCGGTACGCCCCCCTCACCGCCCCCTCTAATCCTAGAAAATACGGGAGAGGATGCTGACGAAATGCCGTAGAGTTGAGTTTGACGGTTCCCATCGTTAATACTCTCGCGTTTCTCTTCACCGTCATTGGCGACTGGTGGGTCGAGAGTAAGGTGATCAGTCGAGGTAGGCCGCAATTTCTCTCCGAGTTTATCTGATTGGCCCGCACATGACTGACTTGCCGCAGAAACCCTACTTGGTATGGTGTTATCTCTTTCTGGGATAGCGTTGTGTGTGTACAGTAAGACTGGGTGATCATTTGGATGGAGTCTCTTTGGTCAGAGAACGCGGCGCGTTTTGGATGCGTAAGGCTTGGACTACCGCATGTCTCATATATTGATGCAAGGCACATAAAATGAGAAACGTGGCGTTAGGGGCCGTTTAAAAGATATTCGAGATATCATTATAGAGTATCGAAGCGAACGAAATCCCTGCGCCCGGCAGGTTCAACCCTTGAACGCTCCCATCCCCCGAGCTTTCCGTCTGCCTCGCCCGGGAGACTCTACCACTTGCCGGCCTACCTGGGCCAGGACTCCTCCGACCCAAGCGGATCCAGTCCGCCTGGGGGTTGTTTACTGAATTTCAGGAGATTAGAAAGAAAAGAAGAAAAAAAAAAAAAGGTGAAATGATGCTGGGATGACCGGAATGTTCCCTGCCATAACTGTTTGATATCCTCCATGCGCCGTGTATGCAAAATCCTCCCTTCGGGATGCCTGTTGGACAGAAAATCGTTACGCTTTCGTATCACGTTGAGACAAGACATATCATTCATCACACCTCACTCGTCGTGGGTATATCATGCTGCAGGTCGACGAGCGCGGAGCCAGCGCTGCACGCCTCGTGAGCTGGGGTCCTCGGCCGTCCAGCGGCCCATTGCGCAGTCAGAGGCCTGTAGCTGAGTATAAATCGCATCGTCGGTGATCATCGAGAGCTCCTGCGGTCCTCATGTCAGCATGGGGACCCGGTGGCCGCACCCATAAGTTGCGGGATGCTGACTCACAGTTCTCAACCGTTGATCGCACGCTCTCAGCTGAGGCCCGTTCCTCGAGTTTGGACTTTCGCCTTGCAAGATGCTATCCCGGTGGCTGATCCACCGCTGGGCAGCAGCCTGGCGCAGGTAGATCTTTTGACACTCGTGCCTTCTGGCAAAGGCATCAAGCAGACACCTATAACAGAGAAAATTTAAGTCATAATGTGCAGTCTCGTCGATAGGACAGAGGACTGACTGCTTCAACTCGGCCTTTTCCTGTTCGGCCGACCCGCCGCTTGCCTGCGGAACACTCGTATCGGCCGCGCAGTTGAGGATATGTTGCCCGTCGAGAGAGCATTGCCGCAGTGCCGCCCAACCCTCGGTCCAGTAGTCTTCCATGTTGGCTGGTTCCGAAGGCGCCGCTGCGATGTAGAACTGCAAGGTCCGGAAATCATCGAGAACCTCGGCAACTCTTATTATTCGGTACTCGTTAACTGGAGCGCATGTTAGGTTCGTCTGCGCTACACGGCACCCCCAGGGACAGATCTATGTGTCCGGGATATACCATCTGATAACATACATCCGTCCATTGTTACAATGAGGAAAGTGCCAGAGTAGTCGTGAGAAATAATTAGAGGCGGCTCGATGGGGAGTAAAACGATCGAACAAGAAGAGAAGGTATGATTTACAAGAATTAGTATTAGTTGGGCGAGAGAGTCGTGCGAGGAAAGTGAAGACCTGCTGTCGTTGAGAGAGATACACACTGGCTGACCCAATTTCGTGAGAATTGCATCGGCGCCATGAGCTTCTTTTGTATATCGTTGACGGCCTCCGAAAGACTCAGAGAAAATAACAATCACGAATATTACAACCCATCGTCCGAAAAGCAAACCACAGTGCCAGCCCCATCACGAATCGTGTAAGTGTCCCGACGCGCGATCCTAACGGGTGAATGGAGCCCCATGGAGACGCAGGAGGTCATCGGAAGCGTTGATCCAATGGTTCGTTGGTTCATCTGATGGAACCCCACGCCAGCCGGGTCCGGCCATGTGGTCGACCGACGAGTCGGAAAATAGAGACCAGGATCATGGCATTTGGGATGGCTTTGCAAGCTCAAAGCTAGGACTGACCCTAGCCAAGCTGGTAGAGGTGCCCTGGTCTCTCGGATAGAGACATTGCTCTGGCTCCCGGGAGGCCTGGCGATGATGTCGACCCGCATGGTGCATGCCTGGACAATCGTGGTTTAGACCACCCATCCAAGGGAATGACAACATACTGGAAAGAAAGGCCAGTCAGTGAGCTAGATCTGAGCGACAGCCACTCGACATGCCGCTGACAAGGCTGCGCATCGTTCAGGCCCAGACCTAGTGCCTGGGTAAACGTTGATCTTCTCCCCTGCCATCACGCACAAACATGTTGCCTACTACCAGGACGACGACAGGGATGCGCAATAAGGTAAGGCTAGTGGATCTTCAGCCGTAATATTGACGGCCGGGAATGGAAGTGGGCTGATGTAGTGGTGACTTGGAGGGGCCAATCACGGCCCAGACTCCTTGCCCGTCCCCCCGTTTGGCGTGGTTTAATACGGGTGAGCCGATACCGCCAAAGTGGTCACCCGCATTAGGGTCCGTGTCTGTTACCCGTTGCGACTTAGCAGAAGGCAGACTGAGAGATTCAAGACGAAATTCATCTGGCCACACGCAGTAGCCGTGAAGGGGACTGGTTGAGAGGGGTTGTGGGCTGACCATATCCAGCTCTGACTCGGCACGCCATTTAATCTTCCCCTGCTATCTCACCGCCCGCATCATCTCTTGGCCTTCGGATTTCTGCAGCCCCCCGAACGGTAGAAAGGGAAACCTTGCTCCCATCCGAGGGTAGGCTGCGGACCGCTGCTTCTATTGTGCCTTATGTCTTTCAGTCTTGGTTTGCTTTTCCTTGACCGATCGACTCGTTCAATCCAACTGGTCGCCTTGCAAGGCCATTTGACGAGGCCAGTAGCCTTCCCTCCTGCAAAATGACGCCCGCTTTTCGACCTTGCTCGAGCCCACGACTGGCCTCCAGTTTTCACCGTGAACTATGTGACTCATCGAGTTACCATCCGAGACAATTGATCATCTCGGATTTTGTCCGCTGGTCTTGGTCAAGCCACTCCAGCTATTCTCATCATCGTGCCTGCTCAGTCAATACTCAGCCGAGCTACAAACGGCGTCGCGGCTGATCTCAAGTCGAGTAGCATGGGTTGGTCGTTGCAATGTCTTCCGAATGTCTTGATCTATAAACGGTTGGTAGGCTGGCTAGTAGTACAGTCGTGTGCGGGGGTTTAATTTCGGGAGACAACCAGCTTGACTCTCTCATATGCGATACCCCGCGGTGGTCATGCGTGATTTGGCCTGTCAACGAATCAATGCCACCTTGGACTCATCATCGGACGCACCAACAAAGTCCAGCTTCCACCAGCCGGAATGTGTCTGATCCTCCCTCAATCCTTCTCCGCAATCGCCTGTAACCGCTCGTCGATCTCGTCCTCAGTGAGGATCCGGAAGCCAGGGTCTGTTCCCTCCTTGCCGTCCGCTCGGGGACCTCCAACAATGCCAATCTCGATCTCTCCCTTCTTGAAATCCATGCTTAGAATGGTGCTGAGGGTCGTGATGGCAAGCTCAACAACCTCCGTCCAGTCGCCCGGGGCATGTTCCTTGTTGCGCAACTTCTTCTCGAGGTGGTTAAGAGCCTCTTGCTGCTTGGGTCCTGCCGAAGTACCCTTGTAGCCGATGTAGTATCCTGCAGGATCGCACTTGAACAGCTGAGGGCCAAACTCAGAGTCCAATGAGATCAACGTCGTGGCCACTCCGTAGGGACGCATGTAGGCCTAGAAGTATTGTGAGTCATTGTCACGAGGCCCTTCCGAGGTTCCACCCTGCTTACTCTTTGTGTGTAGACCTGGCTGATATTGGCCAGTCTCTTGGCCAATGCATCGGCAGGCATCTCGTAGCCGTACTTGTATCGGAACTCGGCTGCCTCCCCCTGGGCACGCTGAGCGAAGGCACGGGCATCGGCTATGGATCCCGTGATGACGCAGCCAACAGACGGGGAGAGCTGGAAGAGGTGGGAGACGGAGGCGGGGTCGATGAGTTTGTCCTTGCGATTGGGTCAGTTCCACTTCCGACATGTGAGTCTGCTGGCAATCTCAACGTACGGGAACCTTCTTCTGAGACAGGACGACGGCACAGTCCTTGCCTCTGACGCCTATCGACATGATATTGGCGGCTGTGATTGCCTTGAAGGCATATTCTGATCGGAGGCGTCTCGTCAGCTCGGTTGGTGACAAGCCATTTCGTTGCGGGCCCCGCATGGCGGCATCACCACAGGGAGGGGCAATCGGATCGCGGGGGAAGGAGTCAACATACCGACCTGGTACAATCTTCCCTGCTCGGAGAAGATCGTGATGTGTCGGTCATAAGCAGAGCCACCTGATGAAGGGAATGCATGTTAGCGATCTATGATAGGCATTCGCAAGGGTGAGGCCAGTAATGGGAGGACGCACCCGACATCTTGACGGTATTGTGGTGTTTGCGTTGTTCGAATTAGGCCGGAGAAAAACGTTTACGGTCGTTAAGGACTGAAAGAAGGCGTTGATGGGTGGAGGATGGAAATGGTCGTCGGTGGTGAGGTCGGGGTTGAGCTCTGACGGAGCTCTTGGATATCGACGCGTTTGCAGGAGCTTGCCTGGAGACGAGGCAACGCAGCGGGCAGCTCCAGTGGCCTAGCTGGAAGGCTGTAGATGCCTTGCCCTTGTCGCTGGTATTCTAAGGCAGAAATTCAAGTACGTATGTATAGCTTACGTAACCATGCTGATTGAGAGTCTGGATGTGGCAGTTTCCGCTACGTATCTCAGTGACAGGGAAGTAGCGGGGCACCCCTGTTCAGTGGGAACGACAACGCATCTTTGCTACCAAAAATTTGGCAGGGCGGTATCTTAAGCCAGGGCAAAAAAAAAAAAGTAGATTGGGACCATTCCCAGTATCATCTTTTCGGTGTCAAGCACCACTCTTTGCGCCCAATAGAACTGCTGTCCATGAGGCCGCACCATTTCAATTCCGTAGGCTAATCACACGTGGAAGCTTTCAAAGCGGCCCAATCCTGCACTTCTCAACTGGTCAAACGCGCAGACACCAAAATTCCTGGCCAAAGAAACAGCAGCGGCCCGAGAGAAGCAAGCAGCCCCTCCTGTCCCCCTCCCTCCCTCCCTCCCCAAAGCATTCCGACAAGAGAAAGCGAGAGGAGCCCAAAGAGGGTGTGCCCGCTGCCCGTCATGTCCTCCGCCCAAAAAGTACCGGCCTGGAAACGATTGGGCCTCAAGCTCAAGCAGCCCGCATCCGGTGCAGAGATTGGCGGCCCTGCTCCCGCTGAGGGATCGAGGCCCAATGGGCAACAACTCCACGACCGGCACGCCAGCGGCCCCGTCGCCAACGCCGCCAACGCCTCTCCGGCCGCCGCCGCCGCCGCCAAAAGGAAACGTCTCGATCAACAGGCTCTCCCTGCGTCCAGCTCCCCCTTCAAAAAGACCCGCACGGACGACTCGTCCGGCTATGCAACCCCGACCCTGAGGAAGCAAAAGTCCGTCACCTTTGCCGACGACGTCAAGAACCCCGCCGCCGCCGAACCGAAAAGGAAGAGCAAGGGCCCGAAGAAGGCGGCCAAGACAGCGACGCAGCAGCCCACCGCAGACATCAAACCCTCCCTCGAGTACCTCCGGAACTGGAAGTCGTCCCGCGAGACCTGGAAGTTCAACAAGAACCATCAGACCATCCTGATGAAGCGGGTCTTCCACGCCGATGCGATCCCCTCGAGCGACATCGCTACCTTCTACGAGTACATCCAAGACCTGAAGGGCTTCACGAGGACTCGCTTGAAGGAGACGGCGGCGGAGGTCAGGAAGGAGGATACCGACAAGGGGAAGGCCGCCTTCCCCGAAGGCACGCCGGACATGGACTCAAAGCAGTCCGAGTACGAGAAGGTGCTCACCGGCCTGATGCAACTTGGCTCCGGCTCCGGCTCCAAGAGGAAGCGCTTCGACGAGCCCGGCTTCGTGTCGCAGTCCACAGACGTCGCCATCACCCAGCGGGTCATCAAGCGCATGCGGGCCGAGACGATACTGGAGGAACTGTCCGATAGCGACGACAGCGATGCCATGACTGTCGATACCGAGGAGGCTTCCACGGCGACCCAAGAGGCGGCTGCTGCCCAGGACGAGACCGTCGACAAGAGGGTCAAGCTCAACGACGGCACGAAGCAGCCCACTGCCCGTCGCCGTAAGAGACGTACCAATGTCGACTTGAGCTCCGAGTCCTCTGATTCCGAGTCGGAATCCGATTCGGACGGCGACAGTGACAGCGACAGCGACAGCGACTCGGACGACTCTGATAACGCGAGCGAGATCCAGCGTCAGGCTGCTCAGCGCGAGGCCGAGACCTCGAGCGAGTCGTCGTCGTCTTCGGAAGACGATGACAGCAGTAGTGAGGATGACAGCGAGGAAGAGGAGGAGACGACCAGAAAGAAGAAGGGTTCGAAGAAGTAGGTGAGGGACGTAGAGAGAACACGGCAAAGATCGAACTGTACTCAGTCATGCATCATACCTGTTACCACCCCCACACCACTTAGTCCACTGCGACGATGCCAGGATATAGAGTGAAGCTCGTTGTTAATGTTTCTTTTGTGTGCTGCGGGCAGACTGAACCTATCAATGGATACCCACAAAGTCTACACATCATGAAGCGTACAACCGGGTGAACCCGGCCTCGGGCGGTTGCAGCCAGTTCCTCTGGTCGTACGTTGTGCCCTCGCCCTCAATGACGTGAAACGTGTAAATGATGCGCCCCTTCTGGCTCAGGTTCTTCTCGCTCTTGTGCAACAGGTTGCCGTGGATCAGCACCAGGTCGCCGGCTTTGACCTCGCCCGGCACGTACTCCCCTCCTCCCTCGCTCTCGCCCTCGGCGCCGCCGTACTTTTCGTCGGGGGGGAACCGCGGGCCGTCGTTGTCGACCATCTCCGTCCCGCCGCCGGCCTTGCGCACCAGCCGGTGAGTCACAGGGGCCCAGCGGTGCGACCCGGGCAGGAAGCTCAGGCAGCCGTTCTCGAGCGTCGCGTCCTCTAGGGCGTACCAGAATCCCACAGCCGACGGCGGGTCCGTGTACAGGAACGTCGAGTCCTGGTGCGGGGGCACCGCGCCGCCGATCTCGGGCTGCTTGCAGATGACCATGCTCTGCAGGCACCGCGGGTCGCGGAAGCCCAGGCTGCGGGCCACGGCCGACGGCTTGCCCTTGACGGGACCGCGCCCGGGTGCAGGGCACGGGTCCGAGATGGCGGCGAAGGGCGGCGAGAGGACGTGCAGGTAGTGGCCGATCTTGTTGATAGCGCGGGCCTTGGGCTTTAAGAGGTTGCCCGCGAGGTCGAAGGCGTCCTCCTCGAAGAAGAAGCGGACCTTGTCGCCTGAGGAGAGGAAATAGTCGTCGCCGACGTGATCGGCCTTGTCGCCGGTAGAGAAGCGAGTCATGGGGTGGTCCGCGAGGGAGAAGTTGTCCAGCAGTGAGTGGGTCTCGGCGAGCAGGCCCGACACGGTCTCCGGGGAGAGGGCGCCGGGAATGATGAGGTAGCCGTCGTGGTGGAAGCGGGCGAGCTGCTCCGGGCTCAGACCCTCCTCCTGTGAGGGGACAGTCATGGTGATGAGGTCAACAAAGGGTAGCCGCGGGGTAGGATCGGTTTGCTTGACGCAAAGGGGGGTCGATGAAGGTGTGTTACAGGAATTTGCTCAAAACTGTAAGTTGTGCCAGCAACACTATCAGGTCTGGTAAGTCAATGGCCTCATGATTTATCAGTCTTGAAGTGGCGCGCCGTTTTAATATTTGGCGGGTGAAAATGGGACACGGAAATGCGGGGATCTCGGCCCCCACACTAGCCCGCTAGCGCCTATTTCCATCACACGGACTGTCGTCAGTTTCCTACCAAGTAATGGATAGGTACGAGTCTGTTTTTCCAGTTTGAGAGCTTCTAACAATAAAAGTCATTTATTTGGCGTCTACCTGAGTAATGCTTAGGCGTGTTGCCAGATGCACCAATATATCGCTTTAGCCAGCCCGCTGCCGAAGAATCGAATGTAGAAGAACTCCCCTCCTATGTCAAGAAGCAAATCGCCCCGAAACAAAACAAAATATAAGACGCCGGTTTGCCTCATGCGTACGTTATAGAGCCAAAGAAGGTGAGGTATGCCCCTAGTTTTTGCTTCCCGTTAACCGACACGTCGCTTACGGCAAGGGGTCGTTGAGGAACTCGTATCCCTCCTCCGGTGGGAGCACGAAGGCGGAGATGCCCAGGCCGACGGCGCAAATGATGGAGACGGATGCGCTAACGGTGCAAAGAACCCAAGAGGTGTCCAAGTTCCAACCCGGAACCTGGAACTGCTCATCGTTGTCATATAGGTATGCCTGCAAGAAGGAGCGAGTCATTTAGCGTCTGATTTCGCATTCAGCGCGCAGTATCGGCGACTTACCACAATGCCCATCAAGACAAACTCGACTGCACCGACGAGTATAAGGAGTCCACTGAGGATCTTCCAACCGGTCTCGCGTTTATATTTGCCGCCGCCCATGATGACGAGGAAGGTGACGATGGATGCAAAATGCAGAATCGTCGAGAAGGAGGCCAAGAAGCCAACGGAGCGCCACATGGAGCAGAAATACCGCTCGCCATTACTGCACAGCTGTTCTGTTGGAAACTCCTGGCATGGCGGGTCGTACAAGTTCGAACAAGCGCGATGCAGGCCGATGTGTTTGGAGAACTCGTTGCCGTCAGTTGCCGTGACGGAGTAGGTGACCCAGTGGGGCAGCGTGATGGATGCGATAATCATCGCCGTCGCTAGCGGAGAACAACATTGTCAGCGTCGTATGCTCTGCTTTGCGCTTCTTCCGCTTCACCCAGAGCGACGCCATGGGCGGCCTCGAGATGCTGCTGTCGTTCTGTCTTCAGAAACGGCGATGACGTTGACGTGTGGGTCGTCCGTCTCGTGGTCAAGTTAAAGTAGAGGCCACTTACCGGCGACAAAGGCCACAAGGGCTGCGCTGTAGACGGAGACTCGTGTCATGTTTGCGGGTTACGACGATGTAGCATTCAATCAAGTAAACGTTGTTTTCTCTTCCTCCTGCCCGAGAAAAATAGAGATGGATGAGGCAGGATTGAAGATGGCCAGAATGCCTTGGAACGAGACAACTGGAGACTTCTCCAGGTTAGGTTGGGGGTTGTGCTCTTTCAATGATTGGTGGTGCAGGTGGTGTTAGTGGACAGACTAGTCGCAGTTATGACGCTATCTTCCCTGAATCGGGAAGCCGAAGCCCTGCGTGTATGGTTGGCTTCGAGGAAAGTGACATGCATTTTAGCATTAATTCCGCTTGTGCTCTAGGTGCCTTTCCCCCCCTCAACTGGGCATGGGAAACAGTTGCATGCATGCATGGCACACTGCCATCACCTCTCACCTTACAGATCATCTTACACAGATCACCAACTGCCCACTCCCCACTGCTGCAACCGCCGGGTGTGGTGACCTGGCCAAGATTGCTTCGCCTCTCGCGGGAACCTACATGTAGGTAGCATGGACTGGACCCGGTATTGTTAGAGAGTTAGCAACCGACCTAATGGGTAGACCCAGAGCGTTCATTCCGTCCTGCTCCTAGCTCTTGTTACCTCAACTAAGCAGCAGCAGCAGCTCGGCCTTTACCGCTTTGTCTTCCACGTAATTATCGCAGCTCAGCTATACGGAAGCGCTCTGTCGCTATTTCGTCCCGATTCCATCGCAGCCCGGCAATCCGAAGAGAACACGCTGGCATCAGGCGCATCATGCAAATCGATATAGATGCTACGGCATGGGAATGAGGAGACAGGATCTCATTCAGGACAGATATTGCAAGCATTGCTATGCAGCCTATGCCTATGTTGGTGACCATAAGCTCGTCTAATTCGACTGCCTAATCCATCCACGCCTGCCATGCTAACCGCCACTGTCAGGCACCTGAATCGGGGCTAAGCACCAAGGCCGTTATTATCAGCGCCAGGATCAAACCACTTCCTCTTGGTCCCCAACCCCATCAATCCGTCCCCTCGCATCCCACAAAAGCATTGCCTTGGGCCCCCGAATGGGCGATCTGGCCCGCCAGGTCACACTTTTCGTTGATGATAACTCTGTCGGCGCCCGGCTTGCCTATTCGCGATTCACCAGTCAGCTCCTACCCAGCCTCACAGAATTTGCTCGCCCTGCTCCAACAGCAACTGATACCACGAGAGTCTATGCTACGTAGCCCCTGCCGCTAGCGATCCTTGGCAGCTTGTGTTCGCCTACGCTAGCACAGGCCCTCGGACAGAGTGCACGCCGGATCGCCGATCTTGTGTATGCTTGAGAACTCAAATCGATTACTTACCGCCTTTATAAACACCATTCGTCTTCATCGGGAACTCGACAAAGGGCCCGGTAACGCCATTGAAGTCGAACCCCTCCTGATTACGGTACGTTTGGGGATAGCTCGAGCTGCCCGCCGTTGTCCCGGCCTCCACGTGCTTGCAGGCCGCGTCGGCCGCTGACCTCACCGAGAGGAGGCTGTACACGTTCGCGCCACATGCTATTTCCGTGTCATTAGCCCGGGCCAGAATGGGCCAAGGCCGCGATGAGGGCCATGACAAGATGCATGTTTTCAAGAAAATGAGCGGGTTTTCAAACTAACAAAGAAACAATCAGAAGGAGTAAAAAGGCGACAACAGGACGAATGACGCGACCGGATTGTCTCCTACTCTTGCACCTCATCACTGGAAGGTTGACGACCGCTGCCTTTTGAATCATTTCATCTTTGAAGTCTACCGCTTCAGCCGCCCATGGTTACTTGGTCTGTTCGACGCAAGAGAGAGAGAGAGGGTCGAGATGCGCAGGCATGGCGCTGCAGATTGGTTGGTTCTCACCTTGATGGCAGCAGCGATCTTCATTCACTGGAACTCGTTCAACTGTCATGCATTACAAGTCACCCCTCGGAGCCGGCGAACCGTTTTGCGCGTGGGCAACTTGATTGGCTGAGGGGCCTCTCCGTGCTAATCTCCCGGTCGGGAAGGCGAGGCAGACATCAACGGTCAGGGGCAGCAAGTGCCACACGACTCAGCAGCAAGACCGCTCTGCCGATTAGCTACCAGATTTCGCAACCCACTGGCATGTCTTGGGAAGCGGTCGGGCCTTTTGCCGTCTTGTTAAGGCTCGCGACCGGGGTCACAGGGGTGGCCTAGGCGATCTGTCTGTCTACGCTCGAAGAGAAAGACTGGACCGAGAATGTCCACAAACCCCCCGATCCGCGGTCCCGAATAAACAACGAGTGTGAATTTCTAGAATCCTTTGCGATAGCTCCAGATACGCAACAAAGCTGAGAGCGGTCAACCGGAAACCCCCGCTAGCTGGGGCCCTCCAGGATTCCAAAGGGGTGGTCGATGCTGACATATGGCAAACGCACGCATCATCGCAGGACTAAGCCGCATCGATGTCCACAATCCATGCATAGGAAACATCGATGGATCATAGACTCGCGGAGCCCCACCAAGAAAACGGGCTCCGGGTTGCTTGTGATGCCGGACCCCTCCCCTATCTCACATGGAGGAAAGCTTCTTTATCGTCCGTATCTCTGTTCGGTCTAGCTAATCTCCCCTGGCCGAATTGTCCGAAATGGGGGGGGCAGCGCCGTCGACGTATACGAAAACGCAAAGGCTTTGTATTGTAAGCGTCCTCGTCCCTGCCTCCCTCCCTTCCGGCAAGCCCTCAAGCGTACCTGGGTTGCCGTCCTATGTACCGGATCTGATGACAAACCGTGTTGTCGTCTCCCGGGAGCCATTGATAGCACACCCACCAATCGATCACGCCAGAGTCGGGGCGTATAGAACAATCTCTCTGACATGCCGCAGCAGAGCTGGGAAGATGGGTCTAACCGGCCACTCAACAAAGGCGGATCGCGGCGGGCTACCCACTGTGCCACTATGCCTGAAGCTAAGCCCAGGGTGACCCCGAGTAGATGGGACTGAATTAAAGTGAGTTTGGGAAGGTCTCTTCGCTCCGGCGCAGGGTCCTCGGCCCCTCTACAATAACTTACGTATTCCATTCTTTTTTTTTTTCTTCCTCTCCCTCTTTTAACTCGACCGCGCGCTTCGGACAAGATCCTATAATCCCCGAGTCGTGACTCTTCAACGTCATGGAGTCCTGCTACTATTATTGTGCTGTGCCCAACTCCTGCTGCTCCCCGAGACTTGATTCTAGGTGAAGCCGGCCCCCGTCTTTTTTTTTCTTTCTCATCAACCCCACGGTTGCCTTTCTTCGACAAAAGCAACTGGAATCAACAAGCTTATCACGCATTCGGGACCACCAACGATAACGTTGCTCCATTGATTTGATACGGATAACGAAATTTACGACTTTTTGCTTTTGACTACAGCGTCCTGCGCCAATATACCAACGAGACATACTCTCGAAAGCACAGTGTTCCCCAAAGACACTAGGCAACATAGCTTCCAACATGGGAGACCAACGTCTCTTGGAGCACCGGCCGGTGCAGACCAGCGCGGTCTATGTCCTCGGCGCACCCCAGACAGACTCAATGCCACCCCCCTCGCCTCCTTCACCACCAGTGTCTCCGCCTGAAGAGGGGTTTTTCGAGGAATTGGAGGAATTGAGCTTGGGGTCGCCCGGTGACCTCTCCGAGGACGACGAGAGTTGCTCCAAGGTACAGGACCGCCTCCGCGCCGCAACACATGTCCTGAAGACAGAGGCCGCAGCGTTGCGGGCCGTCGCAAATCTGTACGAGACAGACCCCGTCGCCCGGGACGGCTTCAACCGGACCGTCGCGGCAGTTACGCGGCACAAGGGCGAAAAGGGCAAGCTCATTATTACGGGCGTGGGCAAGTCTGGGCACATCGCCAACAAGCTGGTCGCGACTTTCAACAGTCTATCCATCGCATCCGTGTTTTTAAATCCCATCGATGCTTTACATGGCGACCTAGGCATCATTCAAGAACACGACATTCTTATGTTCATCACGTTTTCCGGAAAGACATCAGAACTCCTCGGCTTATTACCACACCTCGACAAACCTTGGTCGTTGGTGATCCTCACGGGGCACACGAGACCGGACACCTGCGAGCTCGTCAAGCTCCGGCCAGACACGATTCTCCTCCCGGCGCCGGTCCACGAGAGCGAAACGTTGTCATTCGGCGTCTCGGCCCCGACGACCTCCACGACAGTCGCCCTGGCCGTGGGCGACGCGCTCGCCATCGCCGCGGCGCAGGAGCTGCACCCCAACGTCGCGCAGGTCTTCTCCAGGAACCACCCGGGCGGCGCCATAGGCGCCGCCTTCCGGAAGCCCCAGACGATCCTGGACCTGGCCATCCCCTGGGCCGACATTCCCGACTCGGAGGGCTTGTGCGCGGACAGCAGCGTGGGTGCGGATCTCTTCCGGGCCGCGTACGACGCGGCGTCCGGGTGGGTGCGCGTCGGCGACGACGTGGCGTCGCCGGGCAGGATCCGGAAGCTCGCGACGCAGGACTTCGCGCGGCGACTGCGCGACATACCGCGCCTGATGGTGCCGCGGGCCGAGATGCTCTCCATCTCGGCGGGGACGACGATACGGCGCGCTGCGGACTTTGTGAGGGGCATGCAGGGCGCCGCGGACGACGGCGAGTACGTTTGCAGTCCGGACTCCATACTGGCCGTCCTGGACCAGGGGGACATCGTGGGCGTTTTGGAAGTGGGAAAGCTCTTGGAGCGGCGGAAATGAGACCGTCTCCTGCAGGCTTGCAGTCGGCGGGCGATTGATGAAGTGTGCAACGGGGAATGGGAAAAGAAAATCTCCAAATCATGGGTGTCAAATCATGGGTGTCAAATCATGGGTGTCCGCTTCTGTTGGAACATCACGCGGGGGCGAGGCTTTATTTGTTTTTGATATCACTTGGGAAACCACGCCTGACCTTTGAGCTCGGGCGGCGCGACGACGTTTGTCTGGGACCGGCATGTTACTGGATCAAGACCGAAATCGAGTCTTCATGAATTGTATGGCGACTACGCCCACTTTTTTGCATTGCAATTTCTTGTCGTCCCTGGATATGATGATGATGATGTGGAATGGATCCCAGAGCAAGTTATTCGTGATAACCAAGAGTGGCTTTTTTCTCTCTCAATACAACGGTAACTTCTAGGCGGCAGGCTCCAGCCGTGGAGCGTTTGATGCCCGATGGCCTCTGGCCCTGCATGAGAGAAACGCCTCTTCCGGCGTTTGGCTAGCCCCCGCCCCCCGTCGGGGGTGATGCAGGCAAGATCCCCGCCGGGCTGCATCGACCGCATCCGGTTGCCCGGGTTTCTTCAACCTTTTCGCTCCCTCGCGCGCGGTGATGCCCGGCCGCTCCTCTCTGCCCACCTTGGGCCGTGAAAGAAAGGCAACCGCATGCCTGACGATCCAGTCTTTTTTGTTACAGTAGTACGCGAAGATTGGACGGAATTGCCGAGGCCCAATGGGATGGAGACGTCTTTTGCATCTTGTTTGGGGATCGAGGGATCGGGACCCGGCACGGGGACCGGCGAGAAGCGTCTTTTGCGCGGACTGCCCCCCCCCCCCCCCCCCCCTTCCTCTCTCTTCCGGTACTACGCGGTAGACGGCGGTCATCCTCATCCGCCCGCGCCTGGACCAGACGGGCCGGCGGCTGTCCAGGGAGCGGCCTTGTGGTGCCCCGTTCTAGAATTGGTCGCGGTATGAAGTAATGCAGAAGGAGTCCTGAGATCTTTTACCTCTTTTCCCACCCGGCTGGTCTTGTCGAGAGACGGGACGTATCCATAGTTCCTCGATAGTGCAGGTGAGGGCTTCACGGCTAGCTACATAGGTTGGTTCCGAATCAAAGCAAAAAAAGACGAGCCCGTTGCAGCAACTGCGGCAACTGAGGCTTGTTGGCCGGAAGACGAGACGAACTGCCTCGGCGTTTGTTTTTTTTTTTTTTTTTTTTTTTTTTTTTTTGCTACGAGCGTTGTTTGGCTCCCCGGGCGCACGAGACCCGAAGAAGCCCGCTAAGGCGCGGGCACTGTGCTGGTGTCAGATGATGCTTTTTCCTTCTTCTTTTTTGCTTCTCCTTCTCCCCATGCGCACCAGAGCGTTTCCCCTCGACCGTTACTGCCCCGGAGGACGCCACCGGAGCAGATTAGACCGGATCAGGCGGCGCCTTGTCTGGGAGGGCGGGACGAAACATGAGCGTTTTCTTCTTTTTGGCGTTTTCCGTGCGAGGAAACATCAGATGGAGTCTGCGAGGAGGGGGGCAGGGAGGGGAGGCGCCACCAAGACATAGCTTGCGTATTGTGCACCTGTCGGAGCGCGTGTGTGTGTATGTGTGTGCCTTGTGCGGTGAGACTTTCGGTATAGGTTATGGACGGTCGTTACGTGCCCCTCGCCGCCAAGATGGGCAGTGTCTCGAACCCCTCGATCGGCATCGCAGAAGTCGTCACGCATGTACGCAATCCCGCGCGGAGTCGGCTGGTTTGGTTGTCACGACGGCCCGCAGATTGGAGCATTGGCGGGGAGGGGGCACGGAGTTAGCAGTCTGGCAGTCTCTGGAAATGCCCTACATCTTCACAGATCCGAAACACGTTGCGGCGGGCTCGAGAAGGATCGCGAAAACCCCGAAGCTTAAACTCTCCTGGTGAAAGCAAGAGGAGGGAGGAGGGGGGGCCGGCCCATCGGATCTAGCGCCGTGGTTCCCTTCTGAAATTCTTGCTTCTATTTTGGTGTTGGGGGGAGACGTCAGCCGCCAGGTCTTGGCGACAGAACACTTCGCAGAGAGTGCGGAAGAGGAGGACTAGGCACCGTGAAAGGGTTTGAAGGAGGCCTGTAGCTACCTACACTATACACCATTACTTCGCGGAATAGTGACATGGCGAAATGCTGAAGAAACTAGTTGCCAACGAGGGTTGGTTGGCTCAGTGGGCACGTCTGCAACTCATCGCTCTCGCGGATTCGAGGGACGTCATTGGGGACGGGCGTAAAGTGATTGGGCCCCCCGGGGCACGTCAGCCAGTGAGGCTCAGTCCGGGATGATGTGCATATCCCCTGCTTGCAGGCCACCGGGCCACAATAGGCCAAGAGCTGGGTCAAGCTGGGGTAAGGGGGACGGGGCCACAAGCCCGCAGCAAGCTTCGTGTCAAGAAGGCTTTGGACCAAAGATTCGAGTTCCACCTTGGGCTTTAATAGATGGAAAGAGTCGAGTGAGCCCGGGCGTGCCTCGACTGAGAAGTGGCCGGAGACGGTCATTTCTCATTTCTCAATGTGTAGATTGCTACGAGCAAAGCGGCGAGACATAGGTAACGGACGCGGCGACCAACCACCGCCAACTCATCAGACGTTGGAGGATGATGTGCGGGTGCCTAGTGCGACCTTGGCCCGCGGGTACTCACCCAACCCTCGGTGCTCAGGTGAGAGAGATTAGGTAAGTTCCGAGTGGGACGGTCGAGATGCCATTGGCAAAGGCCCCGGCCGTCAATCGGCGGAGAGCAAAAGCGGGAGGCGACCTGGGCCCTACCAGCGGCATGTCGACATGCCCTTACGCGAGTGCCCAGTCGTGATTACCATATACATGAACATACGTGCAGAGATGATAGTGGTTGTATGTACAGGTACTACCTACAACGGAGGTGTGGGAAGGGAAGGAAGAAAAAAAAAAAGGAAGGAAAAAAAAAAAGGTTTGAGTAGGGATACAGAGTAGGAGATTCGCGAGATCCCTGTGGTTCAGCTCGCGAATCCCTGTTGGGGGGGGCACAGCACATGAGCCCTGCCAGAATAGAGTGACAGGCGAGGACGAACAGCCTCCTGTCTGCGTTTGACGTCCTGGGGTTCCCTGGTGATGTTGGATCGATGGCGTCTCGGTCTGCAGGAAGAGGAAACGCCGATTAGAGCCTGAGAGAAATGGGGGGGGAGGGAGATTAATAAAAAAATTAAAGAAAAATTGACATGGTCCAGTAACACACCAGCCTCCCGAATTTTTTCTTGGATATGAATGGAATGCATGGTACGGCCCAACCTGGAGTGCTGGACCATGATGAGATGGCATGGTATCTGCTCCGTAGTGTCGAGTTCATCAGCCCAGAATGCTTTGCTCACTCTATTTGCCGCATACTATCCGTAGGTAGTAAGTACGGAGTAGTTACTACCAACTCGGTATCCATTCACTCACTGCATGTCATCATATGTTGGTAGGTATTAGGCATGCGTAGGATTGTACTGACGACTGACAGACGGCGAGGTTAAAAGCCCCCGTGTCCCCCCAGCTCGACCAGCCACAGCATATTCTCCAATCCAGAATCTAGGACGTCGGTGGGGACGCATAGGTGGGGTTCCTCATGTCGCACCTCATTCGCCCAGCCACCCACACGCGCGGCCCTGGGACTGCCCCTGCACGCACAGTGCGGTTGGAGCGTGTGCCTTGGCGCAGCCGAACCCCTCACCCCCGTCGTTGTCGTCGCTAGCGCGCAGCCCCGTCCACCCCAGCCAAACGCAGGGCGCAGAAGAGCTAACCTGGGAAGGTCATGTAGGTACGGCAACAGGGCTATTACCTGCTAGCAATCCCTACTCCACAGAGTAGTTTACCTATCCATCTATCTACTCAGTAAGTACGGAATCTACCTACTTACGCAGCATCGCAGACTGAGCGAGAGCTACTTATCCGTACTCTGTATGCTATCGTATCGGCCTTTCCTCCTTCTCTACGGATACGGATCCCTCCATCTTGTTTCCATCACTCTGCCAGCTCATACCTGGCTGGTCAGGCTCTCGGCAAACAGCTTCAGGGCATTACCTAGGTAGAGAGCTGTCACTGTCACGGCTGGTACCTGTTTTCCCCCCTTCTTTTCTTCCTTGCTGGCTTTGCCCGGCTACCTACCTTAGCTCCCCCCACCTGCCCTCCAATTGGCATCCTGTGCATTCCGCCCGACGCCAGAATACGGTCCTGAGCCGACATCATTCATCATACGCCCGCGTCGCACGCACTTGGCCGTGTCTCTCTCCCACACCACACAACGCAACGCAACGCTCGCTCGCTCGCTCTTCCACCTCCTCCTCCTCCTCTTCCTCTTCCTCCTTCTCCTCTTCCACACCCGCTGCCATTGCCATTCATTCCACGGCTTCAGCGTTGACTCGCCCGGCTCTGTTTTACTCTCCTTCCCCTCGTCGTCATTCGACATTCCGCCTTTGTGCTGTTCTCTCGGTGCGCTGCGCCCTGCCATCATCTTTTCCTCGACCTTCGATCGTTTTGATACCCGTCTTCAAGAACCCCGCCTCGTGTGAACAGCTCCTAGTCCAGCTATTTTCTTTCGCTCTGTGGCTCGCCGGAAGCCCTTGCTTCATGCCTTTTCTTCCACTCTGCAAAGTCCCGGCGGCATTGGTTCACTGAAGACCCAGCTCTCTCTCTCTCTCTCTCTCTCGCAAAGCCGCAAATAATAACAACAACAAACAAGCCCACAGCCATGGAAACGGCCAAGTTGTCCAAAGTCCACCCGCTCAATGGGATGCACACGGCCGGCATCTTTGCCGACCCCAGCATCGACGGGCCTTTGATTGGAACTCTGGTTGCTATTGTCGACCGCGCCAAAAACTTGCCCAACCGCAAGACCATTGGAAAGCAGGACCCCTACTGCGCTGCCCGGCTCGGCAAGGAAGCCAAGAGGACCACGACGGACATTCGCGGAGGTCAGACTCCAAGATGGTAACCGTCCCATCCGTCCTTGCCCCTCCGCGAAGCTTCACTCGCGTACTAACATCCATCTCTCCAGGGATCAGGAGCTTCGCTTCCCCGTCCACGACTCGCCAGATTACTACCAGCTGAAGGTGTCCGTCTTCAATGACGATAAGAAAACGGACCTCATCGGAGAGACTTGGATCGACCTGAGGGACATCATTGTACCTGGCGGAGGCCAAAACGACATCTGGCGCAACTTGACGTTCAAGGGCAAGTACGCCGGCGAGGTGCGCATGGAGATTACATACTACGATCAACGCCCGAAACCCGAGAAGCCCATTGCTAAGCCCAAGCCCGTCGAGGCAGAGCCTACCGACTACCACCATGGCACCATCCCCCGGAAGCAGATCAAGCGCCGACCGCTGCCATCCGATCCCTTCACTGGCGAGGCTCCCGCTGCCCCCTCTCCGGATCAAGCCCTGACCCCGCCCCGCACTGGCGGCCCCAGAGGTCCCAAGGAGATGAGCACCCCTACACCCACAGCCCAGGAGGCAAGTCTCTCGGGCTCGCGCCCGATGCCAAAGGGCCCGAAGCAGTTACAGCCAGCTCAGGTGCCGACGAAATCGCCCTTGCAGGCCATTGAATATAACACCAACGCTGCTCCCTTGGCCCAGCCCACCCAGCAAGACTTGCCTGCGCAGCCGCTTCAGGCCGCTCTGCCGCCACACTCGACAGAAGTAACACCACAGCACACGCCGAGGCACGAGCGTTACGAAAGTCCCACCGCTCAGTACGACGACAGGGACTACAGTCCAAGATACTCATCCCAGGAAATTGTCAACCAGGCCCACTACCGCCAGGGTTCCGAGCCACCGCGTGAACTCCTTTATTTGGAGGACCAGCGGCAAGAACCGCCTGCCGACGACGATCGTCCACCACCTCCGCCCGCTCATAGAAGCCGCGGGAACTCTCAGGATATGGTCGTGAGGGCCGCCTACGACACTCCTCCCAAGTCGGCGAATGCCATGAGGCAAGATGTCCTCCGAAATGAGGCTCATCGCATGTCCTTTTCGTCCACAGCGTACCCTGGACGGCCTACCTACCGTGGTTTCGATTCGGCCCCTGCCGTCACCAACGCGCTTCCAGCCCCTGAGGACCACCACCACCACGAGCTGACATCTTCGAGGCACCACTCGTACGATGCTCATGCAGAGTACCGATCCATGCAGCCGACGGTTGAAGACGTGCCCGAGTTGCCCAATACTTCGGCGAATCCCCATCAACGAAGGATCTCGCGGGCGCCTCCGTACGAGGAGACGGGTTACGGCCAGGAGCACAACCAGCTTCCGCCACCACCTCAGCAGTCGCAGCAACTGCAGCTTCAGCAGCAACAACAGCTCCAGCAGCAACAACAGCTCCAATATCAGCAACAGCAACAGCAACAGCAACAGCAACAGCAACAGCAATTCCAGCAGCAGCAGCAACAGCAATTCCAGCAGCAGCAGCAACAGCAATTCCAGCAGCAGCAGCAGCAGCAGCAGCAACAGCAGGCGATGCAGTTATCCCAGCGCCGGAACTCGTATACACCCCAATATGACGAGATGGGATACGATCAAGGTTACGACCAAGTGCCTAGTCCTGCCCCCCTGAACATCGGTGGCAGGGGAAGTGCGGGCTCCTCTCGTCAAAGAGGCGCCTCGCCGCAGCCCGGCTACGGGCGAGGGGACGAGATGTCCCAAGCGGGCCGCTACAGCACGTCGCCTCACCCAGAATACCAGCCGAGAGGAGACGAACTGGTATTCGCCGGCCGAGGCGGTACTTCCCCCGGGCACTACAGCACATCACCTCAGCCAGAACATCAACAAGATTACCAGCCTAGAGGCGATGAGCTGGTTCTTGCCGGCAGAGGAGACGTGTCGCCGGGCCACTACAGCACTTCCCCGCAGCCGTACGTGAGGGGGGACGAAATGGCTCGCCGCCAGCAGGTCTCTCCCATTGCGACCCGGGACTTCGCTCCGAGCCCGATGGAGGGATCGCCGTACCACTCGCACTTTCGCAGCCAGACCCAATTCACTTCGCAGCGGTCTGAGCTGGGTGGCACCGAGGTCACGGCTCACAGCATGCCGGCTGTGCCGGCTTCGTTGGTGCCGGGCACCGATCCGACAATCTCGCAAGAGGTTTCGGATCGGATCTACGACGAGAGACGTCAACAGCGGCGCTATACTGATCAGAGCATGGCGATCCAGCATCGCGGGAGACAGCACAGCGAGCCTGTCGGATACGATGGCAGCTACACGAACCAGACATACGTCCCGCCAGGGTACAACTCCCGGGCCTCGGCGTACGGCGCGCCTCCCCCTGACATGAACAGAGGACGAGGGCCTTCACCGAACCCGATGAGGGGACGGGGCGCTTCCCCTAATCCCATGATGGCTCGAGGATCTTCTCCTAACCCCATGACCGCGCGGGATGTCTCGCCCAACCCCATGAGAAGAGGTGCTTCGCCTCAGCCCCCTCCCCAGCACATGAGGTCGCGAGGCATATCCCCCAACCCTCACACGCAGCACACGATCAAGCGGAAGTCTGTTAGTCCCGCGCCGCCTCCATCTGAGCACCGCAGGTTGTCCGGCATCCCCTTTGGCCCGGATTCATACGACATGCTGAATCCGGCGGTGTCGACCACCAACAGCGACATCTCGAGGCCCGACCCCGACGAGAAGATCATCACTCATGACGGACGTGAAATCGACCCGTCAGATCATTTACCTATGGACACCTGGGCACCCGAGCCGGAGCCAAAGGGTCCCAAGACGCCGGCCTCTGCGTCCACCCGATCACGGGCGTCTACTGCCGACGCTCAGCCCCTGCCTACGAGCGGCCGTCGGCAGCTGCGCATCGCAGCTCGGCCCCAGTCTCAAGCCTCGCCAGTGACGTATAGCTCGGACCCGTACCACGTTCCGGGCACTCCGCCAAACATGAGCAGTGCTGGCCGAAACCGGCTCCAGAAGAAGACGCAGCGCATGTCTGCTCTCCCCTCGACGTCGCCGGCGGGATCCAGCCCTCTGGCCCCCATCTCATCACACAACTACCAGGACAATGGTGGCGACTTCACACCGCCACGCCTGCCGAGGGCGAGCACATGGGACTACCCCAGCGAAAATCACGCGCCGCAGTACGGCAGCTCTCCTGGAAGAAACTACGGCGGCGGCGGCGCACCCCCGATCCCGGCCAAGGTCCCCTTGCCCATGATGAGTGGCGCGAACGGCGACAATGAGTGGGCGCTGATGCAGGAAATGAGCCGCATCGACATAGGCGCCGGGCGCTCCAGGCGTCATCGGCACCACTGAGCAACGGCGTGTGTTGGGTGGCGTCGACAAGAATCTTCTTGTACTTGTACTATATAATGGTTACGGGGCTATGTTTTCTTAGATGGAACGATGCTTGCTTGAGTGAACGAACTGAAAAATATGGCTTGGGCTGTGGGGCTGGACGGACTGGTAATGCTGTAGGCAGCCGGAAATATTGATTTTTTTCTTTCATATTCATTCAGTATGTTCCATCGTGTTTGTGAAGTTCATTGTCCATACGACCGTCATGATATACTCGCGATTGCGTGTACGAGGTTCGAGTGATGGACCCAAAACTTGAATAAACCTGCTCAGGAGTATGCAACAAACTCCGCATTGGTCCTGATCAACAGAGGCAATTTCGTTCAGACAGGAAAGAAACTATTTCCTGTCCGCAGCTTGCGTTGGAAGTAGTGTTGTCGCAATTTAGTCATCTCTTCCTTGGGGGGAAGGCAGTGCCGCTCCTTCCTCGGGAATCCATGCCTGTATTCGTCTAGTCTTGCCGCCAGCTTCGGCTTCACCTTCTCGCCAGCAAAAAAAACAGCCGTTGCGCCCTTGGGTTGACAAGCATGGCGCAACTTCCTACGTTCCTATTTTTTGTGAAGTTATATAAGGACACGCAGCTTTGCTCGAAACCCCTCGTTTTCGTCCTCTCTTCTTTTCCCATACAGAATCCATCGTCGCATCATCCAACTCAACTTCTCATCTTTCATGTCGGAATGGGATCCAAGACACCCGAAGAGCAGATTCCTGGAGGCAATGGTATGAATTGTTGACTCGTTTCCACTTGCAACGAATATTTACCAGTAACAGGCGGTCCGCCGTCAACCGGCCCTTCCTCCAGCGGCGGCGAGCCGCGTGGCACGCACCTCTCCCGCGATGGGGACGGTAGCCTTGGAGACCATGGCGACGACGACGACGCTGACGAAGACGATGTTAGCTCCAGACCGTTGAGGGCAGATGTCGAGGAGAAGAAGAAAAAGAAAAGGCCAAAAAAGAAGAAGAAGCCTGCCGCTGCAAAGGAGCAGTCGTCGCCCCCGAGGGTGCCGCTGAGCGACCTCTTTCCTTTGGGGGAATACCCCGCCGGCGAGGATCTCGTCTACGACAGAGTTCCTCAACCGGACGCTAACACGGCTCGAACCACGACCGCGGAGCTGCGGTATCAGAGCCGCAAGCACCTTGAGGACCCTGCACTCCTCAACGACTACCGCAAGGCCGCCGAGGTGCACCGCCAGGTCCGGCACTGGGTCCAGGAGGCCGTCAAGCCTGGCTGGACGCTCCTCGACATCGCCACCGGCATCGAGGACGGCGTGCGATCGCTCCTGGCCAACCAGGGGATCGAGCCCGGCGACAACCTGAGGTCCGGGATGGGATTCCCCACGGGGCTGTGTTTGAACCATGAGACGGCGCACTACACGCCGAACCCCGGGCAGAGGGACGTCGTGCTGCAGCACGGGGATGTCATGAAGGTTGACTACGGCGTGCAGGTCAACGGGTGGATCGTCGACAGCGCCTTCACCATGAGTTTCGACCCCACGTATGACAACCTCCTGGCAGCGGCTCGGGATGCAACAAACTCGGGTATCAAGGTGAGACACGTCTCTCATTAACCTCAAGGACATGTGATGACTGACACCAGCTCAGGCCGCCGGCATCGACGTCCGCATCTGCGACGTTAGCGCCGAGATCCAGGAGGCCATGGAGAGCTACGAGGTCGAGATCCGCGGCAAGACGTACCCCGTCAAGGCGGTGCGCAACATCTGCGCCCACGACATCAAGCGCTACCGTATCCACGGCGGCAAGTCGATCCCCTTCATCCGGAACAATGACCAGACCAAGATGGAGGAGGGCGAGATTTTCGCCATCGAGACGTTCGGCACAACCGGCCGCGGCAAGCTGTACGACGACGTGAGTACCCCCGCTTCCCTCGACAATGTACTGGCCACTCCGAGATGTGGAATGGAAAAGGCTGAATTGCGATTGGCAGATTGGTGTCTACGGATACGGACTCCTGCACGACGCCCCCGCGCAAGTGAGGTTGCCCTTCGCCTCCGCGAACCGGTTATGTAAGACGATCAAGGAACAATTCGGGAGTATCGTCTTCTGCCGTCGCTACCTGGACCGTCTTGGTTTGGACCGTTACTTAGCCGGGGTAAGCCTTCCCTCTCCTATCTCAAGATAATCTTCGAGACAAGGTACCGTACTAATCGGCTGGTCCACGGCAGCTCAACTGCCTGGTCTCGCATGGCGTTCTCGAGTCATACGCGCCGCTCGCGGACATCAAAGGATCCTACACGTCGCAGTTTGAGCACGTAAGTTTGATTACCGGGCACAGGCTTCTATAGAGGATCGAGGATGCGTAGCTGACTTTTCCCAGACGATCTTGCTGCGAGAGTCCAGCAAAGAAATCGTGAGCCGGGGAAGTGACTACTGATTTGGGGATAGGAAGAGAAGAATCGTTGGGATCAGAAACCATCTTCACGTTTTTGCGTGGATGCAGTATGCGGCTTGCAAACTCGGTTTTCGAAATCCAGGGGCGGGTTCAACACCGCTTGTGCGAAGGTGCTTCAATGAAGCAAGGAAGGCAGCTCCAACACTGCCTCTGCCTCAGCGCGGGGCCATAGCTCCACTGCGTCTTTACATTCGTTACACCTAGTGATTAGTTTGTTCTATCCAAACACTCGTGCTCGTTGCTAAAGCGTGGTTCGGCAATGAGACCTGCAAGAGTGAGACTTGCGCTTTCCCCTCTTGTGCAGGTCTATTATCCAGGTGACGGAAACTACACTCAATTTGGTCTCCGGCTCTATCCTGGTGCATCAACTTGGTAGATTGCAATATCAGGGGTGAAAAGCTTCCGGTTTCCCGAGCATCGAATCTCTCCCTCCCCCTTGTCTTGTGTTGTGGAAGCGGGAGAGGAGGAGTGGGGCGCCAAAGATCGCCGACGTAGCCCGTGTAAGCCCCAGCCCAGCCGGAAACATTTCGCCGACTTTTTGTTTCGGACGGGATCCCTCATAAACCCCCAGCGTCCACCAGCTTTGGTTTTATAGTAAACCCTGCTGCCGTGCAAGCTCATTCCACGAAAGTCGCCGATAGATGCTAATGCCTTGAAGTTTTCGATTTCTCGCCTCGCACCTCATCGATGCTGTTCTGTTCCGGTCCAACACCTCAAACTCAACCCGCCCCCCCCCCCCCACCATGACGTCCATCCCTTCCAAGACCCTGGAGATCTCGCCCGGGATAACGTACAGGTACTTTTACTCCCGCGCGTCGCGGGCGGACCTCCCCACCCTCCTCTTCGGGGCCGACGAACTGGTACCGCGCGCTGCGGGACAACCTCTCGCTCGGGGACGAGGAGGGGGTGGGGAAGGAGCTTGAGGCGCCGGTGCTGGTCGTGGGGTGCGGCCGGGACGAGATGACGGCGGCCGGGCTGCAGGACGAGATGACCAGGCCGTGGGCGCGGGCGGGGTACCGTTTCGAGGTGCTCGACACGGGCCACTGGGTCATGCTCGAGGACACGGCGGGGACGAACCGGCTGCTGGAGGAATTCGTGGACGGTCTCGGGAAAGACTGAGCATGTCAAGTAGAGTTGTTTCAAACGTCCGACTGGACAAGGTGATATTCAACAACCTCTCGGCCTGTTGCCCGTTCCTCTTTCGGCTAATATGATTGACTGCGAGAACTTGCGGGATTGGGGAATGTAGGACGGGGGGATGCGGATAGACTTCCAGATTCCGCGTTTGTTAGTGTAGCTTGGACCCAGAGAGACCTGGATGGTATTCCGATTTTTGAATGCCCGGCCCGCCTCCTAACGGCGTAGTCGGGTAAGGTAGATAGGTTGAGCACATTCTATATCAACACACAATTATTCTTCCTCGTCTCTTTTGTCTTTTCTTCTTTCCTTTGATCCCCCCAACGCCATCGCAATGCATCAGTGACCAACAAGGTCCGATTTCCACAATCCAACATCCCTCCGCAGGGGGGCGTGGGGGATGGATCGTGATCCCTCCTTTCATCCACTCTCTCCCGCCCCTTTTGTTGACAAGGCATAAACCTCGTCGTCGTCGTCGCCTCCGATTTCTTCGAGAAACCTGCGAAGCCTGGTATACGCACCGGCCAACCGAGGATTGTCCAGAACAACCTCGCACGTCACACAAAACATCTAAACCCAGAAAAGGAGAAAATACAACCAAAACCATAGCGATTCAGAAACCGTCCCACTAGGCTGAGCCCATCATCAGGCTCTCGACCATGCCGCCCGTCTCGCACGCGAGCTGCGCCTTTTCGACCTCGTTCCCGACGCGGCGCCTCAGTGTCCGGAAGCCATCGAACAGCTCCGCGCTCGCGGCGGCGTACTCGGCGTACAGCTCCACGAGCACCAGGCCGACCTCGACGCAGACGCTGACGTACCGCGGGTCGATGATGTGGTTGCACGTCCACTTGAGCACCGGCTGCACCGTCCTCTCGTCCCTGCCCTCGAGCGCGTCCCGCACCGCCGACCGGTGCCGCAGCGCCAGCAGCAGCGTCAGCACCGCGAGCGGCGAGTGGTCCTTGCCCTGTGGGTCGAGGACCTGGTCCAGCGCGCTGGCGTAACGCCCGTGCCGCAGCGCTTTTTGCCACGCCGTCTCCTTGGTACGGGAGACTCGCGCGTCTTGCGCGACGATGACCTCGGCCTGGCCCTCGCCGAGGGTCTCGAGGCGGCGGTGGGCGGCGACCTTGCGCTTGCGCGTCTTGGTGACGCGGTCGTGCTGGTCGAGGGTGCCGGCGATGAGGGCGGCCATCTCGCGCTCGCGCTCCTTTTGGCGGGTGGCCTCGGGGCCGGTGAGGCGCGTGCGGATGGAGAGCACGCCGGACTGCATGCCGACGACGAGGTGGCGGTCGGCGTGGTCGGGGGAGTCGGAGGCTGAGAGCACACGGAGGGAGAGGATGGGCGAGGGGTACTTGGTGGAGGAGACGACGTTCCAGGCCGTCGTCTCAAAGACCTTGACATGGCCGTCGAGGCCGCCGGTGACGAGGCGGGTGCCGTTGGAGGCGAGGCTTAGGGAGGTGACGGTCTTCTGGTGGTTGGAGATCTGGTGGATGGGGCGGGCGGCGACGAGGTCCAGGACGGAGACGTTGGGGCCCGAAGCCGCGAGCAGGGTGGTTCCCGAGGACAGGGGCAAGACGGACTCGACGGGGGCGGCGTGCTTGAAGGTCATGACGGCCGCGTTGGAGCCTATTCTGGGGTCCCAGATCTTGACGGTGGAGTCGTAGGAGCCCGAGACGACCATGTTGCTCGCGCCCGAGGGAGACGTGGCCGGGAAGAACTCGGCACAGCGGACGTAGTCGGCGTGGCCGACAAAGGTGTGCGTCGGGTCGTTGGCCGTGAGGTCCCAGAGGCGGACGGTCTTGTCGTCGGAGGCGGAGAGCAGCGTCGTGGGCTGGGTGTTGGAGAAGCGCGTGGCCCATACGGGCTGGCGGTGCTTGGTCCAGGTCTTGAGGATGGAGCGCGAGTGAGTGTCGAAGACCTGCATGCGCCCGGTGTCCTCGGCGGCGACGAGCACGCGGCCGTCGCGGCGCAGGGAACCGGAGCGGGCGACGTCGGCGAAGCGTGTGATGGTCTTTTCGAGCTTGCGGGTGCGCGACGAGTAGAGTTGCACGCGGGTGCCGGTGGTGACGGCGAAGAGACCGTCGGCCGAAGTCGAAGAGATGTGCGTGATCGGGTATGACGTCGGCGAGGGGATCTGGAGCTGGTTCTTGAAGGACTTCCAGTAGCGCTGCTCGGCCGTCACGGGGGACGGGCCCGAGGGCAGCTTCACCTGCGGGAGGGGTCCCACGGGAGCTGCCATTGTGATGATTTGCGGGCTACTTGTTTCTGCGTCTTACTCGATATGCCTATGTGGAAGGAGTGGTTGCGGCCGAGTGAGCTCAGCTGGGGGGGAAGGGGGGATATCGTCGTCGTGATAGACGTTGGTGATATTTTTTTTTGGAGTTTGGCAAAACCGCTGCTACAGGAAATAAAAAAAAAAGATTCTCAATTGAGAATTTCTTTGGGTGGCTAATCCCGATTGGGCTTAGCCTATACCCCATGTCGGCTCGATAAGATAAGGCGCGGGGCTAGGGACTTGGATGGATTCGTCACAAAAGGCTGGTGCACGAACGAGCTGTCCAGTCGGAGAACAATGGTGTGATATGAAAAACTGTAAGATATGGTGTTAACTGCAGACAAAGTTGAATGAGTGCTTTCTCTTCTGCCTTTCTTAAGCAAACAGGCTCTGCGCTGTCGCGAAACATTTGTGGTCACGTAGTCGCCGACAATAGAATGCAAGGGTATACTGACAGCTCAGCCATCGCCAACTCCATGGCTCCAGCTTCATATCTAACCCTTGCTGTATGAAAAGCCTCGAGTAAATCAGACCCGCGCATGCATCAGATCTCGTGCTGCTTAACGCATAAACTCGCTCCAAGAGTACATAATACAAGCCTCCAACCCAACTACCTATCTTGCTGAACGAAGCATCCATGCCCGCCGTCTTTGACAAGGGGAGCGCAACACCACTCTTCATCGGCCAACCCCATGTCCAATATCTCGGCATCGAACATGCGAAAAAGCCTTGACAGCCTATTTCAAGCTCCAATAACGCGCATTGCGGTGCCGCAGAAACCCGAGGCTGACAGTCGTCCGGCCCGTCCATCCAACACACACAACAGTCCACACCACTGTCCGCGCAGCCGCCACTGCTTGGGAGAAGTAAGCCCCAACACCCCTTCCACCACAAAACCTTCTTCTCCTCCTTCTCCTGGGATGTGCCGACAACTCTCACTCGCCGCTCGCGATAAGCTTCATCCCAGGGTCGCCAGACCGGGATTACAGACTCTTGGCCTCACCAGTCGGACTTCACCTACCGGCTCGCGCATGGCGGTCAAACGCCCTACACCTCGTCCGTCACTTCAAAAGAAGGGGGGAGGCTAAAAAAATACATCATCGTCATCGTTCAAAGACTATGTGAATTCAACTCATCGGACGGTGATATCACCGCCAGAAACAGCCGAGCCGACCCGTTCTCTCTCTCTCTCTCTCTCTTTGAAACAGGTCAGCGGACGGGCGGACGGGCGGACGGCGAGGCTTCTCGTCTGATGTCGCCCTTCTCCCGTGGATTGGGTACCCAAAGTCTAAAACAACCGCTTTCCTCGATGAGCTTAAGCACCCTTCGAAGAAAGTACAAAGGAGTAGTGGTGGTGTTAAAGACACCCTACCATTTCCGTAAAGCAAACCGAAAAACTCTAAACACGACAACTCTGCCGCTATTGCTGTCCGCAGACCAACGTTTTCCTCCAACACGTCTTGGCCAAGAACGCTGCGCCGCAGGGCTATGAGAACTACGGGCACGATGGTCGGTGGTTAGACGGTAGGGATGCCGTCGCACTTGCGGCATATACGAGGCACAAGAAAGGTCTCCGGAACAAACGTTTCGAAATAGGTTGTCCGTCGCGCACCTCGAAAATGACGTCGTAAAATCATAACGCAAGTACATTCAGCATGCTCTCTCCACAAGTATGGAGGAACTTCATCTGAATATCAAGGGATAATCGCGATCAATATTTTTGAACTTTGTTTGGATTTCTCCCCCGTAATAACCTTGTCTGATCTATGTAACACGCTGATAAAGCATATTCAAAACGAATTTTGAGCCGTTGAACTAGGGTATAGCATCCTCTCTCTTCTTCTTCTCCCCTTACGCGACGGAACCGAAAATAGTCTCCATCATGATACCTGCAAAAAATGGTTAGCGTCACGGTAAACAACATGGCGTAGTGAGATGGGTGCATCATCAAACTCACCAGTAATTCTGTAAGGGTCGGCATTTGAGGCGGGACGACGGTCCTCGAAGTAGCCGTAGCCCTTGGCGGCGCACTCTCTGGGGATGCGGATCGAGGCACCACGGTTGGCGACTCCGTAAGAGAACTGGTCGATGGAGCCCGTCTCGTGACGGCCAGTGAGACGCTTCTCGTTGCCCTCGCCGTAGACGGCAATGTGCTCCTTGTGGCGGCCCTCGAGCTTCTTGATGGCCGCCTCGATGTGCTGCATGCCACCCTCGACACGCATCTCCTTGGTGGAGAAGTTGGAGTGAAGGCCGGCACCGTTCCAGTCACCGGGGATGGGCTTGGGCTCAACCGAGACCTTGGCGCCAAACTCCTCGGCGATGCGGGCCAGGAGGAAGCGGGCGAGCCAGAGGTGGTCACCCATCTCAATGCCGGTGCAGGGGCCCACCTGGAACTCCCACTGGGCGGGCATGACCTCGGCGTTGGTGCCGGAGATCTTGACGCCAGCGTACAAGCAGGCCTTGTAGTGGGCGTCGACGATGTCGCGCTGGACGACCTTGCCGGCACCGACACCGCAGTAGTAGGGGCCCTGGGGGGCGGGGAAACCGTTGGTGGGCCAGCCGAAGGGCCGGTTGCTAAGGTCGAGCAGAGTGTACTCCTGCTCGAGACCGAACCAGGGCTCGTGGGCGGCGTGAGCCTCCATCAGCTTGGCGCACTCATGTCTGTAGTTGTACTTGTTGGGGGTGCCGTCGGCGTTCCAGCACTCGGAGAGGACGAGGATGTTGGGGGATCCACGGAAGGGGTCGGGGAAAACGGCGACGGGCTTCAGGTAGACATCAGAGTTGTCGCCGGGGGCCTGGCCGGTGGAGGAACCGTCGAAGTTCCACATAGGGAGGTCTTCGGGGGTGTACTCCTTCTCCTTGAGCGTCTAGAGGGGCACATGATGGTTAGCTCCGTGTGTCTGCCAGAGACGGTATGATGCAATTGTGGGAATGGTTCCCCGAGTCCACGCCTCCCCCCCAAGCTTCTGAGCCGTGCCCGGCCGCCGAGGCTGACATCATGCGATGCACCTTGCCGTCAGACCGACGAGGCCAGGCGGAGCGACTCCAGCAGCCCATGTTTTGGGGGTTCCTGTGGAGAACGACGCTCGGCCGGCGGCAGCAACTGGGGACAGACGACACGCCGAGAACGCGCCGACGGCCAAAAGGGCAAAGATACGGGGCGAGAGACTGGCAAGAACCTCCAATAACCGAATTGCGGCGTTGAACCCTGCAACCGGAGGCAAGGCGAAGCCTTGGAGGGGTCTCGGTGTCTTGGATGACCACACGAATTGCGTGGGGTGGGGGTTCCTTGCAGGACCGAGTCGTGGCCGAATCCTGCCAGCCAGACGGTGGTCGGACAGGTACGTACCGACCACCCACCCGCACCTGGAGGGACAGACAATGGTTTGGCCCCCTCAAGTGCATATCGATCCGTATCTTTGATGCCGCCCTCTTGCCCGCCATTCCAGCCGGTGCTCGGAGACGCCCCGAGGGGAAGAATACAGAGCACGGGAGGCCGCGCCTCAGTTTTGTCGCGCCCTGTCGCCGCAGGAAAAAGCAAGGAGGCATGCAACAGCAGCGCTCTCTCTCTTACTCGCTGAGACGGGCCGCAGGAACAAAGACCTGAGTGATGTTCCTCACATCCAAGGGCATACAGCCTTGGGTGAAGACAGCACTGAGGCCGGCCAGGACCGATAAAGGGGAAACCACAAAAGGGAAAGGGAGAGAGGAACAACGAGACGAATATCGCAAACTTACCCTGGACTTGGAGCGGGTCTCGCCGTCAGCGTCGATCCAGATGTACTCGGCCATGATCGAGCCCTTCTGGTCAAGCTTGAGGTACTTGGCCAACTATTCGACGGGGTCAGCATATTTGCTTATTTTTATTTTTGTGTCGTGATGCGCCAAGCCGACAGCAGGATCGGCTATAATTAGTCGATCCTACTGTCAGCTGAGCTCGGGGGAGAGGCGGTGTGTTCTCACAGTCTCGGGCTTGGAGGTGAAAGCAGCTTCCGTCGCCTGTAGACGAGAATCATGTTAGCATATGCCCTTTTTCGCACAAGCATCGTCTGAGTGTCGGGGGGGTAGAAGGCGACCTGGTCGCGATCGGAAGAGTATGATGAGGGTGGGGGGTTCAGTGCAGTGTTGAGAACGGAGTGAAACTTACCATTTTTGCGGTTGTGTATGATGTAAATGTGGGAAAAGAAACAAGACACAGGGTCAATTATTGTCCAAAGAGGTTCGAGCAAGAAAGGATAGAGGATGGATCTGGAAGTAGGGAATGGGCTCGGTAAGAGCAGCAGACGAAGCGGGTGGTTGAGGGTTTTATGTCTTCCCAATGCGCTGCTTGTCTTCGGGGGGGATGGGGGGCCACAAAGGAGGGAGCAAGACCTGGGCTAGGAAACACCCTCACAGGGCGGCGCGATGCGTCGATGCTTTCTTACACGCACACACACAGCATGTACACACAGCGAATCTGCAAGGTACCGTCGAGATACAACATGACAACCGCGGTCCTCGCCCACGAACTCTCACAGGCGGCTGGTACAGAATCGTCACTTTGTCCCCCGCTCAAGTTCCTCCTGGGTCCTTTCCAGCCCAAAGATAAGGCCTACCCACCCCTCTTACCCCACCCACAATCGATACCAGAAGCCACAGACTGGCCACACCCCTGCAGGCTGCAATGGGCTGGTGGGGGTGTAGCCCGGAAACGCGCCTCCTGCCATTCGCCCGCCAACCCAGAGTGTTTGGGGGGACCACAGATACAGTAGGTACATGCCACCTTGAACTTGCTCCCCAGGGTCTCACGTTGTACAAGTCGAGATACTTGAGCCCACCCATTCCGCCACCATTTGCACCGCCGTCAGAGGTACTCCTACAGCATCTTGTCCTCTCGTAACCAACGGCGTCGCGGCCTCCTGGGTACCGGTAGTCCAACGGGAAATGCGACGGCCGGACCATTCGCCTCTAGAGGTATCGTCAACTCCCTCTTCTCCGTGATTGACCCCCGGGGATCTCCTCTTGCGCTCCCACTTGGGTGGTTTTGTTCTGTCAACCCTAGTCCTCGGGGCTGATAAGTAGCAAGAGGGAAAAAACAACAACAATGTGTAACGATGGCCTCCATGTACGCCCAGAGGCCCGGCTCGGAACCAGTCAGATGTCACTGGAGACAACCAGTACGGCATGTGCCTGCAACTAGCTGCATTGTAATTCCCACCACCCAACCCCATTCATGATAGTGAATAGCAGCGAGCCCGTGAGAAACTTTGCCAAAGGAGAGGTGAAAGACAAAGAGCGCGCGGTACACATACACCATCGTACCTAACCAGTTTGGGGGTATTCGTACGCAGTCAATCCTACACTATCCGTAGGTACTCCGTATTTACATAGGTACCTACTCAAAGCCTAAATAAAAGTGACTCTCACCCATACCGGTAGCCGTCCACCCGTGCCACAACGCGGGATACGTACCGATGCATGATTTACCAAGCGCACACCCCACGTCCCTCCTCTGTTTCTATCCTTGGAAATGCTCGTGTGCATGCACACCAAGCCCTTCGCCCTCGCCGCCGCCGTTGTCGGTGTCGGTATTATTGTTGGGAAGCCAATGCCTGTAGCAATTGCTGCTGGTGGTGGTGGCTGTGGCAGCCGTCCAGCGCCCGGGTCCGAAGCATGACGGATATCTTCCTGGACTCGGCGACCGCCTCCCATTCAGGCCACTTGCAAACGAAAGCGCCCTCGAGCTTTCAGGCCCCGGAATTGCCGCGCTCATTGGTAGTAATTGACGACTGGCGGTCCAGAATGCATCGAGAGGGGAGGGGAGGAAGGGAGAGAAGACTGCGTCGCCTGCAATTTGGTTCCACGCCGACGATCGCAAGGTCATATTGCGACAACCTGCATATTCCTGGAGCCGGTTTCTTGCTGGGGGGGCAGTGTGCTCTTCCTCTAACCCCCGTCACCTTGTCATTTCTCTTCTCCAAAAGACCCTAGGTCACACAAAAGCGACACAGCGACAGTCTTTCATCGTCCTGCCGGCGTAGCCCGTCGCAAACAGCAACACGCATGCGTTGGTTTTCCCAAACCTTGCCATTAATATGCTCGAGCGCGGCACAGGAAAGATAACCATCCTTCAGGAGTTGCGTCCTTCTTCTTCTTCTTCTTCTTCTTCTTCTCCTCCCTCGGAACCAATACCTACCGCCTGGTTCGTGCATATGGCCTTCTCAAAAAAACATTAGCCGCCTCTTAGCAGTCATATGTCGACCATCCTCCGTCTTATCTGGCAAGTTTTTTTCGTTCCCGTGTGCGTCTGTAACCCCTTAGTGGGGTTAATTGGCGACTGAGGTTCCCTCTCTCTATGGATCTGTCCTGGGTGACTCCCGATTTGGACTAACCCAGGCAACGTCGTCACAGATTCTACCTCGAGGTTATCGCGCGGCAGCGAGGGGCAAAAGGTGGGGGAGTTCATGTCGCGGTCCAGATGCCCTCCAAGAGTTGAGATGCGTGGCCAGTGCGGTACGATCCGATGAACTCTTGTCGGTATCCTGTTGGCGACCTCGAGTTTACAACACCTCTCGATCTCTCCGATGACGGCTTTCCCAAACCTTCGGGATCACTAGCCGAGCTCGTCCTTCCGGCCAGTATTCAATGGTCTGTTCGTTCGTCAGAGAACTCCCCACCCCAAGCTTTTGCGCCGGGAAGCCACCTTGTACACCAAAGGACCCCTCTCTCCTTAAAGGGGGCCAATCCACATGACCTGCCGTGACCCGTCCTGCAAGACTTGAGTGAATATCTGGCTGATATGCAGCCCAAACGTTTTGGAGACTGCAGCATGCACAAACAAGGCTGGAGTCTGTCGAGGGGCCGTCAAGGAGCAATGCTGCTCGATAATAACATTGTGTGTTGGGTTCTTGCCCGCAACTCAAGGAACGGGATGCTGTTCCGTTGTTCGTATCGAACACAGTACATTTTGCTCCGATACGGCGGCGTATCAAAGCCAAGCTTCCCCGCAGTCCTGCCCGGGACAAGGCAAGACCTATACACGGCACCGCCGTCGGATATACCGTATGATTACCCCCAACAATGCCGTCCCAACATCTCACATCTCACTCGTCGGCCGTGGGCGATTCAGGCTATATTCTGGGATAGCCGCTTGCCATTGCCACTTCTAGAGTAAGCCCAGGTAAAACTTTGATGATTCCATTATGGAACTTGTTCTCCAGATGTGACCTGCAGGAGACATCCATCCCGGATGCCTCCAAACCATCAAAATGTGGGACGCTAGTGGCCGGCTGGCGCATTTTGCATTGCTGGCTTATCGCTGGACGGTGATTGGTCAGAGTCCTTCTGCAGAATAATTGAATTCTCTCAAGAGCTGTTGTCGATTCTGTTGTCTCCTTAAAGACCGGCATTAATCGCTCAAGAGGACCTGGTCACCCGTGACGCCCTTGGCTGCTAAGCACATTTCCATCTCTTGTCAGTCGCAACTCTTGTTCACCTGCAACGATGCATAGCTTCACGAGGTGTTGTTGGCCTCGGTGAAGCATGTGGCAGCTGACAAGCTTACTTGGTGGAGAGCAGCGGTAGGCAATGACATGGGGTCGCTGCGAGCATGAGATGCAGTGAAAAGCACCCCGTCCATGGCAGAAACAAACCGTTTGGATCCAACCCGATGGCTAGTGCCGCAAAGTTGGGTTCTGGAAAATGTGGATGGAGCAGCCATACCTACTGGGCTTGGTAGCCGGACCGGCGGGGATGGAGGGGAAGGGTAGAATCGGGTGGAATGTGGACTGGGTGTGTTCTCTCGCTGAGTTGACGGTGACCAGGACTCTGCAGAACCGGCTTTGTCGAACAGGCCGCCGAGACCGGGCAAGCAGCAGCACAGCGGCAACGGCCGGCAGGCTCAAACACGGACGGCACCACCGCTCTTGGCTTTTGCGGACCCCGACGACGTGCGATATCCGTAAATCCCACACCGGCAATTCATCGAACAGACCCATCTCTACCGAGTATCTCTGTCGCTTTCAACAACGAAATTGTTCGCTGCCATCATCGCTCTTTCTCTCACTTTCCTCTAGCTCTTCGAGGGCATGCGAAAAGTCATCATTTCCCACCGTCCGAGCTCTGATCAACGACCTTTGTCTCGTCGCTGAGTGGTTGGCGTTGACACATAGTTATTCTCTGATTGGTCGGCTACCACCCGCCACGAACGGGACCTGGCTGAACACTGCCCGGGGCACCTGGGCGAGGCATGTCAGGGCTCCAATCGAGACTCTCACGAGATTAGAATGACGTCTTTGGGGTCGTCAATCGGGGATCGATGACCCAGAAGAGCGCCTGGAAGAGCGGCGACATCCATCATCATTGTGATCTGAAAGTGATTTCTTTCAGGTCTGCAAAAGCCAATTCGGGGACCAGCACCGGAGAAGACAAGACCGCTTCCGTGACGTCGGCCTCGACTCGAACGTGGGGGCACCGAATTAGGACTCGGATCATGGAGCCCCTCTTTTGTGATCTATAGCTGGATTCAGTCGGGGCCCCCTTCAAGGGAAAGGCGTCTCGGTGTGCGGCAAGCGCCACATGGAGAGGCCGAAAGGCCTTAGCAAAGGCGGCGGGCGTGACACGAGCCCACAGCAGGGCACAGTCGACATCACGAAGCGGGTTGAGTCAGGCTCGTGTTCGGCGGACGGGGGCATGTGGTTATTCTTCGGAGCTTCGTTCCGGGACCAAGCGGTGGGCAAATGTGAGATGAGACGGGAGAGAGGCTGTTCTAGGACTCTCAGGGTATGGCTTTGATGTGTCACAGCGCGAGCGCGCAATGGATGTGCCCGAGGCAAGGCGGGTTCGGCATCCACCAACAAGATGCACCGCCCCGAGTCCAGCTGAAAGGAGGAGGCTGTCTTTGACAGTGTGTTTTTAACAGTGCGCAGACGATGGCAACACATGGGACCGCACTGTAAAAAACCGAGTTGGCTGATGGCGGTTTGAGGCGGCAAGTGCATTTTTCCCAATCCAAGATCCCTTCCTTCCCAAAAGGGACAGAACTGTGAATTTCAGGCTGAAGATCACATGACGTTTAACCAGTTGGAGAAACCGTAATTATAGATGGGTTGGGAAACTGCACTTGCCTGACGTTCGCTGCGTATAAAGGACCTCTCTGGACGTATCTGAGAGCCTGAAAGTGATCTCGAACGAATTTCGCAGACTGAAAGTATACCTCTGCCTTTCGTCGCCGCTGCGCTGCATCACTTCTGTATCAACCAGCAGCCCGGTTCCTGGCTGTCTTGGCGCCTACCAACACCAGCACACCTTTGTGCCTGCGCCATGAACTGGACCGAAGGGACTTTGGCTCGTCATTCGCGAGGAAGAGGCTGGAATCCGGAGCTCGCGAAGCAGAGACAGTACTTTGCAAAGGCTCGAGCAGGGCTTCGGGTCACCTCGAAGCCAAACCTTGCCTCTATCTCAATCCTTCCTCGACGGCCGGAATCGCCTACGGTGCGTCCTGAAAAACACCCGTCAAGGACTCTGATGGAGAGCTCGCCGCATTTTCAGCAACGACAGAGCCCGCATGGAGATAATGCGGAACGCCATGTTGGCCATTCGCCCCACCAGCGTCAGTGGGAGGTCAAACCGTCCATGGATGGTCGTGGTTTTCCTAAACCTCACGGATCGATGCATACGAGCGCCAAGCGAACGCACAGTGCGGACGATGAAGAAGCCTTGGATGTGAAGAGACGGCGGTTGTTACAAAAGGCTGACTGGGCCGGCATCCACGTCCCAAAACCGATACCCTTCCATTTCTCGGCCCGTAATAACTTGACTGGAAATCAGATCTGGGGCTTTCGCAAGAAACATACGACTGGGCAGCCCGCTCCTTTCGTTCAGAAGATTAGGCACAACACTGATGCATTGAGGGGACCCGTCACCAGTTACAGCAGCACTCAGGACGGAGACAGAGAAGTTAGAATCATGATTGGCAGCGAAGATATTCGGCTCGGTAGCGAAGCTTCAAACACAGAGAAGAACAGAAATAAACGGTCTCTTCGAACTATCTCCAGATCGAACAACTATTATCAGTCGGACTACTTCCAAAATTCCTCGTCTCGGACACTTTCGCAGCACCACGCATCTCCAGAAAAACACGACCACAGGGAAGTGGCAGGTCATAGGACAAAGCGTTTGCGGGAGATTCGCCTTAGAAGAGACGGTGCGGCCACCGGGAATACTGCCATAGCTGTGTCGTCATCATCTTCGTATGGCCGACGGACCAGGCTTGAACATATGCAACGAGCTGGCAAACATTTGGTTATTGAATCATCTTCGTCCATCGTTCACCATCCGGTTCCCCAACGACTCAGTCAGCTCGTCTCGGCACAGAACTTGGGAACCCCCAAATTGGATGCATTCGGAAGCACCATCGCCGAAGTTAGCCATAACCCTCTTGCCGCCGTCCCCTCCTCGGAGATGAGCGAGAACAAACGTTGGCACGGCATGTTTTCATCTTCCGGCGACCGGGCAGAAACCCTCGATAACATAGATTACAACGGGATTGCCGCAGCTGAGGATATCAGTCCTGGAGTCAGCAATTTTCCAGTCCCTAACTTCTCGCCAATCCAGGAGTCAAGTCCCGGAGACCCTCCAAGTAATTCGCTTTCATACCTACAAGAAAGTCCTAGCGTCAATAAGGTTGTGCAAGTAGGCTTGCGAAGGTGCCATGCTGGATCTTCTGACAAAAATGACGATGGCAGAAACCCGTTGGAAGATGCTGTTCCCGCGATACGGTTCTCCTCGCCACTCTCACCAACCAACATTTCTCTTTCGTTATACAACCCAGCCGCAAGTGACCTTAACGAAGATATCGGTCATATCCAAGGAATCTCACGCGTGACCGAAGAAGTGCTTGCGGGAAACATGGTTGATACCATGATCCAGCACCCTTCGTCATCGATGGTCTCGGATATCCCTGGAGAACGGAATCTCGACCAGCACGAGCGAGATGGATGCATTGGTAGTAAGACGGGAATGCTTGAGAATCCGAGCTTAGTGTTGCAATCTGTAGAGATCGGCATAGGTCGAGGCACATCATCAGTACCAGAACCAATACCGTTAGGGGCGGATGCAGAGTGGATCAACTTCATATTTGGCGACGGCGGTGATGAAGTTCATGAAATTGCGTTTCAAGAAGCAAGAAAAGAAGCAGCTAGAGATCTACGGCCATCAAGCAGCTCTGCCAACAGTCGCTGCCAAACCCCAGGAACACCCAGCGTTGGCCATGCCACAGCAGTCGCAGCTACCTATGCAACCTCCAACCGTGGAAACGAGGAGAAGGGCATTATTCATTCACCCCATTCAAGAAGTTCTTCTGGATTTGGGCTTAGTCATACATCCATGAGAGCCTTCGCAGACTCCACGGACGCTCCTCTGGAGGCATACAATCATGTGGATGCTCACGCAGACATAGAATCCACCATTGTGGAAGTTGCCGAATCAATCACTCGGGGGGTGCGTTCAGGTTATCACATGGCTGACATGTCCTCAACACCAGCATTGGACTCCGCGTCTACAGCGGCGCACCCGCCCGAGTCGGAAGTGGGAGAAGTACCGGGTCAAACTTTCCAGTTTGCACGACCAAAGACGTTCATTGGCCGACTGGCTAGTTCGTTCGTGCCAGACGTAGGCCCGATCGTGCCCCTGAGTGTTCACAACGAAGCCAGCAAGAGCAGCAGGCCGAAAAGAAGGACAAGGAAAAAGAAGGCGAAAGACGGGAGAGCCGATATCCGCCGAGTGCCGAACCATGACGGTGATCCTATTGACGAGGGTTCAGATGAATAAGTACTTGGAAGTCCACGAAATCTTGTAAGAACATTCACCGAATACCAAAGCACGGGCGGGCACTCGTGTACGCTTTTCCTGGCATCATTTCGACATTCGTGGGATATCTACCGCTGTTGGGGGGACCTTGTCCCATCTATGCTAGAAACAAGTACAAAAAAACAACCTCAGTGTGCCAGGAGAAGAAAAGACCGAAAATCCCCCCTAAAAGTACAATGCTCCGAGAGCCCTTCCCCTTTGCCGTCCATCCTTTCCAAACGGTTCATGTTTCGTTTTCTGATGCTCCAGCCACGTCAGAACCCAGCACAGCTGTCTGCTCCGGGGGTGATCAAAGTTCGTTTGTATCATGTGCAGATGATCTTTTTGCTTTTCCCAAACAAAAAGATGTCAAATGAGGGTAAATTTTTTATGCTTTTTCATTTCTCTCTTTTTCTCTTTTTTTTGTGTGTGTGTGTTTTCTTCTTGTTGGTGGTAGTCGTTGCTGTTGCTATCGCGGGAGCCCCGGGGTCAACGTTCTGTGTGTATGACTGACATGGCATGATATCTTCGCGGCAAGGTAGGGAAGAGAGCGGACATCAAGAGTACTGGAGGCTGAACTTTCGTTCGAGCTCCTCCTCTTTCGTCTGCTACTGTGCCTCCGCTCCCTTCCGCTCCAAAGCCGTCTTACCACGAGCCAAAGGCGCGCCCGAAGTTGCGGGGGCGGTAGGCCACGTCGCGTTCTTTTGTGTGCCCGTGCTTCCTGAACGCTTCCTTGACGTGCTTGAGCTCGCCGGTGGGCGCGGGGCACGAGGAGACGGTCTGGGTGACGGTAACTGGGACGCAACTTGCGGTGACAGTGACGGGAACGCAGTCCTGCTCGCCTGCGCCGCCCTCGGTCCCAGGGCTGGGGAGGGCCTGCGCCACGGTTGTTGCAGAAGCCGTGCTCTGGGCTTCGTCGGAGACGGTCACGACGCCGGTAAGGGTGCCGACGGTGACGGTGATGACGCGCGGGGGAGGGGCGGTGGCTGCGGGCGGCTGGGCCGTGACGTAGACGGTGGTCACGACGGGAGGGGCTGTGCCCTCAGCCGGCAGGGTCGAAGCCAGTGCCGAAGTGACCGGCGCTGCGGCGGGTGCCTCGGGCTTGGGTGCTTCGGGCTTGGGGGCCTGCGCGGGAGGAGAGGGAGGAGGGGGAGGAGGGGCAGCCTCGGCGGTCTTGGTGACGTAGATCGTGGAGACGACGGGAGGCAAACCGCCCGCAGCAGGGAGGGTCGAAACAAGAGCGGAAGTAACGACGGGCATGGGAGCATTGCCTCCTTCAGCGCCATTGCCTTCTCCAGCACCATTGCCTCCTTCAGCGCCATTGCCTCCTTCAGCACCATTGCCTTCTCCAGCACCATTGCCTCCTTCAGCGCCATTGCCTCCTTCAGCACCATTGCCTCCTCCAGCAGCATTGCCTCCTCCGGCAGGCATGGACGGCGCGGCGCCAGCGTGCTCGGTGACAGTGATGACAGACACCACGGGGGTGGCGTCGGGCTGGCCAGGGTTGGCTACAATAGTGGTAGTCACGACGCTGGTCTGAGGGGCGGCAGGCTGGGCAGGAGGAGCCGCGGGGGTAGCCGTGACGGTGACAATCGAGACGCCTCCGGTTCCGACGGCCACGCCGGCGCCAGCGGGGAGGGTGGTGGTGGCGATGACGGAGCCGCCCGCCTCGGCAACGCCAGAAGCAACACCACCAGCAGCACCAGAGGTCTGGCCGTTGGGCAGGACCACGGTCTGGGTGACGGTCGTGGGGACGGTGACAGTGACGGTGGCGGTCTTTGCGGCGTTCTGGCAAGCGATGTGCTGGGACTGGCACTGAGAGAGCTGGAAACCCTGTCCAGTGATGCTCTGGCACTGAGAGAGCTGTATGCCACAGGCGGCGCTACAGGCGGACTGGAACTGCTGGAATTGCTGGCCGGCGACGATGAAGCCGCCCTGCTGGCCCTGCTGGACAGGGGGGCATGCGCCGCCGAGGGCGGAGTTGAAGTTGAAGAAGGTGACCTGGGAGATGATGATGATCTGCGGCTGCATGATGATGGGGGCAGCGGCGGTGACGGTGCGCTCCGTCGTGACGACCTGGGTGGTGGTGACGTTGTTGGACAGGAGCGAGGTGACGGTGGCGACCTCTGTCAGGGTCGAAATCTGGGGAGGAGCGGCAGCAGCGGCAGAGCTCACTGCTGGGGGAAGAGCTGCGGCGGCAGAGCTCGGCGGTGGGGGAGACGCAGCTGCAGCAGGACGGGTGGTGTTGAGGAACCTGCCCGTGGTTCCGGCCGGAGCGGGCGGGGCGGGAACGTTGGCACCAGCGCCAGTCGAAAGAGGAGGAGGCGGGATGCTGATGCTGGAGAGGATGGGCGATGGGGCAGCATTCTGACGCTTGACCTGGTGCTGAGGTAGGTATCCAAGGCGCTGCACCTGGTGCGCGAGACCCAGCTCGGCGAGGAGAGTGAAGAGGAGAAGGAATTTGAACAACATGTTGAAGGATGTTGGTGTTGTCGCCGTGGTTATGCTAAGACGGGCTTGACGAAAGAAGAGAAAGAGGAGGGGGACCGTCCAAGTCGTTTATATCAAGGGGAAGAAACAGAAAGCAAGGCCCTTCGAGGGATTGGGCGACTAGCACCGAGAAGAAAATGACAGGATCCTCCGGGAAGAGGCGAAAAGAAAAAAGAAGGAAAAACTTGGCCGGAGATGGATGCCAAAGAATGTCAGACCAAAGAAGCTGCTGTGGCAAGAACAAGGACCGGTCCAGAGATGGGAAACCAGACCATCTTTTAAACGCGTTTCCTCCTCCTCATCTGACCGATGGACAGGAGAAGAGTCCTCGGACCAGACCCTGGCCCTTCGACTTGATAGATCGGGGGTACCACGTCTCTAAGCCACTTAGTCTCATCCCCCCCTCCCAGTGATGCTGCTTCGCCATCGCCTTGGTACGATCGTCGTGAGACGTTGGGCCAACAAGCGGCCTAGCTGCGGGGCCACAGTAGGGGAACGAGCTTGACCGTTGTTTGGTGTTTACAATTCCAAGAGAGGGGGGAGGGCCGCAGGGTGGAGGCAGTGGAGGAGGGAATACTGACCAGAGGGGCGAACAGTGTATTCTCGCGGAGGATCACTCGCAGGCGAGGGCGACATCATCCACGAGAGCGTGTTTCCCGAGGGGCCGACTTTGGAAGGCTGTGTTATCCCCCCTGCCGGGATGACAGGGGAGGTGGGAAGGATGGAGGGGATGAGCGAGGGTTAGACGTTGATGTCTGTGGACTCAGGAACGGAGGAGACGGCGTAATGGGATGCTTCCTCCGGGGGGGGCACACCTATACCACACCTTGACATAATACGGGCGCCTCCTTTTTCAGAGGTGGTGATGAGAAAGCGGAGCTCTCAGTAATCAAGTTTATGGAATAAGGGTGGATGTGGTTTGCGAGGATGCAACGACATCTGCCGACGCAGATACTGCAGGAGGTACTGCAGGAGGATTGTTGATCCAAACGTCGAGGGGAATGAAGGAAGATGACGAGAACAACAACGACAGGATCGGCTCGTTGCGGCCTACAACCAACCTCACCTTCAACTGATCTCCCTGTCATGTCGCCACGATCTGCAGGTCATCTGTTGTCTATCCTGCCGTCTGTAGTCTTGTGTTTTTCCGAAAAAGTGTCTTTCAGACCCACCAAGAGATACTTTCTTGAGCTCCTGAACGTCCCAACAGGCCAGTAGCAACCTCCCCCCCCCCCTGGTTCGAAGGACTGCACAAGGAGCGATGCCAGTTCAAAGACTTCTTTGCACCGGCCACAAGGGAAGGGGGCTCAGAGGGAGCTCAGAGGGAGGTGCTTGGCGTCCGATGTTCTGAACCAAGCAAGCATAACAGCATCAAGCTTGATGAAGAAGAAAAACCTGCTCCAGGGAGCAGGCAGGCTGGGACAGGAGATGCGGTATCAAGGCCCTCCAGGCCCAGGGTGTGCAGGCCGGTAGAGGAAGTGAGGTTCACTTTGAGTGCCCAGACCAAGGGGGGGGACGTTGAATAGGACCGAGCGATGAAGTCGGTATCGGGATTCTGCCCATGCCTACCAGGGTTGCCGGGAAGGGACGGTGCATGATTTACGCCGGGGGGAGAATTGCGTTGCGGATCCATCGGACGCTGCCTGCCCATCAGGGAGGGGAGATCGGGGGATCTTGCGCATGTATCCGTACCTAATCCGTAGTAATATAACGTTGCGGCTAAGACCCCACTTGATTCGTTTGAAGATTCCCGCGCACTTTCCCCCCCACCTCATGGTTGAATACCTTGGAAGGCACGTACCTAGAGGCTAGAGCCTAGAGGTAGGTAGGTGGGTTGAGGTTCTTTCCCCTCCAACCCCCCCCCACCCCCACCCTGGTACCTACCCGGTTGTTCCTGTTTCAGCTGATTGTCGAAAGAGGAAGTCGAGCCTCTTCACGGTTCTCCTGACTGTGGCTTCTGGACTCTTGGTATTCCCCACTGTCCAATCAACTTCCATCGCGCTTCCCCTTTTCGTTCCCGAGTATTCAACCGAAACCTCTTTCCTCACCAGATCACACGTGTGGTGTGGTGGCCTTTGCTGACACATGAACACCATCTGCCCTCGCCTCGTCCAGCAGTCCTTCTCGGTCACTCCTTCATGGGATTTAGACATACGCCAATGCCCATCTGATGTCATGTTGCCCGGCACGCCCTGGACCTTGGACCCCTCCCAACCTTTGCGCTAGTTTTCATTGAGGCTAATTGCAAGTGTCATCTTTCGTACAGACTTGGGACGACAGTGGGCACTTGGTCGCCAGCTATTCCCTTCCTCGCTGCCATTCTCCACGTCAAGAGTTTTCCCGAGAGAGTAACCGGGGAAGGGGGGAGAGGGGAAAATATCTCGTCGACCAAAGCGAAGCCTGGCTTGTGCCCAACACATGAATAGCAGAACAGTTGCATTTGCTTCCGCTCTCGGAGGGCCATCTTATCAATCCACGACACATATCAGAGATTCGTTACTGTAACTTTGATGCCCGTCGCCGTCAATCACCCGTCTCTCGCTTCTCGCTGATCATCCTGATGCCCGCCCGTTCTGAGCTCCGCGATAGGCCAAACCCGAGAATAAGGTCTGGCATGTGCGGCCCATGCGGGAGATCGCAGGTGCCCCGACCCTTACCCTCCTTCCTCTCCACTTTCTCTTTCTCTCTCGCTCTCTCCTTCTCTCTCTACGGGTATGTGTATGTATCACTCTGTCTCTCTGCACCCCCCTTTGGTTTCGACGGCAGGACGGCAGCCCCTGTCTACCCATGTTTAAACAGTTGGCTGTTTGAGATTGCGTGCCTAGGGGTACAGTGGAATTTGTGTGAGACTTCCTCCATATAGCATCATCCCGGAATGGGCAACCACTGCATTTACCAATGTCGACTGCTTCTCGGCTTTCACCATGTGGGACCTTGGGCATGATTCCTTGGCAAGTTGGTAACACGGCGGGCCGATGGTGAATCGTCGCGAGGGGTTTTTAGGCGTTGCTATGTACCTACTTGACCGTTGGAGATTGTCCTTGGCCAACAGGAGCTCCGAGCATCAACCCCCCCCCCCTTGCGCCGTTAGGAAAATCTTCCAACAAGGGACGAGACCACTCTGTCGCTACTGCTTGCCACTAGGCTAGACGACATCAAGGAAGAAGGCCGTCAATTTAGCTTGGATGAACCACAGCAGAACCTTCAGACAAACTTTGCTTCATCTGAACCTGGCAGTCCAGGCAGAGTCGCCTGTTGGACTAATACGGCGTGACTCGGTCTTGGTAGAACGCTAGTCTCCAAGGTCCCTCTTTGCGTACTGCCCTCTTTGAAAACGGTAGTTCGGCCCTCGTGCGACTGCCACTGTTGGATATAGTAGCACGAGGCCGTCGCTTCGGTTCCGCACATCCATCCGGCGTGCTATCGGGTTGTGATCGTCGAGCTTTGGCATTAACGCAAGAGCTGGGATGCGTGCTGCGCCCTCTGGCGATCAAATCTGGACCTGCCGCACAATTTCCCCCCCCTTCTTTTTTGCCTGCGTGAGGGGCCTTCTTTTCCTCTCCCCGTCTTTTTTTGATCTAGAAGAACTTAGGCGGCTTCCGTTGCATCACATTTGACCCCCCCCCCCCCCCCCCGGCTTTCCGTACGGGTGCTCCACATCACCAGCGATTTTTGGCGTGACAAATCAGGCCTGCGTGCCTAATCGCCATTCTAGTTTCAGATGACCTCTTTTGGCATTACCGGCTTTTCTTTCTTTTTTCTTTTCCCCCTCCCTTCCCGCAGGCCAAGCCCTTGCATCTATCTACTGGGCCATCGTTGCAGTTGCGATGTTGTGAGTCCCGGTCGGCCGGACTGTCGCGTGATTGCCTTCCTCATAGCCCCCAATCGTGAACATCGAGCGTCCGATCAAACGGCAGGCCGGGCAGAGGAACCGGGGCGGGTAATGGCACTGAGGCGTCCGAAGACTCGCTGAGTAAGTGTTCGTCAGCCCGTCATGACACGCCCTCGAAAGACCCATTGATTATATGCGACTTGGCGGCTAAAGGGACGCGGTTGGGGGGCCGGGGCCAGAAATACACTCTCTTCAATCTTGGTATGGGGGGGAAGCTTTGGGGTGCGACCAAGATTTCCCACGAGTCCGAATCACGTTGCAGTATCTCGGCTACGGTATTATCATTATTATTTTTCTCTTCTTCCTCTTATTCTTCTTCGCATCGTAATCGACACGGTCGATTTCTGTATTTAGGCTCGTTATGCTTGGGCGGCGTTTTGGTGTGGACGTTTCAGGGGTTCCGAGCCAGCAAACCATCTGGGTCGAAACCAAGCGATGTTGGACATGTTGCAAGCTGTTTCTCGACATAAACCCCTGTGCGAACCATGTGGTTTTCCCAAACCCCCTCCTTACTTCATAAGCGGGACGTAGTATACACCACGGTTAAAAATCTGTGCCCTTGTCTTTTGATTACCCGATATCTCGATAAGCAGGGTGAGTGGTTTCACCGTGTGTTGTGCATTCGGCCCCCCCGAGGGCCGTCGACTGAGACGCCGAGTCCTCGGTCCCCCCGCAGACCGGGTGTTCGATTCTTTTGGTCCGGATCTGTAAGAGCCTCAATAAAGAAACATGTTGTTATTTTTTTTAAATAAAAAAACATGTGATATCAGCTAAGTGGTTTATGATTCTTAACGACGATCCGACCCCCGAGCTCGTCGGGATGTTTCCCAGGAATCATCGTTCAGCCTTGGCTTTCTGCCAGGTGACTGCAGATGAACCAGAGATAACCCGACAAGTTATCGTCGAGGTTTTCCCGCGGTGAATACTAGATTCCAAGGAGGAGCCGGACGAGCAAGCCTGGGAGGACTTGGGCAAACACCAAGACTGCCGGTGGCGAACCTACCGCTGGGCTTGCCAGGGACTGGGGCTTCACTAAGTATGCTTTGAGTTCGGCAGGTAGATTATATCTGGGAGCAGGTGACAGGTTTGACGTCGGCATCTTGCTAGATCGCATGGAGATATGTCCAAGCAAGGTTGTTGCGCTCCAGAGACAGACTCGGGAGTCGGTAACGATGGCGTATGCCGTAGACCGTGCATGCAGAATCGAACCCGGCGGCAGCCTTGATGCCAGTTGAGCTGTGACCATGACGGGAGAACAGTAGATTCAGGCTTTGTTTGGTTTACCGACGTTTGTGGATGCAAGGTCTGCCTCTACGGGGTCATCGTGACGTGAACAGACCACTCCGGTCGGATGTAAGGGCGCGGAACACAACACATGCCGCTTCTGACATGACGAAATCACAAAGCTTGAGCAGGTCTCAATTGGAAGATGATTTGGCAAACCGTCCCATCGCAAACTACTTCAGCGACTCGGTATGGCGGAAGGTGATGACCTTTAAATTTCCAACAATGTCAATCTTGCTAGCCAGCCATAGCAGTATTAAAATTCGACAGAGGCTTTAACGGCACCCAGAAATGAAGGACAATTCACCGCAAAGACTTTCGAGTTGCGAAGTGTCTTCTCTCCAAGAGATGAGAGCCAACGCTTTTCTGCCCATCTCTGTCAACCGGCGGGGGTAGATTACATTGCAGCGGGAGTAGCCCCACCGGGCCGGTGCAGGCTCAAAGGCCCGAAATTCCGCATTAAAAAAAAAAAGAAAAGTCGACGGCAGAACCCGGCCCGAGTCCGATGTCTCGGTAGAACGGTCACAATATGAAAGGCGTCAAGAGCAGAGTTGACCCGACGAGAATAACTGCGTTGGTAAGGGGAGTAATTATTTATACGGGGAAACAACAGGCCAAGCCGGTCGGCGAATCGGGAATATGATGCAAAAAGAGACGGATGTCTCGTCATCGCCGAAGACGCCTCGGCGGTCGGTCGTGGCGGTGTGGGGTATCCCGTCTGGCCGTCTCCGGAATTCGGGGTGCTGCCCACCCCAGAGCAACGCAAGTGCTTTGCCAGCCAACACAGTGTGAAGACTCCCCCAATCAGAACAGGGAGAGCGCTGGAGCACCCCGGCGATCAGTACTACAGCACGCACGCTAGTACCTATGCTGGCGCTAAGAGCACCATGAGCGAATGTCGCCATCCCCAAGTGCAACCAAGGCATGTACCTAGGCCGCTGAGAGAGAGTGTGTATCTTTTGATCGGGGTGGCAGCACGACGGTACACGATCTTTGGGGGGTTGTCCTCCGTTGTTTCTGGCCGGCCTGTCGTGCCAAGAAGCTAGCTTGGGCGTTTCTCTCTTTCATCTCTCGCCCGAGGTCTTGATACCTTACCTCACTGTGCGCTCGGGTAGGTAACTGTGTTCTCTGACGTTCCCCCCTCCTCCTCGAGCTAATCTAATCTGGCCTGGGCCTTCTTCCCAACTGGTCAGTGATTCTCTCGTCTTCCCAACCCCACATCACACTTCCATCACCTACCTACCTATCTACCTATTATCGCGGTGCGCTCAGTTCAACATCGCCGACTTGCGATGGACTCGGAGGTTGAAATTCCTCTCTCCTAGTGTTGTGCCCGCTACGTGTTGTTTTTACCCTTTCCTCACTCTTCTCTTTTCCTACTTTGTTTCTCCACAGCATCTCCCGAGATCTGCCTTGCGTCATCTACCTGACCCAGCAGGGAATCGGAGAAGCTGCGGCATCGGGGGAAATCTCGAACCCCACTCCACCTGTCAATCCTCACTCACAGCTGAAGCTCGGCTCGGTGTCCAGGAACCGAGAGGAGATCGGCAGCAGAGCAAGTTCTCGCCCATTGCTTGTCCGTTCCAAATCTTCAATTAGCTCCCCTGATCCTACCGCCGCTTGTCCACCATGGTTGTCTTTGTTGATCTCGATGAGGACATGGAGCCCCTTCATGTGCTCGAGGCGCGTCGCCTGGCCGCTGCTGCCGCGGTCGCGACTGATTCACTGGAGCCAAGCAGTCGTGGGCTTAATCGTGAGCTCGAGAAGCCGGCGAGCGCTCCGCTTGTATCAGTGGCGTCCGTTCCCGCACCACAGCCAACGCCGACATTTCGGAGTGCTGCTACCGAGGCTTTTGGCTGCTATCCGTAAGCTTACCGCACTCATTACTACGCGTTGCCCATTGCCATCATGGCTGACGTCGAATCCTCATACAGTATCGTCATGTCTATTGCTAAACACATCGACCTCAACACCCTCGACAGCCTAGCCCGTACCTCACGTCAGATCCGCCGTGGCTTGTTGCAGTACCGCTCCATCCTTCTATCCTCGACGCTGCACTGTTCCAATGAGGATGTACCCGTCGACCCAGAGTCCACCTTCCGCTTTCGCGCAAGGGCAGGCAACTGGTATTATATGGAAGACGGCCGGAACTATAACGGCAAGAGCGGCAGCTGTGCCCGGGACCTGGTGACGGAGTGTCGAAGGTGCAGGACCGTTGTGTGCAGGGTATGCCGTCCTATGCCGAGCCACATGCCCTTGGGCCCTTTTCCCGCGAGGTCCCCCTCATAGTCGCGAGGGCGGAGACCAAGGGTTTTAGGCAATGGCTGGGGAAATGATGATAGAGATGACCGAGCACAGTTGATCGCTGACGCTGGCAACAGAATTGTGCTATCAAGCCGCCAGCCCACAACGCCCTTCGGGAGCGACATCGCAGGCTGTGCAACCCGTGCACCAAGGCTCCCATCGCGACACTCGTCAACGACGCACTGGAACCCGACACGTCTCTGCTGGACGACGCGGTGAGACGGGAGATTTGCCGGTGCGAAATTGACGGCGTGTGGCTTTGCCAGCCTTGTGGGCGGAGCATGCGCGGTGCCGATCACGACTATCAGCGGTATGGGTCCGGTCCTTCGAAGTTGACACTCAAAGCTCGATATACTGATAGCCTTTATTCAGCGTCTGGAAGTGGCGAGCCCACTACGGCGAGGTGCTTGGCGGTCTGGGAACGGGCATTGGTGAGGGTGATCGCGGTGTAACTTGTGGCCGCGAGAGCGCCTGCGCCGGAGCAAAGGAACGCGAGAACGAGACCGACTGTGACGCCGAGGATGCAGCCGTCAGTGGTAAGAACCTATGGACGGCCACGGACCAGGTGCATTTGGATACGGTGCGGTACGAACGGACGCCGAGTCCTCAGCTCGGCCCTGGGTATGAGAGGCACGAGATCGAGGGCATCGGCGGCTGTGTCAAGACCAAACTCATCAGAATGGTAAGAGTTGGCGCTTGCGTGCCCGAGTGGGACGACGAGAAAAGCCAGCACAAAATCCTCGCGAGGGAGGTCAAAGGCACCAGGAGGAGCTGGTGCGGCTGGTGCTATAGAGTGATTCCTGGTGAAACCGATCTGGCAAAGGTTGGTATCAAGATGAGTCAACTTTGACAGTTGGATAAACGATATACTTTCATTGTAATTTTTGGCATTCATTTTTCATAACAGTTAGGTATGAGAGAGGTAGTAGTGCTGTTATGGAACTCCTCCCACACTGCGTCGGGGACGGACAGTAGGATCAGGGGCACGACGATAGCCAAAACGAGGAATCGATCGAGGCAAAGCGCCTCGAAATGAACGGCCCCGGGGGGTGGGATGTCCGGAACAGCCAGCATTCTGCTGGAGGGAGCATATTTGTGAGAGCGTAGCCGCCATCGGCCTTCCCAGTCAGGGGGGGCGGGCCATCCACGAAGACGGGCATTTCAGCGTACATGACGACGGAGCGAAGTCGGTATGGAAAATTATACACGAGTTTTCTATGGCTTTTACTCATTGTACAGATGTTTGGGTGGGGGTTTCAGTCACATCGGCAACCCGCAAATGCCCTGCTTCTATCCTACAGGACCCCAACCCCCCCGCCCTTTTTTGATACTCCTTGCGATTTGATGGTACAAACAGTGGAAGTGCAATACCTCTCTCTCTCTCTCTTTTTCGTCCCGTACTGGTACATACTTGGATACCTTTCTCCGATTTGGCGGCATACCTTGATGTTTGCGTCATGGGTGATCTCTTTCCTCAAGACGGCCTGTATTCGTGACGTGCCCCAAGGCCCCGTTCCGTCTCATCCCTTCCTCTCCCCTCGCCTTTAAAGCTCGCCGCGGAAGAGCATCTCCTTGCGGCGGGTGCGGTCCTCGCGGGCCTTGGTGCGGATGGCACCCCAGCGGCTCTTGACGCCCTCGAGCTTGCGCTCGAGGCGCTCCTTGTGCTCGCGGGGCGCGGGGGTGCAGATGGTGATGAAAGTCTCGGAGCAGTCGAACTTGCGGGCGAGGGCGGTGACGCTCCAGAAGCCCGGGTCCTCGGCGCGGAGGCGACGGATCTCGGCGACGTCCTCGCGGGAGAGGTGGTAGCGCGGCTTGGGGCCGCGGGAAGGGACGTTGAGGGCCGGGGGGAGGGGCCTCGCGGCCGACGACGACGGCGTCGTTTGTGATGTCGCTGCCGAGGAGTTGGCGAAGAGGGAGGAGAGGTTGGCGCGGCGGCGGGGGTCGGAGGGCGGGAGGAACTTGAAGGGGGTGTGGTAGACGGAGGGGGCGGCCGAAGGAGGGTTGTAGATGATTGTGTCGCCGGCGGCCGGGGCCGCGGGGAGGAAGTCGGAGTGGGGAGGGATGTTGAGGGAGCGCTTTGTTCGGGAGAAAGTCTTGTGGCCTCGCCGGGGGGGAGCAGAGACGGCGGTCTGCTGGCGGAGGAGGGTCGCCAGCGTGGTGGCCGGTCTGGTTAACGTCCTGGCCTCCATTTTTCTTTTTCCGAGAGTTTCGTTAGGGAGGAGGCTGTGCGTATGGAATTGGAGGGAAGTCGGGGATGGACTATGGCTTCGTCGGGTTCGAGAGCCTCCTGGGGGTTGTTGATGGGTTTAGAAGCCAAGGGGGACCACGCTGGGCGACTGCAATTGTGACCGATTGGACAGAGGCACGGCCAGCGTCGCTACAGAGGGAGATGGTGGTGAAAACGACGGCAGTTGTGAGGGAGGCGTGATGCTCGGACGGGCGAGGCGCGTGAGTTGGATGTCGCGTGCTAGCTGGCTCTTGACGGGGACCCTGAGGTGACGATCTGAAGTTTTTCGAAAGCGCGATGGCAGTTTGGCTTAGGTAATATTGTGGAACGAGGTGTCCCGAAAGGAAGGATGTGCTTAAGTAATACAGACAGACAGCTCTGTTACTTTGCTCTTATCATATCATTTGTTGAAACCTGAGGCGACAACAAAGGGCATATTAGATAATATGGACAGGGTACGATTAGCTAAGACGCATGACACATATCACGGGATATATCACGTGATTGAACTATGGAGCATCGACGCTCCAGGCGGCTTGGTCCAAAGTTTGACCAAGGTTGCGCCGTTCGTTCGCCTGTGTGACGTGTCCTGGCACCCGGCGGTTGCTCCAGCAAAAAAAAAAAAAAAAAAAAAAAAAAAAAGGCTAATAGCGAGAAAGTGCGAAGAAAACGAAGCTCGGATCTTGCGGCCGATTTGGCCTCGTGTCTGTCACTCGAGGCTTTCTGACCGCCGCCGTCAGGTACGGTGTCAGATCCCCGTTTGGTTGGGAATGCGTCTTTTTTTTCATCTTTTCCTTCTTCCTCTTAAGCTTTGAGGCTTTCTCCTCCGTTCTTCTGCGCCCCCCTCGGAGATGGCTTGGCCAAGGCATCTAGGAATGTTATTTCATGGGATCATGAGCGGGACAGCCTTGGCTACGTAGCCTTTGTGCTTTGGAAGGGTTTCCAGTTGGCAGTTCTCTGCATTGGTGTTGTTCATGCGAGTGCCGAGTGACGTGCGTATGCTTTTCGTACAGGGGCCCCTGTTTCCTGGAAAAGCGAGGCTGGAAAGAGGGACCACCTCAGCGATTGACACAGGGATTCGTGCCCTGCCTTGCTATCGACAGTACTCCGTACACACATGCATAGACCGGTAGAGGGTATTATCGCTTTGCTCGAGTTCGCTCCTGGGCGGTAAGCCGAAGACGAGGCGGAGGGAGGGGCAGCTCTTGGTCATGACCGCTGTTTCCCAGGCGGACACATTCGCGGGCCCTCGCGGGCTCTCGCGGCCGTCTCGGTGACTCGGGCTTATTCAAGCTTTTTTTCTGCACAAGTTTTTCCCTCGAGGCCAGACCCGTGGGGAAATGCCCATGTAGAGGGGAACGCGGCGGAGACCAAGGCTGATAGGGAGGAGAAGCGATGAAGGTGTGGAGCGCAGAGATGGTAGAGAGATGTCCCAGAGGAACCATGTGGGAAGGGATCTGGGAAGAAGGGGCGCGGAAACAGGGAACAGCAGAGTTGGCAGAGTCGATGTTTGGCACGCAACCAAGATGTGATTCGTCCAAGGGCGTCAACTTCCTGACATGCACTCACGGCCTTCTCCGTCTGAAGTAGACTACCTATCCCCATACCCCCCTTCCGCGATGTTTGTTCGGTCATGTTCCATTCGATGCCCCGGGCTGGGGGCATGAGAAGACGAGAGACGGCGAATGGATTTCTGGGGTTTGATGGCTATTGCCGGGGGTAGTTACGTTACGTCTTTACTTCAGACGGTGGGTATCCCTGGGATGGTCTTGATCCATGACGGGGCATTTGCCGCTGGAGGGGGTACGCGAGTCAAAGATCTGGAATAGAGCTTCACCGACTTGGTGGACCGGAGAAGGGTCGGGAAGCGGTTGCGAACGCAAACAAACAAAGGACCCGAGGAGGAGGACGAAACAATCCCCCGCGGATATTTTTGGGTCCAAGACATTCCACTTCAGTGCCTGCATTGCGAAATAAAGAAAAGAAAAGAGAAGACAAGGGGTCCAGGGTCGAGAATGGCATTGTGGTGGCCAAGGTAAACTAAAGCTGTGCTAAGCTGGCCAGTGAACAAGCCCGGATTCGTACGACGACGGAAAAGTTCAAGAGCTGAGCTCAAGGAAGAAAGGGAAATGAGCTGTGATGGAAGGGGATCAATGAGAAACTCGGAAAACGAGCAACGCATGTGTAAGACAGAGCAGAAAAAGGAAAGAAGGGGTCCGAGAAGGGGAGAAGGACGCGCTCCGAACAGATTGCGGTGGATGGACAATCAAATCAGCCCACGTAACGTTTGGACCCGACTCACGCCACAGGGCGCGAGGCCATGTTGTTGTTGTCGTCGTCGTCGTCGTCTCCCCCTGACGCCAGGCGCAAAGAAGAAAAGGTTGGAAAGGAGACGGGGATGAAAAAAAAAAAAGACTGGAGCCATCAGAGGCTGCGGATGCTAGCGGGGAGGCCCAAAGATTGGATGGAAAGATGACGGAGTGGCGATACGGACGGGTGATTGGTTTAAACAGCGTTAACGAGATTCAGGCTCGAAAATACCTAACTTTTGGACGGAGTAGCTAGCGGTTTTCATCATCGTTTCATTCATGGATACGCAGCACGCGACGACGGGAGCGAGGAGGCATCACTCGAGGGTTGATGGTGCCGATGGTCCGTACTGTAGACAGTTGGGCAGAAGTGTAATTGAGTGGCTATGTGTTTGTTTGTGTTTGTTTGTACTATGTAAGTACATATATCCAAGGTAGGTAGTGAGTGGGTAGGTAGGTAGGTAGGGGGGTGATGGATGGAAAGAAAGGTTGCACGCAGCATGTCACTGCCTCCTTCCTTCCTTGCTTCCTTCCTTTCCTCCTTCGTGCGGTAGCTATCACGTCAATGCACGAACTCTGCCGATCATGTATGTGTAAACAACTACGCGCGATACGAGAGGGGGACCGGACGTGACTGACTGGCGCCCCCTTTCTCACAAGCTGCTAGGGCGTTGTTGACGGGTGACCGGCGGATGATTTTGCCCTTAGTGGCAGTTTAGTTTTGGCTTGCAGAAGGAACCTGTGCGATGATGAACGGCCGAAGACTAAACAAATGACGAGAGAGAAAAAAAAAAAAAAAAGAGAGGAAAAGTTGAACTCGCTGCTCACCTCCCTAAGGTACCTAATCTCCGGAATGAGATAAATACCTACTTAGATAGATGGGCCGTTGCTCCTCTTCCTACTCCATCTCCTTTCTCCTGAGCCTCTTCCCTTTCGCAATCATCATACCTACCTAGGTGCTCTTGAAGACTTGCGAGTCTGTACTTGGTTCTCCCACGCCTCCCACCATAGCTCTCGCCGACCACACTGTGAAGTCACAGGGAAAGCCCAACGACACCCGTGACCTTGGGCGCATTGCGTGCACGAGTATCCGTACCCCTACATCCATCCACCCAGGGAGAGGGAGAGGTACTCCACCGAACAACCGGGCCAGCCATCCATGATCCAAGCGAACTCATCCATCTCCAACCACCAAAGTTGAACAGGACACACAGCGAACCCCGGTCCGGCCTCTTCTGCCTCTCTTGCAGATCAGCACACCTGAACAGGGCTCCCAACCTGCTTACCAGACAAACGCCCTCGGCCGCTGCGTCACACTGTCTCCAGATTCGCTCGTCAATCAGGGGACCCGACTTCCGCCTCTCTTTCTGGGGGTGGTCTGGATCGGGCGCCATTTTTGTGACGACGACTGACTGACTGGCTACTGCGCCGGAGGAAAAGACAAAATAAGATAGCCACTCCAGCAGAACGACACAAGTCCGTCGGCTGTCAGAAGGGCAAGGACTCGCGAACCTTGTTAGTGTAGCCGACAGCAGAAACGAGAATCGCCATTCCGTATAAATCATCCCATTTCACACCCAACGCAACGCAACACAACAGCTAGTCTCATTCCCAACTCACTCCTCCGCCGCCGAGCATTTTCCACACGCAGGGGGAAAGAGAGGGAAAAAAATAAAAACAAAAAGATTGTGCCCATTCCTGGCTGGCTCTTCCTTCTGTTTCCAGCCAAGCTAAACGAACGGTCGGTTTCGAACCCCTCCAGGTATGTACATCTCGATATTATTATCCCGCCCAAACGCACATCTCACCCCATGTTCACCAGGCCAACCTTTGGTTCGGTGTTGGGGGTGGCACAGCCGGCGCTGCTGCTCTGCTGCTGATGTCCGCCCTTCGCCTGTGACAACCACGGAACTTGCACACCCCCCCCCCCATTCCACTTTCCCCTTCCCTTGCAGTGACCCCCTCCCCCAAAAAGGGCGAATCGCGGGAATCGACGTGAATCAGGGTCACAGGGCCACCAAGCCAATCTATTGTCCCCCCCCCCACCACCTGCTTTCCCAGAACTCGTTCCTTTTGCGTCCTTCCCCCTCTCCCTCTTGGGTCTACAAAACATAACGTCAACGCCCGGGTCCCTGCTTGTAAGAGAGACAATCTCATTAACTTGATCTTTTTTTCCTTTTACAGAATAAGCCTACCCAACCCGAAGGAAACGAAAAGAAGAAGAAGAAGAAAAAAAGTCACCAAGCTGTCGGTCGGCAAACCTACTAGCGCAGACACCTTACACACCTTACACCCCAACAAACACCACTCAACCTGAACAACTCTGTATCGCCATGAGTCTAGCACAGGCAGCACCCATCAGCGCCGGGCAGACGGCTATGAACCCCTCCATGGCCGCCCACGTCGGCGCCGACAGACTAAGCGGCGATGCGACGTTCCGCTCTTCGAGTCATCACACTTCAGATGCGGACGGCAGCAAGAAGGATGTGAAGAACAAGGTGCGCGGACTGTTCGGGCTGGGGAAAAAGAAGGAAGAGCCCAACGTCTCCAACAAGTCGGCACCCAATGTCACCAGCAACCCCTACTTGTCACGAGACCCCTCGCGGACGTCGGCTCGATCTGCGGCGTCACCCTACGTTGGCGACCACTCTGCGTCGCCAGTTCGCGGAATGTCCACCTCCCCGCGAATGATCTCGCCAGCAAGCTCTCAGATCTTTGAACGAGATGTCGACAACATGTCAATTAAGCCTCAGTCGCCTGCCATCCCGTCGCACATCCAAACCGAAAACCACATCCCCCCCGTCCTAGATGCGTCATCCGAGGCCATCACCGATAGCCACCTCGACCCAGACTCCGTCGAGATCGTTACCCATGCTCAGCATCAACCCGCCGCAGCTGCCGTGACTGGCTCAAGTGGAACGCCCCATGCCACCGATTCCATGTCGGCATCCTGGACAGACGAGCTCCGCGCATTTGCCGACCGCGACGACGCATCCAATTTCAATTCGCTCGACAACGCCGACGTCCGAAGACTGAGTTTCATCTCCTTCGCCGATGTCGTGCAAGCCGAGCACGGCGGCCTCGCCGGCGTAGGAGGCTCACGGGACTCGGCGCACGTTGCTGGCCTAACATCTCTCTCGTCCATCAATGCCCGCTCGCCCTCGCCCATCCGGTCGCCCGTGTCATCGCAAGGCCTGGGCACCTCACCGCCGACGAGCAACCCGGCATCCGTTAAGGGACTTGAAATGTCCCCTGGCCGGAAATCTCTGGGCAGCCCCATTTCGTCCCATCACAATCTCAACATGAGCGGCGAGCTCAATATTGAGACGATGACGCAGGCGCTAAGGCGCACGGGAAGCTCGGATCTCAGCGGCGTGCGCAGCTTCCCCACAAGCCCGGTTGAGGGGCCCTCGCGTTGATAGCTTGCAGACGAACAAGAAAATTAAAGAAAATTAAAGAAAAGAAAACAAGTATACAGGTACGGAGTCGGAGGCAAACGGAGGACCATTGATACCAAAGTGGACGTTTCTATCGCGCGGGTTTATTTCACGGATGACTTTTTTAATTCTCCTCGGAATGCGTTTGAGTAAGGCCGAGCAGTCCTCTACAGACTGATTCTCGGATCAGGGAGGGACACTGTTACATTTATTTACAATGATGGGTTTGGAGTTGGAGAGGTAAAGAAAGATGGAATGTCATGTTCATTCGAACGGTCTCTGGTGTGCGTATGTGTGTGTGTGTGTGTGTGTGAGTGTTCGCGGTGGGCTGGTGTAGCAAGATATCTTCTTCTCCTCGAGATGGAGAACCTCATTGCTTCCCGACTTTAAACCGGTTTAGGCCTGGATCAGTTACACTTTTTCTGTTCTTCAATCATCACGCGCATACACTTCCTAGGGCGACAGCAACCAAGATTGTGACGGACTTTTTTCTATTTCTATTTTTTTTCTTAGCCGGAGGGAATCCGGGCAATAATTCAAAAAAACAAACCGTTAGACTGTCTAAAGTGGTTCCTCCTCTCTATCTCTCTCGTTCTCTACCTAATCAAGGGTTCCCCTCCCCTCTCCTGTCACCTGTCAGGCCCAAGACCGTGCAAGTTGCTCTCGACACGTGGATGACCGTTGGCGCTTGCTTGGTATGGCCCCCTAGGCGGGAACCGGGTTCGAGAGGAAAAAAACAAAAAAGGCTAAGCTGTCGCCGACGCGGGCTTTTCTCTTGGATGTCTCGGATGTTGGAATCCACCCCCTCTCTCTTTATGTGCGAGCGAGAAGAGAACGCCACGAACCTCCTGTGACTGGTCCCTCCTCCCCTAGAACGCATCATAGGAGAGCGAAAGCCGACACCCGTTCCCCTCCTTCCTCCACCCCTTGTGCCGGGCCATAACCGTTCACGTTACATAAGATGGAATGATTTGTATTCGGACGACTGCAAAACCCGCAGAGTGTGGCCTCTACAGTCATGATCCAGGTCGCAATGACGTCATCCACGTCGGGTGTTTTTTTATTTTTTATTTTATTTTACATCGATGCCTTCTTATCTCGACCTTGTGGGATAGATGTAGGGGAGAGGCAGGGGAGAGGCGGAGGGCATGGAGGGGAAAGCGTTGCTAGTGCGCCGGCGTCCGGCTGGCGATATGTGAAACCCGGACCGGCTAGCCGCCGGTCGACGTGGGTGGGCGGTCTTAGTCGAGACTCGCGAGGAATAAATAAATTGCACCACCGCCGGAACATGAAGAAATGGGCAAATCTCTCGTAAAAATCGCAGCAGATGGGGGGGGGGGGGGGCGGCGTGAGTCAAGCGTTTTGGACATGAATTCGTTCGGCTTATTCAATCTGGGCTAAAACCCGCCTTTCCGCCTCCTTCTACGCCGACGGCTCCGGGCCGCCGGCCGCGGGGTCACTGGATCCACCCCTTCCTTTAACGCCTCTGTTGTCGGAATTTACCGCTCGTAGTTCCTCGCCTTGGGCATCTTCTTGTCCTCCATCGCCTCCATGTCCTTCTGCTTGTAAAAGTGCGGCGCCAGCTCCGCCAGCCACTTGGGCTCGATGGGCATGCAGCTGCGCATGTACTCTTTGGTGGTCTGCACGAGCTCAAAGTAGACGAGCATCTTGACCGGCGGGTCGACGCCCATAAGCACGGAGCTCGGGTGGATGTAGACGGTGGCGTTCTTCTTGACAGTGCGGTAGCTGTCGCCGCTGCGCTGCAGGCGTGCCGCGTTAGGGAAGAAGCCGGCCGTCAGCGCGCGCTTGATGGGCTGCAGGTTGCTCGCGCCGCACGTCGAGGGGCTGACCTCGACGCGCTCACAGAGCTTGGCGAGCTGGTCGCGCACGTCGCGGGCCCGGGTGAGGGAGCGCTGCTGCAGGAAGTTCTCGCGCGCCCAGATAGGCGAGAAGTCGCTGTCCACCCACTGGTTCCAGATGTTGAGTAAGGTAAGGTGGTCGCCGCCCTCCTTGACGGTGAACCGCGCCCGGGCGCTGTCGGCATGAATTTTCTTGTCCTTGGGCCGGAAGAAGAGCGCCGATGCCTCACTGAGCATCGACACGACCGAGAGAACCTCCTCGACACAGCCCTCCTTGTCGGCGGCGAGCACCGCCTTGGCGAGCATAGGGTCCGTCGGGAACTCAGCCATCTGCCGACCCATCTTTGTGAGCTCGCCCTTGTGGTTGAGCGCCTGCAAGGCAAAGAGCTGGTTCAGCGCGCCGATGAGGGCTTCGGTGGGGGGTGGGTCCATGAACTCAAAGTCGAGCAGCTCGTTGATGCCCAGAGACTTGAGCTGAAGCACGACGCCGTTGAGGTTTGTTCGCTGGATTTCGGGCATTGGTGATTCGTCCATCTCGTTCATGTAGGCAAACTTGGTGTACAGTCGGAAGCACTTCCCAGGGCCAACGCGACCGGCGCGGCCACTCCTCTGGTTCGCCGACGCTCTCGAGCAGGGCGTAACGACGAGGTTGGACATGCCCGTCGCCGGGTTGTAGACGTTTTCCTTGACGAAACCCGGATCGATGACGTAGACGATACCGTCAATGGTCAAACTCGTCTCGGCGATATTGGTGGCCAGAACAACCTTGCGGGCGCCCTCAGGCGTCGGCTCGAAGATCTTGGCCTGTAGTTCTGATGGCAAGTTGGCGTAAATGGGGCAAATCACCAGCTCCTTGATACGGCTTCCTAGCTTTTTCGCCGTGTCTGCTATTTGCTGTTCGGCGGCGTCAATCTCGTCTTGGCCCGTTAGAAACACGAGGATGTCGCCCTTGCCCTGTGTCGTGTGTATTTGGAATACTGTCGTAATGGCAGCGGCCAGGTAGTTGGCTTCCGGCGCGGGTGTGTAGTAAATGTCGACCGGGTATCTTCGTCCGGGGATGTTATAGATGGGGGCGTCGTCGAAATAGGCGGCAAACTTCTCAGCGTTCATCGTCGCGGACGAAATGAGCAGTTTTAGATCCGGCCTCTCTCTAGCCAGGTCCTTGACCAGGGCAAGCAAAATATCGGTGTGGACGGTCCTCTCGTGAGCCTCGTCAATCATGATGGCAGAGTACCCCGCGAGGTCGGGCTCTGTCATGAACTCTCTCAGCAACATGCCGTCCGTCATGTACTTCAGGATCGTCTTGTCGCTGGTGTTGTCCTCAAAACGGATCGAGTAGCCGACCTCCTGTCCGACCTTGACGCCAACCTCGTCCGCCACACGCGCGGCGACACTCATCGCAGCCACGCGACGCGGTTGTGTACACCCGACCTTCATGCCGTTCTTGGTGTACCCAGCCTCGTGCAGATACTGCGGCAGTTGCGTCGTCTTTCCGGAGCCCGTCTCTCCGACGATGACGAGGATCTGGTACTTCTCCATCGCCGCAATGAAGTCATCTCGGTATGCGTAGATGGGCAGGCTCTTCCTCGTCTCCTGGATAGAGAGCTGCTTCTTCTCGGCCGCCTCGATCTGAGCTGCCAGAAACTGCTGCTCTTTGGTCAGTTTACCCTCCCCGGGCAAACTCGACCCCAGGTTCCACTTGATGTACTGCTCCTCGTCCATGACGTACGAATAGTCGTCGTTGTCCCTTTCCGTCCTCTGAATTTGCGCCTTGGCCTTGGCCGCCTGCTCCCTTTCCCACTCCTCGTGCTCCGTGACGAACTTCTCTTGTCCGTATTCGTCCTTCTCCACGTACCTCTTGTACATGGCCTCTTCCTTTCTCTTCCTGTCGATTTTGCCCTTCTCCGTGATGTAGTCCTCCGGTATGTAGTACCCGTCCGTATGGTCGTCAATCTTGAGACGCTCCTCCGCCAACCGCAGAATCTCGCGGTTCTTGGCGAACTCGGCCTTCTCCTTTTCTGACAACCTGACGCCGCTCCTGAGCTCCTCTGTCTCCTCGGCGACCTGCTTGCGCAGCAGGGCAAGTTTCTCGGCCTCTCGTTTCCCGAGGTACATCTGTCGACTCTTCATGCGCAGCTCCTCCATGTTCGCCTTGCGGTCCACCTCCGGCCGTCTGCTCTCGGCGCCAGCCTTGGAAGATTTCTTGTCGTCCTTCTCGCGCAACCGTTTCGCAAAGGCTTCGCGCTCCTCAATGTCGCGTTGGCGCTCCAACTCCTCCTTCGCGCCATCCGACAGGTCACCGTCGCGGTCTCGGTCATCGTGGCTGAGTTTGACACGCTTGGATGCTGATTCTTGGAAGTCGTTCTCTTCATTCTCCTCAATCTCGTCGGCATCCGATGGTGGTTCCTCGTCCGCCCACCTGTCGTCGGTGTTGGCATCCCTCTTGCGGTACTGTTTCGACGGTCGGGCGGGAGATCTGGACCGTGATCGGCGTCTCGACGTTCGCTCACTGCGGCCATGGTCCCTTTCCCTTTCCCGCGAGCGATCTCGGTGGCGCGACTTGTGCTTCTTCTTGTCCTTGACCACTTTCGTTGGGCCGACCTCGTCGTCCTCCATCGGGAGGAAGGCATACTTCTTTGACGCCATAACTGTGTATGGTAATTAGAAGCCCCCAGAAAGCGCGCTTATGAATCGATACAGGCGGCTCAAATGTGCGTGGTGAACAGTATTCGAGACAAGCACGAGCACTGCCTAGCGATGTCAAGTCAAGGAAGTTGAGGCCTCGGTTGACGTCCCTGGCGCGTGTCTCTGCGCATTCGTCTGAACCTCTACGGGCCCATATCTTTCGCCGCCAGGTGTGGGGCGGATGCTGCATAGAAGCTGCCGCCCAATGACCGTGCGTCGATAGCATGTCTTATCGGACCTCTCCAGCTCCCTTCTTAACACGTTGGAACTTTACATTTTGAGAAGAAGCTGGCTCCCAATTGCGCTTGGTTCTAGTCGATGTCTCCCACAATCATCCCCTTTCCTCCTGCTCCAGATCCTTGATAGGACCCCCTTCTCTCCCCCCCCCTCGTCGCTTCTCGAGGACTAGAGAACACCAGGCTGTTCTCAACACGAGAAACACCAAGCGTCCTTTCTTTCTTTTTCCACCACCTCCCAAACGAAATACACCAAAGGGGAGCGCGATGTTCTTCCGAGGGGCGGCACTCGTGTTGCTGCTCCTATGTCTCGCCCAGCTGGCTCTCTGCGCCGAGGACTATTATAATCTCCTCGGCATCAGCAAGTCCGCCTCGGACCGCGAGATCAAGTCCGCCTACCGTAAACTGAGCAAGAAATACCACCCTGATAAGAACCCGTACGTTGCAGTCTTCTAATTCTAGAAAACTTGCCTCCTCCGCCCTTCCCCCTTTGGTTTCTGAAACTCACAATCCTGTTCTTACAGCGGCGACGCCACCGCAAAAGACAAGTTCGTCGAAGTCTCGGAGGCCTACGAGGCCCTTATTGATCCCGAAAGCCGCAAGATCTACGACCAGTACGGCCACGAGGGCCTCAAGCAGCAGCAGCAGGGCGGCGGCGGCCACCGCCACGACCCCTTTGACGTCTTCTCCCGCTTCTTCGGCGGCGGCGGCCACTTTGGCGGCCAAGGTCAGCGCCGCGGCCAGGACGTCAACGTGCGCATCGGTATCTCCCTCCGCGACTTCTACAACGGCGTAAACACCGAGTTCCAGTGGGACAAGCAGCACATCTGCGAGGACTGCGACGGCACCGGCTCCGCCGACGGCAAGGTCGAGACGTGCGGCGTCTGCGGCGGCCGCGGTGTGCGCATCGTCAAGCACCAGCTCGCCCCCGGCATGTTCCAGCAGGTCCAGATGCAGTGCGACGCCTGCGGCGGCCGCGGCCAGAGCATCAAGCACAAGTGCCACACCTGCGGCGGCGCGCGCGTCGTGCGGAAGCCCACGACGGTCCAGCTCACCGTCGCCCGGGGCGCCGCGAGGGACAGCCAGATCGTGTACGAGAACGAGGCGGACGCAAGCCCCGACTACGTCGCCGGCAACCTGGTCGTCACGCTGGCCGAGAAGGAGCCGGGGCTCGAGCAGGACAACCCCGACCGCGTCGACGGCACCTTCTTCAGGCGCAAGAACCACGACCTGTACTGGACAGAGGTCCTCTCGTTGCGCGAGGCGTGGATGGGAGACTGGACGCGGAACCTGACCCATCTTGACGGACACATCGTGCGCCTCGGCCGCGACAGGGGCCAGGTCGTGCAGCCGGGCCACGTGGAGACAGTCAAGGGCGAGGGCATGCCCGTGTATCACGAGGACGGCGACAGCGTCTACCACCAGACCGAGTTTGGCAATCTGTACGTCGACTACGTCGTGGTGCTGCCGGATCAGATGGAGTCGGGCATGGAGAAGGAGCTCTGGAGCGTCTTCCAGAAGTGGCGGGGCAAGATCGGCGTCGACCTACACAAGGACAGCGGGCGGCCAGAGAAGCCCGTGGTGCACGACGAGTTATGATGAAACATGTACATGATGTGAGATATAGAAATAGACGACGGCCCAAAAAAGTATGTGTACATAGATCTGCCTTATCCGATGCTCTCGTCGCCAATAGTTTCCGTAAAATTTGGAAGTTTGGAAGATGTATCAGGCATGTTCAGCAAAGCTCTATGTATTTTCGTGCTTCTATTTATGCCATCTTGTTCGTAAAATGTTTTGAAGCAGAATCGTGAGTCGTTAGAATTCCCGTCATATCGTATCTAAGTACCCCAAGCTCAGGTGTAGGAAAAGGCAACCCCCGCATACAAGAAGGCGTAAATAATCGATGAAATCAAATCAGTCGTAAGTCGTCAGTTACTTCTTCTCCTCCTCCGTTGCCGACCGTGACGGTCCTCCTCTTCGTCCGTATCCTCAATCCTGCGCGACTGCCCACCTTGTTGCACCTCCTGGACAATTCCGACAACATCCTTCAACAGACTTTTCCAGCTACCTTGCCCGCTAATCATGTTTTCAATATCGCCTGCAACTCTTTGCACCATATCTTCGTCTGTACCGCCGACAGCCCACGCCCCGCTCGAGTGCCAGCCGTTGCCGTGCCGCGGTCGGGTTTCGAAAGCGCCTTGCCTCAACCGCAGGGTTCCCGCACTGCCAAGGGGGCGGCCCTCGGAGTCAAATCGATCAGGTAAGACCTCGACCTCGTCACTTGATTCAGGAGAGTCCAATTCTCGCTTGCGACGAGCGGCTAGCGGCCTGCTAGAAGAAGGGTCTGACGAGGATCGTCGGCGGTTGAGAACAGGCCGCAGACTTTCCAGTTGCTCTTCACTGAGCGCAGCTGGTTCTTCTTCCCTCTTGACCTCTTGCTCTGCAAGTTGCTCATGTTCTAGACGATGACGACGCAGAGTTTGCGATGATTGAGGGGAAAGTGGAATGAAGGTGACGGATTTGGAAGATGAGTGACGCGGCACCTGGTCGCGTTTTCCAGACACAGAGCTTGATTCCGAAGACGACGGAGAGGACCGAGGCCGGGGTCGAGGCTGGGGCTGAGACTGAGGCCGGGACAGTGAATTTGGCGGCAGAAACTGTTTAACACGCTCTCTCCATTTCAGACCATCTGCAAGATATGTTAGCCACCGGTTCGAATGGAGCGACTCAAGTCTCAAAAAAGAGAAATAACGACTAGATCGACCCACCCTCACGGCCCAGACCAACTGGCTGGGCATCTTGTGGTGAGGCGCTACGAGATATGTCATCACTCACATGATCAGGACCGAACCTCGTCCCCGGTGGCAGACCCCCTGATGGGGGAGGACCGCCGGCCGGGGGAGGGGGGTATCCCCCAGCACCGCCGGTGGCCATAGGCGGAGAAGGCCCCATTGGCGGCGGTCCTGGGGGATAGTCTTGGGGATACGGCGGGTACTGCTCCCTCAAGTTGGCGGTCGAGATGTTGGGATATTGAGTGAAGCCCGCAGCGGCGGCCGGCGGTGGCGGATAGTAAGAACCACCTGACGCATGAGGCGGCGACGGCGGACGGCTGTAATCGGTGTAGTACTCATCGTCCCGGACGCCTTCTTCATACCCTGCCAAGCTTGTCAGCCGTGCTCTACAAAAGTCGATGCACATTTCTACTCTACGTACTCCTGCGGTCCCTTTCGCGGTCCCGATTTATCGGCCGATCTGTGCTTCGTTCTCTGCTGTATGCCCGGTCTCGCGAGTGTGCTCGGGGGCGCGAGACGGATCTGTCTCTGGAGCGAGATCTGGCGCTTCGCTCCCTCGACCTGAGGTTCTCCTCCTCGTCCTCCTCTCTCTCCTTCTTCTTCTGGTACTGCTTCAGCCCGATAGCGGCGGCTCCTGTCCCAACTGCTGCTGCTGCCATGTCTCTCAGCCGACTCTTGCTCCTCTTCTTCGCTGGCTCGCGGTCATCGTAATCATCGGCTGACATACGTCGGTGTCGACGGCGCCGCCCCTCGTTCGCTGCAGACTCATACCCATCATCTGGAGGGTACGGCGGGTCGGTCGGCAGCGGTGAAGTCCCGTACTCAACTAAGCCTAGCTCGGAATCAGCGCTGTGCGGCTCGGGATGTAGAGAACGGGCCTGAGACCTGCTGCGCGACCGACGGTGTTCACGCCGTTCCCGCCTGGCTTCTTCCTCATACTCATCATCGCTGAGTTCGCGATCTAGTTCGCGCTCTTTCTTGTCCTTGCGGTTTTTATAAATCTTACTGGCCACGCCTCCAGCCAAGCCGGCAGCAACCACCTCCGCTCCGGTCCTTAGGCGGGACTTGGACCGTGAACGGCTCCTAGACTTGGACTTGGACCTGTCGCGGAAGTGCTTCACCAAACCTGCGGCGGCAGCAGTTGCAGCTGCAGCCTTGGCAACGGACCGGCTGCGGCTCTTGCTCTTGCGGCTCTTGCGGCTACGGCTGCGAGACCGGGACACAGAGTAGCTCGAGACAGAGTAGCTTCTGTTCCTGCTCCGACCGCGGCGCATCTCTTCCTTTTCGATTTTGCCGCTTTGGTAATATTTGGCCGCGCCTGCTACGGCAAGGGCTGCGGCGGCAATGCCAAGGCCAGTCTTGATCCTGGAGCTGCGGCTGCGGGATCTCGAGCGAGACCTGTAGTGATCGTCGTGATATGACTCTTCGTATGCGCTGCGGGCTCTCCTAAGAATCTCGGTGCCCAAGCCACCGATGGCAGCGCCGGCGAGGACTTTGCTCCCGCGGTTGGCGGGGATCTCGCCACGGCCGTCTCTGCGACTCGCGGCTAGCGCTGCAAGGCCGGCACCGGCAAGGGCTCCCTCGGCAAGATGGCGCTTGTGGTGGTGGTCGGAACTGGAGCTTCTGTTCCGGCGGATGACGGTTCGCTTGATATAGTAGTCTTCATCGTCGCTGATGTAGTCGCGCTCACGGCCTCGGCGGTCGTAATGATATTCACGTTCGTCCCGGTGGTAAGGGCCGATGTCTTTGGTCTCTCGGCGGTAGTAGTACTCGTCCTCGCGGGGCTCGCGACGAACCATTTCACGGGGAGACTCACGCTCCCTCAGCACGACAATGCCAGGTTCTTGGCGAGGGACAATGATGGGAGCAGGTGGGGGCGCCTCCTGGACAATGATCTGCTGAGGTTCGGGAGCCTGCTGGCGGATGATGACAGGCTGGGGAACAGGCGGAGGGCTGATGGGAGAGTAGTACTCGGTCTCCTTACGATATTTCTCGACCTCCGCGCCGCCATGGTCGTCCCTGTATTCCTCGACACGCTTTTCAACCTTGACGTCGCCATCCTCGCGATGCTCGACACGCTTGTCGACGCGGACTTCTGTCTCGGGCTCATGATGGTGGTGGTGGTGGTGGTGGTGGTGGGAGGTTCCTCTGGAGCGGCGGTCCCAGTCAACCCGCTCGCGCTCAACCTCGATGACACTTCGGTTGTCGACAGCACTACGGACTTCGTCGTAACGAGCGTCGTCAAATCGACCGCGGTCACGGTCACGTTCGCGCTCGTAGTTAATTTGGGAGACGACGCTGCGGGTTTCGCTTCTGTAGGGGTCGACGTCGCGCTCGCGCTCGCGCTCAATCACCTGGCTCCGGGAGTCAAAAGCGGAGCGGGGACGCTCGGGAGCATAGGCAAATTCGCCGGAGCTGCGCAGCGGGTAGCCGGAATAGCGTGATCGGCGATCGTCGTCGATTTCGACTCGCTCCGTGCGCTCGATGGTGTCAACACGTCTGGGACCGACCTTGTAACGACGCACAGTAGAGGACTTGTAACGGTCTTCGTCGGATGAGTAGTCGGTCGGATCCCGGTAAACTCGGGTCGACTCTCTATAAACTCCAGCCATCGCTGGATGCGATGGTAGCGAAAGAAGGGCAACGCTGTTTGCGGAAAGCGGCAGCTGAAAGTCAAACGGGCGACGTCGGTTCGGATCGTTTTGGTGTAGGTTTGCGGGGGATCAAGCACAAAGGATAAGGGCAGGATGTGCGATGATGACGGAGGGGAGCACAGGATTAAATGGTGTGCATATGGAGGAGGGGACACTAGGTAATAGTAGTGTGTGCTGTGCAGCGTGGTGCTGGTGGGCCTGCGACAGTCTCTGGTTGGGTGGAAGCGGGTAGGCAATCTGTCTAATGAACACACACACACACCAGTCGATGTGTTAGTGTATTTCTTCTGTCTTATGAGTGAAAGGATCACAACTGGACATGCACAAGTGGTGGGGAGAGGGAAGTGCCCGAGAGAGAGAGAGAGCGAGAGAGAACGACAGAGAAGTGGGTGGAGAACGGTTCGGGACAGAGAGAGAGGGTGGAGGAGGACGGACCTGGAAGAGAAGGGACGGCAAGAAATGGAAGTGGTAGAGGGGCACCGTGGTGTTAGGCTGGGATGGGGAAAGTGTGACACAGGCTTCCAGCAGGACACCACCACCACTACCGCCAGGAGCAGGAGGTGGTGATGTACTTTACCTAGCGTCTCCTCTCTATCCTACCTAGGTAACTTAGGTACCCAACCCACCTACTATGCAATCAATGCATTAAAGCCGCCTCTTTCTAATTACTGTAAGACATTCCAACTCGTCGTCCCTCCCACAACCCCCTGGGCCTTTCTCCCAACCAAGGCATTAAGCTACGGGAGAAGGGCCAGTCCGGCCTTGTCGGTGCCGGCCGCCAGCTCAGGACGGATCCGGGCCAAGGTCAGCACATGGAAATGTGACTCCCTGTTGCAGTAAAGTGCTAAATATACATTGTACATACCTACGATGTAGGTACCTACCCACGTAGCGGGTTCCATGTCATTCCCCCCCAAAATGAAAGCTATTCGTTTGGCGGCAACTGACCAAGCAGGGTCTGTAGTTGGAAGGCGCTTTCTAAGCCCATGCTCCCCTTCCTTCCTTTTGCCCATGCAAGGTCGTAATATTATCTGCATTATTGCGTCTCCGAACCTGTCCAGCCAGACACCTTACGACATTGACTTGACCTTCTGTCGCGCCCCCCCCCCCCCCCCCCCTCGGCATAACGGGGCAACAAAATTACGTCATTTGTAATGGCCGTGCTCTTACCCACCCAAGAAAAGCACCCAACACCTCCGACCCCTCTTCAGTGGTAACTTGTCCACGAGCGAGACACAAAAGCAGCACGGTTCGCGAAGCACCTGCTAGAATCCACTCTTCCCAACAAAAAAAACAAACAAATGACAAAGCCTTCTCGGCCAAGCAGCAGAGCGTCGAGGCCAAGGCAGCCTTGTGACCAGCCAGACTTGGTACGGCACGCCATCCGAAGCCTCGGTGGGTGGGTGGCTCAGAGCAACGACAGGCCACGATACCCCTCAAGCGGCCTTGTCATCCGTCCCCATCCTTGTCACCTGTGACAGCTGGTCAGATTTCCAACAAGACGCCCCGCAGGAGACACTGCCTGGAGGGGGTTGGCAATGGTCTACCTATGGGCGGATGACGCAGAGAAGAGCGGCACGGTTCGATGCCTGCCTCCCGGAGGAACTCTTGTCTTCTCGAGGCTATAACCTTGGTTCCCCGTCCGACGCCATCTTGACAGTTCAGACGGCGTCTATGGTGTGTGTGGTATGCCGTCGCAGTCTTTCTTCACAAATGCATCCCCCATCACAAATGCTCATGTTTTGAACCCTGGAATATTCTGCCCCGCTTCGTCGCAGCTGGATGTCGTCATGGCACGGAAGAGCACCTGTAGACTACCAGGTGTCACTGTATTACGGTAGATGCGCAAGCCCCGCCGGAACCCCAGAACACTGAGGGAAGCCCGAAGAAGACTTCTCTCAATCTAGCTCCACCTTGGCCTGGCTCTGTCTAGTCTTGCTTGGTCTGGTCTTGTCTTGTAGTCGAGGAAGAAAACGCTTGCTGCCCGAGACCGTGAAAAAAACACCCATCGCTACCATCTTCCAACCTCGGAAAGCTTGTCAATCGTTGGGATCGGCCCTGCTTCACTGCCACGACATGCCGCCCGCTACCAACTTTCTTCTTGCGCTGCTGTACCGTCGTCGATGCTGCAGATCTGCATCCAGGAAACGCTTTCTTAATACACCCTATTAAGCCGACTATCTTCCAAGCCTTGCGTTCCATCGACTTTGACCAGCTGCAGAGCCTGTCTGCCTCGCTGCACACAGTCGGCACTTGACCATGACCTGCAGCCCGCCGTGGCTCATCTGCTCCGCCCCAGGGACTGCTGCTGCCCACTATTGTCGACATTCTCAGGGATTCCGGGGCCTCACAGCCCCAAAACCTTGGACCCGCGTGGACGCCGGCATGCTTCCTGTTGTGGCTTGTCTATGCAGTATCCCATCGATTGGCTCGGGGGCATTCCTACGGATATGGGGGGGCAAAGCACCAGTCGACCCCGGGGCTCACCGACGTACCGGTGTCAGACTGACTGGGCTGGCGCCGCTAGATGCGGAACGAGTTCACAAAGGTCTGTATCACGAGTTTTCAAACAGTAGTCACATGTACGGCGGGGGGGCCTGGTCCAAAAGAACTAGCAATGTAGTATTATGCTATATATCTAACCAAGACATCGACGATATGAATGAGCTCTACTGCAGAATTTCTCCATCGGAACCTGTGAAGTCTTGTTAGCCAAGCGGTTCCTCCCGAGCGATTCCTTGATAACAGAGCATTCATGTGTCGATTCAGAATTTTCAGTGTGAATAAATGATCATTTAATAAGATATCAATACAGATGGGAAATATCCCGGTATCATCTTTAAGGACGGTGTGGGGGAAGAAGCGAGGTGAGAATCTTACAAACGTACCATCAGTGTTGCGGGATCAGACTGGCCCTCAGCTGACGGCCCGATCTCAGGTCTGCATAAGACCGATGAGGGTCGATTGCCACCGGGACCGTCTCGAGAGCCCCGTCTGATCCCCTTTAGTTTGTCGACAAATGACCGTCTACGTGTTGCTGGTTTTTTTTTTTCTTGGTTTGGCGGAGCACGAGAGAAGTGAAGATTTTTTCGCGGCTGGTCTGGTTTTATTTGCTGGGCGGCGTGGGGTCACGCTCATTATGTAAGCGACATTTCCCCGTCGGCGCACGTTCCACCCTCCAGCAGCACTCTCGCTCTCATGCTCATGCTAGGTACCTGAGGTATAGCTCACAATTGAAAATGACTTTTCAGCTTCATGTTTCGATTTGGTTATTTCGTATTTTGCGTGACATAACAGATTGTGAGCCATTTAACTGAAAATTGCTACATAAACTGCGGATACAAATGGGATTTCAATACAATGAGTCGAATTCTCATAGATCAAACCGGTTGCATGTGTGCCGCCAAGGAGATGAGCCAGCGTCGTCTGAGAATCATGAACACCAGGCTAAAACCATCTATATCCTCTCCCTCCGAGTCACCCTTATGAGAAACATTCAACTTAAAATTCAGTATCTTGAAGCTTGGACTTCGTGTGTAGATGAACTGTTGATGGGGCCGTATGTTGGTTGCGACCTGAAGCCTGTGGGTTCAAGCGCTGATAACACAAGACATTCTGTCTTCGCTTTACTGAAACCATCGCGACTTGTCAGGGACTCGTTTTTCACAACTTGGAGACGTTCACTCGGATGAGCTGCGATGGGTAGCCGCGATCTCATTCAATAGCAGCCGCCTGCGCCCCCCAGAGCCCGGAGAAGGGACCGCTCCCAGAAGCTCTTCGCCTTCTTGGGCATCTTTCAAGTCTCCTCACTTACGATATGAAACTCTTGTTTGTCGACCGACTTGTGGTTTTCTGCTCTAGGTCACCTACATTTTTCTCAACCTCCATCACCAATGTAACACATACATAGGGGTTTTTACATGGAGACGGAAATTCGAATGAACCAAAGTTGGCTATGTGTTTTGATTTCTTAATTGGAACGGGCAAGGCTTTTGTTTTCTTTCTTTTTTTCTCTTTTTTTCTTCTTTCCTCAGCCCAGAGAGCCAGACGCCTTGCATGGCGTGCTCTGTGTGAATTATTCGGCATCCTGCAGACCTCACCAACCATTAGTTGCCGATAGGATGAAGGTACATGGTGATGAATGAAACAGACCATATTCAGCAATATACCAAGCATATTCATGGGCAAGATACACGCAAGGTCAACTGAATTGATGATGTCAATCATAAAAAACTCCGGCCCGACAATCTCCAGGGTCCAGGACAGACGCCGCGCGGCCCTGGTGCCCGTAGCCAGTACGTCTTGATGGTGTGCCTGGTCAGTGTGCGGCATGCCGACCGGACCATAGGTGTCCGATCCGGTACCCGATCCCCGCCGAAGCTAAGATGCAACAAACAGGCACTACCCGGCCCCACGCAGCGCCGGTTCCCCAGCGGGAGAGCTCTCTTGATAAAGCAAAACTGCAAAAAAATCACAAAAGTCCCGCTTATCGTCGTTCCGGTATACCCTAGTCAGCCAGCCCGTCATTGCAGTTGGAGAAAAGCCGGGGCGGGTGGGAAGATTGCAGCGATTGCGTGATGGCCTCCACACTTTTTTTTTCGCTCCTTGACTATCTTTGAATTCTTCCTATTCCTTCAACAATAGCCCCCCCCCCTCAAGTCGCAGTACTTCGCATCGGTGCAGAGGCCATCCGATCTCGAAACCGCAAACACCAGCAAACTCTCGCCCTCCACGCCATAGAGTCCACCCAAGGACGCAATCATGGCTAAACCGCACGCCCGGCCCCGCTCCCCGGACGAAGAAGTCGGGGGCGCACGAGCCGCCAGCCCTCCGAACCCGGCATCGTCGTCGCCGCCGCCTCCGCCTCCGTACCCCGATCCGGGAACGGAACCCTCCGCCCCGCGCGAAGACCAGCCCCTCCTCCGCGACCCGGCCGCCGCGGTCGGGGACGGCGAGACTTGGAAGCCCCCCCGCGGCTTCGGCTGGATTGAGCTGGCCATCATGTCCAACGTCTTCCTGTACGGGTTCGACGGGACCGTCACGGCTTCGACGTACGCCGTCATCGGCTCCGAGTTCGACGCCGCCAACACGGCGAGCTGGCTGACGACGTCGTACCTCATCACCAGCACCGCATTCCAGCCGCTCTACGGCCGGTTCTCGGACATCTTTGGGCGGAGGATCTGCTTCTTCGTCAGCAGCGTCACCTTTGGGCTGGGGTGCCTGGGATGCGGGCTGGCGGGCGACGTGGTGCTGCTGAACTGCATGCGCGCGTTGACGGGGTTCGGAGGGGGCGGTCTGATGACGATGGGTCCGGCATCTCCCCTCCTCGCGGCTGGAACAGCAATTCGTGACTGACGCGCGAGCAACAGCAACCATTGTCAACTCGGACATGATCCCCTTCCGCAAGAGGGGCATGTACCAGGCCCTCCAGAACGGCATGTTCGGTTTCGGCGCCGTCGCTGGCGCCTCCTTCGGCGGGTCCATCGCCGACCACATCGGCTGGCGCTGGTGTTTCCTGCTGCAGGTGCCCGTCTCCCTCTCCGCGCTCGTGCTCGGCGCCCTGGTCATTGACAACCCGGAGGGAGGGTTCGGTATCGACGCGAACGACTACAGGGCCATCTGGTCCCGCGTCGACGTCTCCGGAGCGCTGCTCCTTGTTGTCGCCATCTCTGTCCAGCTTGTCGGGTTGAGCCTGGGAGGAAACGAGCTGCCGTGGGGCAGCCCCGTGGTCATTGGCACGCTGGTCGGCAGTGTCGGCCTTCTCGCGTTGTTTGTGGTTGTCGAGGCACGGACGAGGGCCATTCCCGTCATCCCGTTAAGGATGCTCAAGGGAAGATTGCCAGTCCTGACGCAGATCTCCAACGTCTGCGCTGGACTTGCCGCGTACGCGGTAAGTGCTCATGCCGCATGTCTTGTTTGACGGGGCATTGTAGATGCTAACTCTACTAACAAGTACCTGTTCATGTTGCCCCTGTTCTTTCAGGTGGTCTTGCTCGACTCTGCCACCATCGCTGGGGCAAGGCTGGCGTTCCCATCGCTCGCGACGCCCCTGGGCGGTCTCTTTGCAGGCATCGTCATGTCGCGCTGGGGTAAGCTCATCTGGCTGGTCCGAGCTGGTGCCTTTCTGATGCTGTTCGGAAACGCCCTCGTGACGGCCCTGCAGTTTCAAGACTCGAAGTGGAAGTACTTGGTTTACATCTTCCCGGCGAATCTCGGACAGGGTATGATTTATCCGGCGATTCTCTTCACGACCTTGGCTTCGTTCGACCATGCCGGCAAGTCCTGTGCTCGACCTCAATATCCTGTTGGGACTCTGGCTGATATCACTACTTGTAGATCACGCAGTTTCGGCCTCGACTGTGTATCTCGTTCGCTCTCTCGGCAGCGTCTGGGGCGTGGCAATCACCTCCGCGATCGTACAGACAACACTCAGCCTCCGACTGCCCAAAACCCTCGGCCACATACCCGATAAGGAGCAGGTGCGTTGAACCCTTCCATCTTTCCTGTCATCTGCGCCACTAACCCGGATCTTACGTCCAGCTCATTGACGAAATCCGGCATTCTGTGACGGCTCTCAAGACCCTGCCAGTAGAGGTCCGCCTCCCTGCGCGCCAAGTCTACTACGAGGGTATCCGGTATGCCTTTGCCGCTTCCACGGCATTCGCTGGAATTGCCGTGATTGCGGCGATTTACGCGAGCCCGCGTAGTCTCCGTAGCACTCACAAATAGTTCAATTCGCCAGTGATTATTTGATCGCGTCATTCTCCATAAAACAGCCATGATCAGGCCAAGATGCTAATGCACGATGACGGATGTCCACATCGTATATATTCCGTTCTTATAGGTAGAGGATGGATCCGCATGCTGTGCTTGACGAAGGCGTTTAGGCTATAATGGTTGGATGCGCAATTTAACGACTATTAGAAGACAATATAGATGCATGTCATTGGTGTTTTCCAGCAGAAACGGAAAGGAGACGTCTCGTGGAACGTCAAAACCCTCCCCGTCCTGTTCCTTCCTGCCAAAGCCCACTGGCTCTCTAGTTGCCTCTCTGTTTCCCGTTACTCGATAACCTAAGAACAATGTTGGAAGAGTGCAAGAATTTCATTGAATAGCAGTGCTAGACCTCATTTCCACCTTAGTTCTTTACTGGCGTGGGGCCATTGTGTTCTATCGGTAATCAGCTGTCCAGCGATAGCCACAGCGCGGGCTGTCAAACATCCTTGTTAAGCCTGAGACGTAAATTCTGAATATCATCATTCAATACGAACCATGAGTTAGCGAATCGGCTGATCAAGTGCTTTCTATAAAGGCAATGGCTGATGTTTATGGCTGGCAGAATCAATCAGAATATCCATAGCTTCTGTGCTAAACATGCCCAGTTCATGACGCGAACTGAACAAACACTTCTTACACAGAGCAATTAAGCACAATAGCCAAAAGTCTTGGGGAAAAGCTTTTTTTTTTTTTTTTTTGCACCGTCCAGGATTAAATCAAGCCAGTTCTTTTTCGAGGGCATCTGCCATGTGACCCAAGGTGTCAAACTTCCAGTCGTACACCTCACGCTCTCTGTTTCCCATCACCGCACCGGGCCGCACGATCCAAGACGATTTGATCCCCGCCTCCTTCGCCGGGTGGTGGTCATGGAACTGGCTCTGCGCCGTCTGCAGCACCTGGTCCTTCTCCACCCCGAAGTTTCCCTTGACCTTGGCCAGCATGTATTCGAAGTTGCGTTGGTCAGGCTTGTAGGACCCAACATCCTGAGCGGTGATCACCAGGTCGAACGGGACACCTGCGAGGGGCCCCGAGTTGGTAGCGGCGAAGGACTCGCGGTCGACGTTGGAGAGAACAACGAGCTTGTAGTACTTGCCCAGGCGGCGCAGGGCGTCGACCGTGTCCGGGAAGGCAGGCCAACGGCCCACCGAGTCCCCAAAGGCTTTCGAGGACTCTGGAGAGGGCGCGGCCAGCCCGAGCTTGTCGGCTATCTGCGGGTGGATGGTTGTGAGGAGTTCAGAGTACGGCAGTTCTGGGGTCTTTGTTTGCTGTTTGTATTCGTGATCTTGGTGTACTTCCAAGAGATGCCTGCGGGAGAAGTCGGTGCGCTGGTTCTCCTCAAGGAGGGGCTGTAAAGCTGCCAGCACACCAGTCTCCCAATCAATCAAGGTACCGTAGACATCAAAGGTGAGAACACGGAAGTCTTTGAGGCTCGTCATGATTACAGAAAAGCGCGGGTGAAGTTGATTGCTGTTGCAGGGTTGATGGTGATGGTTATGATAACTTGAAGGGCTTAGATGAGATAAGAGCAATTCGGGATTGTTGGTCTTGTGATGATGGCAAAATAGGTGAGATAATTTGCAGATTTCCAAAACCTCTCGTGTCGAAAAGACTTTGGTATTTATTGAAGTTGTATCTGGCGTGTTGGTCCTTGGCTGACGTCTGGCTTTTACGAGGCCGGAGTGATGACAAGACAACCTCCGCTCGGAAGGGCGTAACATGTAGTAGGTACGTATTCTTCTCCGCATAGTCAATCCCGACCGGGTGACCGTTCCCGCCGTTGAAGCGGACACGGTGGTTGCGCACGGTTAACGCCGGCCCGGCCACCGGACCAGGATTGTCACTTTTACCGCGAGCAGTTATTTCCGCAAGTCATGAAAAATGTCAATAGACACAATAGAGTAGATGGACCATCTGCATTCATGAATCAGGAGCAGTTGCAGGTAGCATATCAGGGCCCTGTTCAGACAGGTATTTCTCATTTTGGTATGCGTGTGCTCAAGTGCCAGTCCGGTAAAGTACTTACTGAACCTGTTGATGTGTCAAGGCCAGAGCCAAGGAAGGCCGTCTTGCTGCTGTTTACGATGAATAGATGCTATGTCCAGAATGCTTGCTATGAACCTATCTTCAGTTGCAGTGGGCAATGGAGAGTTGGCTTTGAGGCTATGTATCGTTGTCAAGTGCCTGTCTATGCCATCGAGTCACTTCAACGTCACCCTGTGATGGGGCTTAGAGGTAGATTGAGCCCGGCTGCCGAGATGTCCACTCACTAGCCTAATTGATTCCGAAGCGGGGGGGGGGGGGGGGGACGTGTGGGAACACTACTTGAATCACAGCAAATAACTCACTACTGGTGATGGTAGCAAATCCAAGGTATTGTGAAACGCTCAATCTATTGAAAACAAAAAAGGCTTGGGCATGCAGTACCTCTGATCGCCACTTTTCCCGACCGATGAGACTTCCTGGTCATCTTAAGTCGATGGCACCGGATGCAGACCTACTCGCCGGCTTCCCGACAAAAGCGCCGGTGAAGCCGACCAAGAAACTTCGCTTCGCGGATGTACGTGCCTGATCCCCTCAAGTCTTTATGCGCACCAAGAGCACGCAAACCTTTGGTGGGCTGACTCGCCGTGTTCCAGGTCGCCGTCACAGCGACAGCAAAGGAGTTTGCAGGCTTCTACCGTGGCAAGCAGTATCACGAGCCGGACTTTGATGACGTCCTCGACCGTGCCCTGGCCGCCGGGGTCGACAAGGTGATGCTGACGGGCATGTCGCTCGGCGACGCGGCAATCAACTTTACCATTGCGAAGTCACGGCCGGCGGGGACCTGTTTCGTTACCCTTGGTATACACCCGTACCACGCGGCCGAACCGGATGCCGAAGAGGATGGCGGCGAGGACGGGTACTTCAAGAAGCTGGCGCAGGCCGTACGCGTCGCTCTGAAACACACGCTCGGAGGGTCCCCCTCGGTGTTGGCTGCCTTTGGGGAGCTTGGCCTCGATTACGACCGTCTCAACCACGCCTCCAAGGAGGCCCAGATCCGCACCTTCAAACGCCAACTGGACCTCTTTGTCGAGGAGCGGTTCGACCTGCTCCTGTTCCTCCACTGCCGCGCCGCATTCGACGACTTCGCGGGCGTTGTCGGGCCCTACCTCCCCAAGCTGCCCCGTCGAGGTCTCGTCCACTCCTTCGTCGGCACCTCGACCCAGATGAAAGCCCTCGTGGAAATGGGGTTCGACGTCAGCGTCAACGGCTTCAGCTTCCAGGACAGGGAGAGCCTAGAGATGGTGCGCGAGATCCCGCTGGAGAGGCTGCAGATCGAGACGGACGCCCCATGGGGCGAGATCCCCGCCGGTTCGGAACTTGCCAAGAGGTACCTTGCCAATGCGCCTGCTCTACCGCAGAGTAAGAAGAAGGACAAGTTCGAAACGGGGCTCATGGTAAAGGGCAGGAACGAGAGTTGTACGATGGAAAGGGTGGCTTATCTCGTGGCGGGGTTGAAGGGCTTGAGTGTCGAGGAAGTGGCGGATGCTGCATGGAAGAACAGCGTCAACATGTTCAAGCTCAGTGAGCTGTAGGCCAGGCACGCGTGTATAGAGAGGGATACAAAAAAAGCCTGGTAGTTAACTCTCGTAGTATGAATCGATCCCAGAAGTACAAACTAAACATGCTGCATCCCCGGCAAAAAAAGGTTAGGCAAGGAGATCGGAAACATCAATTGCCTAAAGAGTCTTCTCAACCAACTTAATACCTTCGTCCTCAAGCTTGTTGCGGATCGGGTTGCAAATATCCTCTGTATAAGGCACCAACACTCCAGGTACATTAAGAGCCGGCTCACCATCAAGCAGCAACTGGGTAGCGATGCCACAGGTAAGGCCTACCAACTTCGCCATGGCAGAGTGGCCTTCAGGATCTCCCAGAAGCTCCAGAGTAGAGGTTCTTGTCTCCTTCACGAGCCGTCCATCAGCGTTAGAAACACGAAGCGCGGGAAACGGCATGTTGGCTGGTGGGGCGTCTGCTTACCTTTCTGCCGTCTTCCCACTGGATGACGAACTTGTGTTGGAGCATGACCAAGTCCCTCTCGCCAGGCTGGAAGCTCAAGAGCCTCTCGAGCTCGGCCCAGAGCGTGTGAAGGGGGTTTCTGCGCAAGGTAGCCGGATTTTCGGAGAACAGACCAATCCACCGCAGCCCGGAAATGATCCTGCCTCTCTCCGCGCCGTTTGGGAAGCTGCACAACTCGTCGACACGTGCGATGAGGGACCTACGCCCCATTAGGGGAATGGACACACGAGGAATCACGTTGTTTGGAGAACTTACTCTTAGTCTGACCCATGTGCACAGATTATGCGTCCAAAAACCTCTCTCAGCGTCAGATCAACGTTCCCCTTCTCCAACCAATCCCTCGGCTGTCTGTCCAGCCACCCCAGCTTGATCAGCGCCGCCACGAAGGACGGGTTCCCCTCGTATCGCAATGATCCGCGGGCAACGGTCTCTGCTTCTGGAATGTTGTAAAACTCTCGGAATGGGACCGAGTTCCGGTTCGGGTACGCCACGAAGGAGTGTCCGTCGGCGACGTGGTAAGGGCCGGCCCGGGCCATGAGGTCTCGGTTGGAAATGTCAACGACCTTCCCGTCTTGGAGGTATGAGGCTGAGTTGAACTGAGAGAGGAGGTAGCCGTGCGGAGAACAGGAGAACTTGAAGCGTAGGGGATTGTCGGCGCATTCTGGGGCCGGCAGGCCGCCGCAGTAAGAATGGAACTCCTTGATCTGTCAAATTCCTCCGTTAGCCATGTCGTTGTGCGAAGCAGAAAAGAAAAGCAAATCTTTACTTTCCCGCCCTTGCGGTGCACTTCGCCACTAGCTTTGATGGCGTATAAGTGATCCACGCCTAAAATGCCACCATGAGCCATCTTCTTTCTATGAGGAACAAATAGGGAGGGTGCGTCTTACCGGGATCAACGCCCACTTCGTTCAGAACCGTAATCCCCGCGGCCATGGCTTCACCCTCCAACTCCCTGGTGCCCGGAGACACGTAGCTTGTCGTCACGACGTGCGTCTTTCCCCTTATCCCGGCCTTGATTACTGTAGGATGGTGAATGAATGGAACAAGAGAGATAACCAAGTCGTGGGCGGCTACATGTGCGTCAAGCTCAGGGGAGGCGACGTCGAGAGCAATGGGCCATGGCTCGTATGTGGTTTGACGCCAACGCCTGCGCGGCGGACCTGGTACGGCACGCTGTGTTTGGGTTGTCAGCTGTGCGAGGTACGAGATTTGCCGGAGCAAGGAATGCGGACCAATCGTCAACTTGTTTCTCTCGTTCCGGAGGAGGTAGTCGACGCATGGCTTTGCGACCGAGCCACTGCCGAGGACGAGAATCTTATTGTCAGGCATTTTGGAGAGATGAAGGTTTTCAAGGCTTGGCTGAGATATACAAACAAGAGCACATTTACACTATCGACTTGCCTCAGTTCCCGTTGTCGTCTTCACACTGTTCGTCTGTGCCCGTTATCAGCCGTGAGGTCAGCCGTGAGTCATCCGGCGAAAACGTTTCAACGATCGACCATCCACTAACGTGCGAGATACTACCACTAGTCTAATATATTTGAATATTCATACCAAGTACATTCCTGGCGGAGCCATTCAAGTAGAGGAAGGCAGGCGGACCAAATGGAGTCGAGTGTCGTTATCAGCTTTGGTAGTAATATTAGAGGTCAGCACCTTCATCTTGAAAAAGAAAAAAACACACAGACAGTTATTCGTGGACAGGACCGGCGTATACTTACCTCTCCGGTGACCGACGGAGATGGTCTCGAGAGTGGATGATGGCCTTAGAAACACCGTAAGCCATGGCCCTCTGCGGCTCAATCGAGCGATCGAGTGCACAGGTCTAACGCTGATATTGACGTCGCCCAGTAAGCCAGGCGAACAAGTATGTCTAAAGACGAGCACATGCTCGCCATATAATAGCAGCTGGCACGCGAATAAATCACGCACAACGACACTTCGACAGCAGCGCTGGTGCGATAGCAGCAGCAGCAGGCCGACGGCGATAAGCCAAGCCTTTGAGGATCCACAAGCGACGATCTAGAGCTGTCGGGGATGTCCAATCCCCCGAAAAAGAGCCTTGATCCGTGAGGCAGAATCGCGGGGAATTCCTGCAAGGGTTTAGCTGCCCGCCTCGAGTAGATCTCCCGGTAGTTCCTTGGCAAGGGGTTTCCATTGTTTGTGGTGTGCAACGAGAGACGACCCTGCCCGCCTTATCGTACGAGCCATGGACTGTCCATTACCGGGTTTCCTTACAATACGCGGTTGACGAAAGCCAATGTAATTGCTCGCCCTGCTTTTCACTCCCCCCCTTTTTTTATTCTTATCCGTGCCGTCCTTTAGGTACTTGGACAACGGCAGAGCTTGAAACGGTAGCAACAATAGTGACGAGGCAGGGGAGAAAAGTAGTGTGTGGGTAATGGTGAAGCACAGAGTCTTGTATATAAGCCACTCTCGTGCAGTAGCCAATCCGTACGTAGTCGAAGACATGGACGTTTGTTCACCATTCCTCTACCCACGGCGGGGAGTTCAGGCATTGTGTTCACCCAGGGGGTTATATGGTGATCACCAAACAAGATCCCTGGCAGGAAAGCGCCGCTTTTGTTCATCGTAGTTGCGTGAGTCAGCCTTGTACTGGCGTCGTCTTTCAAGATTGAGGAGTTGACATGGTCTCGGAGTAGGTACATTCCGAGTGCTAGTCCACAGCCAGGAGTCGACTACACACTACAAGGAACAGCGGGAGGGCTGTGTTTTCGAGAATGATGATCGACGTTCGACTATGATTCATCCGAACCATGACGTGACGTCGCCGATCAAGGCAGCTCTGGGTTCCAAGGACCTGGGACCAACACCAAAGCTGGAAGGGTTTAGGTTCATCCGGATCGTTGAAGAACGTGAGATCCTCGATGGATATAACTTCCGGCGGGCACCGAGTGGCCGTCTTTCGTAGTTCCCCGCAAGTTCGCCTCGAAGTCGGAGACAGTGATCGTCCCGATCTGCGCATTCGACCGCCAGTGAGGAGCGGCGCCTTACCTTACCCACCGGGGTCATCCATGGAGGGAACCCCGTAGTGAAAAGGGTATGCCAGGAAGCCACGAGGGGATGTTCCATTCCAGTTTGTTCGAGAACAGCCGTGGCAAGAAGATGGACCTGCAGAAACTGCACTCTAGTCCCCGTCACTGGATCTGGCAGCGGGTTGATCCATTCATTACCGAGAAGTGACTAACGAATGGCCAGCATAAGAGACATGGTTCAATGACGGGTGCGGGCGCGAAAATCGACGACACAGTTCGATGGAGGTGGCTTCGACGCTGGGTGCAATGCCTGAAGGTGATTTGCGGTTGCGTTGGCGGGATTATTGTGAGCGTGTGAGGCGGACCGTCATGGGGTTGCCGCCGTCCGCCTCACTTTGCCTATCTCCTGCAGGCTCACCACCCCAACGTGAGAGGTGGAACGCACATTCACGCACACACGCATACGCAAACCCAGAAGATGGGTTCCCACCCTCATGAGAACCGACACAACAGACGGACATGTGTAGCGTCTGGCCTTGCATGCAGGCATTATCGAGGCAGGTTCTGACGACTGACAGCCCGAAGCGGTGAGGATGCCGACAATAACTGTGCCGAAAAGGCAAGTCCAAAAGTGCTCCTTTCGTCTTGTTTGGTGCAAATAATAGGCCTTGAAAACTAGTCATCTCGACACTGTTGCCGTGTACGAGGATTGGCGCGCCCAGATCATCGCGCAAGTAGTTGGGCGAAGATAAATACCGTCTTCGTCCTCCTGATCGCCATGACCTCCTAACAATTCGAGTCATCTCGTCCTTTACAGGTGCTCGAGCAGACAAATCGTATTTCCCATGTCCGAGCGGTTGCCATGTCTTCACCAACAGAGATGAACAGATATTGGATCCCTCGCTTGGATATCCACAAAAAGATCATCACCCAAGAGCTTCCCTATTATCTTGGCCCAGATGCAACGGTCAGACCTTACACAAACGAGGTGTGAACTTATCATCCAATGTGATCGAGCCGCCTCTCACAGCATCTATAGGGAGAAGATGGGTTTCTCATCACTACTCCAGGCCCATGCCTGACCGACGTGAGCTTCGCCATGACGCATTCTTTGTTTTATAAAGCGCACTTGCCGCTAACTGTCTTGGCCGCTTCTAGGAGCAAATCGATGATATTTGCAGGAAATCCAAGGAGATATGGGAGCGACAGGCGGCTATTAGGGCACAAGAAGCGGACAAGCCTCTCAAGAGGCCGCTGCACCAGCCGGTCGTGATATCGCGAGGGTCAAACGATTCTTCGCGAAGGAGGCATGAAACACACAGAAGCCATGAGCGACATCGACGTTACGATGAGAGGCGGCGTGAGTGAGGGCGGACATTTCGGTTGAGTCGGCTCTTGTGGCCGAGATCTCATATTGGGCCAGACTTTTGGATCCAAGCGTAAACACCAAGGGCGTCGCACATGGCTGGATTCGTCCTTTTGCTGCATAACCGGACGAATTTGTGGAATTAGATGATTCGAGGTATGCGATGAAGGTCGTGTCTTTGGTGAGGGGAAGCGGTTTGTGTGGCCTAGGGCCGCAGCGGACGGTGGACCCGGCCAAGGAATCGTTGTGTGGCTGGTCAGGCGACAGGCGGGATGAAGCAGCATGACCAAGTCTTTTCTGATTGGGACGAGCAAGAGCATGTGTCGTGGAATCATCCAGCAGCAGTTCGCCATCTGGCAGTCGGGGGAGCCAATGGTAGCAGCCAAAACTACGGCACCGTCCGTCCACTGCTCTCAAGGGGTATACGTATGCAAAACCGTCCTGAGAGGCGCGCTGCAGAAGTTCAACGCCCGGCAGGATGCGACCAGCTAGCCTTTTCCGACTCAGATACTCACCTTTGTATAGTTTTTGGTTCCAGAAATAGACAAGATGCATTACAATCGCACCAAAATTGCTGTTGTGGGCCAACAGCATGCGCTGCCCAAATTCCTTGTACAACGGAGGCTTCCGATAGGACGCCAAAGTCGGGACTGCACTCGGTCCGTCCCAAAGCTCGAACCACGGATCGAGAACTTTGTCGTCAGTCTAGCAGACGTAATCCTTATCAAAATCCTGTGGTTTGTGTGTTCGACAACGAATCGGGAGGCTTGAGGCAGCTTGAATGCAGTGGTGAGCGGCAAGCCCGACGAGCATGACACGTCTGCCAATGTTGTGAGTAAGGCTCCTATCGGGGTGTGCTCGGGTCATGCGTAGCTTTTCACGACATATGGTAGGTGTGCTTCTTCTCGTCAAGCAGTAACCGCGGACTCATCCAGACTCCTGGTCAGGCAATGATAAAGGTAGACTCGTATCGTTGAAGATCGATAGGGCCGGTCGACCAAAGCATCAGAGCCTGGATAGCCGCTTTCCTGGGCTCTCCTGTTCCTTTGGCCCGCGTTCCTGGAGGCGACGGTGTGACATAACCAACGACATTAACCCATTCGCCGATTTGCGTCTCATTCGACTTAATAGTGCCAAGTAGAAGCTGAACGTCGACTAATGCACTGACGTGGGACCCTTTAGGGAAGTTGTGCTCTAGCGTAAGCACTGCCGAGTGCGTTGAGTATGAGGTTACACTGAAGCCAAATCAGTATATAGTAGGTGCGGGGCGAATTCTGAAAAATAAATGGGCAAGATTCTACCAACGATGGTATGAAGGAAGAGGGGGGGGGGGGGGGGGTCTTACCATCCCATGAATCTGACCTTCTCGCCTGGTGACCTCAACGGCAGGTCTGATAGAAGACACAACTGGGAAGGAAGCGGGCCTCTGGACATGATGACGCAAAAGGCAGCCTTGTACGAGGCATACAGTTCATCGACGTGCTCCGAAAGAGAATTGCTTAAGCGCCTGAGAAGTCTGTCATAGTGACACTGGTTTGAGGGACATGGCTACGTAGTAGGTTGATGATGGGTTGATGAATGTGAATGCTTCTACCCAGTGTACTGACAGCTGGTGACACCTGGGCCATATCGGCGATAAGCAATATGCTTATCTGCCAGTCACATTGCGAGAGTCACGCGGCCCTTCTCACATGACCGGCTGAACCTCGGCCAAACCGAGCGGACGGTGTTGCTGGGCAGAGCCGCCGTCATCGCCCGCCGCCCACTAAACGGCATCGCTAAGCCAGTCGGAAGCTTGCATCATACCTGCTTTGACTACCTGATCCTATCTCTCAGCGTTCTACCTATCGACCCTGCGACGTGTTGACCTGGAGAGCCGCGAGTGTTCGTCACACGATTTCACGACTTTGATAACTGTGTCAGCCAATATTCCTTGCTATATCTGCGGCTCGTTGAAACGACGACGAGTGCCCGCTTGTTTTTCCGTTTCGGTACCCCGCCATCAAACTTCGGCGAGTGCCACGCAATCGTGGAATACGGCTGCCTTCGACCGATAGTCACCTGCGCACAGCCTAAAAACCGGCCCGGCCCCCTTTCCGTTCACTCAACTCGATAGTCAACCTCTTAATCCTACAGCCTGTATCATAATGTCTGGCGTCTGGGGCTGGTTCGGCGGCGGCGGCGGCGCCAAGAAGAAGAATGACGCCAAAGATGCGATCCTTGGCCTTCGGGTCCAGCTCGATATGCTTCAGAAGAGAGAAAAGCACCTCCAAAACCTGATGGACGAACAAGACGCTATTGCGAGGAAGAACGTCAACACCAACAAGAACGGTAAGTCATGTGAGCCATATACCGCAACGAGGTTGAAGGCTGATGAGGCAACCCGGCAGCCGCAAAGGCTGCCTTACGTCGCAAGAAGGGCCACGAGCATAGCCTCGAGCAGACTATATCTCAGATTACGACACTCGAGTCCCAGATCAACGCTATCGAGTCGGCGAATATCAACCGGGAGACGCTGCTGGCAATGGAGAAGGCCGGCCAGGCCATGAAGGGCATCCACGGCAAGCTTACAGTCGACAAGGTGGACCAGACAATGTATGTTTCCGAAAACCCGCGATCTGCGTTGACGGTCAACGGAACGAATGCTTACACGGTGCGAACAGGGAGGAACTCCGCGAACAGAATGCCCTCAGCGAGGAAATCGTCAACGCCATTACGACGGGCCAGACGGACAACATCATCGACGAGGATTTGGAAGAGGAGCTGGAAAATATGCAGCAGGAGCAGTTGGACGAGCAAATGATAAGCACCGGGTCAGTGCCAGTGTCGGATGCCGTCCATCGCATGCCGGCTGCAGCGAATGGAGAAAGTAAGGAATACCCTCCTCTCTCACGGACATAGAATAGTGGCTAACATGCGATGAATCAGTCAAAGGCAAGGCGCCCATTGCCGAAGAGGACGACGAAGAGGCCGAGCTTCGCAAGCTGCAGGCGGAAATGGCCATGTAAAGGGCTACAGGCGGCAGTCGTTCCTGCGGGGACGGCCAAGGAGAATGGCATAGCATTCGTGGCCAAGAACGGGGCTCCTAGAGGCTTGCATGGGACCGCCATACGGGGGTGTGAACAAAGACAAGTCCAAGTCTGTCCGGGGGGAGTTGGTGGGCTTTGCACGACATACACGACGTACGATGTAGGCTTTGCACAGGCTTACTTATTCGATGCGGCAACAACTTCAGGGGCGGCCTCTGTTCATACGTTTCTCGGGTACCTTGGCTCTTTTCATCAGACCTGTTTACTGGCGTTGGCGTTTTTGGGATACGCGGGGTTGTCATTCGACGGGAATCTTGCGGCTGAGGAGGTTGACGGGAGTTTGACAAGCTTTTTAGGGTTTGCTGGAGTGGCAATTTACAAGTCTCCGAGTACTATGCGTGCGTCTTTTCCCCCCATAGAAACATAAATCGACTGTTGTTGAGGAGCTAGGCGAGAGTTTCGCAGAACCATATGCAGCGTGCAGTTTCGGACATGCCCCTTGGGGTGAAGGGTTTGCTTGGCTTATGCACCGGAGATGCGGCCGGAATGCAGCGATATCTGGTTCGGTGAAGGAATGGTCAAAGTAATAGACGACGGTCCACCTGATGAAAGTAAGGCAGGGTAGTTTATGGACAGATCCTACATCATAGTCCGCTGGCGTTGGGTGGCCCACCCGACGGGACCGGGACCGGGACAGAAGCCATCTCCACGTGTTCCGGCACACCGCCAGTCGCCAGGAGCGACCGATCGTGGGCTGGGGCGTCCGAAGCCACGATCATCTTGGCCGTATGCGCATTCGATGTCGTTCTGGGAGGGGAAGGGGGAGGGGGAAGTGGAGGAGCTCGGCTCGAGTCACGACAAGAGAGGCGGATCTGTCCGTCTGCTTTTCTGTGAGTACACCCACCACGGATAATACCCAACCAGCAACCATCGAGGGGAGGCGGGCGAGGCGGGCGAGGCAGGGTTCATGTCACTGCGACAAATGCTCGGACTCGGGGGCTCGAAGGATAGCAAATGAGGCTTTCCAGCCTGATCAATGCAAACACCTAGGGTACCATAAGGCGATGCATTATGGACAAAAAGGAGAGGGCAAGGCGAGGCGGCGTCTGTCTGGCCTGATTCGGATCTCGGGTCTCGAGGAGAGAGAGCCTACAGCGCAGTGCCTGCCGGACCTGGTAGATACTGGCGAGACGGGCTGGTGACCAACTTGCCATGCTTGATATTGAGTGCGGCGGGGATACCGATACCTACATGCATTTATCGTGGCCCACTTGCGTTGTTTATGAGGGCACCTAAGTACAGGCCTGTCAGGGACTGAAGACGCCCTGAGTTGTCTTTCTCGGCTGACAGGGTGATGCAGGTGTCAGCCACTGCCCGAGACCATGGGCAAGAGCGAGTAAGTAAACACACAGTCGGTGACACCCAATGCTTCCTTCCCAATAAGACAATATTTTTATTGTATCCGTATCTTTATTTCCTTTAACACGTTTCCACCTGCCGAAAGTTCGGCACACACACAATGTCGTCAGTTACCACAACGTTGGCCAACCCTTCTTCATTTCCGCTTCCCATCAACTCCCAGTATCCCTGAAAAACAGACCTGCCTACCTATACTCCGTATACGGATACTATTCTACATAGTACTTTACGTTCATGGATGGCCGTTCCTCAGGATACCTAAAAAACAACAACAACAACAAAGGCCGTTCACCATCGTCCATCGACTGCTGTCCCTGCCGCCTTTGTGCACGCATCGACACAGTGTCTACCACATCGACCATCAACCAGTCGCCCCCTTGACCTTGTTGTTGCGCCCTACGGATACGCCGTGCTCCCTGGTAGTATCCCAGGATATGTAGCGATTCCGGTGTCGCGATGGCTTCGGCCAAAATCTCGATGTCTTGCTGGTCTAACCAACTGCGAACCCCACATGGGCAGCAGCATCGCTCGTCAGCCACGAAAAAGCAGACGACGGCCCAATGTCACCAGCCATGTTGTCTGCGGCATCCCTCGGCGCCCAACCTCCGACTCGTACGGCCCTCCACCTCATCTGGTCCCATTTGCCCAGTGGCGTCTAGTCGGACCAAGTCGGGTGCTTGCAGTGCACCCAATGACACCGGCAGCACCGGGCTACCTACATCGCTGCAATGCAGACTGGCCTATTGAGAATCTGTTCGGCCCAAGACAGGAGGACTACTGCACCTCTCAAACACCGTCGTCGGGAGGAGCCTTGCCACGGCATCCCGTCCCTCCAATCCCACCCACCTTACGACCATCCGGCCCAACCTCACCACCACCAGCATGTGTCCAAAGTCACCCAACTTCCGCCCTGAGCCCCTACCTTCCGCCCATGATGAATGGACGACTAACCAGCCATTGCCACGACATGTCTCCTTGCTGACATAGTCACAACCGCCTTCTTATCAATCGATTGATTGATTGATTGATTCACAGCCAGCCTTCTCAGCACAAGGAAACAACGCCGCCCTCGCTGCTGAAGCCAATTCGCTACGATGTCACCACCTAACCCAACCCCCCACCAACCACTCGTCTAGTGTACCCTACGTCTACCACTTGTACGGTCACATCCGCCCCTCCCGCCAGCCGTCGTCCGGCCTTCTACTGCATGGGATCTTCAGAGGAGAGCCTTAACCAGGCGAGCCACGTTGCACGCCGCTGACCGGGGGTTTAATGGCCGGTGGGAAACAAACCGCGTCTCTAAGCCCACCACTTAACTGACATGCTTGCCGCCCAAGGGCTTTTCTTAGACTTCCAGCAGTAGGGGCTAGAAGTAAGTTTCCCGCCTCAGTGCACTTCGCATGCGCCGTGCTGCATTCACGCAAATCGGACGTTTCTCAACGCCAACTAGATGCATGTAGCCAGACTGCGGTTTCCCCCTCGTCCAATCCCCTTTTTTCTCGAACAACGGATGGCAGGATGGTTGGGGCTCCCCTACGCTGCGGTTCAGGAACCACCACCCTTCCATCGGCAATCTCTTCCTTGTGTCTCAACCGGGGCAATGAGGGCTTTTGCAAGGGTCGACCTGGCTTGGGTGGACCGGCCCATCGACCATTCCCTGTCCCGACTGCCCATTGCGTGCGCGAGTGCTGGACCAGAGACCAACAATAACCAGCATCGCCCGTTCTAGCTCATCACCGCTGGAAGGATGGACGCTTGACAGTTTGCACTTTCATCAAGTCCAGCAAAATTCCCACACTGCAGGAGAAATCAGGACGATCTAGACCTTTTTGGGTCAGGCATGCCGCAGAACTGTACGCTTTTGAGCTCTGATGACTACTGCTCTAGGCACTTGTTCGACGGGCATTGGCTCATTGATGGTCAACTCGTCTCGTTCAAAGGTCTCTCACCGCAATGCTGGCTTGAGTTATTTTTCTTCTTCATCAATCGATTCTCCCTACGAATATCGGCGGGTCTTGGGGGCAAATCTCAATTGACTTTGCCGCTCCAGTCACTGAAAGAATTCAAACTGAGCGACAAGAAGAGAGAGAGAGAGAGAGAGAGAAAAGAGGGGAAAGCCCGTCATCTCGATGCATGATGGCCCTATGAAACTACCAAAAGGGACATGACCATAAAATGTAAAGCGCTCATCCTGGGAAATGTCATTGACATTCATTCATGCCCGGCCTGCCTCATCGATACCGGCTCTTTATGCGGGTTGGTGGCTCGCTTCCCAACCCACCGCCGTCGGGCAGCCATCATCCCTCCTACATGGTCTGCTTGCCCGTCTGATGTGTTCAACCACTAAGCCTGTCTCTGCTACTTCGTCCCTCATCAGTCATCACAACACCCCCCCAAATCATTCAAGCTCCCCAGTCCTAGAAGCCGTGCTTCCCCCCAAGTTCGACCCAATTGCGACGTGGCGCCAGTGGTTCTCCCGCCTCACTCAAGCCAATGGCTCCCAAGCACGCACGACATTGATCACTTGGACTCTAGAACTGCCCGATTTTGTCTCCATTCGTGGGGACTGCGTGGGGTAAGCCTGCGTCAGGGTTCCCTTACTCCCGCGCCTTTAACCCTGCCTCTGGTCAATGATGCTTGTGATGTTTGGCACACAGCTGGGAAGCTCCCCCTGCTTGTCTAGTTTAGAACCTACTTTTCATCCCACCACTGCTCGGCCCAATTGTGCCCTCCTGGGGTGGCCGTGGTTCAAAACGCCTCTCGTCACTCTCGGTCCCTTATTGCCCAACTCCATCCGTCATGAAGCCGAGATAAGATACTGGATGCTTCCTTGCCGCCGTAACCATCAATTGCACCTTTGACTGTTGTTTACACAACGGCCGTCTCATAGGCGACAAAATACCACTGTCGTACTTTGCTTTTGAGTCTCGCGATACCCGCCCAAGAGACTCGAACTTTTTGTTTTTACTCCGGTTTGGGCACCGCATACCAACAAAGATCACAAAAGCCTCCGAAGAAAAGAATAATCCCAAGCTTATTCTTCCCCTGAAACCGCCCTCCCCTTGCCGCCTTGGGTAATATCAGACTACGTACCCGAACTCGCATTGATCAGCTGCTACGAAACAAGGGCTCCCGTAAACACCAGGTCCCGGAAGCATGAATTCGCAAGAGCCAGTCGATTACTGCCCTTACCGGCAGAACCTTGATTGGGGCCATGTCCAAACCCAGGACTTCTCCAACGTCAAGTACTTTCAACCTTCAGATTCCGAATTGGAAAATGGTAAGATATCTGCTCGGCATTGTGTTCGAGTCTGGTGATTGCGTCTAACTTGGCCGACTTATAGATGGTGACGTATATGCCAATGGCGTAAAATACCCCTCACAACCTGCCCAGGCCGCCAGCAGCAGCAGCAAGAAGAGCAAGAAAAAGTCCAAGAAAGATAAGAAGGCATCGCAAACCGCTTACGAAGAGCCTCCAGTTGCTCCCCCCGAAATCCCTACGCCAGAACCGCCTCAGGACACCGGCGTAGCGGAAGACGAGTGGCCGACGGCAACTACCAAGAAAGACAAGAAGAAGAAGAAGAAGAGCAAAAAGGAAGAAGCCGCTGTTGCTTCTCCGCCTCCTCCGCCCCCTCCGCCTGCAGAACCAGAGCCTGAACCAAAGCTTGAGCCTGAGCCCGAGCCCGAGCCCCAACCCGAGCCGACACAGGAGAAAGAAGTTACTGTCGAGGAGACCCCGACGTCTCCGGTTAGGGCGAAAGAATCTCCGAAAAAGGACAAGAAGGACAAGAAGAAAGATAAAAAGAAGAAGAAGGGCAAGGGTGGCAAAGAGGCCGAGCCAGAGCCGGCCGAGAGCTCTCAATCGACTCCTCCCCCACCACCGCCGGCGCAGGCTGAGGCAAAACCACCAAAGATGGATGAGCCTATAGCACCGCCTCCCGAAGCTGTAGTCAACACTAAAGAGGGTGCTTCTGCCGTCGATCCCGCGGCTGAGACCGCCCCACCTGCCGACAGGAGTGTCGACAAGAATGAGAAGACGGGTGCATCAGCGACAGCCGCCGGAGCTGTCGCTGTAGCTGCCGCGGCAGCAACAGCGGCTGCGGTAGCAAGCACTGACGAAGATCCCGCTTCTTCTGCCGCTGTTGCATCGGTAGAAGACAAGGAAGATACCTCGGGCGATGCCCCAGCTGCCTCGCCAGAACAGCCGGAGACAACACCCGAGGCAGCTGAACCTGAACCTGCAGCTCCCATTGAGGAAGCTTCTACGGAACCGCCGGCACCGGAAGCAGCAGCAGATGCTGCCGAGGCTCAAGTCGATGATACAACACCATTCGAAGCATCTCCTGAGGCCGTGGGAGACTCGGAGGCCGAAAAGCAGGCGGGTGATGAGCCCGAAGGTTCTGCACCTGCTGAGGCTACCCCCGTAACTCCAGATGACACGCCCGAGGAGCCCGAAGCCGAAGCGCAGGCAACACCGGATCCTCCAACGGAGGCCCTGGCTGACGATGACAAGCCCGGCGAACCTGCTCCCACAGAGGTAGCGTCTGAAGCTCCTGCTGAGGCCGTGGCCGAGGTCTCCGCTTCTCCGGAAGAGCCAACAAGCGAAACCGTGACAGAGCCGGCTGCGGAGGAGCCTACACCTGCCGCAGAGCCTCCGGCTGAGACACCGGCCGAATCCAAACCAGAGGAGTCCGCGCCTGCCGGGGAGGAAGCCGCTGATGCACCGGACGTCGGCACCTCCGTGGTCGAGTCGGCTGATGACGTGCCAGCCGAATCCACGGCCGATGCTCCTGTCGCCTCGGAAGAGGAGACGGCCGAGGCATCCGTCGAGGACAAGCCAGGAGACGCTGCCTCTGTAGAGGAACGGGCCACCGAAATCCCAACAGAGACAAAAACGGAGGATGCCGCCCCTGCAGAGACAGCAGCGCCTGCCTCGGCCGAAGCCGAGCCTGTTAAGCCGGCGCCTGTAGAACCGGTTGCCGAAGCTTCGGATGAGGCCAAGCCGGAAGAGTCCACTCCTGAAGAGGAATCCGCAAAGGATGCCATCGCCGACGCTCCGGTTGAGGTCGCTGCAGAGGACGCTGCGCCTTCTGCCGAACCAGCCGTTGATGCTCCTGCTGATGCTCCTTCTGATGCTCCTGCCGAGGCCCCTGCTGATTCTCCAGCTGAGGCTCCTGCTGAAGCTGCCGCAGATGCTCCAGCTGAGGCTCCTTCTGATGCTCCTGCCGAGGCTCCTGCTGATGCTCCTTCTGATGCTCCTGCCGAGGCTCCTGCTGATTCTCCAGCTGAGGCTCCTGCTGAAGCTGCCGCAGATGCTCCAGCTGATGCTCCTTCTGATGCTCCTGTTGAAGCTGCCGCAGATGCTCCAGCTGAGGCTCCTGCTGAAGTTGCTGCAGATGCTCCTGCTGAAATCAAGTCCGAAGAAGCTGCCTCTGAGGAAGCATCAACAGAAATCGCCCCTGAAACTGTCGCCCCTGTTGAGGATACAGCAGAGGAGGCATCCGAGACTAAGACGGATGACAGTCCTGTAGAAGCGCCGGCACCGGGGACTGAGGAGCCGGCTCCAGCCGAACCCTCAACCGAATCTTCCAACGAGCCGGTGTCAGCAGAGAACTCATCGGCTGAGCCGGCTTCGACCGACGCAACATCAGATCCAGCAGAGGCCACCCCCGAATCCACCAAAGAGGAGGACGCAACTGATCCCAAGATTACAGAGGCCGAAGCAGCTGCTACCGATGACACTCCAGCTTCTGAGGTTGTTGAAGCTCCTGTACCTGCGGCAGTCGAGGAGCCAGAGTCCACTGTCAATGCAGAACCATCGATCGAAGCTCCGGCTACGGAGGAAGTTCCTGCTCCCGTAGATGAGGAAAATACTGAAATTTCTTCCAAAGACGGTGTTCCTGAACCAGCAGCTGAAGAGCCAGAAGATGCAGCTCCCGCTGAGAAACAGGCGGAGGTGTCTGCAGACGACCAAGCCAAGCCTGAAGAGCCGGCAGCGGCTGAGCCAGAGATTGACTCCGGAACATCGGAAGAAGCGCCCGCGGCTGATACTCCCGTCGAGGCGCCTACCGCTACAGACACTCCGGCCGATGGTCCTTCTCCCACGGATCCAATTGAATCAAAGGAGGATGCAGCAGCTACCGAGACTGAACCCGCAGCATCTCAAGAGGATGGCGCTGCCACTGAGCAAGACGCCAAGGCGGAACCGGAAGTGGCTGCACCTGAGACAGTCGAAGATGAGGCCAAGCCTGAAGATGCACCCACTGCTGCAGAGCCAGCGACAACAGAAGCAGTGACACCAGCTTCTGACGCCGGGGACGAAAAGAATGAGACGCCCGCTGCCGCTGCCGAAGTTTCCGAGGAACAAGACGTCGCTCCGGCTACGGAGACCACGCCTGTGGACAAGTTAGCTCAATCAGACGACGCACCTGCAGCCAGCAACCCGACCGATACGCCGGCCGAAGCAGCACCTGATTCTACGGATGTCACTGAAGTTGTTCCCGAGCCTACAAAGACAGACGAACCGGAGATTATCAAGGAATCCGAGTCTGCGCCCGAGACTCATGCTTCTAAGGAGCCCGAAGCCGAGTCTCCCGCGCCTCTTGAAGCTGGAACCGAGACTGGGGCTCCTAATGAGGCAGATTCAGATGCTCCAGCCGAGACGGCAGCAGATGCTTCTGGGCCAGCGGAATCAGAACCTCCCAAGGCAGAGGAAATCGAGACTCCTAAGACCGATGTCGAAGAGCCCAAGGAGACCATTCCCGAACCGGCTGAGGAGGAGCCTGTTGCCCCCCAAGAGCACAATGCATCGCCTGCTTCAGAAGCCGAACCGGAGGCACCCAAGACGGAAGAGCCCGAAGCAGTCAAGGATGAGCCGGACGCTTCCAAGGAAGCTGAGGCCGAAGCCCCCATAGATGCTGCTCCCGAAGCGGATGCGGTACCAACTGCCGATGCCGCGCCCGAGGCCGTTTCAGAGGCTGCTTCTGAAGTTACCCCTGAGGCTGCTACCGAAGGCGAGGCTCCAGCTCCTGCCAATATTGAAGATAGCGCCGAGCCTGTGGCGGAACCCGCCACGGAACCCGACGCTCCCGAGGAAGCGACGCCAGAGGCTGAGCCCGAGGCCAGCAAGGAACCCGAAGCTGTAGCTGAAGTCGAAGCAGAAGCTCCTAAGGAAGCTAAAGCTGAACCTGAGCATGCTGCCGAGCCTGCTGCTGAACCTGCTGCCGAGACTCCCGTCGAAGCTGCTGTTGAGCCTGCTGTTGAGCCTTCCGCTGAGCCTGTCGCTGAGCCTGCTGCCGAACCTGCCGCTGAGCCTGCCGCTGAGCCTGCTACCGAACCTGCCGCTGAGCCTGCTACCGAACCTGCCGCTGAGCCTGCCGCTGAGCCTGCTGTTGAATCTGTCGCTGAGCCTGCTGCCGAGCCTGTTGCCGAACCTGCTGCCGAGACTGCCGTCGAAGCTGCCGCTGAGCCTGCCGCTGAGCCTGCTACCGAACCTGCCGCTGAGCCTGCCGCTGAGCCTGCTGTTGAATCTGTCGCTGAGTCTGCTGCCGAAGCTGTCGCTGAACCTGCTACCGAGACTGCCGTCGAAGCTGCCGCTGAGCCTGCCGCTGAGCCTGCTGTTGAATCTGTCGCTGAGCCTGCTGCCGAGCCTGTTGCCGAACCTGCTGCCGAGACTGCCGTCGAAGCTGCTGTTGAGCCTGCTGTTGAGCCTTCCGCTGAGCCTGTCGCTGAGCCTGCTGCCGAACCTGCCGCTGAGCCTGCCGCTGAGCCCGCAGAGGACGTCACAGATTCTGGAGTCGAAACAGTCGAGAAGGAGCCCGATTCATCAAAGGCTGCCGACGTCGAGGCCGATACACCTAAGCCGGAGGAAAGCGAAGCCCCAAATCCCGATTTCGCGGATGCCTCTGCAGATGCAGCCACCGCAAACGACGCAATTGTCTCTACAGAAGGTATGGAAGGTTACGAAATCATCAGTGACGGCAAAGAATTCAGCTTCACCGTAGACATTCTCTCCTCCGGGACCAAAGATACTAAAGAAGAGACAGAACCAGCCGCCGAAACCGAAGAAAAGCCTGAAGAAACCAACCATGAAGAGGCAACGTCTCATTCTTCGCCAGAGGAGCACATCACTACCGCTGATGAAGTCGAGGACAATGTAGAGGCCGTTGAGACACCTGACGAAGCTTCTGTGGATGCTGCCAAGCCTGAGACCGAAGCCGCCGAGGCTGGCGCTGCGATTGAGCCTGAGGAAGCCGACACATCTGTGGGCGAAGCCAAGGAGCCTGAACAGGAAGGCACCGCTATTGGTACTGACACAGTCGAAGATGCTAAGACCGCGTCCCCGGAGCCAGAAGCAGAGCCAGAGCCTGAAACTTCCACTGAAGCGGCCCCGGAACCGACAACCGAGACAGAGGATGCCGCGCCTGATGCAAAGTCTGCTCCAGAGCAGGCTCCAGAAACCAAGGATGCTGAACCAGAGCCAACTTCTGACGCGCAAACCTCGGAGCCGTTGACTGAGCCAATCCCGGAGTCCGACCAAGCAGCCGAGCCCTCCGCTCCAGTTACTGGAGAAGGGGAAGCGAATGTGCCAGAGCAGGAGACAACACCAGAGACTACAGAAGCCGCGGAGGTTAAACCCGAGGTTAATGCAGCTCCTGAGGCCGGGGCTACGGAGCCTGAAGCGGCGGATGCATCTGTAGAACCGGCACCGGAAGCAGAGGCTACTGCAGAAGACGAAGAACCTAACACTGAGGCCAAGGTTGAATCTAATGAGCCTGAGCCTGAAGCCGCAGCCGAGTCGCCGGAACCAGCACCCGTGGCCGAAGAGACCAATGAAGTCGAGGCTGATCCTACTCCGGAGTCAAAGGACGCCGAAGCTGAACCAGCTCCTGAGACGAAAGAAGCCGAGCCCCCGCTTGAAGCCAAGGATCTCGAGGCAGAGGCAGAGGCACCTGTCGATGCGGAGTTGAAGGAGGCAGCACCTGACTCTGAGGCCGCAGCTGAAGAAGACAAGACTGCCGAGGCCGAAACAGCTCCTGACGCAAAGAACCCCGAGTCTGAGGTTGAGGCAGCGTCGCCAACAGATGTCAAAGAACCCGAATCCGAGCCTGTACTGGCGGAAGACGCATCTGAGGCTCAAGATCCTGAACCCGCTGCCGAGCCTGCCGCCCGGCCTCCGGCTGAGAACGACGCCATTGTTGAAGCTAAGGGACCCGAGCTTGAGCCAGCTGTCGCGCAAGAAACCCCCGAAATCAAACCCGAGGAGCCCACCACCGAAGTTGAAGCGGCTCCAGAGGCCAATGATCCAACACCTGAGCCTGCGGCGGTCGCCGATGCAGAGCCCAAAGAGGCGGATGCGGATGCAGAAACTTTGGCCCAAGACACAAAGAGTACTTCCGCTCTAGAAGAGACTCCTGACGCCAAGGACGCAGAGACAGAGACCCCAGCAGCTGCTGAAGATGTCACAGAGCCTGAGACTGCTCCCACGAAACCTGAGGCAGAAGACTCTGGGGAGCCAAAACCTCAGACCGATGTTGTCGAGGAGACAAAAGAAGCAGACGCCGAAGCACCTGCTGCTATTGAGGTAGCTGTCCCGGAAGCCGATGAAGTGCCGGTAGATGCCCCTACTGCAGCGGAAGAAACTACGGCGACAGAGTCTGCCCTAGAAGCTGAAGAGCCGGAGCAGGTGCCAGAGCAGGTGCCGGAGCCAGTTTCCGAAGAGCCTAATCAGCCGGAGCTTGCCGAAACAGTTACAGAAGTCGAAAAGGCTGCTGTTGTTGAGGAGACGTCGGCACCAGAGCCTGAATCTGCTAAGGAACCGGCATCTACCGAACTCGAGGTTCCTGCTGAGCCTGAAGCCCCTGCTGAGCCCGAAGCTCCTGCTGAAGTAGCTGATACTGAACCTGAACCTGAAGCTCCTGCCACCGAGCCAGAAGCAGAAGCACCTGTTAAACCTGAAGCTACCCCTGCTGAGAAAGAAGCTACCCCTGCTGAACCAGAAGCAGAAGCTGCTGCTGCTGAACCTGAAGTAGAAGTTCCTGCTGAGCCAGAAGCAGAAGCTCCTGCTGAACCGGAATCTACTCCTGCTGAGCCAGAAGCAGATGCTCCTGCTGAACCGGAAGCTACTCCTGCTAAGACAGAAGCAGAAGCTGCTGCTGCTGAACCTGAAGCAGAAGCTCCTGCTGAGCCAGAAGCAGAAGTTCCTGCTGAGCCAGAAGCAGAAGCTCCTGCTGAACCGGAATCTACTCCTGCTGAGCCAGAAGCAGAAGCTCCTGCTGAACCGGAAGCTACTCCTGCTAAGACAGAAGCAGAAGCTGCTGCTGCTGAACCTGAGGCAGAAGCTCCTGTTGAGCTAGAAGCAGTTGTTGAGCCAGAAGCGCCCGCCGCTGAACCGGAAGCAGAAACTCCTGCTGAACCTGAAGTAGTTGTTGAGCCAGAAGCGCCCGCTGCAGAACCGCCGATTGAGCCTGAGCAAACAAGATCTCTAGATGTTGACGAGAGCAAAGATACGGTGGGGCCGATTGCGTCTAATGCAAGAAAGGCTGAGAAACTAGGTGAGAATTCCCTTCCTTCCCCTAACCCCGATTCCCCCGGTGGAGATGTACGGGAAGGACAGGATGGCCAAGATCCTGGGATTCCAGACGAGGACGTCGTGGCCGACAACCCTGAAACGGAACCTACGGAACCCGTTATGGACGACACACCGGATCCGGATCCTATTGAAACTGTGGAAGAAGATTCTCCTATCAATCTGTCTGCGACGGATACTCAAGAGAGCCAAGGCACTGCGATTGCAGTAGAGCCAGGTACTGTGGTTTCCGACGAAACTGCCGTCGAAGAGCCTGCTGTCAAAGAGCCTGCCACTACAGAAGAGCCTCATACAGCTGAAGAGCCTGTTGTTTCTAAGGAGCCTGCTTCTGAAGAACCTGCAGCTCCTGAAGAACCTGCTGCTTCTGATGAGCCTACTACAGTCGAAGAGCCCACAGTCGAGGAGCCTGTTGCTGTCGACGAACCTCCTGTGGTTGAAGAGCCTGCTGTCGAAGAGCCTGCCGTCGAAGAGCCTGCTGTCGAAGAGCCTGCCGTCGAAGAGCCTGCTGTCGAAGAGCCTGCTGTCGAAGAGCCTACAGTCGAAGAGCCCGTTGCTGTCGACGAACCTCCTGTGGTTGAAGAGCCTATAGCCGAAGAGCCTACAGTCGAAGAGCCCGTTGCTGTCGACAAACCTCCTGTGGTTGAAGAGCCTCCCGTGGTTGAAGAGCCTATAGCCGAAGAGCCTACAGTCGAAGAGCCCGTTGCTGTCGACGAACCTCCTGTGGTTGAAGAGCCTCCCGTGGTTGAAGAGCCTATAGCCGAAGAGCCTACAGTCGAAGAGCCCGTTGCTGTCGACGAACCTCCTGTGGTTGAAGAGCCTGCTGTCGAAGAGCCTGCCGTCGAAGAGCCTGCCGTCGAAGAGCCCGTTGCTGTCGACGAACCTCCTGTGGTTGAAGAGCCTGCTGTTGAAGAACCTACTATTCTTGAGGCGCCTGCTACAGTCGAAGAGGCTGCTACAGTAGAAGAGCCTCCTGCTGTCGAAGAGCCTGTTCCTATTGATGAACCTCCTGCGGCTGAAGAGCCTACTGCTCCTGCCGTCGAAGAGTCTCCTGCTGTCGAAGAGCCCCCTGCTGTCGAAGAGGCCGCTACAGTCGAAGAGCCTCCTGCTGTAGAAGAAGAAGCTGTGGTCGAAGAGCCTGTTGTCGAAGAAGTTGAGGCTTCACTTCAAGACACCACAGAGGCCTCTACAGAGGAAATACCTGTTGAAAAGCCATCTGATGGCATAGTAACTGAGCAGCCAGCTCCTGAGGACATCACCCCAGAGACTGAAGCTAGCGGTTCAGTGTCTGAAGAGCCCATAGCAGAGTCTTCGGTGGATGAAAATTCTGCTGCAACAGACGCGGCTATAGAGAAAGAAACATCTGAGGACCCTGCTGCAGCAGAAGCACTGTCTGCAGAATCCATGACTGAAGAGCCATCCGCAGAAGAAGCTGTTCCTGATAGCGTCCCTGCAACTGATCCTACCCCCGAGTCAATCTCTGAGGGCTTGGCGCTGGACGAGACTGCCCCTGCAGAAACCGCTACCCCTGAGGAAGTTATTCCTGCCGAAGAACCTGCAGCCACAACAGCTTCCGACGTACCCGTCGAAGATGCTACTTGTCAGGAACCGACCACCGATGGTGATATCACTGAAACTGCCCCAACTGAGCCAGCTGAACCGTCAGCGACAGAAACGGGAGTAGAGGCAACCGAACAAACAGAAAAGGCGTTGGATACCGCACCTGAGGCCGTGGTGGAGGAGGCCGCACCCGCAGAGACCACTCCAGAAGATGTCACACCCGAGGACTCTGCTGCAGTCGATGCTACTGTCGAAGAGCCAGCATCACATGCGGCTGCTTTAGAAGAAACAACAGTAGCCGAACCGACCCCTGCAGACTCCGCCCCTGAATCTGCGACAAATAACGCTTCCCCAGAGGCTATATCGGCGGAGACAGCTTCCAACGAAGTCAACAATGAAGAGCCTTCGACATCTGATGAGCACTCCGCTCAAGAGATTGCGGATCCAGAGGTGGCAAGTGAGGAAATTGCAAAGGAAGACGACCTTGAAGAATCTTCCCCGGCAGATATTAGAGGTGACAATCCAGCAGAGGGCGAGTCGCAACCAGAGGATCAAGCGCAAACTGCTCCCGAAGTATCCACCATTGAGACCCCCGTTGAGCACGGATCCTGTGAAGAACCGCCATTACCACAGCCGAACAAGATCGATGAAGCAGAGAAAGCCACGGAAGAAACTTCAACAGCTCCGGAGGGGGAGGGCGCTACACCTCAGGAACCGCACACAGAATCTAAAGAAACCGCCCTGACTGTCGAGAATGAGGATACACACAGCAACGACGAGCTCATCGCAGGAGCTGTTGCCGCTGCTGGTGTTGGCGTTGCAGGATATCTGGCTGCCGCCAATATTAGGAAAGACTCGGGCGATGACAACACCGCAAGGGAGGTTCCTGGATCCAATACAGCAGACGCTATCTCACGTCGAAGCTCGGTGGACAAGTTGACCCAAACTCTCGCAAACCCCCCACCATCAAGGCAAATTATTATTGCCGACCAAAAAGACGCCGATGTGGACGCCAACTTCAACCTTGTACAGCGAGAAGGTTATTCAGACTCTGGGACGCAAACAGATACTTCAGTTTTGAGTCTTCGTCCCTCGACACCAGCCGTGGTTTTACCTGAACTCCCCATATCACCAGCGGCCAAAGAAAGATCAAAGGCTCTAAGAAGACAACGGAAGGTCTCCATCAAGAAAGCCGAAGAGCTTGTGGCAGCTGCCGTGATTATCTATGCTACGGCGGAGGCCCTCCGCTCACCCATGCGCCCTTTGTCCCGGAGCACTCAAATTACCAAGGCCACGAGCAACTGGGAGCCACAGATTAAGATCAAACCGAAAAGGGCCTTTTTATCGAGGGTTCTCCCCGGGCTTCTTTCTAGACGCAGGAGTACTACCACTACGGGAACGGGCAAAACTAGCAGATTTGGTACTAACTTTTTTCGCAGAAAAGAAGGATGCAGAGGCTCGTGAAAAGCACCGGCGACGCCGCCACTCTTCTACTCACCACCTATCATCGCACTCTAGCCGCAGTCGAGGCGAAGAAGAAAACAGAGACGACAGCAGACGCTACTCACATCACTCCCATCACTCCCATCACTCCAGCCGACGACACCGTACAGACAGTGAGCGGTCTCTCCGATCTGGCGACTCCGCCCCTCGCACTCCACCGGAACCTCTAAAGAGACAGGACAGCGGTTTCTCGGAAAGCCCACAGACCGTCATTCACCGAAGACTCCGGAGCGAACGCAGTGAGCACAGTGAGCGTAGCGGGAGGACGGAAAGAAGCGAGCGCAGCAGTCGCTCTGAACGAACTCCTGAAGAACAAGCCGCCCATGATCGCCGCAAGGAAGAACGCAGACTTGCGCGTGAAAAGGAGAAAGAGCGCGAAAAAGAGAAAGAGCGTGAACGCGAGGCTGAGCGTGAGCGGGACCGCGACCGCAACAGACGCCGCGAGAGAGAACGCGAGCGCGAGCGCCAGCGTGAGATGGAACGCGAAGCCGAAGAAAAGGCGCGGTCATATCGCAAGGGCAAGGAGCCCGAGGTCATGGCCAAGCCTGAGGAGATGGCGGGACGCAGCCATCGCCGCTCTCGCCGCCACAGCACCGCAGAACAACACCGTCCGGAGCGTACCCTCAGCAAGAGAAATCCCAGGGACCCCTCACCAGGAAAGACGAAGAACTTTTTCAGCCTCCATGACGAAGGTGCGATTGAATCGAAACCCCCTCCCCAGGATCCCCCTCCCCCAGAAATCAAGAGCGGCATGCCAACGGATGACAATGCAGGACAAGAAGAGGCAACTGGTTCACGCAGTCTCCCGAAGCGGTCCAACACGACGCGCGAGAGACACAGCCACAGCCACAGCCACAGCCATACCCGTCGGTCTGAAGACGTTGGAAGACCCAGCAAGCTGCAGAAGGCACGTGAGCAAGTTGCCGAAGAAGCATCGCGTAAGGCGGCCGAAAAGCCCAGGTCACATCATTCGGATGATACTCGGCGGCGCGCCCGCGAAGAAGAGCGACGAAGGACGAGAGACGTCGAGAAGGAAAGAGACAGGGGCAGAGAAAAGGAGAAGGAGAAGGAGAAGGAGAAGACAAGCGGGATCAAGGGCATGTTCAAGCGGCTGTTCAACTAATGACATGCACGTAATGATGTTATGACGATGAGTGCATGCGGACTGGATGTGTTACGCATAGGAATTAGACTACGTATGTTTTGGGGGGTGTCCGGGATATGATTTAGATGATGGACGATTTACACCATGGACTTTACGGATAACGTGTTAGGAACCGAATTTGCAATGTCTGATGAGCGTCGAACAAATTCCATGTCACAAATTCTGATATTCACAAGGCTGATACTCTGAGGCGTAAAACTGGGTGAAGCTCATTCCATGGCAACGAAGGGGGTCTAATGTCTAGGTAGTGTGAATCAGTGGGCTGGTCAAGCTCGGGGGTCGGGCGAGGACACTCGGAATCGACTCGTGAGCCGACTTGCCAACATACCTTCCCATTTTCCCACTCTCGAGATGATCAAAATACTCTTTTGGTCTGCAGGACCTTTTCCCCAACGTCATGATAGCCTTCTTCTCCCGCATGAGTCCCAAAGATATATGAGAACGAGGCTGGCGGGGGTAGGTGGACATCAGAAGACGGGCCGAGGTCTTGGGAAACAAACACGCACCCGATTCAGACGGACAGATAACAGCTCCCCTTCTGGCCAAGAAGAGAAATACACAAAAAGGTGATGCGCTTGTGGGCGGAGTCGTCGCGTTATCATTGTTTGAGGGTTCAGGGAAAAGGGGGAGAAGGGAGGTTGAGGGTGGAAGCGTCTTCGCAGTTTTCATTCCTAGTTTCTTCTTTTTTTCTTCTTTTTTTTTCCCTCCTCCTCTCATTTGAGCACGGTGTAGAGCGAGCCCTTGGTAGATTCAAGTAGAGGGTACTCGTGTGTGAGATGGCCGCGACCACCATAGGCAATCTTGGGCAACAGGGGGGAGGTTTAGTTATCAGATTCCACAGTATTGCGCTTTATAGATATGTATTTGTAGCCTTCTGTTGGATTCGCTTGTAGACATGGCACTTATAGGTTTTTTTTTCTGCGCCATCTTTTATTGCGATTATGTACTTGTGCGATCCTTTGAGGGACTATCTTGTCTTGGTTCCGGATGGTTAAAGGAAGATATAAACTACAATAGGTACAATACAAAATCACGACACAACCCAAGTACAAATACATGTTGTATTGTATTGCGTAAGTATATACATATATTACCCTCTTGTCTTGGACACGTATGTCTGTATGATTGAGCCGGTCTGGCTTGCCTTTTCGTCTGCACCGGCCACTGTTTCGAAATGCGGCTGTCGCGACGGCCCGACGCTCTTCGGGCGTAGTCAATCGTTGGCGACGTCCCCGGGTCCGGAGGCCGGGTTGTGAGCTCCCGGGTCCGAAATCTTGACGTCACCGGCACCCGCGTCCGACGCTCCCCCCTCTCCCCCCTCAGTGATATGCATTTTTCTGAAAAAGTTCTGGGGGAGCCTAAGGTAACAGCCCATTCACGTCGCATTCTGGCCTTCACCTAAGTGAGCGTGGAGTGTGCGCCGTCCTGACCGGAAGGGACCATGTGCTACCTACGCTACGTATAGTGTGTTACAGGTAAGGTCAGGGCTGCATTTCCATGTAACCGCGTCTCGCTTTTCCTCCTGATACGCGCCCATCGGGTGGGGCAAGCGCGATGTTTCCTTCGGAGGGTGTGTCCACATGTGGAGCCCCCTGAACACACACCAGTTCATGGCCGCTGCGACTTCCTGACTCTCCACGAGGGGGGTAAACTTTAATCGATATTGCTGCGTGATGGTCCAGTCGTGCGAGTAGATGCGCACGCAGTCTGGTCAGCGGCGATTGCAAACGCCAGTTTGGGGCCCTGCAGGTGCCTGACAACTGGATCAACGTGCGTTGACCTGTCCGTCTGATATCGGAGAACTGTACTGGCAAAGCATGCTTTCCATCGCCACGTTGATAATTCAAGGTTGGCTTCTAATGACATTGGACGCCTCGAAGCTTCGCAGGGACTGTCATGAGCACGTACTGCTGATGGTCTTTTGCTGAGCTGGCGCAAGCCCACTTGTGCCTGGCCTATGCTCATCGACGCTGCCTCAGCAACCAACGCAGAGCATCTCGTGTGTGACGATGGCGCTTTCCGGCCTGGGCACTTGATACTTGCACCCGGTAGGTACGTTGTGAGCGGTCCTGCGAAGCCGCGACGTGTGACTCCATCGCCCTCGAGCTAACCTAGATCAAGAAGCACGTCCTCCTGATGTTGTCTTCTATCTTGACGGTTATGAGTGACGAATGGCAAACCCCTCTTGGACTAGGCTGCTATTGCGACGTTGATAGCTGTCACTTTAACGCCGGGGCTTGGGCGTCTCTTGACATGGTGATAATTTGTGAGAGTGGCGAATGCAGGCCAGTCGGTCTAGCCAGTCACGACGGCCGATGACGGCGGGCAAAGACGGATGGCATGTCGGAGCGCATGTTGATACGACAGTACGCGCCGATTCGAGGTGGAGGCCGAGAGGAGTTGGTTTCCGGCACCTACTCCAGGGCCGACGCTGCATGCAGCGAAGCCGTAGCGAAATTTGTGAGCTCTTCCTGAGACCATGCACATCTTTTCCTGAACAGGTATCCTCCTCGTTGCCCATGGCGGAGGCCGCGGCCGATTGTTCCACTCTCGTGCTTCTATGACACCAGCGTCTCGATGGGCCAGAGAAGACACGATAGCATTATGATTAGTGGCTCACTCAGGAGAACGAAGCGGCTATTACTCCGTACGTATTGTTCAATCACTGGCACAGCCTTATAGCAGTGGGTTTAAGCAGGCAGTCTTGGGGCAGGCGGTGTGTCGTGCCTTGCATCCCGTGAGGCTTCGGACGTCCCCATGAAGTCAGAATGCGAAGAAGAGAGCGGAGCCATTTCCCACACCTAATACGGAGTGCGGAGTACATGATAGGAGTTCTCGGTCAACTTCCTTGCTCCGACACCGACCGAACATTTACGGGTCGGCAGTTGCAGTGGGTCCGGAGTGGGGGGTCGAGCGAGAGGGACGTGCGTGTGGCGGCGTACAGGTACATTGTAATAGCAGATAGCTCGCGCCGAGTTGACAACGTGAAGGAAGCAAGCAAGCACCAAGACGCGGCTTGAATGGTTTGCTGCAGGTGGATGAGAACCGCCTGTTGAAATGGCACGGCATTGGAGATGAGAGGATCAGTAATGGAGGCTGCTTTGAGGCCTTCTTTCCGGAAATAATAATAGCTCAATGCTAGCCGTGAAGAGGCTAGGTATGTGGCCCACACGATCGAGTGCCGGCGGCAGTGGCTAAGCCAAGTGGGTGGATCGACAAGCCCGATATAGAGCTAGAGACGAACGGTATTGTGATAGTACTGCGAGGGCATGCGATAGTCCGTTAGTGGTCAGTAGGCAGTCCTGGTGGTATGGGACAAGCATGTATCGTATAGCACAGGGCAGGAAGCAATGTTAGCTAGGTATTTTGAGGGTGGATCAAGCGAGTAGAATCCCACATAAGCCTCAAAGGACAACAGCCGTGGATTTTACGATTCCTAGGGCACTTTCCTGAGAAACCGACGCACAAACACCAATGACCGGCAGGGATGACGCTCGGCCGCCGATGTCCAAGGTGCAGAAGGTATCCGACCCCGGCCTCCCCCCCTCTCTCTCCTGCGTCGAAAAAGGTCGTGTCAAAAGGGGCAAGGCCTTGGATATTGGGGCCGATGACGGCAGGAACTCTTCCTATTGGGTAACGTGGGCTTCGGTCAGGTCGATCAAGCGAGCAGGGCGTCTCGCGGCTGTGGATGCTAGGATTCGTTACAGTGGGTTTGGTTTGGTTTGCTTGGTGATGTCGCTCGATTGATGACACGTTGGGATTTGATGAGGATTTGTAACAAGTCGCCGGTGGGCTGTCGTGTCCATGTCTTCGTCGTCGTCGTCGCCGTCGCCGTCGCCGTCGTTGATGTGTTGTCGTTGTCAAGATGGCGGCTCTGGGGGCATCCCCATCAGGGCGGAGTTGACCACTAAGATGCACCGGGAGTGGCGCATATGCACGGCGGCAGCGTCGCTTGGCTAGCGCCTGCATTTAGTGGCCGAGCCTAGCGAATAGTAAACAGGTTATTGAGTAATTACTAGGTACCTAAGGCGGGAAGGCTCAGGATGCCTGCCTGCCTGCCTGCTTCTGTTTCCCTTATCCGTACCTGGGTCCCTTAGGGGTAGATACCCCCCACCTACGGGTACGTGTACGGATACAGTACCTAATGATGCGTACAGTAGCTATCCGTATCTGCACACTGCGCTCTGTAGTACCTATCCATCGAGTGCGGGTCACATACTACGTATCATGCTTGCCATGCAGCTTCAAGGTGAAGGGGGGGCTTGAGGCTCTCCGGATGCAACTCGACGATACACCCCGATTCCCGCACCTCCTTCTTTGCCCTCCCCCCCTGCCCCCTGCTTAACCATTTTAACTCCGCCCTTCGGGAAGAAAGACCTCCACAACCCGCCGTCGGCACACGCAGTAGTTCACTGCCGCTGCTACCTATGTAGGTGACAAGCATGCAAATACACGCTTCTACCGTACTAATTGAATGGTAACAGCAGAGTAGTATCGACCACACAGACACAAGACGACGACGACGACGACGACGACGACGACGACGACGACGACTACGCACTGACTACTTCCGGCACACGAGTCAACCACGGCCCATCCCGGCCTGCGGCTGACACACCCCTGATTGATACAAGAGAAGAATGGGAAAAGGGGAAAGGGAAGGGGAGAAAGGACGAGACACACACACACACACACACACAGAGAGAGAGAGGGAGAAGGGGAGAAGCAAGGAACAGCTTTCGAAGCGCCACCTCCTCTATCGTGCAGCACACATCAAAACGTCAAACATCCAACATCTCGTATATCGTAGATCGATGGCCACACCCACACACACGTCGTATGCAACAGCATCACATACCAGGACCCTCGCAGCTTTGACCAAGGCAGGTGCGCCTACTTACACACACTAGTGTACGGACGTAATGCAGGGGCATCCTGCCGTACCTAGTGTATCTGGCGTCTACGAATCTACTACGGAGTAAGATACTCTTCCCTCCCACTTCGTCTCCATACAAGTTCCATAGCAAAAAGATTGCCCACAACTGACCCCTCTTAGTTAGCCTTGGCCAAACGCATGGTTTGTGTGCAGTGAGTGGTCCTTTGCTGTGCGCGGTACGTAACCCATGACATCCCAACCGGTACCACCTCGCGCACGCTGTCGGGAACTGCATACGCAAGCAATCATGGTCCGAAAGCCCTTTCCGCCAATGTAACCTCCTCAGCCAACAAGCCCTTCTTCGAATCAAGCATGCTTTGTACGACAATCGCTCAATTGCTTCCAGAGCCTAATCGCCACGGCCCATTTGTTCCTGTCGATCCGCTTCGGAGCTCCCAAAGACCATTCCTGAAGCCTGCGCCGACAGCAACACGCCGAGGAGCGAAAGACGCGCGTTCGGAACTCGCCAACATTAAACCATTTCCACATCACCATTGGATGCCCGACATTATGTTGCGCTCCTCCGAGTCATATCACCAGTCGCCAGGCTTGCGGGATGATACGGGTCGAATTTTTTCACCCTCTGGTTTCTTGGCGTTAGACGATGCTGCAACCTTGTGGTATGTGCACGTCCAGATTTGGCCGACGACCTCTTCTCGCTTGACTGCTCTGTCCCCTCCGGCCCCCCAACTTTTTCCGCACACACAATCTAACCCCCTTTTGTCCCGTTTGACGCGCCCGCTCCCATCGTGGACGGAGTTTTCCTGATCTGACGCCTCCCGCCTCTTGACGCCGCTGCGTTGGGTGTAGCACGATGGCCCATGGGAAGGGGGGGTTCTCGGACTTACATGGCGGACAGGGGAACCCTTGCCATCGGAGGAACGCCACTATTTACGGAGTAGGTACATACATACGGATACGGATACTGAGTAGTATATGCCTCGAATGCCAAGACTTATATTTTTCGCACGCTTCGACCTCCTCACCGTCAACGTCTCCTTTCGGCCTGCTGCCTGACCAACGCCGACCGTTCTCCCGCACCATGCTTGGCTTTCGACTTTTTCTCATTGGCCGTTAGAGGTGGGCTCTCTTATCCGCATCGGGTTACGACAAGTCATCAAGGGTTCACAGATCGGTGCCCATTGGAACAATTGGGTACTAGTAAATCTGGACACAAGGTCGCAATGCCGTCTCTTCGGGCTTAGCCTCCTTCAGGGACCACAGATATCCAAGAGGTCAACATTGTTCCATATCTCGCTCTTGCTGCATTCGAAAGGTCCTACCTCGCAGAAGAGACGTCAACGGTCGCTGTTCGGCTTGACAGCGCCTGTGGGAGCTAATGCACACGCACACGCACGTCTCGATAGTGGCTGATGCCTAGACGGCGGGCTAAACACGAAAGCTGCTCCTTCGTGGGCCTAGTACGATCCTACCAAACGCACATGCTAGCTTCCGCGGCGCCTGCGCGCAGGCCTATCAAAATAAAATTTCGCGCGAGCGGAAACACCGTTTTCATCACACTGTATGTCTCGTTGTTCCGCCACTATAGTCCAAATCTCAAAAGTGTGTGCTCCTATATTGGCTCTATATAACACTAAAGAGTGTTAAACACAAGATTAACAAGCTAAAATAAACATACAGGAGTCTAATCGGACAGTACCATGGCCCATGGGTTACCTTGAGCTTTCCCTTGCCCTCTTCAAGGGCCGATATCAGACAAGGAAGGGTGAAGAAAAGGGGACGGGGCTTTCGTGGTGCAGTCCAAGACTCCATCCGCCTTCGGCACCCCCCCCCCCCCCCCCCCCCACCTGCACATCATCCAGTCCAAGACATCCATATCGACTTGACCCTAGGGTCTGTGTAAGTGACCCGCCTGGACATGGGCAACGCATTCCCATGTCGGTTCGAGGATGAAAATTGGAGGATTCATGTACCCTCTGACTGACAGGACTCACTCTCCTTTCCAATCACCGAGCCCACATGGCTATACTTCACCAGTACAAGGCGATATTTGCCGTCTAGCCATGGTTCAACTTGCCAAGGCAGGTTCCTCCACCGCGGCCGAGCATACAACAACCCGACAATCTTTCCATGTGGGACTGGCCTCTCGGGTCAGGGGTGAGCTAACCCTCGGAGGGCAGCATCGAGAGAACGCTGCGAACCTGTGCCGGGGGCCCAGCTTCCGTGATGACGAACGTCGAAGAGCGGAACACCCTGTTTAGGTCACCCTATGATGCTCGAAAGCTCGTGTTCGAATCCTATAAAGCCAAAGGAATCTGCCCTCCATCATGGAAAGTTTCCCAGACACCATCGCTCGCTTCTCACAGCATCGTCCTCCTTCCTTTTCCGCCCTCCTTCGTTTATAGGGCTTCTGCAGCATCGTTCGTTAATCAGACTGACACCGTCGTCCTCACATTCGTTCCAAGTCCTTCCACATACAGCTGCCCGGCATGTATAAACACTCGCTTTTGGGATGCTTCGCGCTCCTGTCCTCCGCCTTTGTCTCTGGCGCCCCTTACTCCCCCACCAGCCCGGTCGAGAAGCGTCAGGACTGCGTCTTTGACTCGGCCCTGAACCCTTCTTGCTGGGATGGCACTTACGATCTCTCTACTAACTGGTACGAGGAGGCCCCCCACACCGGGGTCGTCCGCGAGTACTGGTTCGAAGTCACCAACACAACCTTGGCTCCCGATGGAGTCGAGCGCATGGTCCTGTCCATCAACGGCACCGTTCCTGGACCTACCATCGTCGCCGACTGGGGTGATACTGTCGGTGAGTAGCCGGTCTCTCTTTGCAATCGCGCCGTACAAGTTACTGACAGCTTCGCCAGTCGTCCACGTGAAGAATGCCATGCAGAACAACGGCACCAGTATTCACTTCCACGGCATCCGTCAGAACTACACCAACGAGGCCGATGGAGTTGCCTCCATCACCCAGTGCCCTACCGCTCCGGGAGACTCCATCACTTACACCTGGCATGCGTCTCAGTATGGTTCCTCGTGGTACCACAGCCACTTTGCCCTCCAGGCCTGGTTCGTTCAAACCCCCACGATGCAGAAACGTCCCTCAGCTAACAGAATCTTAGGAACGGTGTCTTTGGAGGAATCATGATCCGCGGTCCCGCCTCCGCCCCCTACGACGAGGACCTCGGCACCATCCTCCTCAACGATTGGTTCCACCAGACCACCGACGAGCTCTACGGGGTCGCCTCCAGCGGCGGCCCGCCCACCCCGCAAACGGGCTTGATCAACGGCTTCGGCATGTACAAAGGCCTCGGATCGCGATTCACAACGGCCTTTGAGAGCGGCAAGTCTTACCGCATGCGCCTCGTCAACGCCGCCATCGACACGCACTGGAAGTTCATGATCGACAACCACACACTCGAGGTCATCGCGGCCGACTTCGTGCCCCTGAACCCCTTCAACACCTCTGAAGTCTCCATCGGCATCGGCCAGCGCTACGACGTCATTGTCCGTGCTACCCAGAACTCGGGTGACTACTGGCTCCGCGCCATCCCCCAGCTCTCTTGCAGCGCCAATGAGAACACGCTCGACATCAAGGGCATCGTGCGCTACGACAACACCTCGACGGCCGACCCCCTCGGCGATGTGCCGACGTACATGGACGACTGCAAGGACATGCCCATGTCCCAGCTGGTCCCCGTCGTTCCCCTCGAGGCCGGACAACAAGCGTACCAGGACACTCTCACTCTCGGTCTCCAGGTCGTCAGCAGCCAGTTCAAGTGGACCCTCAACAACAACACCTTCCTCTCTGACTGGGGCTACCCGACCGTCGAGCAGATTTTCGACGGCAACCAGAATTACACGGCGGAGCAGCACATTGTCCACCTCGACGAGGCCAACTCCTGGGTTCACTTCATCATCCAGAACCCCCTCGGACTCGCTCACCCCATCCATCTCCACGGCCACGACTTCTGGGTCCTCGCCCAGGGCACCGGCACCTACGACGCCTCCGTCCCTCTGCAGACTGTCGACGCGCCCCGTCGCGACGTTGCCATGCTGCCCTCTTCCGGGTACCTTGTCATTGGGTTCTACACCGACAACCCTGGTGCCTGGCTGATGCACTGCCACATCGGCTGGCACACTTCCCAGGGCTTCGCGCTCCAGCTCATTGAGCGCCCGAACGAGATCGCTGCCATCACCAACACCGACAAGGTGACCGATACCTGCACGAAGTGGAATGCCTACGTCTTGGCGAATTCAGTTCACCAGGAAGACTCTGGTGTCTAAACAGACAACTTCCACACACACACACACACACACACTCACTCGCTCTCTCTCTGTCTCTCTCTACCACACGTACACACACAAACGTACATACACACAAGCACATGTACACACCACAACGGCCTTCGAATCTGTAGATACGAAGGACGATCACGTAATGAATGTCTCCTATATCTTCCTAATACTTGCTGCTTGCGACGGGGTTCACGACGGAAGCACAGCACACGCTACAGGTGGAAAAGTCTTTTCTTTTCCCGTATTCATTGTAAATAGTAATTATAACGTCAAGGTTGTAACTCGAACATGCCCCGAATCCGGTCTAGTGATGTTCAATGCGCGCGCCATGCAGGTTCTTTTAAACATCAAACCTTGGTAGCTGAACTGCTCGGACCCAAATTCTCTGTTTTCTTGGGTCCAAAGCCTGGTCTTTCATTTCGACAATCAACTACCGAAGCCACAGATGTGGTCCGCCCGCCAGAATGTGGGAGGGATCAGGGTACATATATATAGTACGTACCCTGGCGGAAAAGGTGGGGGAGGGGTTGGACCCCCAAAAGAGAAGGAAGGGGGGATATATCTGGTTGGTTAAGAAATTGTCCGAACGCAAATGCCGCCGATGCCGTTTAACCACATGCCCTGTGCGCTGTCAACACGGAAGTCCGTCCCGTTGAGCGTCTTTACCGAGCAGGTTACGGTCGCCAAATGAGATGAGCGAGGGACCTCATCATTGTTGGCTTGGTGACTGCGCCCCTCCACCTCCCCAAACTCAACCCCGGATTTCGACGCTCCCCCTCTGCATGGCCTGTCTATCTGGGCTGCTGCCCAAGAAGAAACGGAAGAGTTGCCAAGCTCGAGGAGCGCCTGCCAAGCCATCAGCACTTACATTTCTGTGACTTTACCCTCCGACGCGAGAAAACGAGGTGCTGCGGTCTCTCGTTGGAATGGTTTCTTGGCTAGGTGGGCGAGGGCGAAAAGGGCTGCAGAATGGCGGGCTGCGCTGCATCCCTCCACCGCCAAGGATAACAAGCTTTGCCGCGCCCGATGATGGAGGGGTTCGGGGCGGACGCGATCGACCAGCATCGGCTCCCCGCCAACGGCATTACGTAGACGAGGTTGAGTCCTAACGGGTCGGCTCCAAGGAGCGGCTGTCAATTAACCACGCCTTTCAGAGATGTGAATGGCGAGAGGCCATATTACCCCGTGGGGGAGGGTCGGCGATTACCCCTACTGGGACGGAACGGCCTATGACATGGCGCCCTCGTCTTGAGTCTTTACCCTCCTCCTTGGTCGAGGCCGAGAGGGGGGGTCTGCAGCCGCCGCTGATCGTTGCGGTCATGACGCACGAATACCGCGTCGAGCTGGAACGGCGCTTCAAGCGCAACATCTACCCCAGGCTGCTCCCGACCATCGTCTTCATTCATGTACATCCTGTTTAATTTTGCCGCCCACGTTTTTATTTTTATTTTTTTGGCCCCTGACCCCGTCCCGATGGATGGAAACAGGAACTGCATTGACCGGAACAACATCGCGATCGCGCGCCTGGCCGGCCTCGAGCGCGATCTCAAGCTGGACCCGGACTCGGGCCAGTTCCAGACGGCGGTGAGCATCTTGTTCTTCGGCTACCTGCTCATGCAGGTGCCCTCGAACCTGTTCCTCAACATGATCGGGAAGCCCGCGCTGTACCTGCCCACCTGTGTAAGTCAAAGCACAGCGAAGCAAGAAAGAAAAAAAAGCCCCTCCGTCGCGCCTTGGTAAAGGGGGGGGGCTGTATAGGAAACAAAAACCGGCTGACGTTCACGACACCGTAATCTGGGAGGAGGCCGGGTACTGGAGACGGAGGGCTCTCTGCCAACAGACCCGATTGTGCTTCTGCTACAGCAGGGGGCAACTTGTGATGCGGAAGCGCTGGAACTTAAGCAAGTGACTCCTGGGCTTATCGGCGAAGGAGCCTCTCGAGTCAGGCCTCCTGGACAACAGGACAAGAATCGTTCAGGTAACCTTTTGTAGATCAGCTGTTCCTGTCTACCGTGGCAGAAGATGTGTCTCAATGACATGTCCCCGAAATTTACTTCAGACATACGCACAGCCCGGCGATGGTTGGTTGTGCAGCACCTGAGAACGAACGACGCGATCTGGATGGGGGAGACAGTTGCCCAATGCCGGCGCTCTGCAAGCTTTTCCCATCTAGTCCCATGTTTTCTCCTTTATTCCTCCTCTATTCTCATCCTTCCATCACCTAATATTCCCATCATCCAATATTCCAACCGGCCTTCTTTTGGATGAAGGGTTCTTTCCTGTTACCGGTATACATCATGCGAGTTCCTCGGTCGTGGCCTCTTCCCCCTTTGGCGAGACATCCGATATCCACCACTATGATCCGTCACGTATCCACGAGGGAAGATGGAAAGAACAGAACATGTGACTTGGGGAAGAGAGGACGATACTGGGATGCAGAGAAGAAGTAGATTGCTAGACTTGGCAATCTATTCATCTAAGTTCGACGGATTCGATATCTGTCATCCGTAGTAGGATCAAGAAAGCACCCAACCATGACCTGCGGCTCCTTGTTGTATCCGAACACCGCCAGCCCCTTGTCTGCTTTGTTCCATTTGTATCTGATTGCCCCCGGCGGATGTCCCTCTTGCTGACGGTTCCAAGGAGTCGCCGTATGGACTGTGAATGCCAAACTTTCCCACATTGGATCCGAGGGAGAGCGGCATGTTCCGAATTGCCTCCAAGTCTTCATCTCGACGACCCATCTCTTGCGTTCGCCATGCCACTTGGTCGTGATTTCGGCGTCCGTCGGGCATAGTGGGCACGACAGGGTTGTATTGCGCTGCATATCGGCGATGAATGCGGGCAGGGTGATGGAGTTGCAGCGTCCGTCATGGAGCTCCAGCTCGGCATCAAGATCCACGTTTGACTGGGAGGTAGAAGAAGAAAGATCCCACGCGACCCGGTGTTTGTATATACGTCCTCTTTCGTTGTCGTAAAGCCATTGTTCAAGTTTGAGCATATCACCTTCCGGATGGTATACTGTCTCGTGTATGTGTAGGAAAAGCTCGTTGTCGATGATGCGTGCTCGCCAAGTGTACCTGCAGTCTACAGTTACACTTCCTCCATAGAATCGGCTTCCATCCTTGTCAAGTATTCCCACAGGAAAGCCGTGGGCGTTCCCATATAGATGACGGTTCATGATTAACCGGGCATGGTGGTACGTCATCTCTCCATGACGTGAAGGTGGGTGAAAGCCTATTAGCTTACATGAAAGACCGCTTCTGACGCCAGAAAGCACCAAGCATCTTCTTATTCGCCACCATGGGTGGAGGATAGCACACTCGTGGCAATACAGAAGCTTCGGGACATCTCTTTCAAGCAGTGTGAGAAGTGCATCTTTTGAGCGGGCGTTGATAATTGGCGACTCGGGGAAATAAGAACAGTGGAGCGACCGACAAGTGAGGGCGAGTGACAGGACCGCTTCAGGTGATAGGTAGTCGATGACCATGAGCATAATCTCTGGCGGCAGCCTGAGGGTCGACCTCTGCCAGGGGACAAGCCTTGCAGCACGCCTCCAGAGCGAGATCAAATGTCGCTTAGCTGTGATTTCGCACATAGGATCGCGGAAGTGTGATTGCCGTGTAATGCAGAGAAGAAGAAGAAGAAGAAGCTCGATATCGTGAGGACAGGTGGTAAATGGTGTGCTGATACGTCGGTAGTGACCTATATAGTCATTAGGGATACCTGGATAGGTAACATGGCCGGTGAAGTAGGTACCTGGCTAGCTCCGTAGTGTGGCAGATACTCCAAGGACAGCCAAACTGCCCTATGGGCGTTGAACCATCTTCACGTGACACACCTCCACCTATCTCCCATTTCACCTCAGAACTGACTATTACAGCCCCGGTCGTCTCCCTCCTCCTGACGTGCCCGCCGTACGTCCTCTGTGTGATCACGACGTGCCTCAACGCGTGGCACGCCGACCGGAAGGGGGAGCGGTACCTGCACATCGTGCCGCCGCTCTGCGTAGCCATGGCGGCCTTCATCCTCAGGGCGGCGGCGCTAGCCTTCGTTAACGCCGTCAGCAACTGCAGCAGCATCCACGCGAGCTACCTATACCCGGCGCGCGACGGGCCGCAGTACAAGGCGGCGTTAGTGCACAACTGCGTCGCGTGCTTCGTGGCCGTCTGCGCGGTCATGGCGCTAAGGGTTCGTGCTGGCCGGGCTGAAACGGAGGCTGGACCGGGGCGAGTTCGTCAAAGGGGCCATCAACGCCGCGCCGGGGGCGGCGGCGGCGGCGCACGGGTTCCGGTTCAAGGCGTGACAAGGAGGCGGGGAGGAGGGGGGCAAAAGCCCGAACAGCTAGCTGCATTGTGTTCTCATGTTGTGTCTCACGGGGTTTTAGGGATGACGTCGTCTCAAGTTGACGTCCATGGATGTAGTCGGTCGCTCAGGCGATCCCTCGCAAGATGGAACGAATCAGGTAATACGGCAATGCAAAAACACAGATTGCATGAGCAGGCGGCATGAACATGAACAAACCCGCCAGAACAAAAGACGACAAGCGTGGCACCAGGCCAAAAACAGAAAGAGGAGGCATGAAACGCGCCTCATCGGACGTACAACTCTGGTCTAGCAGGGTCATCGCCAAGCCTTTCCCGCGGCCCGCATCCATGTTGCCTCTGGGGAAAAGCCTCTATTTTGACTCCCTTCTGGAAAGACAGAGGAAGGGGGGCAGCACGTGGACGCTGCAGGACTGGGCCGGGGTCCAAGCACACGAGGCTGTTTAGACTTCATCCAACTCGGGGTTTTTGTTTGCTTTTTCTGCTTTTTCTGGTTCCCTTTTAGGATCCGGAATACGTGGGCGAGCAGCTTTCCAATTAAAGAAGTCCGGGACGGGCGGGATGAGCCGTCGGTTTGGCGCATGCTTCTTTTTTCTTCTTCTTTTCCCTTTCTTGGAAGGTTGGTGGCCGAGTAGCCAAAGTCACTTACTTGACCGGCATTTCTGGACATGATAAAGACGAATCAAGACATGAGACGATGGACCAAGTCAGTGAGTGTGAGAGGGGCTGGTTCATGGGAGGAATCACAACTCCTAGAACCTTTTCCTTCCTGCCTTTGCATATGTGGCCGTGGTCGTAGCCGTCATCTTTTTTTTATATCAAATCCTCGAACCTGCATGTTTGGAGGTGTAGTGTTGGAGGCCGGGAACAGAGTGAAACAAGTCCCGGGTTTCGGGCGCTTTACCCGCAGCCAGCCGCCCGGTTGTAGGCCGGGTGGGCCTAAAAGCACGTGGAACAGCGCTGAAGAATTGTTTCGGTCCGCTGCAAGAGTCTGTCTTGGGGGCTTGTGAGGCTGCATTTGCTGGTGCAGAGCACACACACGCATCTATCGACCTGCCTCTCCCGGTAACGCGTGGCGAGCAAACCTAGGCAAGAAATTACGTACAGACGCTTTCATGGTTTATATTCTTCCTAGCCTTATCCGATGCTCCCTTGCTGGTCTCCCCCGCCCCCGACTGTCGGCATCCCACCACCCGCGGTGCCTCGTCGGTTATAAACTCCGGAGGCTAGGGAATAGGTTATCGGCAGTTCGCCTCCGAGCTCGCTGCGGCTTCGCCGCCCGTTGAACGACGCCCACCTGCTTGCTCTTCCTTTTATCTTAAAGAACCCGGCGAATCCCCGCAGATTTGACATTCGACTCGTCCGTTTCTCGAGTTGCGACCCGTTCGTCTAATCAACCTTGCTTGCTCTCTGCTAAGGGTACTAATACAAGTCCCTCCCCCTCCCTCCCCCCGCTCCCCCATCTCCTTGTCGTCATCATCTTGGTCAACAACCCCGCACCAGGACGAGATTCATCATGCCCCTCACTACAGAGTCCCTCCACTCGGCCCAGGCGGGCGACTTCGCGAGGTACGCGAGCCGCCGGAGCGTCGTTCACAGCACCAAGGGAATCGTTTCCTGCTCACAGCCCTTGGCCGCGAAATGCGGTATCGAAGTGCTTCGCGCCGGTGGCAATGCCGCTGTAAGTCAACCCTATCTCGTGTCGATGCATCATCCGCAGTAGCTGATTGGGGGTTCCGGATAGGACGCCGCCGTCGCAGTCGGTTAGTTCACTCCTCCCGGGGGCTGAGCACAGGTAGTGGTAGTAGCAGTAGTAGCAGTGGGAGGTATGCACGGTATGCTATGGCTAACACGTCCGGAATCGCCTAGCCGCCGGCCTGAACATAACGGAGCCCTGCTCGACCGGCATCGGCGGCGACATGTTCATTCTTTTCTACGACGCCGCCACCGGCAAGGTCTCGGCTATGAACGGCTCCGGCCGCTCCGCCAAGAGGGCCACCCTCGAGGCCGTCCGCAAGGACCTCGGCATCGCCGACGGCGCCTCGGGCAAAATCCCCATGAAGAGCGTTCACGCCGTCACCGTCCCCGGCGCCGCCGCCGGCTGGATCGACACCATCGAGCGCTTCGGCAGCGGCAAGGTCTCCGTCGAGCAGGTCCTCGCCCCGGCCATCGAGCTCGGCGAGAAGGGCTTCCCTGTCTCCGAGCTGACGAGCCACTCCGTACGTCTCATCCCCCTTCCCCCCTTTTCCGTCGCTCTTCCGTCCCAGCGCGGAAGAGCAAGCGGGAGTCAAGAAATGCTGACGGCGAAAGCAGTGGAACTCGGCCGAGAGACAGATCCGAGAGGCGTCGCCCAACTTCTCGGAGATGCTCAAGAAGGACCCCAAGGCGGCGGACGGCGTCAGGGCGCCCAACCCCGGCGAGATCATGAAGAACCCCACCCTGGCGCAGACCTTCCGCGCCCTCGCCAAGGACGGCAAGAAGGGCTTCTACACGGGCCGCGTCGCCGAGGAGCTCGTCAAGGTCGTCAAGGACCTGGGCGGCCGCCTCGAGCTCGACGACCTGGCGTACCACCTCGAGAAGGGCAGCGAGCCCGTCGACCCCATCTCGCTCAAGTTCAAGCCCACCCTCAAGAGCCAGGCCAACGGCCACGGCGCCGAGACCAACGGTGACGACGGCGCCGTCGAGGTCTGGGAACATCCCCCCAACGGCCAGGGCATCGTCGCGCTCATGGCCCTCGGCATCATCCAGGAGCTCCAGGCGTCGGGCGTCGTCTCCGCCTGGTCTCCGGAGGACCACAACACAGCGCCCTACCTCCACGCCATCATCGAGGCCCTCCGCCTCGGCTTCACCGACGCGAGCTGGTACGTCACGGACCCCAACGTCGTCCCCGTGCCGTCGGCCGCCCTCATCTCGCGCGAGTACTCAGCCGCCCGCGCCAAGCTCTTCGACCCGAACCGGGCCACGCAGACGCTGCACGTCGGCGAGCCGCCCAAGCACGCCTCGCCGGCGCTCCGGAGCAGCGACACCGTCTACTTCACCGTCTCGGACGAGCACGGCAACGCGGCGTCCTTCATCAACAGCAACTACGGCGGGTTCGGCACCTGCATCATCCCCCGCGGCTGCGGCTTCACGCTGCAGAACCGCGGCGCCAACTTCAGCCTCGACGCCGACCACCCCAACCGGCTGGAGCCCGGGAAGCGGCCCTACCACACCATCATCCCGGCCATGGCGACGAACCCGTCCGACGGCTCGCTGCACAGCGCCTTCGGCGTCATGGGCGGCTTCATGCAGCCCCAGGGCCACGTCCAGGTGCTCCTCGGCCAGCTGGTCGCCGGCCTCACGCCGCAGCAGGCGCTCGACGCGCCGCGCGTGTGCGTCGTCGCCGGCCTGCCCGACAGGGACGCCGACTTCGACTGGACCGTCAGCGTCGAGGAGGGCATGCCCGAGGAGACGGTGGAGGGCCTGCGCAGCCTGGGTCACAAGGTCGAGGTCGTCACGGGGTCTGAGAGGTCCGTCTTCGGCCGCGGCCAGATCATCAGGTATAGCGTCGACCCGGTCGAGGGGACCGGCGTGTGGTCGGCGGGGAGCGACCCGCGCGGCGACGGCGCCGCGTACCCGGCGCTGTAGTGGTGCAGGTAGGTCACTGATTAGTTGGTTGGTTGGTTGGTCTGGGGGGTTTTCCTAGTAATACGGTTTATTCAAAGCGAATGCCATGTACAAGAAACCGGAAGTACCACCAACCGCCGGGCTCGACTCCCATTTGTGACGGTAGCAAGTTTGAGCAGGAAACCCTCTCCAAGAACTAGTGCCGTACATATCTTTGGCTGCTTGGCTCTGGTGTCCGGAATCCAAAATGCCCCTAAACACCTGATGGACGTATTTTTTTGGGGGGGGGAGACGTAGCGCTGCGTCGTGACGGCTTCATCAGTAGTAGCAGCTCCAACGATCCGGACGGTTCATCCCAACGATGGACGGGGGCCGTCAAGTTTTTGACATGATTCGAAATTGTGGGTTTCGCCAATGAAGTTTACTCCATTGGCCGCGGCGGGCACGTTCCTCGCGTGGCCGTCACCCGTTCGATATGATACAGTTGTATAGAAACAAACGCCTTCTAGCGCATCGCACACAGCAAGCCTCTATCCTCCCTGTACTACTCACTCCTTCTTCTCGGCCTCGGCCTCGGCCTCAGCGAGGACCTTCTTCTCCTCGAGCAGCTTCGCCAGCTCGCCGTTCTGGTGCATGGACACGAGGATGTCGCAGCCGCCGACGAACTCCTTGTCGACGTAGAGCTGGGGAATGGTGGGCCAGTCGGAGAACTCCTTGATACCTGTTACCCTTGTCAGCTTTTTCTTTTCTTCTTCAACCCCCGTGCCACACTCTTGCACCGAATCATCCACGGTCAAAGGGTGGGCCGCGGGCAGCGTTACCTTGACGCAGCTCGGGATCGGCCAGGACGTTGAAGGCGGCGAACTTGGAGGGGTCGACGCCCTGCAGGCCGAGGATCTGGATCGTGGCGCGGGAGAAGCCGCACTGGGGTGTCTCGGGGGTGCCCTTCATGAAGAGGACGACGGGGGCGGAGCCGACGGCGCTCTCGATCGCCTTGCGCGTCTCGTCGGAGAGGAGGCGGTGCTGGGTCAGGAAGGGGAGGGGGGCCCGGAAGGCGATCGGGCGGGCGGCCGGGCGGACGGCCTGCCGTGCGAAGTTCTGTGCGCTCCGGGGTTAGCGATTGCCCGCTCGAGAAAGGGGAGAAAGGGGGCGGGTTCGGGGGGATTCTAGGCATACTGAGCGGAGGAATGTCCTTGAGAACATTTTGGGCTGTGTGTTGTGGTGCGTCCAAAGGGGGGGGCGGGCTTGGTCAACGTAGAGAGGGCAGTTGATGATGAATACGAAATTGTTCGGATGGCAGACTGGGTGATGTAATGAGGTGAGCTCGGTGAGGAAGCTTGGACCATGTTGTTACCGACCTCACCGGCACCTCCAGCTCCAAGTGGGTACCCCCTCGGCGCCAATCACTGCACAGTATATGTCATCTCTCTTGCACTTTGACATGTTGGAGGTGACGCCGACGGCTTGACCAGGTTGTTACCAAGGAGCAGTTGTAGGGACATGTTTGAACCGACTTCCAAGTGAATGAAAACATGAATAAAAATCTTATGGTTGAGCGAAGCGGAGAACTGGGTAGCTTCTACGCAAGGCTTCCGGGCCTGCACTCCTCCCCGGCCGCTTTCGCTGGGCCTCCGTATTGTTTATGTTTAGGCATTAAAAGCCAGGAGCTTGACTCAAAATCAGATCAAGTCCCTACCTTGTTTACAGCTCATTACTGTAAAAAGCAGGAAATCAGATACATACGTATCGCGCAATCTAGACTTATCCGAGCCCTCAACGCCCGTCATCCCTAAGCCCAACTCTCATCTGCCCCTTGCCGCCCCTGTTCGCCCTGAAATAGAACGGCACAAACACGAGCTCCCTCCTGATGCCTCCCTCGCCCCTCTCCAGGGCCTCCGGCGACCTCTCCCACCCGACCGTCTTCAGCGCGAAATACCCCTCCCCGCTTCCCGGGTCGACCCGCCACTCCTCCTCGACCTCGCCTCCTCTCTTGAGCGCCATGTCCTTGAAGTGGTTCCTCTCCCAGGGGTGGTCGGCGTCCTCGACGCAGTACACGACCGGGCCCCGCGCGAGGCTCAGCGTGCGCTGGTTCGTGTACGGGTGAGGCGCGACGTACCGCGGCGCGAAGCCGTCGACGTCGAGCGTGAAGGCGGCGTTGGCGGCCGTGTACGCCGGGCTCAGGTGGAGATACCCCCTCTCCAGCGCGGACGTCCCGGGAGGCGGCGCGGGCGTGAGGGTGAACCCGCCATTGGCCCAGGCCGGGATGCGGAGCCGGATCTTGGTCTCGAGGCCTTGGGCGCCCCCGAGCCGGAACGAGACGCGGCCCTCCCACGGCCAGTTCGACTCCTGCGAAAGCGTCACCTCGGCCTCCCCCGCGGGGAACCTGACCTCGGCGCTCGTGTACAGGTGGACGTTCACCGACGCCGTCCCCTCCCCGCCCCCGTAGTCCCACAGGTACCCGCCCAGGCTCCCAAACAGCCGGGTCACGTTCGGCGGGCAGCACGCGCACCAGAACCAGTCCTCCCTCTCGCTCGGCGCAGCCGCGCAGCTAGCGAGTTGGTTCTCGTACGTGAAGGCTTTGCCGTCGAGGCTCATGGCCGTCATGACGTTGTTGTACAGACACAGCTCCATGACGTCGGCGTACCGCCCGTCCAGCGTCGGGTCCGCGTGCAGCAGCCGCTCGGCGAGCATCATGACGCCCACCGAGGCGCACGTCTCGGCGTAGCCGCCGCCCTCGTCGGGGCCCTGCGGGAGGAAGTAGTCGATGCCGAACCCCTCCCACTGCGCCACGGCGCCCACGCCACCGGTGAGGTACATCTTCTTGTCGACCATGTTGGACCAGAGACGGCGCAGGGCGGCGAGCCAGTCGGCGGCAGCGGCCAGGGGTCGGAGCTCCGCCGACGGCGCGCTCGTCTGGGAGAGGTTGAGCAGGTCGGCGGCGGCGATGAGGAGGTACATGGCGCGGACGGCGTGTCCTTCCACGGCGGGCTGCTGGAGGATGGGCGCGTGGGCCTGGCAGTACCAGTAGGACCTGTCCATCGGCCAGGAGTTGGGCCGTTTCCACCGCGGCTCGTCGCGCTGTTCCGCCTCCCAGTCGTAGAAGTGCTTGCCGTCCTGGCCCGCGGGGCTCCCGCGCTCTTCGAGGAAGAAGCGGGCGAGATCGTATGCGTCCCGGAGGCCCGTCACCGAGTAGAACCTCAGGAGGGCGAGCTCGATCTCGGGGTGTCCCGGGTACGCCCGCAGCTGGCCGTCTCCCGGGCCAAAGCGTCGGCGGATGTGGGCGATGTACTTCTCGATCGGCTCCATCAGGCGGTCGTTTCTGTAGTATTGCGAGTGCGCGAGGGCCGCTTCGATGAGGTGCCCGGCATTATACCTGTAAAGACATGAGCTACGCACTGCTCCGCGCCTATCAGATTCGGGTCGGGACCAACATCTCATGCATGTCACGGATATTAGTCCATCGCTTCCCCGGCTCGACGACAGAGAAGTGGACGTTGAGATAGCCATCGTCGTGCTGCGCGCCCCGGATCATCTCAACCAGCTCACGCACGGCAGCATCGACTTCCACGTCGTACTCGTCGGCCAGAAAGTAGCAGGCGCCCTCGATCCACTTGGCGACGTCGCTGTCCCAGAACAGATGCAGGGGCGCGGGCCAGCGCGACTTGTCGTCGTAGATGGGGTGCCATACGAGCTTGAAGCAGTCGTACTGGCCGTTGGCGCGGAGCTGGTCGAGCTGGGCATGGACGGTGGTGCGGGAAATGATACGGCGGCGGGAGAGGAGGAGAGACGGGGCCGTGAAGGTTGTTTGGCGGAATACGATCTGGGGGTTGGACATTTTTTTTTTCTCTCTCTCCTTTTTATTTTTATTTTTCATTCCAAGCAGATGGTATCACTGATATTTGATGATGGCGAGGTGGACAGCAACAGGCATGTCTAGGCAAAAGGTTACGAGAAGCCAAGGATTGAGAGCAACCTCGAGATATGAGGGGATCTCGGATTGTCGGGGCGGGAATGAGAGCTACGAGGAGCAGGGATTAAACTCGAGGTCGGTGTGATGTGAGGCCGAGAGAGGAAAGTCGAGTTGATAAGGATGGCGCGGGACAGATCCTCCGAGCAGGACGAATAGGCGGCGGCAGACGGTGACCAACGACCAGAGGGGAAACTGTATTGCCTTCGGCTCGTCTTCTTGGACGATAACAGTTGGAGAGCGGATGGACGGTCAGCCAGATACGAGGGGCAGGCCAACCGCAGCATTGAAGCCTCACATGCCTCCCTCCGTCAAGCGATGGCCGATCTCCGGTGCGGGGTCAACAATGACCGGCATCAAACCTGCGCGCGCGGCATCGAGGTTCGAAATGGACCGAGAGCTATCTGTCTCCTATCATTTCGGTACCCTCTATCGCTCTTGTCTCCTGTATGGCGAGGTCTAGAATTATTCTGACGATGCAACAAAACGAATTCGCTTGCAAGGTTCCAACGCAAATGGTTTTTCAATAGATGATGGCGATTTTTTTTTCTTTTTTTTTTTTTTCCAAATTTGCAAGATGTACGCAACGTCACGGAATTTCCATGAAGTCGTGCATCGGCCGTGTGAGCTTATTAAACAACGTTTCATGTTCAATTGGGGTTGGTATCAATCAGAAGAATTCATCATCAATTCCCTTATCGGCATCCATCTTGATGAGTTCAACCATACCCTAGAAACGGTCATTAGCATTACCTTACTCGATATTTTTATGAGAGAGAAAAAAAAAAGAGAGAGAGAGACTGGGATCTCACCTCAGGCATGATTGGCTGACCATCCTTGTCCGTGACATACTTGAAAGGCATCTCGGCGCTCTCATAGGCACTGAACTTTAGCTCAGGGTAGGTAACGTAGGGGATCTTATCTAAGGGCGCTGCTGTCCGTTAGCGAGGCAGCCCCGGGAAGGCGACAGAGGTGGCCGAACATACTCTTCTCCTCGACGACGAGTCTCGTGACACGGACGGCCGTGTCAGTGGTCATCTGAGTTGGGCCCAGGCGTCTCCCTTCGAAGCCCTTCTTCCTCAACTCGGAGGTGCGGTCTGTAGAAGGGAGGGTGTCAGAGAGATGGCTCACACTTGCGCGGGGGGGCTAGAACCGAGGGAAAATACCACGAGGGGGGTCATCGCCTGGTGAGGAGGAGGTTAGCGGAAATCGCGAGCCGTCGAAAAAAGTCAGATTTCGTCATGGAAACCCATACCCAGAATGCCGCCGAAAAGAAAGGCGTCAAATTTTTCACCGTCGTCGGGGCTCAGGTCGCTGGCGGCGGCGGGGTCGAGCAGGCACACGCGGGATTTGTCCTGGGCGTAAAGCTCCTCGACACCCCGGGCCTCGGCCTTGAAGGCCGGGACCTGCTTCAGCTTGTCCGGGGCGACGAAGCCAGAGGGCAGGGAGGACAACAGGAAGGTGCCGGCGGCGGCGTGGGTTTCTTTGGCGATGGCGATGTACTCGAGTTCCGACCAGGGGCCCAGCTCGGGGTCGAGGTGCTCGACGATGTAGGTCTTGCCTGGCATTGTAGTGCTATTTCGGGACCGTTCCAGTGGACGTCAAAGGTGCGACTGGGCCAAGGCTGGAAATGGTATGGAAAGGGAGGCCGCGTAATGCGTTTTGAGCCGATGGGGTTGGTCTGGTCTTTGACGAGGACGGGCTGAGATTTGTGGTCAAACGCTTGTTTGGGAAGCCACCGACGGATAAGAGAAATCGGTTCGGGAAGCGCTTGTCGCTCGACTCTCTCCACTTGTGGCTTTCAAGCCATCGCGGGCACTTAGGCAATGCTTAACCGCTACCTACTAATCAACACCTAGCTAGACGTGCCCTAACCTGGACGACTCTTCAGCCTGCCCAAGGTAGAGAGAGAGGTACCTACTTCGGCGGGTGACCATCCGCAGAATTGGCTTTCACCCTTTACTTGGCAACCAACGGCTGGGGGGGCTAGACTGTGGTGGATACTATGATAGCGGTCTCATCATCCTCAGTTGCGCCGTCGATGGCGCTTTTCTGTCAATGTCACGGTTGTCAGTGTGAGATGAACATGCGTCTTGGTATGGGGACTGAGAGAAGAAGAAATGAATGCTTGGGCAGGGTCTGTTGCTGTCTCAGGGTTTACATGGCTAAAAGGTTGACAAGGGGACCTGCCAATAGGCACCTACAGTATTCATAGGTAGGTAGGCGGGTAGTCAGGCAGGCAGGTAGGTACCTGAAGGCAGGTAGGCAGACAGGGAAAAGGACGTTATGTAAGCGGTGTGCGCCCCCCCCCCCCCCCCTCAGACCTGGTCACCCCCGGAACGGCGATCTGTATGGGATTTGGGCGTGTCCTTCTGGATACCGCCGCCAAAATACGAGGGTACACTACTCGCGTCGCTGACCTGACGCTCCTGGGCATATTGTTCCGTCCTGCTCCCGGTCTGACAGTTGTCGAGGAAAGAAATATAGGAGAAGAACAGGTTCGATCGACAACGCCAAGCCAACGGGACGACCTTGCAAGGGTTTCGGGAACGCACAGATGGCCGGCTGTTGCCAGCTTCGCGTCTAGTCCTTCATTCGTACGCATGTAGGTATTCATACTGGCCGACTAATCTAGGTATCGGTTTGGTTTGTTAGTGATGGATTCACAGGCGAGCGCTTACCATGCACTTGGTGCGTAGTGTACACTAGACACAGCCTACGTGCCTACCTACCTAGGCAACTAGGCTAGGTATCTGTACCACCGTATCCGTACTGCCTTACCGACCTACAAAGTAGGTATCTTACTTTATACACCTTGATCAGTACGTAAAGTATATGCATGCATACATACCCACAATCTACTACGCAAAACAGCATGTAATGAGAGCGCGCTTCATTCAGCGCCCACGACGTTGTAGCGGCTGCCGTGCATCAGCAACAGCCGGGGACTTCAAAGCTTTACAATGGAGGCCCAGCCCCTGTTTGGAGACCGCCACAGCTGGGTCTTCGCCCATGCGGCACACCACACCTCTCGGCTGCGCTATCATCCGCTGGTCGATAAGAGGAAAGGGAGGTAGGTGTTCCGTAGGTGCTGGAGAACCACTCCCAATCCTTCCCAGCCCAGTCCAGCCCAGTCCAGTCCAGTCTGTGCCACACAACACGCACTCGCCCGCCCCAACCTATTTCGTTAGGCGGAACAAGGGCGGGTATCGGGAAGAGACATACTGAGAGTCAGTTGCTGGGTGTGTGACGGGTGGTGTCAAGCCGGGGTGTGGGAGGGCGAACGAGAAAGACAGGGGCTGACTACGGTGTAGGTACCTCAGTACATACACTAGTGCAGCCTGCGAGGAATGAGACAAGGGGAAAAGCACCGTATTTACCTACCTAGTGTACCTACTTAGGTAGGTAGTAGAGTACGTGTACACATTTCAGATCCGGATGGACGGGACAATCCTAACGCATCTCTCGCGTCGCATCTCTTTTCCCCCTTCCCTTCGCTTCACAATCTTCCTCCTCCCTCCCAATCCTCCGCCCTCCCTTCCGACATCACTGCCTATTCAACAGCAGCATCTCTTCCGCTGCCGTTGCTTGTTCCTCTCCTCCCCTCCTTCAACGCTTCCCCGAGAGAGAGACTGAGAGAGAGAAAGAGAGACGTTAATGCAACCCCGACCGAGTTGGACCACGCCCCCAACCAACTCTCATCTAATTCTTCAAAGGTAGCCTCGGGGAGGCCAACACTTCCCCCATCATGGCTATCCTATCGACAGTGCCGGCGCTGCTATTTGCGCTGGCATCGTGGGCTCCAACCGTGGCGGCTCAGAGTGCCGCCGATTACTTTGTCCACGAGTTGCCCGGCGCACCCAAGGAGCCCTTCATCAAGATGCACGCTGGGTGAGTGAGCACAGATGCTGCTGCTGTCGTATCCCCGTCGGACCCCTATGGGGAAGCTCGCATCGCAACCTTTCAAATCATCCCGCTGACGCCCATTTCTTCCCAGACACGTCGAAGTCACTCCCGAACACAACGGAAACATCTTTTTCTGGCATTTCCAGAACCAGCACATCGCCAACAAGCAGCGCACCGTCATCTGGCTTAATGGCGGCCCCGGCTGCAGCTCCGAGGACGGCGCCTTGATGGAGATCGGCCCCTACCGAGTCAAGGACCCGGACCATCTCGAGTACAACAACGGCTCCTGGAACGAGTTCGCCAACCTGCTCTTCGTCGACAACCCCGTCGGCACCGGCTTCAGCTTTGTCGACACCAACAGCTACCTGCACGAGCTCCCCGAGATGGCCGATCAGTTTGTTCAGTTTCTCGAAAAGTGGTTCGCCATGTTCCCCGAGTACGAGCACGACGACGTAAGTCAAACACTCGGAACCATGCTTTTTACAAGCTCCATATTAACAGCCAAATAGCTCTACATCTCAGGTGAATCATATGCCGGTCAGCACATCCCCTATATCGCAAAACACATCCTTGAGAGGAACAAGAAGCCCGGAGTCAAAACCCCCTGGCAGCTCAAGGGTCTGCTCATGGGCAACGCATGGATCTCCCCCAAAGAGCAATACGATGCCTACCTAAAGTACGCCTACGAGAAGAAGCTCATCGAGAAGGGCTCGCCCATTGCGCTCCAGCTTGAGCAGCAGTGGCGTATTTGCCGCACATCGCTGGCTGTCACCAACACTGTCGACTTCACCGAGTGCGAATCCGTCCTGCAGAAGCTGCTCGAGCAGACGGCCAAGGTCAACGCCAAGGGCGAGCGGGAGTGCATCAACATGTATGACATCCGCCTGCGCGACACCTTCCCCTCCTGCGGCATGAACTGGCCCCCAGACTTGGTCAACCTGACGCCCTACCTCCGCAAGGCCGAGGTCGTCAGCGCCCTGCACATCAAACCCCAGAAGACCACGGGTTGGACGGAATGCAACGGAGCTGTCGGTTCCGCCTTCCGAGCCCCCAATTCGGTTCCTTCAAGGGACTACTTGCCCGATCTCCTCAAGGAGGTCCCCATCGTCCTTTTCTCCGGCGCCGAAGACCTCATCTGCAACTACATGGGAACCGAAGCAATGATTGGCGACATGGAATGGAATGGCGGTAAGGGCTTCGAGCTCACCCCCGGTAACTGGGCCCCGCGCCGCGACTGGACCGTCGAGGGCCAGCCTGCCGGCTTCTGGCAGGAGGCCCGCAACCTCACATACATCCTCTTCTACAACTCCTCCCACATGGTCCCTTTCGACTACGCCCGCCGCAGTCGCGACATGCTCGACCGCTTCATGAACGTGGATATCAGCTCCGTTGGCGGGACACCCACCGACTCTCGCCTCGATGGCGAACAAGGCCCCGCTACATCGGTCGGCGACATTGGCAAGAACGGCACCTCCGCTGACGCGGAGACGCAGAAGAAGTTGGACGAGGCCAAGTGGAAGGCGTACTACCGATCTGGTGAGATCGTCCTGGTTATCGTCATCATCGCTGCTGGTGCCTGGGGCTGGTACGTCTGGCGCGAGCGCCGCAAGCGCAGAGGCTATTCGGGTATCATGGGCAACACACCCCCCATTGCCCAGCGCGGCACCACCCGCGGCCTCGAGGGCTTCCGCGACAGGCGAACCGGCCGTGACGTTGAGACGGGCGATTTTGACGAGAGCGAGTTGGACGACCTGCACGTGACGACGCCGACGGTGGAGATGGACAAGGATCGTTACAGTGTTGGAGGGGACAGCGACGATGAGCCTCACGACGAGAAGCCCTCGAGATCGAACGGCGGCCGCTCAGGGCGGTAGAGGGAGCCGACGGTCTGTGGAGGATATGTCGGCTTGGTTGAACTATTGATGCTCCTTGAAAAAAAAAACCTGCATTGGAGAGTTTAGCGAAAATCATTATTTAATGAGGGGCACAGATAACGCTCGGGAATCCATCACGGGACGGAGTTTTTGTGTTGTCTGATTACGTATAGATCAATGAAATAAGTGTCCGCACTCAAATGGGCAAACGATGGTTCTCGTTTTTTTTTTTTTTTGGCTTTGTCTGAAACCCATCTATCTACAACAACAAAACAGAACAAAACCATGCCCATTACCAATGATTCCGCCCCCCCTTCCGGTCTCCCTACTCTCTCCACGTACAAGTGTGTCGTCTCTTTGAATCTCTCTCGTTACGCCCAAAGTGAAAAACACCACCCATTATTTTGTCACAAGCGAAAGCGCCTTTTTATCCTTCACCGTATGTGGCTGACTGGCCGGCTGGCTCTGCCGCCACCCAAAGCCCCCCCACTCCATCCCGCCAAAATGCATGTGCCGACGGATATAGATATATGTATATCGTGATATGTGGTGCCAGGTTCCTCCCGCACCACGACAATTGAACGCCAGTACCCGAGTTTCTGTCCAAAGAGGGAATGGAAGAAAAAATGAAATAAAAAGAAGAGTGATCCCGTTTCTTCATAGTTGGATATCGTTGTTGAGGATGCGCACCTCCTCGCCGGGCTTGAAGGGCGGCAGGCCGATGTAGGGGCAGCCGTCGCAGCGGAAGGCGTCGCCGAGGGCGCAGTTGCCGCAGGAGCCGACCTTGCCCTGGACGGTGAAGTCGACCTCGGCGAGGTCGTCGGCGCCGAGCTTGACGGCCGCGAGGGCCTTGTCAGCGGAGGCGCGGGCGGCGGCGTCCTCGGCGGCGATGCGCTCAGCGAGGCCGCAGGTGCAGTCCTTGCAAGCGCGGCGGCGCTTCCCAGCTTTGGGGGCGCATTCGGGGGCTATTTTCGCGAACGTGTTAGTTGGGTGCCAGCTCAAAGAGAGCGAGAGAGAGCCCTTGAGCTCTCTTATGTCGCTCTTTATTTTGGAAAATGGACGGGATTGGTTACTTACGGATGTTGAGAGGGCGCGAGAGGTCCGCATCCGTGAGGAGGGTGTCCTCGTCAATGAGGTCGTCGTCGCCGTCCATATCTAGGTCGTCGCTGAAGTCGACAAAGCCGACGCCCGCGGGGGGCGCGGAGACGGGGGGCGCCGTGGTGGGCCTGCCGCTGCCGCCCAGCGGCACAGAGCCGTCAGACGCCGGGGCCGTCTTCTTCTTCCCAAAGCTCAAGGTGACGACCTGGTCTTCGCCGTAGTCGGGCTTCGTGAAGCCGCCGGCCGCGGCGGTCACCAGGCCCGCGAGAACAGCCTCGCGCGCGACGGCCGGGTCGTTGGCGAGGTTGCCACCGTCCTGGGCCTTGAGCTCCGCGGAGGGCTTCAGGGCGTCGGCGACGGCCGAGAGCACGGCGCGGTCGGAGAGGAGGCGGGTGGACTCGACGCGGGAGCCGTCGGCGTCCGTGAGGATGAGAACGAAGTCGTATGCAGACGCGGGGAGGGAGATGTGGCCGGCCGAGAGGCGGTCGAGCATCTGCAGGTCCGTGGTGGCGCGGTCATAGGAGGCGAGGACAGTCTGGAGCTTGTGCGGGTGGGAGGCTATGGAGGGGGGCGCGAGGAGCAAGGTACGCTTCGCGGGGGCCGCGGAGGCGGTCGTGGTTGAGGAAGGGGAGACGTCGAAGTCGGGGGTCGAGTCGAGGGTTACGACGGCGGGCGCCATTTTGGAGATGGTGACTCGCTGAGAGCGTAGATCGGACTCTGCTTTGGTGTTTTGCTTTGCGGGATCACCGGGGTTTTCTGTTGGCATACGACGGGAACGGTCGCCAGAGATGAAGGGAAGGTAATCGATTAACAATGTTGGAAGAAGTTGTGGTCTTTTTGCTGGGCGAGGAGAAGAGAGGGCGAAGACAAACTTCGCGGATTAGTCAAATGAAATATAAAAAATAAAATAAAAAACCCAACTGTCTAGCGGGAGACGGTACTGTAGGACGGCAGTGCTTGATAAGCGCCGGAACGATGAGGGGTTGGCGGGGTGCGCACCGTAATCTGCCAAAGTCGCCACACGGTATTGCGTAGATGGAGGTACCTAAAGTAAGTACCTAGGCAGTTTAGGTTTGAGTGATTCCGCGGGCCGGAGGAGCCATTCAAGTTGGTTATCGTTGTAGCGGTCCTTCGGTTGTTTTCGTGGCGTGTAAAACGTTGGAGGAAGAATTGGGGAAAGGACTTTGGGGAGGCGACGGGACTTGGGACGGAGATGCAAGACTCTACGGTATCTTTATCAGATCTCTTACTTACCACACGGAAAAAAGGCAAGGCATACCTAATCCTACTACCTACGTTGCGCAATGGGGGTCCGAAAGCGGCGGCATCCCCGCCCTCACAAGCATGGCCTGGACGAGGCACGAGGGATAGACTGTGGCCAAGAGTTTAGAGTGGGAAAGAGAGGGGGGGGGGGTTGCTGACGCTGCATTACAGTTAATAATAACAATTGCCCAACCAAAGGGGCCCCAATCCTCATTTCCAACATACCATTGTCTTTTCCCCTTACGTAGGACGGCCCCTCCCCGCCCATAACAAATCGTGTATAATAAATCTGCACAGTGCGAATTATGTAATATCCGCTGACCGATTTTGATGTCACTTACAAAGTGCTTTCTCCCCTATGTGATTGGCCCGCCGGACCCCTGGGCCAACGGCTCGTCTGCCATCCCTGCCCAACTACCTTCTTTGTACACTATTATTGAACCCTCGAGCGCCGGCATCGGGTGGGACTGTCTGCTCAATCCAATGCATTGGAACCATTCTGGGTTTGTCATTCGGCCAGCCGACCAATTTGCAGGACTTTGGGTTCAAGACCTTTTGGCGCGGCGACGGCTTGTCTGGGACCAGAATCCGCTTCCCTGAATGTGAATTGACCAACTTTTGTATTTCGTCCCGAATGAAACCAGGGACAGATCCTATGTGATACATGAGAAAATTACGCCCTGGGCTTTTTGGGTCTTCCCCAGATTGTGTTCCATATCCGAGCCTCAACGCCGTGGGCACCTGGGAAGATAAGGCTCCGTCATCATCGCCGCCCCCCTCTTTCTTCTATAGCTTGAAGGTGCTACTCGTCGACTTGACCTCCGCCTTGGCCTTGTTGCCGTCAACGTCGACAACCTCACCCTTGCGGTTGATGACCTTGACGCCGCCCTTCTTGAGGTCCGCCATCGTGTCCTTCTGCATCTGCGCCTTCTTGCCGAGAGGCTTCTTGTCTGTGCCGCCCGCCTTGCGGATGCGCTCCTTCTCGCGCCTGCGCCGCCGCAGCTTGTCCTCGCGCGACATCTCCTGCTTGGCGATCGGCAGCCCGCTCTTGGCCACCACCTCGCCCTTCTCCGCCGTCTCCTTGCCGGCCTTGTACACCTCCTGCGGCGCGATCATGCTCTGCCCGCCGCTGACGCCCTGCGCCGTCGTCGGCTGCGCGTCCTCCATCGCGATCGTCGCGGCGTCCGACACCACCGTGAGCGACGGCGCCGCCGGCTTGGGCTTGTAGTGCCAGCTGCTGAGCGAGTCGAGCTTGGCGCTGAGGTCCTTCCACATCTTCTCGACCTCCTGCTCCTCCTTCTTCATCTTCTCGTCCGACTTGCTAACGTAGTTGTCCGGGTCGGCGTTCTTGATGTGCTCCTCCTCGTAGATCTCCGCGAGACCCTTGCCCGATTTGCTGTCGTCGAGCTCGATGAGCCCGCGGCGCGTATTCTGGGGCAGGTCGGCGTCGGGCCGGCGGCGGAGGACCTCGTCAAATTCCTGCGCGAGGATCCTCCTCTTGATCAGGTCCTCGATGCCCTCGCTGACCTCGGCTGTGATGACGGGCACGGGCTTGCCCAGGTGCTCAAAGGACAGATCCTCCTCCAGGAGAGAGTTCATGGGACGCTCGACGGCAGAAGCCTCGCCCGTTAATGTCCACTGGCGCTTGGCAACGGACTCGGCCTCGAGTTTGCGGATCTCCTCGGCGAGTTTCGCTTGGCGTCTCTCGTGAGCGGACCTACGCGACCTTGGGTCGCCGGCGGAGGCGTCTGACAGAGCGTCGTCCGAGTCGTCTCCGTGGTCCGACTCGTCTTCGAAGAGATCCCTTCTGACGTCCTCCATGGCACGCTCGACATCCTCCTCGGCGACTGGCTTGGGCGCAAAGCGAACAGATCTCTTCTTCTTGTACTTGCCGTCCTTTTTCCTTGCCGGTGGCGCGAAGAAGTCCTTGAAGTAGATACCATTTGCGTTAAACTCCTGATCGTCTCCCATGGCGTCATCCATGTCCTCGTCATCACTTGCACCTTCAGGGGCGTTGAGGTCCATGTCACCAAACGTCGGACCGTCCTCTTCGTCCTCATCCTCGTCGGAGCCGGCATCCTCCTCCATGTCGCCGCCCTTACGTTTTGACGAACCCGACTTGCTTGATGGCGCAAGCGGGTCCGCGGTCCAGTCAATATCTTCGTCGTCGCTGTTTGCATCCGTGTTGGGGTCTCCTCTGGCGTCTTGCTCCTCGAACCACTGGGTCTGCTTGTTGAATTCGTCAATGGAAAAGAATCCGTCGTTGAGACCGTGAGGGTCTTCGACGAACTCCTCTGCATCATCGTCGTCGTCGTCGTCCTCCTCCTCCTCCTCGTCCTCCTCCTCATCTTCTCCAGCCTTGTCTTCGTCCATGTCTTCGAGATCTCCAGTAAGGCCCTCGACATCGGAACCCTCGGCCTCCTCTTCTTCGAATTCTTCCTCCACACCGTCCAAGTCGGAATCCGACACCTCCTCGTCATTAGAGCCCTCCTCAAGCTCAGAGTCCTCGTCAGAATCGACAGATGTCTCCTCGCCGTTGACCCCGTTTATAGCAACCTCGTTTCGCTCCTCGAGCTCCTTCAGGGTCTCCTTGGAGTGGTTCAAAGCGCTTTGGATAATGCGACGGGCTTGCTGCCAGACCTGGCCCGTTTCAAACCCATCAACATGAACCTTCCGGATCTTGAGAACGTCGACCTTTGCGCCGCCTTCGGCTCGCTTGCGCTTCCTTGTCGCTTCCTTCAGCAGGCGCAGCTGCTCGTCGCTGATCTGTCCGGCAAAGGCATCCAGCGTGTCCTTGACGACCTGCAGCGAGGCGGAGGGGATCGCGGACGGCGGTTGGAGAAAGGCGTGACGGGTTTCGGCGCCCAAGTTGTCGTAGAGGGCTCGCACGTCAGCGACGCCGCCGGAGGGGAGCTGGGCGGCCATACCGGGCGCGAAGGTGAGCGTGTTGGTTGTCGACGTCAGGGAGGAAGAGGTGCTGCTGCCCGCCGCCATGATATTTTTTTTTGTTGGGCTGGGGATATGCGTGTTTCGGCCGTGCAAGATTTCACTTTTTATTTTTATTTCTTTTTCAGTCGGCGCGGTCCGTAAGAAGCAGCAAAAAATTTAGGACCCCGCAAAACGGCTCAGGGTGGTGGGTCGGCTTTGATTGGCCAATAAGATTGGTGCTGCCAGTCCAGATGCATTAGCTAATCACCCTGTCGTCCACGTCTCTCTCGCTTTTGTTTGAATCTTCCAAAGGTTAGGGGGCTCTGTTAGTCACTGATCCTAGTTTGCCTTTAGACTAGTCTTATTCCTTATTCAAAATTAGCCATCCATTTTACAATTGAGTTTGGGTTCAGCTGAGTTGTTGCAGTCCCCAGATTCACTGGGATCCCTGGTGGTCCGAAACGATGATTGTTGCACATGACTAGACTATATGCACATGTACTCTGGCAGACACCTATAATTGAAACTTGACATTCAAAAACTAGTCTCCATTGGTAAGCAATTGGGAACATGCTGAGATCGATTCTTTGATATGAGTTCCTCAAGGGCCCGGCTCGGTGGCGGGGCCGGATCAGCAGCACCTTCGAAAGATGATTACTAAGAGTATCCTGTGCCACTTGACTCAACTTATATCGTAACTTCGTTGTAGCATCGCTTACCAGAGCGAGCAACTTGATACCATACATACATACGCAAAGTACCACATTATCAAGAACACCATCTCATAAGACGTCTTTACCTGAAAACCAAATGTGAGTCGCCTTTTATTATTTGGAGTGAGTTTTCTTAAGCCTGCGCTTTACTGGCGATGAGTTCTCACCATACATGAACCTTTTGATACCTTCTACATGGGATCCCCTTGGTATGATTTACTTGCGTCTCATATGTTGGAATCAGAATATCTCACACCAACAAAGAGAGTACTTGACAACCCACTCAGCGTAGCACCTGCGCAAATGCCTTATAAGCTAAATGCCTGGTCATAGCAGCCAACCAACCCCCCGATGTCTCACGTCGGGACCTCCAACGACCCTGCGGCTTCCGTGGCGGCCTCCCGGTCGGATGGAAAGACCCACCTTCTGCTGGCCTGCAGTGGCTCCGTCGCGACCATCAAACTACCCAACATCATCCAGGCCCTCGGACACCACAAGAACCTGTCGATACGGGTCATCCTCACGGCCTCCGCGGCCGAGTTCCTGAACGGCTCGACGGCCGAACAACCCTCCCTCGCCGCCATCCGAGCGCTGCCCAACGTCGAAGCCCTGCACCTCGATGCGGACGAGTGGGTGCAGCCGTGGCGCCGCGGGGCGTCCATCCTGCACATCGAGCTGCGGCGGTGTAAGTCGCCGCCATTCGCTGCCGTCGAGGAGAGCTTGTCCTCATTCCGTTCGTGAAAAAGCTAATGTCAGTCCAGGGGCGGATCTGATGCTTGTCGCGCCTTTATCAGCAAACACACTGGCCAAGATCGTCAATGGTTTCTCGGACAACCTCCTAGTAAGTCGACATGCCCCCTTCCCACGCAGCCTACACTCTCTGTTGATGCGTCCACCAGACAAGCGTCATCCGCGCATGGGATCCGGATGGACTCATCGATGGAAGACGGAAGAAGATTCTGGTGGCCACCGCCATGAACTCGGCCATGTACATGCACCCAATCACCGCGAAGCAGGTCAAGGTCCTGGAGGAAGACTGGCCGTGGTTCGAGGTCCTGAGGCCGATAGAGAAGACGCTCGCTTGCGGCGACACCGGGAACGGGGCAATGATGTCTTGGGAGGAGATCGTCAAGATTGCGGAAGAGAGGTTAGGACTTGGGGCTGGAGTTCAGTAACGGCGATTAAGAAGAGGCCGCGTCAACGAGGCAAGCGCGAATGGGCAACTGAGATGCGCCGAGGCGGATTGACGAAGACTCACAATCACGAACATAGTCTGCTCTGATGCGGTCTTCGTTGGCCAGCGGTATTCGTCTAGAACTATCCTGAACTGGCCATGGCAAGATGCTTTACTTTTAACCCAACTCATTCCCACATCGCAGCCTCGCCCGTTTTTTGCCCTCGAGCTTATGCCACAAAGGGGAAGTGGAAACGAACACTTCACTTGCATGGGAGGAAAACACAAAGCCCATGCTATCAAAGCATTGCAGGTTGGTTGGAAATCGACGTTACAAGTATGTCACTAGTAATCACTGGATAATGAGAAAGTACAGCTTAGGATGCAATGTCATTCGTGCACGATTTGTGGCTATCGTAGTGTACAGTTAATTCCGGCCAGGCTTGATACCTAGCGACATAGAAAACATGCGCGCTAATCATCGTGAACCCCCTCATCCTGTTATGCATATCCTCAAGACCTTGCTCCGATTCCTTGATGCAGATGCTAAGCTTCCGGTTACCTGATAATGCTATGACAACGAACAAAAATTACCGAGAAAGAAACCGCGTTCGATTGTCCCCTTTCCCCATTCATCACTCTTTTGAATCCTCCCCTCGTTGGACATCTTACGAGTTTCTGTTTCGCCTCGCGCGCCGGGCCTAATTGTTTGACAAAAAAAAAAAAAAAGGAGGGGGGGGGGGGGGGGGGTGGGCCCGGTTGCCCCATCCAACCAGAAACGAAGTTTGGTATATATACGGGCTCGCATATGTTTGCGGATCAGGTGTCGTGTCTGAATGTGCATTTGTCACCTCTAGCGCATTTGCCTTGCTGCCAGAAGCTGCAAGGCTTAGTTCCGATGAGGGCGCGGTTAACTGGGCGATGAGGAGGGAGAGTGGCACCACCGGGAGCGTTGCCCTTGCGGTTCTTGCCCTGCTTGCCACCTTTGCCCTCGCGTTCACGGCCGCGTTCCCTATCACGCTCACGCCCACCTTGTTGATCGGAGTCGTCCCGAGTGTCCCAATCGCTGTAATCAACCAACTGTCGCTGCGGAAGCTTGAATGAGGATTGGTCATGATTAGGAGGAGACTGTGAACCAACTGGCGGGGGCGGGGGCGGGGCAGCTTGTTGGTGCTGCTGCTGTGGTTGTTGTTGTTGTTGCTGCTGAAGTTGAGCGAGCATCATCAACTGTTGGTAGCTGGTATCTTGTGGGTTGAGCCCGTACACATTGCCCTGGGATGCCGGCTGTTGACTCATTTGAGCAAGGATGGCCTGGAGTTGAGCATCGCCTGCTAGGGCAAGTGCTGGGGTAGGTTGAGTCGGCTGCTGCGGTAGGCCGCCCTGAAGCATGGCCATATATTGGGCATAGTGCTGCTCCTGTTGTTTATAGTAGGCAGCCCAAGCGTCTTTCTGTTCTTGCGTCATCGCGTCTGGCTGCTGCTGTTGCTGTTCCTGAGTCCCAACCTCAGTCTCTGCGCGAGCCTTGTCATCTGCCTCCTTCTTTGCTCTCGATGCAGAGTCTTTCTGGTATCCAGCCCACCACTCCCTTACCCTCTCTTGGTTGTTGGCAAGCCATGCGGGCGGACTCGTTGCGGGATATGGAAGTCCTCTCAACGACTCTGCTACCTCCTCTACATTGTCGGCGGCCGTTTGTGTTGTCGGGTCGGAGAAATCATGTCGTCGATGGGTTTGTGGTGCTGTCGGATTGAAGGGATTGGGATCCAGCCAGTTCTTTACCTTGTCCGAGATGAGGATTTCGTAGACCTTGTCATCAAACGGAATGACCGGAACAGGCTGCATCTCAGCAGCATTAGGCAGGATGGGTTGCGCGTTTTCCTTGGGTGGGGTCATATTGTATGGCTCAGGCTCGACTGCTGGAGCGATTGGCTTGAGGTTGCCCAAGATCGAGTTGAGTTTCGTGGCGGGATCATTCTGGGCATCAAGGCGTTTGCGCGCATAGTATGCTGCTGCCTCCCAGCCGAACTGTTGTGCCTCCTTCCACCGTTTATGGATCTCGTCGTACTTTGGTTCTCCTTGAGGCAACTGGGAGATTTTGCCGTCAGGGGTGGTCGTTGCCGACTCGGGCGGCGGAGATTTAGGTGTTGGCGGGATGTCCGAGATATCCATGTATGTAACCATGAGCTCCTTCTTCTCTCTTTCTTCGGTGACCTTCTGTTCCTCCGTATGGAAGGTCAGGTTACCTCCACGAGTAACGAAAGACTTATCGCGGTAGTCCTGAGGAATCGCGGACAGATTCGCAAGGGACGGCTTGACCCAGGGTCTGTATGGCAGATCATCGTCATCATCCTCATCGTCATTGTAGGACCGCTGTTTGAGCATCATTCCCTCAGATCGATCATCTGCCGCATCTTTGGTCATGTTGTTTTGGTCTTCAGCGGCTTCCTTGTGGAAGATGCGAACCTGCACCAGCTCCGACTCGGGTTTCCAGCTAACGCGAAGCTTGCGGCGAGCTTCTTTTCGAAGTCGCTTTTCCTTCTCTTCAGGAGTCTCTGAGATTTCCTTCTTGCCAGAGTCCTTCGCTTGCGTAGAGGGACCGTCCGCCTTAGGCGTATTGATGGAGTCAAGCAGCGAGGCGATGCTGGAAGAGGCTAGGCTTGAGCTTGCAACGGACTTGGTGGCAGGCACTTTCGGCTCAGCCTTTGGCGCGGATGGCGCCGGTTTCTTGTCAACGTCCATTGCGGACGAAGTTGATCCCTCAAACCTCGAAATCTCGGGTTTGACAGGATCTCTTGCGCTTGATTTGGGCGCAGGGGCTCGGATTTTACCTGCGAGAGAAGTTGAAGCTGTCGGGCGAAGCTTTGTAGCGCCAAACTTGGACTGAAGGGATCCGGCAGGTTTTGACCCCAGCTTGTTACCCAGACCATTGTTCGCTGATTCGGTGGCCACCTTCTTGACAGTGCGAGAGTCGCTGTCATCGTCGCGCGCTCTTTTTGCGGGGGAGCCATCAAGTGGCTTCGCAGCGGGCTTTGGTGTCTTGCTGACTGTGGCTGCCGACGGCGTCTTCTTGACTTCGGTGCCGTTGATCGGTTCCACATCCTTCTTGATTCGAGACGCGATCGTACGAACCAGTTCCTTGACCTCGTCGTCGCCCTTGTCCGCAAACCGCTTTCGGACATTTTCAAGGTTAACAGCCTCTGCGACTTTTTTGTGTACGCTGATGTTGGACATGAAGCGGAGAAGGGCCTTTGGCAAGGGTCCGCTGAAGTCAGCTGCCTTGATGCAGCCAATTAGCATGTTGACCAAGCTCAGTATGCCCTTCTGGTGGCCACCAAAGTTCTCCAACACGGCCTCATCGCCGTGCTTGGCTGCCGCCTCGCAGACCCTAGTGAATATCTCCCTCTTCACATCCATCTTACTATTCCATTCATCAATAACCGATGCAGATTTCTTTTCCTTGTTAGCCTGGTCGACCTCCTGTTTCAATCGGTTCACCTCCGACCTGAGCTTGACAAGGAATTCACCTAGGCCTTGTACAGCAGTACCTAGAAGGGAAGTCGTTCTGGTGGCCGAAGGATCAATATAGACAATGCCCAGTATGTCCCATACGGCAGCTTCTACAGGATCAGCAGGCCGTGTCTCAGGACGGATGGGCCGTTTTCGCTCTTCCTCCTCTTCCTTACGGGCTTTCCTCTGGGCTTTGGACTTGGCTGCTTCATCCGCCTTCAGTTGTTCCTGAAATGTGAAAGGGAATTCCGAGTATTTAGGCCGGCCAGATTTGAGGTCCCCCATCTCGCGTCCGTATTGCTCAATAAGATCCTTGGCCTCCGCCTCCCGATCCCCTGGCTGTCCAACAAAGTTCATGGATGGTCTATATCTGTCGGTGAACCTGCCTTGAATCTCGCAAGGAAGGTCTCGGCCGAGTTCAGGAAGAATGGGTCGTCCGCTGGTTGATGGCAAAGCAACAAGGGGCGCAAGTCTGTCGTAGCTTTTGGGCGCGGCTAGTTTGACGGTGCCCGAAGAAACGAGAAATGATGCACCGGGGATGGCCGGGAACTGTTTCTTGGATGCGGCGTTGCGTTTTCTAAACTTCTCCATGGCTGCGATCTCTTCTTCGGTACTCGAGGGCAAGACCAAAGTTTCGCCATCGTCATCTCTCTTCGGGTTTGGAGAATCCGCCCGATCCACCTCTCCATCCTTCTTCGTTACACGTTTACGCTTCTTCAAGGGTTCGGGCTGAAGGGTTGGCTCGATGGTTGGCGTGCTAGGCTGAGAAGCAGGAGCCGCCGCAATGTGCTGTAGGTGCGGCTGCTGCTGCTGCTGCTGTTGTTGTTGTTGTTGCGGTTGAATAGGGCGAGCTGGTGAGGGCACCGCCTTGGCTTGATGGACAGGTTGTTGTTGAGACAAAGGTTGAGGTGTACACTGGAGTGTTGACTCTTGGTCTGGTACCTGTTTCGCAGCGACGGGCTGGAACGCAGGCCTCGCTGCAGTCTGGGTATATGTCATCTGTTGAGGGACGAACTTATGCTGCTGGTAGGGCGCGGCCTGGTTCTGCTGGAAGGGAGGCGGAGTCGGGTTGGAAAACGCCTGGTTGCTCTGTTGATGGGACTGTTGAGCCTGGAAGGGATGGGGCGACTGGGAGAAGACTCTTTCAGGCTGGGCCTGATGTTGTTGTGGTGATGGAACATAGCCCTGGGACGCAGGCGAGTAGGACTGAGGGACCGATTCGAAACGCTGTTGTAGTTGCGCTGGTGCTTGGTGGCCATGCTGAGGCATCAATTGAGAATCATTGTATTGGGGTACATTGCCATTGAACAGCTGATTGGCCTGGCCGTTGTACTGAAATTGTTGCTGGGTAAAGTCAGGCGTGTGGCCGTGGTTCAAGTTGTCGATGTTGGCCGTGAAGTCTGCTTTCCCCGGCTGGCCATATATGTCCTGCGGGAAGTCGTTGAGACCAGCCAGCGCATCCTCTTCCGCGGCGTCAGTGTAAGGCGTATCCAACGAGAACTGGCCGTGACCGTTGTGGAAGTTGCCGTGGTTCAGAGCAGATATGCTGTTATGCTCGGTCGCCGCCACAGTGGCATGAGCTTGATGAGGCGAGGCGTAGAGATTGTTCTCAGCACTATTACCTCGGGCACCAAGATGAGAGAAGGCATTTTGATTGGGAAGTTGATGCTGCCAATTTTGAGACGCATCGAACTGGGCTGATGCATCAGGAAACCCATAAGAGCCCGACCACATGTTATTATGGCCCTGAGGTGAGCCTGCCTGGCCATTTGGCTGCCAGTTCTGCATGTTTATCGACCTCTTCAATGGAAGGGGAAGCACGTGATGGATGCGGAAGTCAAAATATCGTCATGCGATCATTTGATGATGCTGAGCACTGCACAGCTGGCGCCGATTAGCATTTGTTCCTTGAGAGAGCACCGAGTTCAATTGGTACGCAGACTAGCTTGTCTGTGCATCAAGGGATAAATCGGACGAGAAGGAGCAAAAGCGCCACGATGATTGGCCCAAGCAGGGGTGGGAATGTAGCGTCTTAGAAAGGAAAGGTCTGAGCGTGGTAGGGGTGGGGATAGAGGGATCGATAAGTTAAGGGTCGGACGGGGGAGGACGTGATCCAGTAGGTACTTTCTCTAACAAAAGTTGCGGTTGAGGAACCTGAAGTGACGGGAAAGAGAGGCTCGACGGCTAAATACCGGTCGGGGGCTCGCAGCTTACCTTGAGGTGGCAGCGAACGGCAGTGAAAGAGACTAAGCCGAATTTGGCAATCCGGCAAGGATTATGGTATAGTAAATGCGCCAAAACGCAGTCAAATGCGATGGGGGAGTGACGCAGGTCGATGGTATGGTCTCTTTGTATGGTAGAACTGCGAGACTGGTCAGCACTCAGGATTCGAATTGGGATGGCAGTGACAGTGTTGGTGTGAGTTCGGCGTTGGGGACCGGTGATATTTGTCTGTGAACCACTAGGCTCGGAATCCATGGTTGATCTGGTCGGAACAGCGCAAGAGGTGACAAGTCTTGGAAACCAGCAAATGATCGGTTGAAGGAAAACCCAGCAGCTGGTGGCACTTAGAGACACCGAGGTGATGGCCACCTTCTCTATAATCGAAGATAACGAATGAGAATTGGGTTGGGTGGTTGCGATTCGCTTTTAAGACGCGCAGTTTGATGACGGATGGGATTGATTTCCTCGATGGACGCTTGATGTCGAAATGGAAGGCCAAAATCTTAGCGAGATGGATTTTGTACGAAGCGGCTTGAGCCGCCGCACGCATTTGTCTCCCATCGCGATTATCTCCCATCCGACGGCGAGTTGTGAAGGCGAGTTGAGCTGAGGTGTGGCGAAAGTGGCCTTCAGTTGATGGGTGGTTCCTTGTTTCCGACCGTCCGCTGTGGTGGAGGTCCAAGGCCCGAATAGCGCGATGCACACTCTGAAAAAAAGTGAAATGCACCGAAGACCCGCCCCCTGCACCCAATCCAGCGACGCAACCCGCGCGCAAAAGCTTCTTTGAGCGCCCCCCCGTTGAAGTCGAAATCCCCCCAACAAGAGATTGAGGGAATTGATGAATGTGAAGATGACGAGAGCGACGACCTGCAGCATCGGCAAGTTTCCGAAGAACAGTGTCGCCTGAATTGCCCGAGTTGCTTCTTGTTTCTCAAGTAACCCCTTTTGTATAGGGTTCCAGCCGTTCCACCGCGCCGCGGAACAAGGCGTTCTGCTTTGCAAAACATTTTAAACAGGAGGGTTACTCGTGTGTCCTTGTCCACATTTCCACGCGTGTTGTGTCTGCGTCTGCCCCTGATCTGATTCGACTTTGCAAGTTCATCGCTGCAGAAGTCCAGTGCGGGTTGAGTTCGAACACCATGGGCTCATCATGATTTTCACTCAAACAAACGTTTCTTCATGTCTGCGTCCCCAGAAGAGAATGATGGCGGGTTGATCGGGATGGGAATGTGCCGATCATGATGGCGGTGCTGGTGATGAGGGTTGAGGGGGGATGGAGGGAGACAATGATTGGGGACGGAAGGGAAGGGGGGAAAGCGTGAGTTTGTTTGGCTTGGGGGGAAAATGTATCATACCCTGCAGTTCTTGACTCTCTGTCCGGCGCAAGTTATGATGCGTTCGGAGAAGAGCTGGCTTCGCGACCTTCACGTGGTCCGCGGGATATTTTTGTTTGGATTGACGATGGTCGCGAAAATTACAACATGACGGTCGAATGCCCGGGAAGATGGGCGATCGAAGATTGTCTACCAAAAGAAGGGGGCAAGATGGAATGATGGATCGCTGGGGATCTGGGAGGCGACAATCAAACAGGCAAGTTAGGTGCCTTCCGTCGCCTTCAGTAGTTCCAGATAATGAGGAATCAGATATGTTTAGAATATCGTCGCCAGTGGCCTTCAGACGCGTCTTCCTGTCGATTAATTTCCGTACGTCGATGGTAACTTTGGTTGATGGTGAAGGAGGAAGAAGGTAGGTTGTTGTCGTGGCAGAGGAGGAAAAGCTGGTCATTGTTTCGCAGCGCGCGGTCTGTCCCAAGGGATGGCGGGTAGGTCACTTGTGGCCGCACATTTAAGGCAAGACACACCTTGTGGGTCCGAACTGGAAGGGGCCAACACTTTCCAGGACGGAAGGGGCCACGGGCCTGATTCGACTTAGGTTGTGACAGGGCGGGGTCTCGTGCCTTCAGGCCTGGACCTGATCCACAGGCCTTTGCATATACCTACGATAGGTACAGATACTCAGTCAGACAGGTGCCGCAGGCCATTGAGACACCCTTTGGCGCAGGTCACCCGAGCCTAGCCAGCGGGGTGGTGTCGCCGCCTTCTCTTCCAAGGTAGAGCGGTTTCATGGGGGCTTCACCGCCCATCGGAACTCGGAGACTTAATAACGCCGGCCCATGACATCGCTCCTCACTATGCAAGGGATCCACTCCAGCACAAGCACAGGTCAGCGGAAATCATCCAGGAAATGTGGCTCGACGGCACTTTTGAGGACACCAATGCTGGAGCTGTGTACGTACCTCCAACGTACCTCGACTTGTCGCAACCGCAAATCGTCGACCTCAATCTTCCAACGCAGTCGTGAATAACACTCGATTGAAGGCGCGGCATATACTCTCGATAGCTGCTGCAAGCCCTGGCATTTGTTTTATGCGACTCATCGATACGCCTCCCCTGGCAGTTCCAGCTTGCTTAAGCTAGTGACAGCTTCAAAGCTCCCCCCACCATCGTCATGGCAGTGAAGGGCCATTCGCTGCGCGATCGCCAGATCTGTACGTCGCATGGCCTTTCATCACCATGTTCCGTACGGACGTGTAGCTAACGTGCTATAAGCTGCCCTGAAGAAGCTTCTTAGTCTGAACGACTCTTTCACCGAAAGCGACACCGATGACACCCAAGCGAATGGTGGCGGCGCACTGGGGCCGGCCGGCGTGATCATAACTTCAGATGGCGACCCTCTCTGGAAAGTTCTTGTCTTCGACGACCTCGGCCGGGATGTCATCAGCAGTGTTCTCCGGGTTAGCGATCTGCGGGCGTTGGGTATCACTATGCACATGTACGGCTAGTTATCCCCCGGGTCCGGCAATCTACTAACACACGGACAGGCACATTGGATCCTCCAGACACGCGATCCCAGACGTGCCGGTCATCTACCTAGTCGAACCGACCGCACAGAACCTTCAACATATTACCAACGATCTCCAAAAGGGACTCTACACCCCCGCTTACCTGAACTTCCTTTCCTCCATCCCCCGACCGCTGCTCGAGGACTTCGCAGAGCAGACGATAGCCGCCGGCACGTCAGACAGCATTGCCAGGCTGATGGACCAGTACCTAAACTTCATCGTCGCGGAGCCGGATCTGTTCAACCTAGGGATGCAACGAGATCACACATATTGGGCGCTGAACAGCGCGACAACCAATGACGAAGAGTTGGATAGAGTGGTTGACAGGATCGTCAGCGGCTTGTTCAGTGTCGTCGCCACCATGGGCGTCATTCCCATCATCCGATGCCCCAAGGGTGCCGCCGCCGAGATGATCTCAGCGAAACTCGACAGAAAGTTACGCGACCACATTCTCAACTCGAAAGAAAACCTGTTCTCTTCCAGCGCCCGTCCGGCAGCTTCTGCCGGAACGCCTCAATCCCGCCCTGTGCTTATCATTCTCGACCGCAATGTCGACTTAATACCTATGCTTTCCCATTCCTGGACCTACCAATCGCTGGTCCACGATGTTTTGAATATGAAATTGAACCGGATTACGATAGAAACACCCATAGACGAGAACAACCCCGCCAAAGGGACCACTAAGAAGGCCTATGACTTGACGGCGAGCGACTTCTTCTGGACCAAGAACGCGGCCGTGCCATTCCCACAAGTAGCGGAGGACATTGACGCTGAGCTGACGAGATACAAGGAGGACGCAGCAGCAGTGACCAAGAAGACCGGAGTGACGGACCTCGAGGATCTGCAGAACGACACAAGCGCTAGCGCGCAACACTTGAAGGCAGCCATCACTCTGCTGCCAGAGCTGCGCGAGCGCAAAGCGGTGCTCGACATGCACATGAATATTTTGGCAGCGCTCCTGACGGGCATCAAGAACCGCCAATTAGACAACTTCTTCCAAATCGAGGAAGGCGTCATGAGGCAAACCAAGGCGCAAATATTGGAGCTCATCAAAGACAGCACCAAGGGTGAAGAGCCGGTCGACAAGCTGAGATTATTTGTCATCTGGTACCTCAGCACCGAACAAGAAGTCAGTCGGTCAGAGTGGGAGGGATTCGAGAAGGCCTTGACCGAGTGCGGCGCAGACACAACCTCCCTCCCGTACATCCGACAGTGAGTACTCGTGCAGCAAAAAAAAGAACAAAAAAAAGCACATCACTGACAAACACTCTCAGAGTCCGTGCCACAACCAAGATGACCCAGCTCACCACTATCTCCAACCCCAACACGAACCAGGCGGGGTCCTCAGATATATTTGGCCGCTTCTCCTCCATCTCCAACCGCCTCACCGACCGCCTCAAGGAGACGGGCGTTCCCACTGGCCTGTCCTCGAACTTCGAGTCCCTCATTGGCGGCATCAAGAACTTCCTCCCCGCCAACCGCGACCTGACCATTACCAAGATAGTCGAGTCCATCATGGACCCCTCCGCTGCCGCGAGCTCCGCCATCGCCAAGACGGAGAACTATCTCTACTTCGACCCCCGCTCCGCCAACGCCCGCGGTACTATGCCCCCGCCGAGCGCCATCCGGGCCGGCACCGCAGGCTCATTGGCGCCCGGCGGTC